AAATCTGTGATTGAGGTTATGCTATTGCAGATTTTGACTGACCACTGTGGGCACTCTGTCCAGAGGTAGCTCGGCACAATCAATAATGATATGAGTTGTACTAACACCAAGGCCTGGTGTGAATATGATTGTTTGGTGGCAACGACATGAGTGTCCAGTGTGTCGACTATTGCTTGAGGTGATCCCTGGACTGCAGTGGACTACTGCCTTTGGTTCTATCTTTATCCAGACTGCTGGTTTGCTATGAACTGCCTTTGGACATCAGGGAGCAGTGATATGACACATGCACTACAATGAGAGGCAATCTACTTGATTGTGACTATGCTGACTGAAACTAATGTGTACTTTATGCTTGAAGTAATAACTAGTTTATATGGTGTAGAGTGGATGGTGATCCACTCACTTGTTGCGACAAGGAGCATGATTATATACCATGCCTGCAGCATCATCTGCAACACTGCCCCTCCTCCTTGTCCCTCCTATCTGTCCTTCTTTGAACTAGGTGTCGACTCCCTCGACACTGCTCTTCCTCATCATGACCTGTACACTGGTGTCCATGACACAGCTCTCCTTCCTCCCACCAGTGACAGTTCTCCTGGTCTTCATCTTGTGACCCCCTGAGGGGTAACCAGCTGCATGCTTCTGAGCTCAGTCCCCTTCTTGGCAATGCTTGGTCCTCCTTCACATGTGGATTTTGCCATATGATTGTCTTTCCCACTGATCTCTGTGGAATCTGCCACATGATCACTACTACTACTGATCTCAGTGGAATTTGTAATACTGCCTTTGTTTGTGCAGATCTTGCTGGGATCTGTCATAGCACTGTTTCTACCACAGATCTCAATGAACTCTGCTGCAAACCCCTCGATCTGCCCAATTCCATGATTCCTGCACTCCCTTCATATGAGTTGATGGATCTTCTTACTTCTTGTGCATCCAGGCCCATGACAGACGTCTGGTTACGCTTAGTCGAAACATACCGAGTAGACCTTAATCAATCCCATCTATACGGATCGAATAACACTCAAAACTAGTCTCTGGCGCGCGACCGCTTACAATAACCATGCTCCTCATCGTAATAGTCAAGTGGATCGCCATCCACTCTACACCTTATATCACTAGTTATAGCTTCACAGAAAGTATAGTTAGTATTCTGTCAACAGTTGCAATTGCAGAGCATTGCATCTAACATAGCGCATGTGTTGTATCACTGCTCATTGACATCATCTGAAGGCAGTACCGACTGTGGTCTGGATATCAATTGACACCAAAGGTGGTTCATACTGTGGTCCAGCTCTCTTGATCATTAGAAACTGAAGGCAGTCATTCACTGCAGTCTGGGGATCACTTCTCATTCAATCAACACAGTGGGCACTTGTGTCAAAGCCACATCATCAGCATCAGACCTTGGTGCTCACCATGTAACTATAGTTATTGATCATGCCAAGCTACCTCTGGATGGAGTGTCCACAGTGGCTAGTTGAAACCTGCAATAACAATCAAGCTATCACATATTCAAGCAAGAGAAGTCATAGAAGCCTTCTATGACAGATTTCAGCAAGAATAATAATAAACAGCCTTTTACCACATATCTCAATAAGATCTGTAGTAGATGTCATGGGCCTGGATGCGCAAGAAGTAAGAAGATCCATCAACTCATATGAAGGGAGTGCAGGAATCATGGAATTGGGCAGATCGAGGGGTTTGCAGCAGAGTTCATTGAGATCTGTGGTAGAAACAGTGCTATGACAGATCCCAGCAAGATCTGCACAAACAAAGGCAGTATTACAAATTCCACTGAGATCAGTAGTAGTAGTGATCATGTGGCAGATTCCACAGAGATCAGTGGGAAAGACAATCATATGGCAAAATCCACATGTGAAGGAGGACCAAGCATTGCCAAGAAGGGGACTGAGCTCAGAAGCATGCAGCTGGTTACCCCTCAGGGGGTCACAAGATGAAGACCAGGAGAACTGTCACTGGTGGGAGGAAGGAGAGCTGTGTCATGGACACCAGTGTACAGGTCATGAGGAGGATGAGCTGTGTCAAAGAGGTCAACATACAGCTCAGGTAAGGATGGAGGGGATGTTACAGGGACTCCTGTATAGCACTTGACGAAGAGGGTACTCTCTGGAGAGAGAGCCAGAGCAGTGTCACAGGCGACACTGCATAAGATGTATATAAGCATACCTTCTTGTCATAGGTGGATGAGTGGATCCTCATCCACTCTACACCATATAAACTAGTATTACTTCAAGCATAAAAGTACTCATTAGTTTCAGTCAGCATAGTTGCAATCAAGCAGATTGCCTCTCATTGTAGCATGTGTGTTGTATCACCACTCACTGACATCTGAAGGCAGTTCCTAGCAAACCAGTGGTCTGGATAAAGATAGAACTGAAGGCAGTAGTCCACTGCAGTCTGGGGATACCTCAAGCACTTAGTCAACACACTGGACACTTGTGTTGACACCACCAGCAATCATATTCACACCAGACCTTGGTGTCAGTACAAGTTCATATCAGTTATTGATCATGCCAAGCTACCTCTGGATGGAGTGTCCACAGCAGTCAGCTGAAACCTGCAATAGCAAAACCCTTACTGCAGTTCCAAGTGAGAAAAGTGATAGAGATGGCTCTACTACATATTTTGCCAAGAATTGCAATACCACAAGTGTGTCATGGGCCTGGATGCTCAAGAAGCAGGAGGGTCACGGGTTCATATGGAAGGAGCACAGGTATCGAAGATCTAGTCGAGATCAGTAGAGAGCATGGTCATAGTGCAGTCTCCATGGAGACCATGGACTCCTACAGACTCACATGCAAAGGAGGGCCAAGCACAGCCACGAGGAGGACCAAGCTCAAGGAGCAGGCAGATGGTTACCACTCAGGGGCTCGAGAGACAAGAGCCAAAGGAACTGTCACTGGTCAAAGGAGAAGGAGCAGTGTATAGGACACTAGCAGGCAGGTCCTGAGGAAGAGGAGCAGTGTCGAAGGAGTCGACACCAGGTCATGAGGAGGAGGAGCAGTGTCAAAGGAGTCGACACCACTCAAGAGGCACAGGGGTGCCAAGCAGGAGAGGCCCCTGAGCAGTACTCGATGAAGAAGGTACTCTCTGGAGAGAGAGCAGGAGCAGCATCGCTAGCGATGCTGAGAAGAGGTATATAACCATGCTTTCTCATCATCATAGGTTGAGTGGATCCTCATCCACTCTACTCACCATACAACTAGTCAATACTTAGAAACATAAGTACTCATTAGTTACAGTCAGCATAGCAGCAATCTATCAAGGTTGCTCCTCATTGTAGTGTGTGTGTTGTATCACCACTACCTGATGTCTGAAGGCGCCCATAGCAGGTTAGCGGTCTGGATATAGATAGAACCGAAGGCAGTAGTCCACTGTGGTCCGGGGGTCACTTCAAGCATCAAGTCAACACACTGGACACTCGTGTTGATGCCACCAACCTTATCACCAACACCATCAACCTCATTATCATCAACACTCACCAACCTTATCACCAACGACATCAACCTCATCATCATCAACACTCACACCAGACCTTGGTGTCATCATAACCAAAGCATTGATATTGATCGTGCCGAGCTACCCCTGAACAGAGTGTCCACAGAGGTCAGCCGAAACCTACAATAGTATATACAACGAATGCCACCTGCTGTCACTGCACAACTTGATAGTCACCAATACTGAGACAATAGCTGTCGCACAGTTTGATAGTCACTGAGTATCTCGACAGACCGACCTGGGTTTCAGGCGCGAGACCCCTGACAAAGTGTTGTCACATAACTTGACAGGATTCATAATAGACACGACTCTATTACCGATCTCAGGTTTTGGCCATGCGACCGCTGACAGTAGACACATTTTTACTACAGTTATCAGGTTTCAGGCATGCGGCCTCTGACAACACCTTTGCTGTCTCCTTCGCCTGTTCCTGTGATGCGGCGAGGTTACCTGGAACCAGCTGTCACCAGCTCAGTTGCTGGTTGGGTCCATCATGCAGCAAGCTGACTATGCCATACTCCTCCTCCCAGCATCCAAGACCAATCCCTTCAGGCTTGGGACCCCCCTTGTGGTCCCCAAAGTTGGCAGGGTGGAGTGCCCATATGCCATGCTCTGCCTCCTCTGTCCTATCATCTGTAGGCCCAACACTCCTCTCTTTGGGCCTCATGATGGGTACAAACCCCTCACTCAATTGACCTTCCTCCAGCACCTTCGCTCAACACTCGCTCGCCTTGGGCTGGACATGTCTCAGTACATGGGGCACTCCTTTTGCCAAGGGGTGGCCACTTGGGCAGTGTTGCAGGGCATTGATGCAGACACCATCAAGCTTCTCAGTCAGTGGAACTCAGACTGCTATTGCCAATACTTTGACCATTCAGCAGCTGAGTGATGCACATTGGTTGCTGCTGCCCTCTACTTGACCTGGCAGGGACCACTTGTCCCTACAGGTCCCTCTTGGTGGGACCCAGTCCTCTAAGCTTGGTGGAGCCTTTGGCTCCTCTGCTGTGACGACTGTCCGCTGTGCAGGTGACACTGCAGCTGTTGGCAGGCTGGGAGCCTCCTTGTCAAGCTTCGAGGACCTCACAGGTCCTTGCCTGCAATCCACTTAGTTTTTGTTCTTGTTTCGTGCGACTGAGTCCAGACGGGACGAGCCGAAGCGACTTGCTCTCATTCCCGGCTGAAAGCAATCGTCCTAAAGCATGCTTCATGAGCCTCCTCCAATGCTGCTCTGACCTGTTTGTAATAGATAGTACCGAGCGCTGTGAATCGAGCTGAACGAATCAGTCTCTGTGCCAAAACTGAGCGTCTGAAGATCTGTTTTCTCAAGGTCGACGTTGCCTATCGGCACGTGTTCCAGACGTTTGATGATTCAGGGTCCAGAAGAAGGTCGGAGACACATAACGTTTCGATATCGACACTTTGCAGTCTGCCTTCCTTCTCTGGACATCATTGGACAGCACTCTTTGGCACCATCCAATATGCCGCAACAGTACTACTACCCACAGGCAAACGAGGAGCTGATTCGACACTACAAACTGGAACCTCATCCAGAAGGCGGCTACTATGCGGTCACCTTTGTGATGGAGGAGAAGATGAAGTCTCCTTTCGCTTCCGATGACGAGGAGCGCAACATTGCTACCTGCATCTACTATCTACTATGCCACAAGTCCCCTGGATGCCCCGACAGGCCTTCCCACACCGAGGACTCGGATGAGCCTGATCCGTTCAAGACCTGGTCAAGCGACATCGGCGTCTTGCACCTCAACAAGTCGTCCACAATGCACGTTCACCACGCAGGTAGGTCCAAGTACACTCTCATATCTGCCAGAGCACCGCTCGGCAAAGGTCTCGTGGACGAAACCGGTGATCTACTCACGAAGACGATAGTGATGGGTGATGACATTGCGAAGGGCGAGGTGCGACAACTGCTAGTAGAGGGGGGTTGGTGGAAGGCCAGCGAGGTTCCTGAGGAAGATCGCGAGGCAGCCGAAAACGCAAGTGCAGACGGATCAAGGGTGGGCGCCCTGATCTCTGAAGTCGTCACGCCGGGCTTCCACTGGAACGATCACACATATCTGAACCAAGGCAAGCTCCGCGAGCTCTTTGCCGGCTGTCCGCGCGCCGAAGAGTTGTACGAAAAGTACAAGAAGTACGTCAAAGAGCAATGATCCGCATTCTCCTCTTCTTCAATACAATGAGCAACAATCACAGCATCGAAGTCCGTACAAAGGCAGTACGTTAGAAAGCGGTATTGCTAAGCGTTTGCTGTGATAAACCACATATGATAGATGACAAGAGAGGTGCTGCGCTAAGAATCCGATCTGATCCGGAAGCGGACACTTTACTGTGACTTTGAGCCGTAGGTCCTGGCTGGGAACAGATTGTCAAAGTTCTTGCGGTCCAAGAACCAAGGATTTTTGGAATGCAACTGACTCTTTGCTGTCCTCTCAGCTGGCGTCAGTTCATGTTCGCCCGCAACCCTAGACCAGTCCGTCTCGCCACGGAGACTGAGTTTGAATCGCGACCAGTACTGGGTGTACAGATTTTTCGCGTTCGTCTTGAAAAGCGGTGTGGGTGCGGCCTCGAGCTGGTATCCAAATGTGACGTCCTCCCCCAGCAAGAGGGATGATGGTACCTTCTGTCGCTTGCTCGAACTTGCTGATGCTACACGCCTGCCTTTGCCCTGCGCGAACTTTTCGATCTCGACCGCCGATGTCCTGTCTCGTCGGTAGAGTGCATCCAGTGGATGGAATCGTTCACTCTGATCTTTCGGGTTGAGCGGTGCGCTTCTTCGCGAGCGCATGGATGGAGGCAAAAAGGCGCGGAATGGTGGTGCTGCTGTTCGAATGCCAATCTGTGATGTAGCTGGGTATAATGTCACCCGTGTCCCAAGTCGCGACGGGGTCCAGAAGAAGAACATTCCCAATCCACCAGCCGTTACAGCGACGGCAGCTCCTGCTGTGTATCGTAGCATCGGCGGTGCCAACTTGGTTTTCTCTGGATCTCGTGTGAAGATGGGCCAGCTGAGATGTTGTGTAAGGAGGAAGCCCTGAAAGCAACCAGCTCCTGTGAAGACGGTCCCAATGAAGTAGTAGATCGCTTTCTTCAAGCCAGGCGGGCCCCGGTAGAGCACTCGTGGTGCTGCTGATGCTGCTGCCGCTGATGCACTCATCTTTTTTCCCTTGATATGATGCAGTTGCACGTCGTCTTGCTAATGTGTGAGGGGATTTGCGAAGGTTAAAGGAGCCGTATGCAAGTGAACACCGCTCCTTCCAAGCTGAGCCAATCTTCCAAATTGACTTTTTTGACCCTGGCTTGGGCGAGACTTCCGAAATCCGTGAACGACACAGTCGTTCAAACTATGTTAGGAACATATATGTATATGTAACCAATTTGATCGTACACTGGCCCTATAGCTCAGCGGTAGAGCGTTGGCTTCCAGTCCTAATTGGAATTTTCCAAAGGTCATCCGTTCAAATCGGGTTGGGGTCATGTTTGATTTTTTCTTCTGCCTGTCCAAAGCTTTCTTGTCTGGCTGCTAGTGTACAGTCCCTGTGCATAAGTTTGAGAACAATTGGGTAATTTCCCGATTTAGCCGGTTATCCTGCATTTGGGTTGTTGTTGTCATTGAGCAATAGCACTACCATCATATTAATCAAGAACACTTCAAACACCAATATGGTCTGTGGCAATGAGCTCTCTCCAAGCAAGCATGCTTCAATCATTGAAATGCATGATACTGGGCTGCCAATTTGATGAATCATGGAGCTAAGTGGCATTTCCAAGACAGCAGTTCACAAGACCATCCATAACTTTAAGGAGCATGGTACCTTTGAAACAAAAGCACAATCCAGCTGTCTGTGCTCCTGGACAGCTACCTCAGACTGATACCTTCAGTGTGAGGTACTCAAAAACCTGTTTTTATCATGGCAACAGCTGTCAGCATTGCTTGGTGGCATTCCAATAACACAGCTCTGGAAAGCAGCATACTGGGCCAGTATTAACTGCCAGATTGTGCTTCAAAAGCTGTTTCTGACAGCCAAAAACCAGCATAAATGTCTAGAATGGGCCAAGGCTAACAGCTCCACTGATTGGAGGGGTGTGCTGTTCATGGACAAGGCAGTGTCACAGGACCTGTGCAGGAGATCAGGTCAGTGCAGGAAGATCCAAGATGAAGATGAAGATGTGGTGCACCCAGGAAAAGGTGCATGAAATGTGACATCAACCATAAGATGGGTCTCTGGTTGATTTCCCTGAAATCAACCATGTTGGGGGTTCCTGATTGGTTTTGCTGAAATCAAGTGGAATATGCTCATTGGGTTGATTTCACCAAAGCATGTCACACAAAGCCCCATTGGTACAGAACAGACCAACAGGACACAAGGAGGCAATGGGAGGCTTGGTAGGAAAGGCCTCCATCATCAAAGGTAGGATAGGGCACAAGGAAGGGTCCCATGTGCTAAAGGGGGTCCAAGTTTAGCCAAGAAGAGGACCAAGCTCAGGAGCAAGCAGCAGGTTACCACACAGGGGGGGGATGTGCTCTCAATCACATAAGGGTTGGTCACAAGGTAGACCACATGGATGAGAACAAGACAATAGGATGGTCACATGGTCAGAGAGGGCCATCAGATAGGGGCCAAGGAATGACCATGGATTGAGGGGAGAGGGAGTTGGACCAAGGGGGCCAACATTGGTACCATGAGGAGGATGGGCAGTGTCAAGAAGAGTCAATACACAGCCCAAGGAAAGGAGGAGTATGAGGAGGACAGGAACACTCCTCCAGAGGAGTAGGAGCAGTGCCACAGGTGGCACCTCTCAAAACACATAAATACTACTACTACTTCACCATAGCAAATGAGTGGATCCTCATCCACTCTACTCTTTACTTTACTTACTCTTACTTAGTTACATACCATTGCAATAGCAAGAAGCCTTTGCAATGACATCTCGAACATGTGTGTTGTATCACTGTCGGACATCAACTGTAGGTGGTGTTCCTCAACACCTGTGGTCCAGTTTCATCACTGTAGGTGGTGTTGCTCAATGTCAGGGGTCTCGCACCTGAAACCCAGGTCGGTCTGTCGAGATACTCAGTGACTATCAAACTGTGCGACAGCTATTGTCTCAGTATCGGCCTTGACGAGCTAGTCGTTCAGCGACTATCAAGTTGTGCAATGACAGCAGGTGGCATTTGTTGTATATACTATTGTAGGTTTCAGCTGACCTCTGTGGACACTCCATTCAGGGGTAGCTTGGCACGATCAATATCAATGCATAGGTTATGATGACACCAAGGTCTGGTGTGAGTGTTGATGATGATGAGGTTGAAGGTGTTGGTGATAAGGTTGATGGTGTTGATGATAAGGTTGGTGGCATCAACACAAGTGTCCAGTGTGTTGACTGATGCTTGAAGTGATCCCCGGACCGCAGTGGACTACTGCCTTCGGTTCTATCTTGATCCGGACCACTAACCTGCTATGGGCGCCTTCGGATGTCAGGTAGTGGTGATACAACACACACACTACGATGAGGAGCAACCTTGATAGATTGCTGCTATGCTGACTGAAACTAATATATACTTATGCTGAAGTGATAACTAGTTATGGTGAGTAGAGTGGATGAGGATCCACTTGACCTATGATGATGAGAAAGCATGGTTATATACCTCTTCTCAGCATCGCCAGTGATGCTGCTCCTGCTCTCTCTCCAGAGAGTACCTTCTTCATCGAGTACTGCTCAGGGGCCTCTCCTGCTTGGCACCCCTGTGCCTCTTGAGCTGTGTCGACTCCTTCAACACTGCTCCTCCTCCTCATGACCTGGTGTCGACTCCTTCAACACTTGTCTCTCGAGCCCCTGAGTGGTAACCATCTGAGCTTGGTCCTCTTTGTGGCTGTGCCTGCTCCTTGAGCTTGGTCCTCCTCATGGCTGTGCCTGGCCCTCCTCGCATATGGCTTGGTCCTCCTTTGCATGTGTGTCTGTAGGAGTCCATGGTCTCCATGGAGACTGCACTACGACCATGCTCTCTACTGGTGTCGACTAGATCTTCGATACCTGTGCTCCTTCCATATGAACCAGCGACCCTCCTGCTTCCTGAGCATTTAGGCCCATGACAATATACTCCAATGATGTCTCGGAAGATGTCATTGATGAACGACTGGAAGTGAGCTGGAGCATTGGCTAGGCCAAAGGGCATCACTAGGTACTCATAGAGTCCCAACTGAGTGCCAAAAGCTGTCTTCCATTCATCTCCTTTAGCAATCCAGATGAGGTTGTATGCTGCTCAAGGTCTAGCTTGGTATAGATCCTTGCCTTCCTGAGTAGGAACAACTGCTCCTCAATGAGGGGCAATGGTGCCCTGTTCTTGACAGTGATCTCGTTGAGACCTCTGTAGTCCACACAGAGTCTGAGACCTCCATCCTTCTTTGGTATGAAGAGCACTGGTGATTGTGCCAGGCTCTTCGATGGTCTTATGAACCCCTTCTCGAGGTTCTCATCCAAGTACCTCCTCAACTTGGACATCTCCTTGGGTCCCTTAAGGTACAGGGGCCCTTGAGGTGGCTTACCTCCTTCTATCAACTCGAGGTGGAGATCATGCTCGGTATGATGGGGCAGCTTGTCTGCTTCCACCTCATCGAACACATCTCGCAGGTGTTGGTATGGCTTTGGTATGTCTGCAGCCATCACCACCTTGTCTACCTCCACCTCCATCTTGACTCCTTTGTCTGCACCTGTAGGTACAAAACCAAAGGCCAGGAGTGATGATGGTGGCTCCTCCAACAGCATGAACCCTATGGGTCCATCTTCCAGAGCTGCTCGTAGTATGCACTCTGCTGAGACAAACTCGTTACCATGAAGGGTTGGTCTCCTCATGATTAGGTCCCCTGCTCTTGCTGCTTCAGGGGGTCTCCTTGGGGGTCAGTCCTGCTCCTGAGTCTTGAACTCCAGCTGGCCCGTATCCCATTGTATGGTGGGTTTGAGTCTCTGTAGCTCAGTGAACCCCAGGATGAGGTCATAGTCAGCAGTGTTGGCCACTGAAGCTTCGACCACACCCAGATTGTGTGTACCAATAGATACCTGCATGCTCACAGAACTATTGATGGAGAGTTGGTGCCCAGTGACACCATGGATCGATCTTGTTTTTATGGGTTTTGTGGGTATTTGGTACTTACTAATGAAAGAATCTGAGACTATGGACAAACCAGCACTGGTATCAGCTAGTATCCGAGCAGGGTGGTCTTGAACCAATCCAGAGAGCTCCAGTACTGCTTTGCCTCCACTGGTAGAGAAACATACTTGACAATCTTGATATATACAGAGTGATGGCGAGGAGGTTTGTAGAGCAATGCATGCCATCAGTGCATCACCCCACTGACGTTTCCCTCATTGTCATCATCATCATGCTCCTCCTCCTCATGGTTGAGGTCCATGGGTTGCTGGTATGAGCTGAGGTCCATGGCCTCGGGGTCACCCATCTCAGTACTGCCTGTGTGGCCATCTCCTGAGTCAGTGGCCTCCTCGAAGGGGTCTGCTGTGGTGACCATAACCTTTGGTCCCATGGGTCGAGAGCTAAGAGGGTCTACCCTCCTGCTGGGGCAGTCTCTGGCCCAATGGCCGATACCCTTGCATACATGACAGGTGTTGATACCTGATGGAGCAGGGCTTCCTTGCTTCGAGGTTTGGGTGGGTTGACAAGGAAGGGGTTGGTTTAGGTTTTGTGTAGTTGCTTGTGTAGTTGCTTGTGCTGGTGATCGAGCTGGATAAGGTTGAGTGGGTTGTCGGATGGGGATCGAACTTTGATTTGGCCAAGACCCAGTTCTTAGTGGAGGTGACGTGGCATTTGGGAGTGAGTGTCTAGCCGAGGACTGCTGTAGTAGCATCCTCTGTCGATTGATCTCCTCAACCTCTCGGTACCACTCCCATCTCTTCCCAGGTGGATTCCTCTCGAACTTCTCCTGTATGCTGCGAGTGAGACTTCCTCTGAAGAGATCAATCACTAGCTCATTGTCATCTAGGTTGACCTGTCCCTCCAAGTCTCTGAACCGCTCTACATGACGTGTGGCGGCACCAGGAGCATCACTTGTGAGTCTGAGAGCCAACAGCTTGTTGTATGCCTCCATCCTAGCATTGCATGGGTTGAACTGCTCTGACAGTCACTCTGTGAAGTAGTGCCAATCATTGAACAACCTTCCTTCTCTAGCTCTATCAATACAGAGCTTGGAGGTCCACCACTCTCATGCTGTCCCTTCCAGTTGAGCACCCATGTGATTGATCATCCTAGACTGCTCATACACCTGGTTGAACTTAAACCATGCTTCGGCTTCTAGAATGAAGATCTCCACATCTCGGGGATTGAACTTTGGAAAGGGGGTGGCAATGGGCTTTGACCAGTTAAGCTCTGCCATGATGCTAGAGTCCTCCTCTTGGTCCAGGGGGTAAGGGTCCATCCTGGTCCTGCTGTAGGGGTCCAGCTTAGTCTTGACATATCTTGGCCCAGTAGGTGAAGCATACTTCTCGTAGTTGACATCGTCCTGCTCATCCAGGTTGAATGAGACTGATCGTCTTGGTCATGGAGCTGGAGTAGGAGTATGTGGGTCTCCTATCATAGACTCATCTCCTCCTCCTGCTTGGTCTTCTGAGTGAGAGAGGTCCATTGTCTCCTCCCTGCTCAGTTGAGCTCGTTGTAATCGTTCCTCTCGATGACCCTGTCTGGTAAGCTCTAGCTGTGCTTCCAATAGAGTGAGTAGTCTATCGAGCTTATTGTTGAGGTCTGGGTCCGTCATGGTGATCGTGAGGAGCTGCTTGAATGATCCACTCTAATGTCAGGGGTCTCACACCTGAAACCCAGGTCGGTCTGTCGAGATACTCAGTGACTATCAAACTGTGTGACAGCTATTGTCTTGGTATCGGTGACTATCAAGTTGCGCAGTGACAGCAGGTGGTGTTCATTGTATATACTATTGTAGGTTTCGGCTGACCTCTGTGGACACTCCGTTCAGGGGTAGCTTGGCACAATCAATATCAATGCTATGATGACACCAAGGTCTGGTGTGAGTGTTGATGATGATGAGGTTGATGACGTTGGTGATAAGGTTGGTGGGTGTTGATGATAATGAGGTTGATGGTGTTGGTGATAAGGTTGGTGGTGTCAACACGAGTGTCCAGTGTGTTGACTTGATGCTTGAAGTGATCCCCGGACCGCAGTGGACTACTGCCTTCGGTTCTATCTTGATCTGGACTGCTAACCTGCTATGGGTGCCTTCGGACGTCAGGTAGTGGTGATAAAACACACACACTATGATGAGGAGCAACCTTGATAGATTGCTGCTATGCTGACTGAAACTAATATATACTTATGCTGAAGTGATAACTAGTTATGGTGAGTAGAGTGGATGAGGATCCACTTGACCTATGATGATGAGAAAGCATGGTTATATACCTCTTCTCAGCATCACCAGCAATGCTGCTCCTGCTCTCTCTCCAGAGAGTACCTTCTTCATCGAGTACTGCTCAGGGGCCTCTCCTGCTTGGCACCCCTGTGCCTCTTGAGCTGTGTTGACTCCTTCAACACTGCTCCTCCTCCTCATGACCTGGTGTCGACTCCTTCAACACTTGTCTCTCGAGCCCCTGAGTGGTAACCATCTGAGCTTGGTCCTCTTCATGGCTGTGCCTGCTCCTTGAGCTTGGTCCTCTTTGTGGCTGTGCCTGCTCCTTGAGCTTGGTCCTCCTCATGGCTGTGCCTGGCCCTCCTCGCATATGGCTCGGTCCTCCTTTGCATGTGAGTCTGTAGGAGTCCATGGTCTCCATGGAGACTGCACTACGACCATGCTCTCTACTGGTGTTGACTAGATTTTCGATACCTGTGCTCCTTCCATATGAACCAGCGACCCTCCTGCTTCCTGAGCATTTAGGCCCATGACACATTCTACTCATGGTAGTCAAGTGGATCCCCATCCACTCTACACATTACTAGCTATATCCTTACCATAACATATGTAAGTGGTTGTGCACCTGAAACCAGATTGGGTGCTTCCAGTTGATTTTGGTGAGATCAACTGAGTAAGCCTTATTTGTTATGTTTTGGGTGAAGGTAACCAGATGGATGAGTTCTGGTAGGTTTTGGCTGACCACCTTGAACACTCCATTCAGAGGCTATGTGGCATGTCCATAGCACATTGAGATGAGAGTGATGTCAGACACAACTCTCCTATTGCAGCATGAATGTTTGTAATGCTAAATGCTCTTGTCATTGTCTGGACCACAATAAGGTTTATCACCTACAGATGATGGGAGGTACTGGACCGCAAGTGTGTTGACACCACCTATAGTAACTGACTGGACCACAGGTGTTGAGGAACACTGCCTACAGTTGACATCCAACAGTGATACAACACACACATTTGAGATGACATTGCAAAGCTATGCTATTGCAATGATACAAGACAAGTAAAGAGTAGTATGATAAAGAGTAGAGTGGATGAGGATCCACTCTTATGCTATAGTGAAGTGGTAGTATTTATGTGTTTGGAGGGTGTCATCTGCAACACTGCTCCTGCTCCTCTCGAGGAGTGTTCCTGTCCTCCCTTGTCTCCTCCTCTTCCTTGAGCTGTGTGTTGGCCTTCTCAACACTGTCCATTCTCCTCATGGTTCCCATGCCAGTCCCTTGGGCTGGCTCCCTTCCTCTCTCAATCCATGGCCATTCTATTGGCCCCTAACTGATGTTCCTTCTTGACTATGTGACCAACCTTATTGTCCTGCTCCTGTCCATGTGGTCTACCTTGTGACTGGTTCTATGCAATCATGAGCATGTCCCCCTCTGTGGTAACTTACTGTGTGCTCCTGAGCTCAGTCCTCTTCTTGGCTGAACTCAGACCCTCTCCTCACATGTGAAACCTTTCCCATCATCCTAACCTTGCCCTTGATGATGGAGGTCTTCTCTGCTCAGCCTCCCATGGTTTCCTTGTAGTCCATTGGCTTGTTCCATTTTGATGTAAGCTTCTTGTGATGTGTTTGGTGAAATCAACCAGGTAGCCTTATTCTGGTTGATTTCAGTAAAATCAACCAGACAAGTGTGATGCAGTTGTTGTCAGGGAAATCAACCAGAAACCTGTGATCTGGTTGATTTCGCAATTTGAGTGCACAAGGCTCCTCATACCTCATTTCAGATCTTCCTGCACAGTTTCCATGACAGGAGGCGAGTTGCCACCCAGATAAAGTGGGAATGGCCCCTGTCAAGGATGAAGCAGCATGAGGACCGTCCATCTGCATAAGGCGAGAGAAACAAGGTCATTGGACAGCATTGCAAGGTGGATGGAAAGGAGAGGGAGGGCAAGGAGGAGGAGCAGCAGTGTCAAAGAGGCCTCCTCGAGTAGGAGCAGCATCACAGGCGACATTGTGGAAGTGGATATAAAACCATGCTCCTCGTCATAGCAAGTAGGTGGATATCCATCCACTCTACACCTTACATCACTAGTTATAGCTTCACAGAAAGTATAGTTAGTATTCCATCAACAGTTGCAATTGCAGAGCATTGCATCTACATAGCATGTGTGTTGTATCACCGCTCATTGACATCATCCAAAGGCGGTTCATTCTGCAGTCCGGATATCAATCGACACTGAAGGCAGTTCATACTGCAGTCTGGCTCTCTTGATCATTAGAAACCTAAGGCAGCTGTCCATTGTGGTCCAGGGATCACTTCAAGCACTCAGTCAACACACTGGACACTTGTGTTGGTGCTAACAACATCACTCACACCAGACCTTGGTGTCAATACAACATATCTACAGTTATTGATTGTGCTGAGCCACCTCTGGACAAAGTGTCTGCAGCAGTTAGTCAAAACCTGCAATAGCAATCAATCTTTCACATATTCAAGCAAGAGAAGTCATAGGGGCCTTCTACAACAGATTTTGACAAGAATAATAATAATGGCCTTTTAACACATATCTCGATAAGATCTGTAATAGATGCGTTTCTATTACAGATATCAGGTTTCAGGTGCGAGACCCCTGACACCACAGATCTCGCTAAGATCAGTAGTAGTTGTCGTTTTACTACAGATTTCGGGTTTCAGGGGTGTGGCCTCTGACACGCAACTCCCACATGCACTGGTGTCAAACATCGAGCATAGGCTGCATATGCTCCCACGAGTTTTGCATTGACAAAGGTAACGATCAAACATGATAATGAGAGGTGACGCAAGCCAATGGTGGAGGGATCGGGACAGGCCGATCTGATCAGAGATTCAGGAGGACTGATCTGGGAAGAGATCGGGTGCAACACAGTTCCACCCGTTGTCATGGTAGATCATTAGATAGGGGTACTCCCACCTGTGGGAGATGTCACAAAGATGTATATATACAGCTCGCATGTAAACTGTCCCACAATTTTACATGTCACCATACATCACTCTAATGCTCAATAGCCATAAGTTGTATTGCCACACTGTCTGATATTGTCTGAAAGCCCTGCTTCTTCTCTCCAAGACTGTGTAAATGATATTGGCATTGACTGAGAAAATTGTGCTTTGAAGAAGAGCTGAGAATTTTTTTATTGTGGGACAGTTTATGGAGCATGCCCCCAAATAGCAACACTGCTCCATTCCTGACCTTGTGGGCTTTTGACTACAATGAAACTTGCAATGTAACTTGGTGGGCACCTTCATACACATCGAAAGTAGTGATGTGGAAAGTTTCAGCTCAATCAGATGACTGTGAGTGATCTGGTGGTGCTTTGAGTCTGACACCATCATATCTATACCATCATGCTGAAAACCACCCCAGAGAAGTGCTGATCAGCAATCTTTCACCTCCAAAATGGGGAATCTACCCATTCAGTTGCCAAGCAACTCAGTTTGAGCAAGTCTACTGTGAATCACATCAGCAAAAGTGCCTCTGCTGATGTTCCAAAGTCAAAGGGGGGCTGGCCAAGAAAACTCCAGCCTCATCATGTTCACTTCCTGGACCACTATTTCAAGCTCAATTCCACCTCCACAGTCAGGAAAGCATGCCATGCACTGCAGGAGACATTTCAAGTCAAAGCTTGCCCAACCATAGTAAGAAAAGCACTTCATTATTGTCATTACAAAGCATGGAGGTTAGTGAAAAAACTGAAGCTACTCAAGAGACATTACAAAGCCTGTCACAAATTTGCTAATGAGCACAAGGACATGACTGTTGAGAATTGGAAGAAGGTGGTATGGTCTGACAAGACAAAGATCAACTTCTTTGGACCAGATGGTAAGCAGTTCTGTTGGATTAAGAATGCCAGCTTCAACAGCAAGCTTGTCAGGCTGATGGTCAAGTCCGGCAGTGGCTCAATCATGATCTGGGGCTTTATGACATGGGAAGGGGTGGGAGGCATGCACTTGGTGCTGTGTACAATGAATTCAGACCAATACATTGATATCTTGAATGACAAGCTTGTGAAAACAATCTCAGATTTGTGGCTTCAGCATGCATATACCAACATCACTTTTCAGCAAGACAATGACCCAAAACACATGTTGAAGAAGACAACAACATGGTTGGAAAGCAATAGTATTAAGGTTATGCAATGGCCAGTGCAGTTGCCAGACTTAAACCCAATTGAACACCTCTGGCACCATCTCAAAATGTGACTTTCATGGTATAGTACAATTGCAAAGTCCAGGGATGAACTGCTCAAGAGATGTGAAGCTGAATGGACAGTGATCACTCCAGAGACATGTAGGACCCTAATAGAGAGTATTCCAGACCACATCAAGATGGTTCTGAAGGCCAAAGGAGGGAATACAAAGTACTAAGGTGTTGTCAAGGAGTGCTCCATAAACTGTCCCACAATAAAAAAATTCTCAGCTCTTCTTCATAGCACAATTTTCTCAGTCAATGTCAATATCATTTACACAGTCTTGGAGAGAAGAAGCAGGGCTTTCAGACAATATCAGACAGTGTGGCAATACAACTTATGGCTATTGAGCATTAGAGTGATGTATGGTGACATGTAAAATTGTGGGACAGTTTATGTGCAAGCTGTATATCAAGCTGAGAGCACTAGGCTCTCACTTCCACCAGTCAATTGAGTATATGTTTCTGCCTTAACGGAGTAGTGACATCATACTTAGACTATCCCCAATCACCAGTATCGGGACCCGAAACTTCTTTACTTATATCATGCATCCACCTCATCTCTGTTTGCACTTTGCATCGCTCCTGTCTCCCTGCAATTAATGCTCCGATGGTTGGAAATACCGAAGTATCTTCAACTCCTCCGACTGCTCTTTTCTCTTCCTTCTTCTCCATCATCATCTCTTTTGCTCGCCTCTCCTTCTGCTCACTCTCCTCCTCCTCATCACCTTCTCCTTGCGCTTGCCTCCGGGCTGCGCATCATCAAGTTTTTCACCCTCCATCCCACCCTAGTACTTTTTCACTCGTTCTTGTAATTCGTTCCTGCGCGCTTTCCGCCTCGCTTACACACAACGCTTGACCAACCGTGCCTCTTATGGCCACGGCTGGGAGCTCGCAAGCGACTCACTCGAGTCTTCAATTTAACAATTCTCATAAAAGCCTCTCAGTTCCTTTCTTACGCGTTGTCAAGGCCGATAACTCACCGTTGATTTAGTTGAAGTCATTTGTCAGTAGTTGGAGTTGAGGCGTTTTGTTGATGATGATAAGAGAGAGAGAGCGAGAGAGCGAGGAGTCTATATATATACAAAAGAAGAGCGGCAGAGAGCTGCATTGACTGCGGAACATAACAAAGCATTTGTCTTGAGTAGGTTGTGACACATGTGGTCCGTGCTAAGATGCTCAGGCCTTTTACTCGGCCATAAGCACTACCTTCACTGTCTCTATGCTTTGTGTAGCTTTATCTACTTCAACTCCCCCCCTCAACAGTATATGTACCCTGTTCATTATGCTGTTGTTTCAAGGTGTGACCTCCGTTCTTTAACACTGTCGCATAGCTTGGGGACCCCGTTTCGTACACTGCTGCTGGTATTTGCAGGTGTAGCCCAGATCTTGCTTGCTGCATTGCCTGTCTCCCAATGGGCTTTGTGAGTACGTCTGCCAAGTTTCTTGTGGTGTCTATGTACTTGATCTGCACCCTTCCCTCTTGGACGTTGTTACGGACGAAGTGATACTTGGTGTCGATGTGCTTAAGCTTCCAGTGCTGTGCTGGGTCCTTACTAACCTGTATGCAACCAGTGTTGTCCGAGTAGACTGTCGGTGTGCCTGTGGCAATGCCAATTGAGTGTAGCAGCTGCTTGAGGAAGAGCACCTCACGTGTTGCTTCCGTGGCTGCAATGAACTCTGCCTCGACAGCGGACAATGACATGCATTTTTGTGTCACTGACTTCCAGGCTACTGGATTCCCGTACACTAACACCACTGACCCCGATGTACTCCTTCTCTGTATGGTGGCATCGCTCGCCCAGTTTGCATCGCTGTGCGCGACCAGTGGCTCTTGCGACTCACTTGCCCTATAAACCAATCCAACCTGCCTTGTGCTTTCGAGGTAGCGTAAGACCCTTTGTGCTGCCTGATAATGCTCCTGTGATGGTTCACGCATGTGCCTAGCGAGAACACCCACAGTAAGGCTAAGGTCGGGCCGGGTGCTGTTGGCAACCCAGAGCAGCTTGCCAACAATCACCGGATACTCCTTCTGTTGTGCTGCGCTTGCGACAAGGGTTCCCTCTGGTATGCTCTGCATTGGAACCATGGTCGGCTTCATACATTTGTCCAGGTGCTTTGCCAGCACTTGGTCAATGTACCCTGACTGACCAATCGTCATGGTGTGCATCACATGGTCTCGACTGATTTTGATGCCCAGGAAGTGAGAGACCTCCCCGCTATCTTCCATCTTCCATCTCTGACCAATCTGCTTCTTAACCTTTAGGACTGTTTCCAGCCATGGTGCTATGACTAATGTATCATCGACATAGATGACCACAATGGCCATATCTTCACCCTGTCCCTTGGTGTAGATGCAAGGAGTGCACTCTACCTGGAAGAATCCCATGCATCGCAAAGACCTGTCGAACTCCTGATTCCATTCTCGCCCAGACTGCTTTAGGCCATATAGACCCTTGACTACCTTGTACACCTTGCCGGGTGCTACTCCTGATCCTTCTGGCGGCTTCATGTAGATTGCTTCCTTTAACGTGGAGTTCAAGTAAGCCATAGTGATGTCCAGAGCATGTACCTCCCAGTTGTTCTGCACCGCTAGTGCTAAGATGGTGTCATGGGCCTGGATGCTCAAGAAGCAGGAGGGTCACGGGTTCATATGGAAGGAGCACAGGTATCGAAGATCTAGTCGAGATCAGTAGAGAGCATGGTCGTAGTGCAGTCTCCATGGAGACCATGGACTCCTATCGACTCACATGCAAAGGAGGGCCAAGCACAGCCACGAGGAGGACCAAGCTCAAGGAGCAGGCACAGCCACGAAGAGGACCAAGCTCAAGGAGCATGCAGATGGTTACCACTCAGGGGCTCGAGAGACAAGAGCCAAAGGAACTGTCACAGGTCATGAGGAGGAGGAGCAGTGTCGAAGGAGTTGACACCAGGTCATGAGGAGGAGGAGCAGTGTCAAAGGAGTCGACACAGCTCAAGAGGCACAGGGGTGCCAAGCAGGAGAGGCCCCTGAGCAGTACTCGATGAAGAAGGTACTCTCTGGAGAGAGAGCAGGAGCAGCATCGCTGGCAATGCTGAGAAGAGGTATATAACCATGCTTTCTCATCATCATAGGTCGAGTGGATCCTCATCCACTCTACTCACCATATAACTAGTTATCACTTCAGCATAAGTATACATTAGTTTCAGTCAGCATAGCAGCAATCTATCAAGGTTGCTCCTCATTGTAGTGTGTGTGTAGTATCACCACTACCTGACGTCCGAAGGCGCCCATAGCAGGTTAGCGGTCCGGATATAGATAGAACCGAAGGCAGTAGTCCACTGCGGTCTGGGGATCACTTCAAGCATCAAGTCAACACACTGGACACTCGTGTTGACGCCACCAACCTTATCACCAACACCATCAACCTCATTATCATCGACATCACCAATCTCATCACCAACACCATCCACCTCATCATCATCAACACTCACACCAGACCTTGGTGTCATCATAACATTGATATTGATCGTGCTGAGCTACCCCTGAACGGAGTGTCCACAGAGGTCAGCCGAAACCTACAATAGTATATCCAACGAACGCCACCTGCTGTCACTGCGCAACCTGATAGTCACCGATACCGAGACAATAGCTGTCGCACAGTTTGATAGTCACCGAGTATCTCGACAGACCGACCTGGGTTTCAGGCGCGAGACCCCTGACAGATGGCTCTGATCGCTCCGAGGGGTGCTACTGGAGAGAAGGTTTCTTGGTAGTCGATCCCCTCTCTCTGTGTGAAGCCCCTTGCAACCAGTCGCGCCTTGTGCTTAACAGGTACACCATCAGCGTCAAGCTTCAGCCGAAGCACAACCTTAGAGTCCACAAGTGGTACTCCTGGCGGTTGGTGCACCACCTCCCAAGTCCCCATTGCCTCGAGTCCTTCCAGCTCCTTTCGTATTGCCTCCTTCCAGAGCTGGGCATCCTCACCATTCATTGCTTCCCCAAGCATTGGGTCCAGGTTCAGTATTGCTGTGTTGGCGGCGCCTACTGTGCTGTCTACAGCTGGTAGGAGATCCTCCACTGCGGCCTCTGATTTGGTCTCCTCCTCCACTATGGCTGGCGTGACACCCTCCTCCTTGACCTCCGCGGTCACCACGGGCCTGACTGCCTCTTGTTGGCGATCACTCCATCCTTTGTCCTCATGGAATGTTGCTGAGTTGCTCCATTGAATTGACGCAGGCTGGTCCAGGTTGCAAAACTTCCATGCTTTGTGTTCGTTGTCATACCCAATCATGATGGCTGGCTTTGCTCTAGCCCCGTACTTGCCTTGCTGGTCCTTCTGTTGAACATGAACCCATGCCAAGCATCCGAAGACTCGCAGCTGCTGGGCCAGCTTGTGCATGGTGGTTCCATAAAAGGCCTCGTGGGGGATGGTTTTGGTGGCTGATGGGGTAAGGTTCATCATGTGTGCTGCTGCTGTGATTGCATATGGCCACAACTCTCTGGGGCAAGCTCAACCAATCAGCATCGAGCGCATCTTTTCTTGGACCAACCTGATTGCTCTCTCCGCCCGTCCATTTTGGATGCTGATCCCCGGGACGCTCTTTTGCCACTTGAAACCCTCTTGAGTTTGCCAGTCTTTGGCTGCTATGCTGCACCATTCTCCTCCATTGTTGCTGTGGAGTGTTTTGAGTTTCCTGTCCGTTGCCCATTCCATCCTGGCTATCCACCTCCTCAGCGCCGTGAGTGTGGCACTCTTTGTGCAGAGTGGTTCCATGTAGATCAGAGAGGAGAAGTCGTCCACAGCAACTAGTGCATAGTGGTAGTTGGCATGTCCTTTGAAATCTGTCATCAGGTCTACGTGTACCAGCTCTAATGGTGCCTCCATTCTTTCCGACTCTGATTGGCCCATCCGTGCTCGAGTCTGTTTTCCTTGGCTGCATGTGTTACAGTGCTTCAACTCATGTTCCATTTCCTCATCGGTACCTAGGTAATGAGCCCGGATTTGTCTCGTTTTGTCTCATCCTGGGTGTCCGAACCTCTCATGCCATAGGTAGCTGTCTTGATGCTTCGTGTCCTTATTGCCCTCTGGGGCATTATCTAGTTTTCCTGTGTTCTGGTTGCCCTCTGGGATGTCGTCGAGTGTCTCTTCCAACTCCAGGGCTAGTGCCTTTCCCTGTACTTCGAACCGCTCTTTTCTTCTGTTCCTCTTGTATTGTATTTGTGTGCTGTCATTTTGCTTAATGATGGTTCCAAACTCATCGAAAGTTACCTGTGCACCATTCTTGATCAAGCCTTGTACTGATAATAAATTAGAATTAAGTTTCGGCACGTAGAGCACATCCAATAGCTGAATGGTTACATTGCCAACCCGAAGGGAGGCGTCTCCTATGGCCTTCACTTGAAGCCTTTCATTTCCAGCCATACAGATCTGACTGTCCTTGCACGTCGAGGTGAGCAGCATTCTTTCATCATTCACCATGTGGTGCATCACACCCGAATCAACGATCCAGGTGTCCGATGTTGGTTGCTCATCCCCGCCGATCGCTAGGAGGGTGCACCCGAGTTCCTACCGACTCGCTTCTTGTGCTGGATTGGTGGTGGGTCCGTCCCTACTCGGTGCGGGGTTATTGTTGGTGTTTGTGCAGTTCTGAGCAATGTGATTAGGTCCTCCACAAGCATAGCACTTTGGGGGGGCCGAGGGGTTGCGAGGATTGCGCCTGCCCCTGGGTCCTTGCTCCGCCTGGTTGGTGCTCCCCTGTTCCGTGCTTGTGGCAACCCTTGCTGCTCCTCTAATACGGCCAGTGACCTCACCATCCTGCTGTTTCTTGGCAAGTGCGTGGTAGGCTTCATCATACTTACAGTCTGGTCTGGCCATCTTCAGTGCGTCGACGGCGTTGGCATAGAACCAATCTTGGGCCGTGCAGCAATAGAGAGTTGACTTCTTGAGGTCCTCGTCGAAACGCTTTCCCAGGCATGCTGCATTGTTCCAGATCGAATCGAGTTCCTTGCCTAGCCTGACAACGTCTCAATTGTGCAAGTGCACTGTGTGAATACGATCCTGCAGTCCTGCTCGCTTTACAGCGTCGTTCAGTGTTAGTGCCTTCTTGAGTTTGGCATAGAGTGTGCTGCCGAGCTGGACTTCTTCATCCGCTCCCCTGATGGTGTAGGTGTCGATACGGCTGTCTGGGCTGTTGTCGCAGCAGGCGTGGATGAGACCCACGAGGGCTTTATCCAAGTCTTCGTCGTATTCCTCGTTTCCAGGCACCACTGTGCCATACAGTATCTCCTTCGCATTATGTACTCTTTGGAGGCAGTCGATGAAGGTAGGTTCCCAAGTGTGCCAGTTGCTGTCACTGAGCTTTTTGATGTGCGCAATGGCGCTCGACACCTCCTTGGGGATCTTCTCGGTCTCCCTGCGCGGGGTCTGGTTGCTAATGCTGATGAGGCCCATAGCTTGCATGATCGCTTCCTCGGCCATTAGTGCTGGGTTCGCCAGCTGGAGGATCCTGACTACCTGCGTGAGCCATCCTTCCTCCTGTCCATTGCTTGTGGTTGCTTGATCATCATCGCCCCTTCCCGTCTGTCCAGCTCTTGTCAATGGTGGCATTGCATTGAGTATCAGACTCTTAATCAGTTGAAGTCATTTGTCAGTAGTTGGAGTTGAGGCGTTTTGTTGATGATGATAAGAGAGAGAGAGCGAGAGAGCGAGGAGTCTATATATATACAAAAGAAGAGTGGCAGAGAGCCGCATTGACTGTGGAACATAACAAAGCATTTGTCTTGAGTAGGTTGTGACACATGTGGTCCGTGCTAAGATGCTCAGGCCTTTTACTCGGCTGTAAGCACTACCTTCACTGTCTCTACGCTTTGTGTAGCTTTATCTACTTCAACTGATTTGAGTCCAGAAACTCCTAAGTCCCCCTCTCCATTTTAAAGAACAGGGGGTATCAATTTTCGAGTGTTTTTAGAAACACGTGTTTCTCGATTTTGACGACTTTTAGTTGAGAATTTTGGTGCTTAGTTTCTCATGAGTCATTTTTGAGTGCTATTTACATAAGCATATATATACATGCATACTTAGCAGTTACCTTCAGCCTGTGCCCATCTATGACTAGTTCACCCCTCACATCGCTCCTAAGTTGTCATGGTAATGCCTATGCATCCCACATGTGTAGCCACTGATGTGTGGTTTCGTATCATCAATGGTTATTTGCCCTCCATGGACCCTGTAGGCTCTGTTCAGTTCCGATGCATCTCCAACTATAGTTACATTTCCCTCAACTGTCTCCCTCAGTGGGGAAGTGGGGAACTGCTGAGCCACTGTACCTTGTTGTGGTGTCAGTCCCAACCCCTGCCATGCACATCGTAATACCTCCATGCCTACTGGCTTGGTAAAGATGTTGGCCAAGTTGCCCTTGGTGCCAATATATTTGATTTTGACATTTCCATCTTGCACGTTATCTCTGATAAAGTGGTACTTGGTGTTGATATGCTTCAACTTCCAATGTTGTGCTGGATCCTTACTAACCTGAATGGTGCCTGTGTTGCCTGAAAAGATTGTGGGGGTGCCAACATCAATTCCAATAGCTTTGAAGAGATGCCTGAAGAAAAGTATTTCTCATGCGGCTTCGGTTGCTGCCACAAACTCTGCTTCCACCGCCGACAAAGCAGTGCAGCACTGTAGTGCTGACTGTCAGGGGTTTCGCGCCTGAAACCCAGGTCGGTCTGTCGAGATACTCGGTGACTATCAAACTGTGCGACAGCTATTGTCTCGGTATCAGTGACTATCAAGTTGCACAGTGACAGCAGGTGGCGTTCGTTGTATATACTATTGTAGGTTTTGGCCGACCTCTGTGGACACTCCATTCAGGGGTAGCTTGGCACAATCAATATCAATGCTATGATGACACCAAGGTCTGGTGTGAGTGTTGATGATGATGAGGTTGATGATGTTGGTGATAAGGTTGGTGAGTGTTGATGATAATGAGGTTGAAGGTGTTGGTGATAAGGTTGGTGGCATCAACACGAGTGTCCAGTGTGTTGACTTTGACACTTGAAGTGATCCCCAGACTGCAGTGGACTACTGCCTTCGGTTCTTTCTATATCTGGACTGCTAACCTGCTATGGGGCACCTACGGACATCAGGTAGTGGTGATACAACACACACACTATGATGAGGAGCAACCTTGATAGATTGCTGCTATGCTGACTGTAACTAATGAGTACTTGTGTTTCTAAAGTATTGACTAGTTGTATGGTGAGTAGAGTGGATGAGGATCCACTCAACCTATGATGATGAGAAAGCATGGTTATATACCTCTTCACAGCATCACCAGCGATGCTGCTCCTGCTCTCTCTCCAGAGAGTACCTTCTTCATCGAGTACTGCTCAGGGGCCTCTCCTGCTTGGCACCCCTGTGCCTCTTGAGTGGTGTCGACTCCTTTGACACTGCTCCTCCTCCTCATGACCTGGTGTCGACTCCTTCGACACTGCTCCTTCTCCTTTGATCAGTGACAGTTCCTTTGGCTCTTGTCTCTCGAGCCCCTGAGTGGTAACCATCTGCATGCTCCTTGAGCTTGGTCCTCTTTGTGGCTGTGCCTGCTCCTTGAGCTTGGTCCTCCTCGTGGCTGTGCTTGGCCCTCCTTTGCATGTGAGTCTGTAGGAGTCCATGGTCTCCATGGAGACTGCACTACGACCATGCTCTCTACTGGTATCGACTAGATCTTCGATACCTGTGCTCCTTCCATATGAACCAGTGACCCTCCTGCTCTTGAGCATCCAGGCCCATGACACTGTGCTGCTAGGGAGTCGCTGTGAACTTCCCATCTTTTCTGGCATCGGTTGGTCTTGCTCTTAACCATGCTTCTGTCATGTTGGAGGATTGTAGCTCCAGATTCTTCAAACATCACTCGTGCACCATCTTCAGTTAATGCTGGGACAGACAATAGGTTCTTGCTAAGGTTGGGAATGTAAAGTACATCTGTGAGGGGTATTTTGACATTTCCAACTTGCAAGGTCGCATCTCCTATTGCTTGTACTCGCAACTGTTCATGCCCAGCAGTATCTATGGATCCTTTCTTTGGCATTGGAGCAATGAGCTTATCCTCATCACATACCATGTGATGTGTAGCTCCAGAGTCGAGGATCCATGTACTGCCTTGATTATGGTTGCCAGTGTTGCTTATGAAAAGGGTGCACCTGAATTCCTATCCCTGCTGAGTAGAAGTTCGCTCCTGGCTGCTGATGCAATTGATTGCAATGTGCCCAGGTTGCCTGCATTTGTAACACTTAGCCGGCTTGTTAGGGTTTGTGGGATCACATCTGCCTCTGTTGTAGCCTTCTTGGTTTAGGATTTGGCTAGGTCCGCTGGCTTGGTTGGTTATATTCTTGTTGCTGGTGAGTCTGGTTGCAGCTTGGATACAGCCAGAAAGTTCAGCTTCTTGATGTTTCTTGGTGAGTGCATGGTAGGCATATTCATAGCTGCAGCCTGGCTGTGCAGCTTTAAGGGAGTCTACTGTCTGAGTATAGAGCCAGTCATCTTTGACACAATGGTACAAGATGGACTTCTTGAGCTTTTCATCCATGTGACTGCCCAGCCTCGCAGCATCATTCCAAATTTGATCTAGTTCCTTTCCAAGGTTGATGACATTTTGGTGTACTAGCTTGATCTCATGCACTCGGTCATGAATTGCAGACAGTTTGACTTTGTCATTGATCATGAGCACTGCTTTGAGTTTCTTATACAGTGTGGAGCCAAGTTGTTCCTCTTTGCCTTGTTCTCGAATGGTGTATGTATGAATACTGCTCTCAGGACTGTGGTTGCATGATGACAGGATGAGGCCTAACAGGTGACTGTTTAGTTCTTCATCATAGTCTGTGTGGTTGCTAGATATTTCCCCAGTAAGGATCTGCTTTGCATTCTTGATGGGCCATATGCAGTCCATAAACATGGGCTCCCAGATGGCCCAGTTGTTCTTGTTGAGCTTGATGATCTGTGATACAATGCTGTGTATTGACTTAGGAATCTTTTCGACTTGGCTGGTATTTGGTTGGAGGTTCATCATAGAGAAGGCACACTCCAAGATTTGGTCTTCATTCCAGTTGGTGTGAACCTCTCTAATCATTTGCATGGTGCATTCAAGCAGAGCTATGCTGTCTACTCTGGGTGGCATCTTGATGGCAAAGTGCCTTGAAGCTGCTGAGCTTCAGACTCTTAATCAGTTGAGAATTTTGGTGCTTAGTTTCTCATGAGTCATTTTTGAGTGCTATTTACATAAGCATATATATACATGCATACTTAGCAGTTACCTTCAGCCTGTGCCCATCTATGACTAGTTCACCCCTCACATCGCTCCTAAGTTGTCATGGTAACACCTATGCATCCCACATGCATAGCCACCAATGTGTGGTTTCGTATCATCAATGGTTATTTGCCCTCTGCAGACCCCATAGGCTCTGTTCGGTTCCAACACATCTCCAACTATAGTTATGTTTCCCTCAACTCTTTTTCCCATTTTTGAACACCCCTTTTAAGGATCCAAAAAACACATGTTTCTAAAAACACATCTGCAGCAAATGTGACATTTGGTTTGTTTTAACACATATGTTATTAATACTGAAGCTTGTCAGTATCATGTTAGCATGTGCTTCACACTGTTACAGACAGTCATAGTCAATCAAGTCTTTTGTGGAAACATTTCACTAAGGATGAAAATGAACAGGTGCTAGGGATGTGAAGGTGTTGACAATTGGTGACTTTGCCTGGACAACTGGCCCCATGCCAACATTGCATTGTAGTCCTCGGCTGTCCTCTTGTGGTGCCTGGAGCATGTGGTTGTGTCCTCCTGCTGTTGGCCAGTGGAAGTGAACAGCACCTGAAACATTTGCTCTTGAAGATCATGTGCCAATGAGCTGTGAAGTCATGTCAAGGCAGGCTGCATCATGCTTTGTGTACTTGCCATGCTCTCCTCCTCATACTGAGCTTGATTTGTCTGCTGTTGACTCTGCATATTCCCACTCTGGCTCGGGTCGGTGCTGAGAGTCTGAACAACATCATGGACTACTTCCTCAGAGAAGGATGGGCAAAGGAGTTCAGCAACCATGTCTGGACCATCATATTGGCTTGCAAATGTATGGGCAACAATGCATGCTTGGATAGTCCTTGCTGCTGTCATATGATCCTTGACATGATACATGTTCCCTCTGTACCTGTTCAGGCACTGAAATCGATTCTTGAGGTAGGCAATGGCATGTTCAACCTGGACCTGGACTTTTGAGAGAGAGTGGTTGAAGAAATGCAGGTCATGGCTTTTCTCAGCAGCTATATGTGAGAAAGGTCCAACTGTGAAGGCAGAGTGACCATACCCTCCATCAACCCAGATAAACTCACCATTGTCCAAGTACAATCAAGGTTTCTTGAGGATGTTTCTGCCTGAAGTCCAAACCTTTGAGTCTTGGACACTACCAGGCTGTCCAAGAACTGACTCCACAATGCAAAGAGAATGAGGTAGGATGACCAGGGCAATGTTCATGCTGTAAAAGCCCTTGTAGCTAAAGTGCTCCTGGCTCATCATCCCTGGCTTCCATGCAAGCAGTACATGAGTACCATCAACCACAAGCCAGCCTTTTCCCCATTCCTCTACTCCAGTAGTCCTTTGCACCCATGCAGAAGCACTTTGCCTCTCTGCTTCCAATGCAAATTGCATAACCTCCTTGTTGAGTTCGAGAAGTCTGCAGACAGTCTGTTTGGTCCAGCCTATCACAGTTCCAATGCTGTAGCCACATTGCAGGGAAACATCATGCTCTCTGGCTCCATTTCCTGATCACCCAAGCCAGTAAAGAGCCACTGACAGGATTTCTCTGCATCATTCAATTGAGACCTGACCTGAGTTAAATGATTTCATTTGTTGAAGGCATTTCACCAGCTCCTCAAAAGCCAAAGGTGTCATTTGTACCAAGCCTTGGAAAAGGGCTGGCTTTGTCATGGCATATCAGTCCAGGAGCTTGATTAGCTTTTCAGAGTGGCCCTGTGTGTGAATCCATGAGACTGAGTATTGCTGCTGGGCAATGAGGGCATACATGCAAATGAGGCCTGCCGAAAGAGGTGTTGGGCCATTGTCAGTGTCAGAGCTGCTTGTCAGGGGTCTCGCGCCTGAAACCCAGGTCGGTCTGTCGAGATACTTGGTGACTATCAAACTGTGCAACAGCTATTGTCTCGGTATCAGTCTCGATGAGCTAGTTGCTCGGCAACTATCAAGTTGTGCGATGACAGCAGGTGGCATTCGTTGTATATACTATCATAGGTTTCAGCTGACCTCTGTGGACACTCCGTTCAGGGGTAGCTTGGCATGATCAATATCAATACATAGGTTGTGATGACACCAAGGTCTGGTGTGAGTGTTGATGATGATGAGCTTGATGGTGTTGGTGATAAGGTTGGTGAGTGTTGATGATAAGGTTGGTGGCATCAACACGAGTGTCCAGTGTGTTGACTGATGCTTGAAGTGATCCCCAGACCGCAGTGGACTACTGCCTTTGGTTCTATCTTAATCCGGACCGCTGGTTTGCTATGAACCGCCTTCAGACATCAGGTAGTGGTGATACAACACACACACTACAAGGAGGAGCAACCTTGTGTCACAGGGACGGCTGGCCTGCACAAGAGAGTGCGCCAAATGATCAGCGGCAGTTATGGTAATGTCGCGTAATGGAGCAGTATATGAAGGGTGCACAGAAGATCAACATATGAAGGGTGCACCAGATTGTTCAGAGCCAAAAACCATCGGGGATCAATGAGATTAATCAGGTTGGCAGTGCACATGAATTATGAGATCAATTGAACCCCAGGAATCCAGATCAATCTCATGGGATCAGTCAGAGTCAGTCAGATCAGCATGCTTCAACTAGTTGGCCGATCCAAACAAGTATTCAGAGCTGTGCTGACATCAGAGTCAGTCGGATCAGCACGCTTCAACTAGTCAGCCGATCTGAACAAGTATTCGGAGCTGTGCCGACATCGGAGTCAGTTGGATCAGCATGCTTCAACTAGTCGGCCGATCTGAACAAGTATTTGGAGCTGTGCCGACATGACCACATGACCAAGGGGTCGGGTCACAAGGTTCAACAAGTGACTAAAGGGGTTTCACAAGACAAGTCGAGACAGAACTGTGCTGACATGACCACATGACCAGGGGGTATGGTCATGAGGTTCAAAGGGGTTTCACAAGATAAAGTCAAAAGGGAGCTGTGTTGAAAGGGGGCATCACACATCAGGCAGAAGGAGAGCATGAAGGTGAGAGGGCAGTGTTGCATAACCCTTATGCCGAGCAAAAGGTAGGAGCACAGTATCAAAGGGGTTGGTGCCAGCAGGACAAGGCAGTGCCTAACAGGGGACAAAGGCCCCTCAAGAGGAGCAGGATAGGTGTCGAGGGAAAACACCAACCAGATGTATAAATACTCTCATTCTACCATAGCATATGAGTGGATCAGTATCCACTCTGACAAACTTAACTTTACTTACTCTATACTTACTTGGTTACATCTCATCGCAATAGCAGTGCTCTTGCAATGACTCTCAACATGTGTGTTGTATCACTGTTAGTCGACAACTGTAGGCAGTGTTCTTCACACTAGCAGTCCAGTTCATTACTGTAGGTGGTGTTCTTCAATACCTGTGGTCCAGTCCCTTGCTGTAGGCAGTGTTGCTCGACACCAGCAGTCCAGTCGGTTATTGTAGGCAGTGTTTCACACCAGCAGTCCAGTAACTCCTGTCCTCTGTAGGTGATTAGCATATCATGGTCCAGACAACGTCCAAGAGCAATATCAACAGTACTACAAACACTCATACTGTAGGGGGGGGTGTATCACCCACTCACCAACAAACAACGTCTGTGCCATGCAACCTCTGAACGGAGTGTTCAAGGCAGTCAGTCATGACTTACTAGGCAACGACGCTTGGTTACATTTAGGCAAATCATATCGAGTAGACCTTACTCAATCAACCTCAGTTAGTCTCTGGCGCGCGATCGCTTACACCTTGATAGATTGCTACTATGCTGACTGGAACTAATATATACTTATGCTGAAGTGATAACTAGTTATGGTGTGTGTAGAGTGGATGAGGATCCACTCGACCTTTGATGATGAGAAAGTATGGTTATATACCTCTTCACAGCATTGCCAGCGACGCTGCTCCTGCTCTCTCTCCAGAGAGTACCTTCTTCATCAAGTACTGAACAGGGGACCTCTCTAGCACCACTCCTGTCCTCCTTGAGCTATCTGCACCCCTGTGCCTCTTGAGCTATGTCGACTCCTTCGACACTGCTCCTCCTCCTTGCTATCCTGCTTGCTTGGCACCCCTGTGCCTCCTGAGTGGTGTTGACTCCTTTGACACTGCTCCTCCTCCTCAGGACCTGCTTTCCGGTTTCCTATACACTGCTCCTTCTCCTTTGACTGGTGACAGTTCCTTTGACTCTTGTCTCTTGAGCCCCTGAGTGGTAACTGTCTGCATGCTCCTTGAGCTTGGTCCTCTTCATGGCTGTGCCTGGCCCTCCTCGCATATGGGCCTGGTCCTCCTTTGCATGTGAGTCCATAGGAGTCCATGGTCTCCATGGAGACTGCACTACGACCATGCTCTCTACTGGTATCGACTAGATCTCCGATACCTGTGCTCCTTCCATATGAACCAGTGACCCTCCTGCTTCTTGAGCATTCAGGCCCATGACACTGCTATCATAATCATCCATATCAAAGTCCAGGTTTTGCAACTCTTCTGCATACTGATCAAGTTCAGTGGGCAATGATACTTCCAGAGTTTGAATGATGCTATTGAGCTGGTCCTGTTTTGTGCTGAAGTGCACCATGGTGTAGAGGACCATGAGGAAGGGAAGGGGGTTATGGTTGGAATGGAAGGTGAAGGTGATGGTGTCAGTGAAGAAGGAAGAAGGAAGAGAGAGGAGCAAGAAAGATGGTGCAAAGCATTGCACAAAGCATTGTGCACATAGAGTGCTGCACACACCTTTGAAAAGTGTGCATGTTTGCAGATGGATGTGCATCTGCTTGCTTCACCTCCTCAACTTGACTACTTCATCACACTGGTGTGCCATGTCATTCATCAACAAAGTATTTGAAGCTGGAAGCTGGGATGTTTCTCTTCCTGCTTCTCCAACTCCCCCATCTGACACAGAGCAAGAACAAGGTGCACCTCCTGTGCTTTCTCCTGTCACTTCCCCAATCAATTGGATGTCTGGTACACCTTCCACCCAATCCACCAGGCCTGCCAACAATGGGGCAAAGAAGAACTTTGTCTGGCAGGCTCAGGACATCAAGTGCCTTGTAGACACAATCTACATCAATGAGTCATATCAGTGCACAATTCTCCCTTCTCATCACAACAAAGCCAATGAGCCTGCCAACAAGCTTTGCAAGGATACAGTCTATCATGACCTCAGCAGGTTGGTCTTCCCTGCCAGGTCTGTTGATCCCTCTCACATCAAGTTCAAGGTATGCTGGCTTCAAGAAACATACCATCAGGAGAAGAAAGCTCTCTTGCTTACAGGAGCTGGAACACTGCTGAAGGACATGGATGCAATGAATCCTGTAAGTACTTTAAGACCATTGGTTATATTACTTGTAAATATGTACTTGCTGACACTTTCTCTCTACAGTCTTACATGTCTTGGGTTGCTCTCTCAGCCAAGTATCCTTGGTTTGAGAAGATGCACAAGATGATGAACAAATGTGTGTTGGCAGGGCCAGCCATCCTCCTCACAACACCTAGCCTGGATGCTACTGGCAATGAGGATTCTGATCATGTGCTCCCTGGTGGTGATCCCATGGAGGAATTCAGCAATGCAGACCTCGACCATGCAGTGCATGCCTGGAACCTACCCCCAATCCATGACCTGGTGGATGCTGCTCCCAGTAATGCTGGAGATTGCACTGATTTTGACATCTCAACACCACCCCTGCATCCCATCCAATTGGATGCCCTGGTCTCAAGTCTGTCGACATTCTCAAACTGGGCCTCATCTTCACAAGCAAATGGCTACAAGCACAAGTGTAACAATGTTGAACAGAAGTGGGATTCCCTTGCAGAGGCTTTCTATCAATCTTCAATAGAAAGCCTATCAATTTGCCTCAAGCTTGTGCAGGAGCACACCAAGCAAGAAGCAGAGTGCACCAAGCAGGAAGAATTGCGGTTACAGCATGAGTGTGAGGAAAGGGAGTGAGAAGAACGTGTTCACTTGGAGGAATGCAATGTATTCATTGAAATGATGCATATGATGGTCACTCAGCAATGAGGAGGACCATTGCCTTGACATCCAGTCTTGGCAATCAACAATTGCCAAGACCACGATGCTCTAGACTGTGATGGTCAGGAAAAGCATCTTCTCAGTACCATCTCACTGCACTTGTCTTCATGAAATGCACTTTGTTTCTGGTACTGCTTCTTTGTGCAATGAATGCTGAATGTTCTTGAGACCAAACATATATGTCACAGGTGTGTTCATATGATGTGAAGATTTATCATGCAAATGGACATCATTTTGGAGAGTGACAAAAAAAGTGAGTCCATTTTATGCTGAAAATGACGATCCAATGAGACGGTAAAAGAACGACACGGAGCCGATCTGATCGAAGATCAGATAGGGCTGATCTGGTTGAGCTACCGATTCGATCGTAGATTAGGTCAAGTAGATCTCAGGAGAAATCAGGTGCAACACAGTCCCACTCATTGTCATGATAGACCATGAAGTAGTAGTACCCCCACATCAGGCAAGTGCCACTGACATGTATATATAACTCACAGAGAGCACTAGGCTCTCACCACATTCCCCAAGTCAATTGAGTATATTTGTTTCTGTCTATAAACTAGCAGTGACATCGTACTTAGACTCTCCCCGATTGCCAGTATCGGGACCTAAATGACATTTATATTCAACAGGTTATGAGCCCAATCTGATAGCCTCCTTCGCACTATCAGCAACACCAATGAAAAGTATCCCCTTCAATATGTCTAATCCAATCTACTTGGACTATGACGACTTTGTTGAAACAATCCATGATCTCCTACCACGTCTGCCGAAGATCCTCCAAAACAGGTTCAATCGAGAGATAGTGAATGAAACCTATGGTACCCCTACTGCCCCAAAAGATGGCACACTACTGAAGTATGCTATGGGGGAAGGCAATGAGGAACAAACCATCTCACCTCTATCCATCCTAATCGAATGTGTTAGTAGCCTTTACAAAGCAATGCACAACCTCGGCCCATTCGCTAGCCGAATTGAACTTGGTAAAGGGATGCGAGCTAGAGTGGTCCTCTTCCTCGCCAATGAGGAGTGGGATGTGAACTGTATACTTGACCTCAAGATCGAGGGTCTGGTCGAAGCTGCCTGGAATATTGAACGACACTACCACCCTGTTAAGAGTGAAGCGCCAACATCAGCTAGAGGCAACACTCCCACTCTAGACTTAAATGTCACCAGCTGTCATCTCGTTGGGTATGAAGCTACGCCAGGGCCTACTCCAGAGCTTAATGCCATCATAAACCATCACCTCAAGGTACTTTCGGGCCTCAATGACAGAATGAAGTGGGACAAACGAGACCTCCTCGATCCGAGGGAAGTCTCCGTGCATGTTTGGCAATGCAAGATATTCACCTTGTTGTCGGTTGTCCCTTTCACACGAAATGTTCTCAACCGAAAGGTGGTGACTTTTGAGGATGCTGATTCTATACTTAGCTCAATCATCATGCATAGCTTCTCAAATAAGTTGTGCACAGAATACTTTGCCGAATATGGCGATCGACCAATACCGATCGCTGTAGATCTATTCGAATGGGCACTAAACAAGTGTAAAGCATACTCCACCGCTAAAGAATACGAGCTCTGCAGCGCCACCTATGGGTTATGTTGGGACCAGATTGGAAGTCATGCTTATGACTTCCTAACCAAATGGGAAGCCCATGTGTCGGAGCTTCATACATACCTACAGGAACCTTGGACACTGGATTATCACTACAGGACACTCAAGCACGCCCTACCTTCAGACAAGAATGCACTATTTAACTCAGTGTTTATATTGCATGAGAAACTCAATGGAAAGGATCAAACAGCCGAAAGTGTAGCTGACATCCTAAGTCAGTGCTATGAGCTTGCCGCTGAGAGTGCGCCTGTGCATCTATCCCCTATAGCCAAGGTGTCTGAACTTACTGCATTGCGAGCAGCTACATTGATTAACTGCTGGGCTTGCGGGGACCTTGGCCACGTGGCTAATAGATGCCCAGATGCCGAAGCCCATGCATGATGGAAGCAAGAAAGGATCAAAGTGACACCCAAAGGCCATGCAAACACCTGCATTGTGTTGCCTATGGAAGGGAACCGGGAAGACTAGGATGCAGCACTGGTCTTGGCTTTCTTTACCGAAGTTAAACCGGCACCCATTAACCTACCTCCCTGGTTCGTTCCCTTTGTATTTGACTCAGGAGCATCCTGCGTCATGGTCAACTCTTCTTGACACGGGAAAGGTTGGAGGGATATGGAGGGCTCAGTCAGCATCACTACTGCTGATAGAGGACAACTGGTTGCCACCAAGATGGGGGGCACAGTCAGCCTTCTGAGCTTCAGCCCTCAGAAGCGGCAATGGGAACAAATGATCTATAAAGACTGTCTGCTTGTACCTGGCCTTGTGACAAACCTTATCGGGATGAAGTCGGTAACGCATGCACGAGGAAAAGTTACCTTTGAGAAAGAGGTCATAACGGTACAGGATAAGGACGGACATGCAATTGGTGTACCAACAAGTGGGGATGGCTACCCTGCCGTCGCCATGATGATATGGGACGACAGCATGCCCGAGCCCTCTGTCTCCCTTGCTTTCACATCCAGGATGGTGAATGTGACCCACTCCTATGGGTCCTGCAATAAAGCAGATCTCTGGCACCAGCGATTGGGTCATGCCAGTCATGACGCCATCATGCGGACATGCACAGTGACCCTCTTGCACGATATCCCATTGTTTACCACCACCAAGACTGGAACTCTATGTGATGTATGTGTGTGTAGCAAAGCCACAGCAAAGAATACTGCTCACCCCAGGCGATTAGAAACACCACTCAAGCTGGTTTCGATGGATGTGATGGGACCACTTCGTGGTAATGAGAAGTTTGTATACATGCTCATCATACACGATGCATATTCAGGCATGATCTGGGTATGGGGTTTGACAAACAAAAAGGAGGCATCTCAAGAAGCCGCATGGTGGCTAGCGGAAATGCATGTCGCCATGCATAGGAAACCATCAGAGGTCATCATTGACTATGGAACCAAGGAAGTCAGGGTTGACCAAGGCAAGCTATGGTCAAACGCCTTTCGAGACGTCTGCTCATCAACAGGTGTGAAGATAACCGCTTCACCCACCCAACATCATATGGACAATGCCTTCGCTGAACAGGCCATCCAGACCGTTCAGAAGATTGCACATAGTCTACTGTATGACTCAGGAATGAATGAGCGCTGGTGGCCCCATGCTGTTGCACAGGCGGCGTTCATCCACAACAGACTAGCAGGCAGTACTCATGGCAATGTGACTCCATATGAGCTATTCTACACAAAACGCCCGGAACTACACCACATACGTCGTTTCAGATGCGTGGCATATGTCGTACTCAGAGGGAGCACTTGCTTGACATGGCTCCAAGACCATGCGGTCATGAGCAAACATCTCCATCCACATGCCCTCTGGGGGAGATACTTGGGTTTCTCAGATGCACCTCATGCAATCAAAGGCCATAAGGTTTGGCTACCTGAGCTTGACCATGTCGTCGTTACCAGGGACATCCATTTCTCGGAACTGGAACCATCAGACACTGTCGCCCCCCCCCCCCCCACACACACCTATCTTCGTCAGCAACCATGATCTCCTGCGATCTTACACCTGGCTCTCTCCTGATCCCACATCAGATGAGACAGAATCGGATGATGTCGTACCTTCCTCACTGCAGCCATACTCTCATCAACGACACTTGGCAACTCATTCGGAACCCCCAAGCTTCAATCACGAGTGGGATCGCATGATGACAGCCATCAAAGAGGCCGGGGAGATCGTCATTGACCTTGATGCTATTGCTGCCAATCTGAGAGCAGACCTGGAGGTGACGATGTCCAAGGGGGGGAAACACTTACTGGACCTCACAAGCACTCTCAATGGCACATCACTGCTCAAAACCCCTCACAGTGATGCTATGGCAGACGTGTATGACGACGTCTCCATGCTCGAGACACCTCGCACAGAGTCGCCCGGTCCTGTCAGCCACATGGCCTTCGCCACAGCATGCTCTGACACACCGGCACCCACCATCAGCGATCACCACTTAGATCGTATGGTATTTGCGACCACCGTGATGACCAGCACTGCCCTCATTGCAAGTGGACAGCAGATACACAGTGCGGATGGCATCCTGCTGGAACCACTCTCCCTCAATGAAGCTAAGACTCACGACAACTGGTACAAATGGCAGGAAGCCATGGTCAGCGAGATGGACAGCATGCACAAGATGAACATCTTTGAGCTAGTTGACATTCCCAAGAGCGGCAAGTTAATCGGCATTCGATGGGTTTACAAACTCAAGCTTGATGCACAATGACAAGCGACAAGGTACAAAGCGCGACTCGTTGCACAAGGATACACTCAACGCCAGGGTCTGGACTATGATCAGACATTCAGCCTGGTCATCCATCTGCAAACAGTCAGGATACTGCTTGCCATTGCACGACGATAAGGTTTACATGCAATACAACTCGATGTAAGCACTGCATTTCTGAATGGAAAGATTGACAAAGACATGCATGTCTGGATACCTCCAACATTTGAAGTAAAAGAGACTGAAGGAAAATGCTATAAGTTAAAGAAAGCCCTTTATGGTCTTAAGCAAGCCAGACGACTGTGGCATGCAGCACTGGATGAACAACTACAAGCATTCAGTTTCAGATGATGTAGAGCAGAACCATGCATGTATACACGTGGCTCAAAGGATGCAATGATACTCCTAGCCATATATGTAGATGATCTACTTGTCATCGGAGCAACTGTTTCACGAGTACAGTCTGTATGTCAACAACTCTCGAGCATGTTCAGCATCACTGATCAAGGAAATGTATCTCACATTATCGGGCTGAATGTAAGCTACAATCAAGAAGCTTGCACGCTCTCCATCGATCAGAGCAGATATGTCGAGGGTGTCATAGCAAAGTTTGGAATGGACCAGGCTTGGACAGCCTCGACACTGGTGATGGAGAGCATCAACTCCCTCAAACCACGAGGAGGAAGCATAGCAAGTGCTGAAGAGACTCGTTACTATGCCTCACTTGTAGGATCACTGCTGTGGATAGCTCAGGGCACAAGGCCAGATATCGCATTTGCAGTTGGTAGATGTGCACAGCTCGTAGCAAACCCATCCAGAGAACATCTTGCGGCTGCTAAGCGCATGTTAAGATACCTGAAAGGGACGATAGGGATTGGCCTCTCAACAAGAACATTGGGCAGTGGACCATTACTCTCAGGATGGGCAGACAGTGATTGGGCAGGATCACATGACTGTAGAAGGTCGACAACTGGTTACATTTTCACAATTGACGGTTTCACATGCAGCTGGGCCTCACAACTACAACAGATGGTGGCAAACAGCTCGGTAGAGGCCGAATACGTAGCATTGGCGACAGCGGCCAGAGAGCTCTTATGGGCCACAATGTTCCTGCGAGAACTGGATCAACCAGTGTTGAAGATGACAGGAATACATGTCAGTATCGGAACATCGAATATCTATTCCCATGATGGAGAGCTTACCTTCGATCAAGATGTACCAGTCCTACATAGTGATTCATCAGGCACTCGGGTTATAGCAAATGACCCTCAACACTTCAAGAGGACAAAGCATATTGACATAGCTCACTTCTTCCTGCATGACGAGATCACGAACAAACGACTTGTGATTGCTCCTGTTCAGAGTTGTGAAAACTTGGCTGATGTCTTGATGAAGCCACTCACCACGCCAATGCTCACACACATTTGATGACTACTTGGATTGACCATTTCATTGGAGAATGTTGGATCAAGGGGGGGTGCTGAAAATGATGATCCAATGAGACGGTAAAAGAACGACATGGAGCCGATCTGATCGAAGATCAGATAGGGCTGATCTGGTTGAGCTACCGATTCGATCATAGATTAGGTCAAGTAGATCTCAGGAGAAATCAGGTGCAACACAGTCCCACTCATTGTCATGATAGACCATGAAGTAGTAGTACCCCCACATCAGGCAAGTGCCACTGACATGTATATATAACTCACAGAGAGCACTAGGCTCTCACCACATTCCCCAAGTCAATTGAGTATATTTGTTTCTGTCTATAAACTAGCAGTGACATCGTACTTAGACTCTCCCCGATTGCCAGTATCGGGACCTAAACGACGTTTATATTCAACATTTTATTGGGTCTGGAGGCATGTTTTCAGAAACATGTGTTTTTTCAACTTTGGGTGAGCTTATGTAAGGTTTTTGTGCGAAATAAAAACTCGTCAAAATCGAGAAACACGTGTTTCTAAAAACACTCGAAAATTGATACCCCCTAACTGCAAAATTTTCTCTTCAACTTCAACTGGGACTGACTGCAAAAATTTTCAATGGGTGGGATTCCTACGTTGTCGCGTCTCCCTCAACTTTTCCTCAGCCTTTTCTGTGGAAATCTTCGGCTAATTTCGCCCCACCACCGAGCTCCGGTTTTTTTTTTTTTTTTTTTTTTTCTTTCTTTTTTTTTTTTTTTTTTTTCGTTCCAGAAGAAAGGGCCCCAAGCTCTTCCACACTCCACCTCTTCCATCGTCGTCTATTCCACCACTCGGGGCATTCGTTATGCTCTCCAGAAAGTCACTCGCACTAGCCAGCTCATCCCGGCTGGCAGTAGTGGCTTCTCTCAGCAGATCCACCTCTGTCATTCGCACTCTTTCTTCCACCTCCACTCTTGCGTCAAGTAGAAGTGGCGCAGACGGACCATACAACCCAAACCGCAACAACAGCAATAACGACCGACCCGATTATCGTCGGCCTCGGAGAGAGGAAGGAGGTGCATCAACACCATCGAGACAAAGATTAGGAGAGTCGAGCGGTGGGAACACTGTAAGCCAGTACAGTCGCAATCAGCGCTTTGCGCCTGATGGTACGAGGAAACGACTTCCGCATCCGAATGCAAAGCCCAGGTCGAGTCAGAATAGGAATGATCAACGTGGACCTAGGCCGAAAGATTGGACGCTGAGGAACAATGAGAGGCGGAACGAGGAGTCTGCTTCGCTCAAGTTTGGAGCATCTCCGTTGGATGGCGCTGGTGGATCTTCCGCGGCGGCTGCTGCCAGAAGAGATTCAACTGTGTCCAGGCTAAGAGCGAGGAATGCTACGCCAGCTAAGGAGGATGGCGATGACGGTGAGGTATCTCGTGCTGGAAGTGCAGAAAGGTTCGATGAAGCGAGTGTCGCGGATGGGGACACTCCAGCATCGACAAGAGGCGGGTTTGAAGGGTTCTTAGAAGTCGGCAAAACCGGCATCGAAAAGTCAGATCGACACCATACAGCAAAGCAAAAGAAGAAAGAAGGTCGAGGATCGTTGCTAGAGACCGAAGACGAATACGAGCGTCGCCCACGTCGAGATGCAGGGTCTTCATCCAACCGCAACTCCCGCCATTCTTCTCGTCCCTCTTCCGCAAGTGCCGATTTGGACGCTCTTGCACTTGGTTCGGACCTCAAACCCATCACCAAGCCCAAACTTTTGCCCAAAGTGGAACGCAATGTCTTCCTCCCCACCGTGATATCGGTCAACATGCTTGCCGGTCAGATGGAGAAGAAGTTGCGCGTAGTCCAAAATGTTATGACTCAGCTCGGGATGGAAGACACTCGACCAGACCTCATGCTCAAATTCGAAGATGCCGAAATGATCGCAGCAGAACTCAACGTTGTTGCTATCCCCAATGACGACGCGAGCTTCGACATCTACCCTCGCCCACCGCCCGCTACTCCGGAAGAAGTTGCTTCCCTCCCACTCCGACCGCCCGTTGTCACCATCATGGGCCACGTCGACCACGGCAAAACCACCCTCCTCGACAAACTCCGCAGCACCTCCGTCGCACAAGGCGAAGCAGGTGGGATCACACAACACATCGGTGCTTTCTCCGTTCCCATCACCGGCCGCAAGCAAAATAAGGGCAAAGATAAAGGCTATTCTGGTATTCAGACCATCACTTTCCTCGATACGCCCGGTCACGCTGCGTTTACGGCTATGCGAAGTCGTGGTGCCATGGTGACGGATATTGTTGTTCTCGTCGTTGCTGCAGATGACGGAGTGATGCCGCAGACGAAGGAGGTCATTCATTTGGTCAAAAAGGCAAATGCTGAAGCTGAAGCTTCGAGAGAGGGGGACACTGTCACTCAGCCACCCGTACAGATGATCGTTGCGTTGAACAAGATCGATAAGTCAGATGCTGATCCGGAGCGCGTCAAGCGAGAGTTGCTCTCTGCTGGGGTTGAGCTGGAAGAGTTGGGTGGAGACGTGCCCTGTGTACACGTGTCAGGTAAGACAGGATACGGTCTTTCAGAGCTAGAAGAGACCGTTGCTACACTCGCCGAGCTTGCAGATTTGCGCGCTGAACGTGTTGGGCTGCCAGAAGGCTACGTGATCGAATCCAAAGTCGACAAGGGCAGGGGCAACGTCGCTACTGTTCTAATCAAGCGTGGTGTTCTGGAGAAGAGCTCGTACATTGTAGCTGGTACGGCATGGTGTAAGGTTCGACAGATCTTGCATTCTTTAGGTCGACCTTTGGCGAAAGCTTTGCCAGGAGATCCGGTGCTGGTTACTGGATGGAGAGAGTTGCCCATCGCAGGCGACTTACTTTTAGGTGGACTGAACGAACATAGCTGTAAGAAGGCTGCAGAGAACAGGAAACAGGTGAACGAGCAAAAAAGGTTGATGGCGGATGTGGAACAGATCAACGAATCGCGCCGAATCAAGGCTGAACAAGACGAAGCAGATGCAAGGAAAGAGTTTGAAGAGAGGCAGAGGAGAAGAGCGGCACGAATTGCAGCTGATGATGGGAAAGATCCTTTGGCTGTACTTGCTGCTATGGAAGAAGGTGCCTCCAACCCTTCTGCCTTCACCTCCTCTGGTGGCGCTGACGTAGTTGACGGCTCTGAAGAGACCTCTGATTCCTCCAGTGCGGGCAAGAAGTTTCTGAACGTAATCATCAAAGCCGACTACTCCGGAACAGTAGAAGCTGTCGTCGGAGCCATCTCCTCCATCGGCAACTCTGAAGCAGGCGTTAAAATCATCTCTGCCACCCCCGGCGAACCTTCGGAATCCGACATCGCCAAAGCCTCCGCCCTAAACGCAACCATCATCGGCTTCAACGTGACCCCGTCCAAGTCAGTCCTCCAGTCCGCAGCACGTGCACAACCCAACCCCGTCCCAGTGATCATCTCGGACGTGATCTACCGCCTGATGGAAACCATCTCTGCTTCAGTATCTTCCCTCCTCCCACCCCTAATGGAGGTACGAGTGCAGGGTGAAGCGACAATTAGTCAGATCTTTGACATCAACGTCAAGGGGAAGAGCTTTAAAAAGATCGCCGGATGCAGGGTTACTAATGGAACAATCACAAAGCCGAACTCAGTGCGGATTCTGAGAGGCAAAGAGAGGAAAGAGGTTTGGCGGGGAAAGTTGGAAGAATTCAAACATTTGAAAAAGGACGTAACGGAGATGAGGAAGGGTACGGAATGCGGGATGAGTTTTGAGGGATATCAGGCTTTGGAGGTTGGGGATGTCGTGCAGAGTTTTACTGAGGTCAGCGTTCCCAGGACTTTGTAACGTAGCCACATTGCAGGATTACACATCATCACTCTAGAACAATCAACAAGCATAGATCAACGAATGGAAGGCTATATGATTGCGAGAATATCTTATGAGCAAGTAAGCCTATACCGGGTCTCAGGCTGCGAGCGCAAGTCTCTGTCTTCTCTCCTGTCCACCATCACCAGCAGTGACGGCGCCATTAGCACGTCGCGCAGCCAATAACTGTCTGGCGTGCTGTCTAGCCGAATTTACCTCCCTTAACTGTGCATTTTGCTGCGGCTGTTGGTTCTCCTTATCATCTCCCCTCTTCTCCTCAATCTCACCCTTTGGTGCGATCGGAAAATCGATCTCTCTCTTCTCTTCCTTCCTCTCTTTCACCGCCGGCTGTGCCTTACTCACCGGCAAACCCATCGAAACATTCCCCTGGGCTTGGGCTTGAGCATTCTTCAATGCAAACCGAGCATTTCTCTTCACCATCCCCAATTCTAACTGTTTAGCCGACAGAGCAATGCTAAAGTTGATGTTGTCTTCTTGTAGTGCATCGTTGGCGCGAGTGAGTTTGAGGATTTCCAAGTTTGAGTCTGCTAGTTGGTGTTCTAGTCTCTTGACTCTGTCAGCTGCTGGCGTGACACTTGTTCCGGACTCGTTTGCTGGCTTGACTTGTGGAGTCTGCGGTGTTGATGGGGTCCGAAGTTGTGATTTGAGTCGTAGGATGTGTGATTCTAGCTCGGCAACCCTAGCTTGAGAAGTTGAGAGGGAGTTCTGCGTCTCCAAATGCTGATTGGTGAGAGTTTCGACCTCAACAATAAGTGCAGAGACCCGGTTACTAGTCAGAGCTAGAGTCTCCTCCAGGTGCAAGATCTTCTCTTCTTGTTCTTCCAGTGTTTCGCGAAGAGTGTTGAGCTCTGCTTCCAGCTCCTCTTTCTCCTCCTGCCCGCTACTGTGGGAGCGATTGTTAGCGACAGCCAATTTCTCTTCCAGCAGCTGAGCCCTCTCTATCGCCTCCTGTTTGAGCCGCGTTGCTTCATCAAGTTCCTCTTGAAGATCGGAAAGTTGTTCAAACCGACGATCCAAGTCAGAGGTCAGCTGTTCGACTTGGGCTTGCAACTCCTCTTTCTCCCTCTTTGCGTCGGTCTTGGGTGCAAGTTGAAGTTCGAGCTCAGAGATACGCTTTTGAAGTTCACGTTGCTCCATAGCCCGCCTGATCTCGAAATCTTTCTCTAGCGTCAATCTCACTTGTTCTTTCGCCTGTTCAACTGCTCGTTCTACCTCTTTCCTCCCAGCTTCAGTCTCCATTACGTCGTTTTGAGCTGTTGCTGAAGCAGTCTGACCAGAAAGGACACCCTGTATCCTTACCGCATAATCCCGTCTCTCGACTTCCCTCAACCTCCTCTCTTCCTCCAATTGCCTCTCCAACTCTTCCACCCTGCCCCCATCTGTCCTCAACTTCAACTGATCCTTCAACTTCCTCACTAACACCACCATCTCTCTATCCTTCCGATCAGCCTCTTCCACCAACTCTTCGTACTGCGCCGATAGCCCACTTAGGGTCAACCGTAACTGGTCTACCTCTGCGGTGTGGTGTTCGTGGGATTCGAGCGCTTCTTCAAGCTCGGCAACTCTCGCAGTGGATGCACTGAGTTGGGTTAGGAGGCGAGAAACACGGGTTTCGGCGAGATTGGTGAAGCTATCGAATGCGCTGGCTACCGTAGCTAGCTCCGAGGCCGAGGCGAGGGCGGCTGGGATAGTAAGGGAGGTGTGGTTAGGGAGACGGGATAGCTGTAAGCGCGAGAATCTAGCAGCGGAGGGCGAGTCGTGTTGCGAGGCGAGCGCGAAATCGGGACGAGATTCCTTGTCGGTGCTGGGTGAAGGAGAAGCGGGTCGAGAGGCAGCGGAAGCTGTCGAGAGATCGCCTTGTTGTTTATGACTGGAAGAGGATGTGGACGAACCACAAGATGATGAGGACAGCGGTTCTTCTTCTTCCTCGTGCGTCTGAAGTTGGTTAATGTCTTGCTGAGGCTGCTCTGTTTCTCTCTTCGCTTCTGCTGGTGTAGCAGCTGGTGTTGGTGAGGGGACGGGCTGCGGCGTACCGAAAGCTGCAGATGCTGGCGATGCGAAAGTTTCGGCAGGTGTGACAGGTGCAGAAGCCCCCACTAAGGAATGATACGAAGCAGGAGTTGCAAAAGAAGCTGACGTTGCTGGTGACCAGAATTTCGATGGTGTACCTGGTGCTGCTGCCTGATCGGTTGGTTTGCTGTCTCTCGGTGTCTGTGGGATGGCCTTAGGCTGCTTACCCTCGTCGTCCATTAATGCCTCTTGAACTGCAACCTCGTCATGTAAGTTCTCTGATGTATCTGCCCCCTTCCAAAGTCCTGCTTGTTGCGAAGATGTCATCGACTTCTCCCCTTCTGTAGGGTAATCAACACCTTTCTCCGGCGAGCCTCCGCTGCGTTGGCTTGCAGGACTGTGCCAATTCGAAGTAGACCCAGCAGAGGAAGGCGTAAAGTTGACTATCCGAGATAAAGGGGAAGAGCGAGCAGGGGTAACCATGCGTAGTCTTGCGAAGGATCGTGGGGTGTGTGTTGTTCGTGGTAGCGATTGTGGTGTGGTTGGAGTGGAAGGCTTTGTTTGAGGTGAGCTGACGGATGATGGTGATGCCGATGCACTGTTCTGACCTTTGATGGGTTGACTGGGTGCTTCGTGCGGTGCAGGTGACGGCGGCTCAGGGTCTGTCTCACGTTGTGATGGTGCGATGTAGGAAGCAGGGGATGAACGATCCTGTTCCGACGCCGGAGAAGATGGTGTTGAAGGTACATCTCGCGAAGCTATAGCTTGAGATCGCGTTACTGACGGGCTTGCTCGATCGACAGACTTGACCGATGCTTGAGAGATGTTGGGTTGCAGAAGAGGAGAGGATGGCAGCTGAGAAGCGTCCTCCACATAAGACTCTTCGAGGACCATCGATAGTCCTTCTTGCCATTCTTCCCTCTCTTCCTCCTCCAGCTGGTCTCTCGCGCTCTCGCCGCCCCATGGCCCTTCTTGTCGACACTGCGACTCGACATCAACCGATCGATCCGGATTTGGCCTCGACGAAGACCCGACCATAACTTGCCCTTCTACCTTTGGTGAATCTGGCCACGCTCCCTCCTTCTCCCTCTCCTCTTCCTGTTCCCATCCATCACCCCCCTCCTTCGAAAATGGCTCCATCCGTGACTCAGCAACCATCCTCGCACTCACACTAGGACTAAACCCAACACTACTACTCCCATCAGAAGAAGCAGGACTATCCATCATCCCCGCCTCCGCCATCCTAGTCCTCAAGCTCTTTCCCGTAAACGGTGTCCTGGGATCCGCCTCTACCCTCACCGGTCTAACTGTCACCGTCGGGGAACTCGAAGTCTTGTATCTGGGCGACGTAGATGCTGGTGCTTGCTGTTCTGTTTCATCCAGACCAGCTAACATGTGCGCTCCAGCCTGACGTAAGAAGCTCTCGCTGAAAGATGTGTTGCTGTAGTCGAAGGTCCCCAAACTGGAGCCAACACTTTCGTTTGCGACATTCCGTGGAGATGCTCTGTGACTGGAGGGATTACGTGTGCTGGATCGAGACCCGGATGCGTCTGGGCTCGGAGTCCATGCTGGAGCTGAACTGAGGGGGGCTTTGGTGCAGCTTGGAGCGGGGGAGGGAGTGAAGGCGGCTGGAAATGTGCTTGGCATACGTGTTGCTGGGTCGAGCTGAAATGTGGTTTGTCGTGCTGAGATAGTGGGTGATGGAGGTCGCTGGTCGAGTATCGGTGATGTTGGACCGAGGTAAGGGTCTATGCTGGATATTGATGCTGCCGAAAGATCGGAAAGGCCGCTCTGATCGGCTGGCAGTGAGGCGTCCATCATCTTTGTAGCCTTGTTCCGTGACCAAGGATGCAATGTAGGAGCGGTGTTGGAGTCGTGATAAAGGTCGAGAAGATCACCTGGAAGCCTTCAACTTGGCATTGAGCATCGAGAAGAAGCGACATGTTGGGACCCTGCAGTCCTCCACACCAAAAAGCACCTCAGCTGCGTGTTTTGGCGCGTTGCTGCCAAATGGTCACGTGCGCCAGGATTTTATTTTGGAAAAAGAAGAGAAAAAGGTCCGAAAAGAAAAGAAAAGAAAAGAAAAGAAAAGAAAAGAAAGAAAAAAAAGAAAAGAAGGGAAAAAAAGAAAGAAAAAGAGTTGAGGGAGATGTAACAATGGTTGGAGACACGTTGGAACCAAACAGAGCCTATGGGGTCTGCAGAGGGCAAGTAACTATTGATGATATGAAACCACATGTTGGTGGCTATGCATGTGGGATGCATAGGTGTTACCATGACAACTTAGGAGCAATGTGAGGGGTGAACTAGTCATAGATTGGCACAGGCTGAAGGTGACTGCCAAGCATGCACATATATATATGCTTATGTAAATAGCACTCAAAAATGACTCAGCAGTAACTTAGTGCCAAAATTCTCAACTGATTAAGAGTCTGAAGCTCAGCAGCTTCAAGGCACTTTGCCATCAAGATGCCACCCAGAGTAGACAGCATAGCTCTGCTTGAATGCACCATGCAAATGATTAGAGAGGTTCACACCAATTGGAATGAAGACCAAATCTTGGAGTGTGCCTTCTCTATGATGAACCTCCAACCAAATACCAGCCAAGTCGAAAAGATTCCTAAGTCAATACTCAGCATTGTATCACAGATCATCAAGCTCAACAAGAACAACTGGGCCATCTGGGAGCCCATGTTTATGGACTGCATATGGCCCATCAAGAATGCAAAGCAGATCCTTACTGGGGAAATATCTAGCAACCACACAGACTATGATGAAGAACTAAACAGTCACCTGTTAGGCCTCATCCTGTCATCATGCAACCACAGTCCTGAGAGCAGTATTCATACATACACCATTCAAGAACAAGGCAAAGAGGAACAACTCGGCTCTACACTGTACAAGAAGCTCAAAGCAGCACTCACAATCAATGATGAAGTCAAACTTTCTGCCATTCACAACTGAGTGCATGAGATCAAGTTAGTCCACCGAAATGTTGTCAACCTTGGAAAGGAACTAGATCGAATTTGGAATGATGCTGCAAGACTGGGCAGTCACATGGATGAAAAGCTCAAGAAGTCCATCTTGTACCATTGTGTCAAAGATGACTGGCTCTATACTCAGACAGTAGACTCCCTTAAAGCTGCACAGCCAGGCTGCAGCTATGAATACGCCTACCATGCACTCACCAAGAAACATCAAGAAGCTGAACTTTCTGGCTGTATCCAAGCTGCAACCAGACTTGCTGGCAACAAGAACATAACCAACCAAGCCAGTGGACCTGGCCAAATCCTAAACCAAGAAGGCTACAACAGAGGCAGATGTGATCCCACAAACCCTAACAAGCCAGCTAAGTGTTACAAATGCAGGCAACCAGGCCATATTGCAATCAACTGCACCAGCAGCCAGGAACAAGCCCCAGTGCAGCAGAAGTAGGAACTTGGGTGCACTCTGTTCATCAGTAATGCAACCAATTGTAAACCCAATGTCATGGGCCTGGATGCTCAAGAAGCAGGAGGGTCACTGGTTCATATGGAAGGAGCACAGGTATCGGAGATCTAGTCGATACCAGTAGAGAGCATGGTCGTAGTGCAGTCTCCATGGAGACCATGGACTCCTATGGACTCACATGCAAAGGAGGGCCAGGCACAGCCACGAGGAGGACCAAGCTCAAGGAGCAGGCACAGCCACGAAGAGGACCAAGCTCAGATGGTTACCACTCAGGGGCTCAAGAGACAAGAGTCAAAGGAACTGTCACCGGTCAAAGGAGAAGGAGCAGTGTATAGGACACTAGCAGGCAGGTCCTGAGGAAGAGGAGCAGTGTCGAAGGAGTCAACACCAGGTCATGAGGAGGAGGAGCAGTGTCGAAGGAGTCGACACCACTCAAGAGGCACAGGGGTGCCAAGCAGGAGAGGCCCCTGAGCAGTACTCGATGAAGAAGGTACTCTCTGGAGAGAGAGCAGGAGCAGCATTGCTGGCGATGCTGTGAAGAGGTATATAACCATGCTTTCTCATCATCATAGGTCGAGTGGATCCTCATCCACTCTACTCACCATACAACTAGTCAATACTTTAGAAACACAAGTACTCATTAGTTACAGTCAGCATAGCAGCAATCTATCAAGGTTGCTCCTCATCATAGTGTGTGTGTTGTATCACCACTACCTGACATCCGTAGGCACCCCATAGCAGGTTAGCGGTCCGGATATAGATAGAACCGAAGGCAGTAGTTCACTGCGGTCTGGGGATCACCTTCAAGCATCAAGTCAACACACTGGACACTCGTGTTGATGCCACCAACCTTATCACCAACACCATCAACCTCATTATCATCAACACTCACCAACCTTATCACCCATGTCATCAACCTCATTATCATCATCAACACTCACACCAGACCTTGGTGTCATCATAATCTACACATTGATATTGATTGTGCCGAGCTACCCCTGAACGGAGTGTCCACAGAGGTCAGCCAAAATCTACAATAGTATATACAACGAACGCCACCTGCTGTCACTGCACAACTTGATAGTCACTGATACTGAGACAATAGCTGTCGCACAGTTTGATAGTCACCGAGTATCTCGACAGACCGACCTGGGTTTCAGGCGCGAGACCCCTGACACCCAACAACACATGGGTCCTTGACTCTGGCGCTATGCATCACATGGTACATGATGAAAGCAAACTCATTGCCCCAATGGCAAAACAAGGACTCATAGACACTGCTGGGCAAGAAAGATTACAGGTCCAGGCAATATGAGATGCAACCTTGCAAGTCAGAAACGTTAAAATACCCCTCACAGATGTACTTTACATTCCCAATCTTAGCAAGAATCTATTGTCTGTTCCAGCATTAACCGAAGACAGTGCATGAGTGATATTTGAAGAATCTGGAGCTACAATCCTCCAACATGACAGAAGCATGGTCAAGAGCAAGACCAACCAGTGTAAGAAAAGATGGGAGATTCATGGCAACTCCCTAGCAGCCCAGCTCAATGACCCTCTCAAGGGCATTGATATTAACACAACCCCAGCAAGGCCTGCAAGCCACACAATATGCAAACTATGGCATGAATGATTTGGCCACCCCAGCAGAAACAAAACCAAGCAAATCCAGGCTCATTACTTGGGAAAGGATACACAGCTTGAGCACAATGCAAGAGACTGCAACTGTTGCAGTCAAGCAAAACAAACATGCACAAGAATGGCAAGCAGCAAAACAGAATGAGCACAGGAGCCACTAGAGTTGATACACATTGACTTAATGACAGACTTACAAGGACATCCAAATTATCACCACACACTGGTAGTCATCGATGATGCCTCATCCTACATGTATGTGAAACTGCTCCTAAGCAAAGCAGAAGCATTCCCTGCCCTAAAAGCATGGACCAAAACAGCAGAGATAGCAATGGATTGCACATTAAAGTGTATTTGCAGTGATAATGGAATGGAATGGTCAAGCTTAGCAGCAGAGGAGTGGAAGCGGGAGGCAGGGTTTAAGTGGCAGAAAACCACCCCATATGTCAGCATACAGAATGGGAGAGCAGAGCACACCATCAGATCACTCCAAGAGAAGATGCATGCAATGCTTGTCCAAAGATCAGTGCCAAAAGGACTATGGCCCTACACCATTATGGCTGCCAGACATGTACTTAACTTGACACCCTCAGTGAATGCAAATAGGATCCTATATGAAGATTTTCATCACATGATGGCTCATGGTCTGGTTAAGCAACTGCATGTCTTTGGCTGCCTTGTGTGGGTCCACCTCCAGAAAAAGGACCATGCAGGCAAACATGGTGCAAGAGCAATACCTGGAATATTGGTTGGCTATGATGATGAACACAAGGGTTGGAAATTCTTCACTCCAGACCACACACCATCCATCCAGTGGAGCAATTCAGTTACATTCCATGAACACAAAGGTTGGCATGATCGACCCAAAGTACAAAGCCCACTGCAAATCAGTTTTGAGAGCCTCAAAGCAGAAAGTGCCAAACCAGAGGCAAACAACCTTGAACCTGAACCAGAAATCGAAGAGTTTGACACACAAGACTCACTCCAACATGCACCCATTGAACAACCAATCGACAATACTGAAGACAACTGATCAGAGATAGCAGTTGAAGACATGATTGGGGGAGTGAACACCACCACCCTAAACCTCACACCAACAATGAAAGAAGCACTTGCCAGTGAAGATGCACAGCAATGGCAAGAAGCCATATGCAAGGAGTTGGACAGACTGGAGGCCATGGGAACTTGGGAAATCATGGACATACCACCAAGCACCAAACTCATCGACTCTAAGATCGTCCTCCGTCTCAAGCTGGATGCTGATGGGGTACCTGTCCAACATAAAGCAAGATTAGTTGCACAAGGTTTCATGCAATGAGAGGGCATCGACTTCGAAGAAACCTTCGCACCAGTGGCACTGCTTAGTGTGATAAGAGTGCTATTATCACTGGCAGTGGAGCATGACTGGGAGGTTCATCAACTAGATATTACAATGGCCTATCTCAACTCCACACTTAAACACAAGATCTACATGAAACTGCCAGAAGGAGCTAAGGTGCCGAAAGGAAAAGCTTATCAGGTAATCAAGGGACTATATGGTCTCAAACAGTCAGGACAGGAGTGGAATATGGAATTTGACAAGTTCCTCTGGCAATCCAACTTCCATAGACTTGATTGTGCACCATGCATCTACTCCAGAGGAAAAGGGGACAACTTCGCGATAGTGGTCATCTATGTTGATGATACATTAATCATGTCCCCAAAGCTAGAAACAGTCAAATGCATCAAGGAGGAAATAGGCAAGAAGTGGAAGATGGAGGAGGGTGGCAATGTGTCTCACTTCCTTGGAATCAAGATCTCCAGGGATCATGAAGAAAAGACAATGGACCTCAGGCAGACCAGTTACATTAAACAACTACTGGATGAACACCTAGACAAATGCAGGAGAAAATCCAGTGTACCACTCCAAGACATACTGGCCCCAGAGACAGTAGCAAGCACAGCCAAATGAAAGGAATACCTGCAGATTGTTGGCAAGCTCCTATGGCTCTCAAATGGAACATGCCCAGATATCAGCCAAGCAGTAGGGGTCCTTGCACGCTATATGACTCAACCATCAAAAGAGCATTACAATGCAGCACAGAAGGTACTACAATACCTAGATGGTACCCAGGATGTCCACCTACAATATGGTGGTGACAAGGAACAAGATTTTCTAATGGCACATAGCGACATGAACTGGGCAAGTGATGCCACCACACAATGAAGGAGCTCTTCAGGCTCAGCAGTGTTTGTACACAGGAACCTGGTTGCATGGAAGTCAGCACTACAATGCTGCACTGCTTTATCAGCAGTGGAAGCAGAGTTTGTGGTGGCAACTGAAGCTGCACAAGAGGTACTTTTCTTCAGGCATCTCTTCAAAGCTTTTGGAATTGACATTGGCACCCCCACAATCTTTTCAGACAACACAGGCACCATTCAGGTCAGTAAGGATCCAGCACAACATTGGAAGTTGAAGCATATTGACACCAAGTACCACTTTATCAGAGATAATGTGCAAGATGGAAAGGTCAAAATCAAATATATTGGCACCGAGGACAACTTGGCCAACATCTTCACCAAGCCAGTGGGTAAGGAAGTATTATGATGTGCATGACAGGGGTTGGGACTGACACCACAGCAAGGTACAGCAGCTCAGCAGTTCCCCACTTCCCTGCTGAGGGAGACAGTTGAGGGAGATGTAACAATGGTTGGAGATGCATTGGAACCAAACAGAGCCTATGGGGTCTGTGGAGGGCAAGTAACTATTGATGATATGAAACCACATGTTGGTGGCTATGCATGTGGGATGCATAGGTGTTACCATGACAACTTAGGAGCAATGTGAGGAGTAAACTAGTCATAGATTGGCACAGGCTGAAGGTGACTGCCAAGCATGCACATATATATATGCTTATGTAAATAGCACTCAAAAATGACTCAGCAGTAACTTAGCGCCAAAATTCTCAACTAAAAGAAAGGGAAAAAAAAAAAAAAAAAAAAAAAAAGTTGATGGAAAAAAAATTCCAGCTTCGGTAGCTGAGAGAGAAAAAGTACTTAACCTTCGCCTCACCTGCCACTTAACCTGCCCACGATCTTCTTGACTGCTTCTTAGCGTCCACTCTTCAACACTATATACCCACAGAGCCATCGCTGCTCTCGCGCTCTACCATCAAGCACAACCCCCCAGTCAAAACAATCGCCAGCCGCCGCGCTCAGCTTATCCATTCCCCCCTCCCTACAAGACCATACCCCACAATGTCACGTCTAATAGTCCGAGGCCTCCCCTCATATCTCACCGATGCTCGTCTCCGCGAGCACTTCTCACAAAAGGGTGCAGTCACAGATGTAAAACTCATGCGTCGACCCGATGGAACCTCGCGCAAGTTCGGCTTCGTCGGCTACCGTTCCGAGGAAGAAGCTCGACAAGCGCTTGACTATTTCAACCGCACTTTCATCGATACTGCACGCATCTCGATTCAGTTCGCGAAGAAGATTGGTGATGAGGAGCTTGCAAAGCAGCGTGAGGACCGGAGGAATCGACGCACCGCTGGTGTGGCGGATCAAGGAGGGGAGGAGGGGAGAGGAGAGGGGAAGAAGAGGAAGTTCGATAAAGCCGACGGGAAGGATGGAGAGGGACAGAAGAAGAGGGGCAAGAAGGGAGGCGCGATTAGTTTTGAGGAGTTCATGAGTGTCATGCAGCCCAAAGCGAAGAGGAAGGCATGGCAGAATGAGGATGGATTGCCCGAGCAGACGATGGAAGATATCACTGCGCCGGTGGAGAAATTGGAGAAGAAGGCCGAGAAGAAGGCCAAGAAGGCTGCAGCAGCGGAGGACAAAGCGCAGAAGGATGAAGCAGCAGCGGCGGTGGCGGAGGAAGCGGAAGGGGAAGCCGAAGAGGAAGCCGAAGCCGAACTCGGCGCAGCAGCCAACGACGTTGGTCTGACAGACGAAGAGTACATGCGTCTTCGAATGAAGCACAAGGTCGGAACCGATCTCGATAAAGTCGACGACGAGACCACTCCCGCTGGACCGCAATTCGAACAATCTGACGACGAAAAGGATGACGCTGACAACAAAGCTGACGAGTCCGATTCTGACTCTGAGGACGAGGAAGTCAACGACGAAGAAGTCGAACGCAAACAAGCCGCTCAACGCAGGAAAGCAGAAGCAGCAGCAGCCAAAGATCAAAAGATCGTCGATCAAATCATGGAGAGCGGTCGTCTGTTTGTTCGCAATCTTCCGTTCGCAGCGAGTGAGGATGAGGTCCAGAGCTTCTTTGAGAGCTTTGGAAGTGTTAAGCAGGTAAGTTCCCCACTTACAAGAGGGAGATGGGATTACAACTTGAAGGGTGTTTTGCATGATGACACATTAGTATAGGGACAGCAGAGCTTCGGCGGTGCTGACAACCTACTGGAATCTAGATAGTAAAATGATTTGTTTTCTGATTTCGCAAACCTATCAAGTCATTCTCCCGTCTATCCCTTCTCTCTCTTTCGAGAAGAAGTCGGGACATCAGATCACTAACAACGTCTCTTCTTTGGTTGTCGCTTACGTTTACGTGAACCGCAGGTCCACATCCCATTAGACAAGCAGACCAAAGCTTCGAAGGGACTTGCGTTCATCTCTTTCACCGACCCAGCGCATGCGCTTGCAGCATTCCGTGCAAAAGACGGCTCTACTTTCCAAGGTCGCCTACTTCACCTCTTACCCGCTGTCAACAAAGAATCCCCCACCGCAGCTGAAGATAAGAAGCCTGCAACCCTCAAGCAAGCACGAGCAGACGCCAAGAAACAAGAAGCAGGAAAAGACTTTAACTGGTCCATGCTCTACATGTCTTCCGACGCTGTTGCCTCCTCCATCGCAGACCGTCTCGGTGTTTCCAAAGCTGACATCTTGAATCCGGGTGCTGAGGGGGGACCGGATAATGCAGCTGTCCGATTGGCGTTGGCTGAAACAAGGATCATTCAGGAGACAAAAGAGTTCTTCACCCAGCAAGGTATCAATGTCGACGCATTCAATCGCAGCGGAAAGGTAGAGAGGAGTAACACAACGATGTTAGTAAAGAACATTCCGTACGGCACAAGTGTAGAAGAGGTGCAGAAGTTGTTTGAAGAGTTCGGAGAGGTCGATAAAGTGTTGATTCCGCCAAGTGGGACGATTGCGATCGTGGAAATGCCAGTGGAGGGGGAGGCGAAGGTGGCGTTTAGAGCTATTGCGTATAAGCGTTTCAAGGGCGGAATCCTTTACCTAGAGAAAGCACCAGTGGGGTTGTTGGACACCAAAAAGGCGGGGGGTGCGGGGGAGAAGAAGGTGGTTCAGGCTCCAATTAAGGGCAAGACGATCGATGAGGCTTCTAATCCTAGTGCGAACATTGCTGAAGGGGAGGATGAGGCGGTGGACGGTGCGACACTTTATGTCAAGAACCTCTCTTTCTCTACTACGGATGAGAGATTAGTATCGACGTTCCATGGGCTGAGCGATTATGCGTTTGCGAGGGTTCAGACGAAACCAGATCCACGTCGATCCGGAGCTCGTCTTTCAATGGGATACGCTTTCGTCGGCTTCAAATCTATCGATGCTGCTCGAACCGCTCAGAAAACAATGAACGGAAAGGTGCTCGATGGACATACTCTCGTCGTTACTTTCGCTAGACGCAATGTGGAGACCACCACCTCCTCCTCCCTCTCTTCCTCCGCCAATGGGACAACGAAGATCCTGGTCAAGAACTTACCCTTCGAAGCAACCAAGAAGGATATCCGCGATCTGTTCTCCTCTCAAGGTCTAGTCAAATCGGTCAGATTGCCGAAAAAGTTCGATAATTCGACTCGAGGATTCGCTTTTGTCGAGTATACCACGGTTAGAGAGGCACAAGCTGCCATGGAGGCTCTCAAGCATACCCATTTGCTCGGAAGACACTTGGTCTTACAGTGGAGTAAGACAGCTACAACGGCAGAAGAGGAGGTCGAGATGCAAAGGAACAAGACGAAGAGCGGTTATGTTGCTGCTGGAGAAGCAGAAACATTGGGAAACAAGCAAGGGAAGATCAAGTTGAGTACAATGCAGATTAATGAGGCTGTGAGGAAGGCCAGGAGTCGTAGAGATGATGTTGAGGATGAGGAGTGATGGCGAGAAATTCAGGGTTGAGGTTTTGGTCACTTTCATTTGTATTCTATCACACATGCACACTCAAGCACGCACGCAGCATTCCACACTTCAATCTCATGGTCGGCACACATCCCGGACAACAGTGTCAAGAGAGAGAGAATCGTGAATCATGACATTCCGTCCAGGTTGCGGTCCTTCTAACCGCGTGTATCATCGAAAGGTTGAGAGAGACAGGGTGTGGTACAGGGATACGATACTGTAACGTTTGAGTTTTGGCCATGCCGCCTACTTTACTGCTGACCAAAGCTAACAGGCTTGCCAGGCAACCCATCGGACAACAGTACAACAGCATATTTACCACTGATCCTCCAACCAGGCTCCTCGTTGTCCAACTTGCTCGATACGTCGCCGGGCACACCAACCACAACATCTGACTTGATCGTCCTGAGCGAAGCCACGGGCGGTGCACCATCCTCGCTAGCCAACGGACCAATCGCCATGTCGAAGGGGGTATCACTAGGAGCCTGACAGTCGTACGTGAGCTTACGGTGGTTCAAGTCACCTTTGAACATGACCAAGTTCGAGTCGGCAAGATGAAGGAAGAGATCAGGAGCTTCTTGGGAGATGGACCAGAAGGTGTAACCTGTGCACCAGAAGGGGTGTTGTTCGTAGATCCACTGTCCTTTACGCTCGTACTCTTTCCAGCGGAGACCCATCTGTTTGAGCGATTGGACTTCGGCATCGGTGGCTTGGGGGAAGAGGGAACCGTAGAGCATCGAGTTGAGGAGCCAGTCCCAGTCCTTGCGAGTGACGTCCGAGACGAACCATGCGAAACGCTTGCCGTGGAAGCGGATCTCGTTGGCAATTCCGGATTGGATGAGCCAGTCAGCGTAGACGCAGTCGCAGTAAAGCTCGAAACCGGCATTGTCGAGGACAAAGTCGATTCGACCACCCTTCATGTTGGAAACGAGCTTCCAGAGACGGTCGAGATGGTTACCGAGAATGTTCTTCTCCGTGGCAGCAAGATGCTCACCACCGGTGGACTGGAGGTTCTTGATGTCCTCTTCAGTCATGTTGATAAGGAGCGACAGATCGGTGGCGTTACCCCACAAGCAGACCTGGGTGAGCTCGTGGAAGAGCAACTCGCGAGCCTTGAGCTTCTCGTCTTCGTTGGCACCCTCCTCGTAGGCGAAAGGCTCGGCAAAACGAGTCGAGAGCTCAAAGACGGCAGTACCCGAACGAGAGAAGGTGTCGCACTTTTGCCGGAAGAAGACATCGTAGTCTTTCCAGTACTTGGAGATACTGAAGCACTCATGGAGACGTCGGTACTTGTACGCCTCGGCAAAGAGCCAGGGGGCGTTCATGAAGTCCTTGCCACGGAAGAACCTGGCAATCTCCTTGTTCCAGAGAGGGATATCTCCCTCACCGTCGTCGACGATGGGACGGAGCTTGGAGTTATTTTGGAGATCGTCCATGAGCGTGTGCATGCGTTCGATACACTTGGCGAGGTCGATGACCTTTTCCTCCTCATATTCCTCGTTGAGGGTCTTGATGACATCGTCGACAGCCTTGCCGAGAATGGTAGGCAGACGCTTGCCCATAGTTTCCTATTGGCAGCGCGACAGAAAGGGTGTCACGATAAAGGAGCATAGTGTGCGAGAAGGGACAGTCAGCAGATGTTCCCTGATTCAAATCGCAAGAGACTTGTAAACTAACATGAGCGAAGGAGAACTCGTGGTAGCCACGGTACGCGGGCCAAGGTGGGTTGTTGGGGTCGACACGGGAGGGTGTGCGGGCATACGGAGCAGCAGCACCGAAGCCTTGCTTCTTAGGAGGAAGGTTGCCGAGGTTGAGCACCGTCCTGGCGGCGGGCTTGGCGGAGGGGTGGTTGCGGTCAGCCATGGTGATGAATGCTCTCGGGAGCTGAGAGGTGCTGCCGAAAGATGTAGGAGTAGGGATGGTGGTGGTGGTGGATGTGAAAGGAAAAGCAGCAAACGAGGACGCAGAAGAAGAAGTGCGAAACCAGATCAAGAAACGACTGTCGAGCGGAAAGGTAACCGAACACGCGCTCAGATCAGGCGGAGACGGCAAAGCAGCAGCAATAGAGAGGAGAGAAGTTCAGTTGAAGATATGTCGGAAAATATCCAGAGTTTATCTAATTGCCGAAGCTCGTGAAAGCACACATTGCTTATGCACAAGCTGACTCAGACATGTGAATTGTACAAAGCATGACATAGCAACAGTTCAGGAGCTCTGCAGCAGGAACACTTGACTCATTCAAAATGGCATAGCACTCTCAACAGATAGTCTCAACACACACATATATATATATGCTCATGTTTGTAGCCTCAACCCATTGAAATGATTAAACATTCTAGTTAGCATACACCTGTGCAAAGGGAGCTTGATCATAGCCCCAACCAGGTGGTGTTCTCTACCTTTTACTTCAACTGATTAAGAGTCTGATGCTCTATCGACTGAGCTAGGAGCCTCCTCAACACTGTTCCAACTCAACCACAGACAACTATGGTGGAAGAAACTGAACCCCAAGTTGGTGCCAGCGATTTCACCAAGAGATCCATGGGGGACAGAAAGGGCAAAACAGTTCAACAGGTGTGAACATCAACAACAAGTTTCTTTACCAGCTGAAGTTTGGAAAGTCACCAGAACAGCTCATACATCTCATTCATGTATTTGGGTGCCTTGTGTCAGGGGTTGCACACCAGAAACCTGAAATCTGTAGTAGAATTAGAACTACTACTGATTTTATCAAGATCTGTGGTAAACTGCTGTTTATTATTATTCCTGTCGAGATCTGTCATAGAAGCCTTCTATGACTTTACTTGCTCGAATCTGTGGTAGCTTGGTTGTTACTACAGGTTTTGACTGACTGCTGTGGACATTCTGTCCAGAGGTAGCTTGGCATGATCAATAACAATAGATGTATTGTGATGACACCAAGGTCTGGTGTGAGTAATGCTGTGAGCACTGACACAAGTGTCCAGTGTGTTGACTAAGTGTTGGAGTGATCCCCAGACTGCAGTGGACGACTGCCTTTGGTTCTATCTTTATCCAGACCACAGGTTTCTATGAACTGCCTTTGGACATCAGTGAGCAGTGATACAACACATGTGCTATGCTGGATGCAATCTACTAGATTGTGACTGTGCTGACTATAAACTAATGTATACTTATGCTAAAGTGATAACTAGTTATGTATGGTGTGGAGTGGATGAGGATCCACTCATCCACCTATGACAAGAAAGGATGCTTATATACATCGTTGCAGTGTCACCTGTGACACTGCTCCAGCTCTCTCTCTCTCCAGAGAGTGGACTCCTCGTCGAGTACTGTGCAGGAGTCCCTGCAACATCGCTCCTGTCCTTCTTGAGCTGTGTGTCAACCTCTCTGGCACAGCTCTTTCTCCTCATGACCTATATGCCAGTGTCACCAACACAGCTCTCCTTCCTCCTACCTGGTGACTGTTCTCCTGACTCTCATCTTGTGAACCCCTGAGTGGTAATCAGCTGCATGCTTCTGGACTCAGACCCCATCTTGGCAGAGCTTGTGTCATGGGCCTGAATGCTCAAGAAGCAGGAGGGTCACTGGTTCATATGGAAGGGGCACAGGTATCGGAGATCTAGTCGATACCAGTGGAGAGCATGGTCATAGTGCAGTCTCCATGGAGACCATGGACTCCTACAGACTCACATGCAAAGGAGGACCAGGCCCATATGCGAGGAGGGCCAGGCACAGCCACAAAGAGGACCAAGCTCAAGGAGCATGCAGACAGTTACCACTCAGGGGCTCAAGAGACAAGAGTCAAAGGAGCTGTCACCAGTCAAAGGAGAAGGAGCAGTGTATAGGAAACCAGCAAGCAGGACAGCAAGGAGGAGGAGCAGTGTTGAAGGAGTCGACACAGCTCAAGAGGCACAGGGGTGCCAAGCAGGAGAGGCCCCTGAACAGTACTCGATGAAGAAGGTACTCTCTGGAGAGAGAGCAGGAGCAGCATCGCTGGCGATGCTGTGAAGAGGTATATAACCATACTTTCTCATCATCAAAGGTCGAGTGGATCCTCATCCACTCTACACTCACCATATAACTAGTTATCACTTCAGCATAAGTATACATTAGTTCCAGTCAGCATAGCAGCAATCTATCAAGGTTGCCTCTCATTGTAGTGTGTGTGTTGTATCACCACTACCTGACATCTGAAGGCAGCCCATAGCAGGTCAGTGGTCCAGATATAGATAGAACCGAAGGCAATAGTCCACTGTGGTCCAGGGATCACTTCAAGCATTAGTCAGCACACTGGACACTCATGTTGATGCCACTGAATTACCACCAACACCACCAACCTTATCACCAACACCATCAACCTCATCATCATCAACACTCCCACCAGACCTTGGTGTCAACATAACCTTCGTATTGATAATGATCATGCCGAGCTACCCCTGAACAGAGTGTCCACAGAGGTCAGCCAAAACCTATGATAGTATATACAACAAATGCCACCCACTGTCATCACGCAACTTGATAGTCGCTGAGCGATGTAGCTCATTGAGACTGATACTGAGACAATAGCTGTTGCACAGTTTGATAGCCACCGAGTATCTCGACAGACCAACCTGGGTTTCAGGCACGAGACCCCTGACAGCTTGGTCCTCCTCGCATTTGAGTTCGTCATATGATCATCCTTGTTGCTGATTTCCACAGAATCTGCTATACGATCTCTTCTACTACTGATCTCGGCAGAATTCGTAATACTATCCTTGTTCATGCAGATCTTGCTGGGATCTGTCATAGAACTGTTTCTACCACAGATCTCAATGAACTCTGCTGCAAATCCCACGATCTGCCCGATTCTGTGATTCCTGTGCTCCCTTCATATGAGTTGATGGATCTTCTTACTTCTTGCACATCCAGGGCCATGACAACCACCTTCTTCAGCTCTCCCATCCACCTGCTCCGGGTTCATCATCAAGTCAGCCCCCTGCTTCACCAGGGTGGCAAACCCAATGCTCCCACCTTCTTGTCCTGCTGAGATGTCTGTGCAATTAGCACCCATGTGAGATCCATCATACAATCATGATACTGCAGATCCTGGCAGAATTTGTGATACCATCCTTGCTCATGCCAATTTGGGCGAGATCTGTCATAGAGCCTCTCTACTACAGATCTTGATGAACTCTGTTGTAAACCCCTTGATTTGCCCAATCCTTGATTCCTGCGCTCTGTCACAGGGTCAGTGTATGAAGTGTGCGCCAAATTGATCTGCAGCAATCATCGGGAATTGACGATCTAATCGGGTTGGTAGCACATATGATTTGTGAGATCAACTGAACTCTGGGATCCTGTTTAATCTCACAAGGATCGACCAGAATCAGCCTGATCAGCATGTCTCAGCAAGTCAGCTGTCACAAGCAAGCATCAGGAGATTCAGGAAGGAGGTGTCATGGGCCTGGATGCTCAAGAAGCAGGAGGGCCACTGGTTCATATGGAAGGAGCATAGGTATCGAAGATCTAGTCGATACCAGTAGAGAGCATGGTCGTAGTGCAGTCTCCATGGAGACCATGGACTCCTACAGACTCACATGCAAAGGAGGACCGAGCCATATGCGAGGAGGGCCAGGCACAGCCACGAGGAGGACCAAGCTCAAGGAGCAGGCACAGCCACGAAGAGGACCAAGCTCAGATGGTTACCACTCAGGGGCTCGAGAGACAAGAGTCAAAGGAACTGTCACCGGTCAAAGGAGAAGGAGCAGTGTCGAAGGAGTCGACACCAGGTCATGAGGAGGAGGAGCAGTGTCGAAGGAGTCGACACCACTCAGGAGGCACAGGGGTGCCAAGCAGGAGAGGCCCCTGAGCAGTACTCGATGAAGAAGGTACTCTCTGGAGAGAGAGCAGGAGCAGCATTGCTGGCGATGCTGTGAAGAGGTATATAACCATGCTTTCTCATCATCAAGGTTGAGTGGATCCTCATCCACTCTACTCACCATACAACTAGTCAATACTTTAGAAACATAAGTACTCATTAGTTACAGTCAGCATAGCAGCAATCTATCAAGGTTGCTCCTCATCGTAGTGTGTGTGTTGTATCACCACTACCTGATGTCCGAAGGCGCCTTATAGCAGGTTAGCGGTCCAGATCAAGATAGAACCGAAGGCAGTAGTCCACTGCGGTCCGGGGATCACCTCAAGCATCAGTCAGCACACTGGACACTCATGTTGATGCCACCAACCTTATCACCAACCCAACCTCATTATCATCGACATTCACCAACCTTATCTCCAACCCCATCAACCTCATCATCATCAGCACTCACACCAGACCTTGGTGTCATCATAATCTAAGCATTGATATTGATCATGCCGAGCTACCCCTGAACGGAGTGTCCACAGAGGTCAGCCGAAACCTACGATAGTGTATACACGAACGCCACCCATCGCGCAACTTGATAGTTGCCAAGCGATAAGCTCATCAAGATTGATACCGAGACAATAGCTGTCGCACAGTTTGATAGTCACCGAGTATCTCGACAGACCGACCTGGGTTTCAGGCGCGAGACCCCTGACAGGGATCACCTCAAGCACTCAGTCAACACACTGGACACTCATGTTGACAACAGCAATCTCAATCCCACCAGACCTTGGTGTTAGTATCAATTCATAACAAGTTATTGATCATGCCAAGCTACCTCTGGACAGAGTGTCCACAGTGGTTAGTTGAAACCTGCACTAGCAGAATCACTACTACATCTTTGAGTGGGAAAAGTAATAGAGGCATCTCTATTACATATCTCAACAAGAATTGTAATAATACAAGTGTTGTCACATATCTCGACAGGATTCATAATAGACATGGTTCTATTACAGATATCAGGTTTTGGGCGTGCGACCTCTGACAGAGGGGCAGTGTTGGAGAGGCATGCCAAAGCAAAGGCAGAGTCGCAGGTGACACTGCAAGAATGGTTATATAGCATCACTCCTTGTCACAGCTGTTGAGTGGATCTGGTATCCACTCTACACCATATTTTACTAGTTATAGCTTTCATAGAAGTATACTTAGTAGTCTGTCAACAGTAGCAATTGTAAGACATTGCTCCTATTGTAGTGCATGTGTTGTATCACCGCTCATTGACACTGATCAACATCCCAAAGGCAGTTCATCCAGCAGTCCAGCTCTCTCAATTATTAAAACTGAAGGCAGTCATCCACTGTGGTCTTGGGATCACTTCAAGCACTCAGTTGACACACTGGACACTTGTGTTGGCATCAACAACATCATATGCACCAGACCTTGGTGCCTTCACAATACATTCAACATTATTGATTGTGCCAAGCTACCTCTGGATGGAATGTCCACAGCAGTTAGTCAAGACCTGCAGTAACAATTACCTTATCACATCTTTGGACAAGAAAAGTCATAGAGGCCTTCTACAACAGATCTCGACAGGAACAGTAATAGAAAGCACTCTACCACAGATCTTGACAGGATCTGTAATAGACATGTTTCTATTACAGGTTTCAGGTTTCAGGCGCGAGACCGCTGACAGAGTGTTCCTGTCCTCCTCCTGTCTCCCTTCTCTCTTGAGCTGTGTATTGACCTCCTCAACACTGCCCATCCTCCTCATGGTTCCCATGCCAGTCCCTTGGGCCGGCTCCCTTCCTCTCTCAATCCATGGCCATTCTATTGGCTCCTAACTGATGGTCCTTCCTGACCATGTGACCAACCTTATTGTCCCACTCCCATCCATGCAGTCTACCTTGTGACTGGTTCTATGTGATCACAGGCATGTCCCTCTCTGTGGTAACCTACTGTGTGCTCCTGAGCTCAGTCCTCTTCTTGGCTGAACTTGGGCCCTCTCTCTGCATGTGACACCTTTCCTGGCATCTTCTCTCTGCCTTCAACAATGGGGCCTTCTCTACCAAGCCTCCCATTACTTCCTTGTATTCTGTCAATCCATTCCATACCAATGGGGGCTTCTTGCAGCATGTTTGGTGAGATCAATCTGATGAGTGTATTCTGCTTGATTTCAACAAAACCAACTGGAAAATCTTGATGCTGTTGGTTTCCCTGAAATCAACTGGAAACTTGTGTTACAGTTGATTTCGCATGTTTGTGCATTTTTAGGCACACTTCATCTTTATCTCGGATCTTCCTGCACAGACCCGATCTTCTGCATAGGTCCTATGACACATATCTATTGGTTATTGATTGTGCCGAGCTACCTCTGGACAGAGTGTCCACAGCAGTTAGTCAAAACCTGCAATAACTTTCAAACTACCACATATTCAAGCAAGAAAAGTCATAGAAGGCTTCTATGACAGATTTCAGCAAGAATAATAATAAAGGGCCTTTACCACTGATCTTGCTAGGATCAGTAGTAGTTGTCTCTTTACTACAGATTTCGGGTTTCAGGCACACAACCTCTGACATGCTTCTTGACATCATCCAAAGGCAGTACATTCTGCGGTCCAGATATCGATCGATACTGAAGGCGGTTACATACTGCAGTCCAGCTCTCTCGATCTTAGAACCAAAGGCAGTCATCCACTGTAGTCTGGGGATCATTCAACACAATGACACACTGGGCACTTTTGTTGCATCAACTCATTTGCATCAGACCTTGGTGTCATCTCAAAGAACTTATTGGACATTGATTGTGCCAAGCTACCTCTGGACAGAGTGTCCCCAGCAGTCAGTCAAAATCTGTGATAACCATTAGTTACAATCTACTCAAGTGAGAACAGTCATAGAAGGCTTCTAAGGCAGATTCCAGCAAGAATAACAATAGAAGGTCTTTACAATAGATCATGCCAAGTTTAGTCATAGTTGCCTTTTACTACAGATTTTGGGTTTCAGGTGTGCAACCACTGACATGGATGTCCAGTGAGTTGGAAGTTGCATGTACAGAAGTGCATGGCACTGTCAGCAGTGGAAGTTGAGTTTGTTGCTGCATCTGAAGCAGCATGAGAAGCACTCTTCTTCTTGTTTCTGCTGAGGGACTTGGGAATAAAGGACACCAAACCAGTACTCCATACAGACAGTCAGGGATGCATACAGGTAAGCAAAGATCTGGTAAAGCACTGGAAGCTCAAGCATATCAATACAAGGTACCACTTTGTCAGAGATCAGATGGATGAGCCCGAGAAGAAGCAGCGAGGCAGTCGAGCAGCTCAAGAAGAACAACAGCTGTCAGAAAACTCCTCTTCTTGTGTCACGGCCAGCCAGGAGACTTGCAAAATTGCAGGAGGCATTGATTTTACAAGATCTAGTTGAAGTTATGCAATATGCCACTTCGTCCAGGCTACGTTCTAGCTCCTTTCGCACAGGTATATGATAGATGCAATGCTTCAGATTTTAGATGAACTATGACTACAGGACTGTCTGTATATATACCTTTGTCCCATCTATGAAAAGTCCTATCATCATCCCACTAATTGAGCACTCCATGTGTTGCCTTGGTGTTGTCTCCCACAGACGTCTCCTAATTGGTCGCCACATGTCAATCATGCATGCATGTCGGCCTCTCAGCGACTCGGCTTTCTCGCATGTCGCTTAAAACTCCTGGTAATTCCGTCGCATCTTTAACTGATCTCCAACTCCTTCTCGCTCAAGATCGGATAGACGTCCAACACTCAGGCCGAAACGTGTTCCTCTCTCTCCGCGTTGTCTGATCTTCGTCTTTCCTTCCTCCCGCTCGCAACGCAACCCAACACTGCACGCTTGACTCGCGCAACCCCTGACCTCTTGGTCCATCTCTTTTGAGGAAAGCAAATCTTGCATTGACCCGCCGTGTCTTCTCATTGCGGTCGATACTCATCACAATGTGCAGCGCTACCTTTGCACATTGATAGGTTCGCTCTCAACGTCAGACGCAGCGTATCAAAGGAAGACCTGTGGGCGGGCCCGATCAAGGTGTACATAGGTGTCATCCCGATCGATACGGCTCCAACTGTCACTGCAGTCTCTTCTCACGAGAGAATGTATCACAGACGAGAAGCATACCAGGTAGCACTACACTACTCGTACATTACTAAGAGATCGATGCTAAATCCCTGCCTTAGATCGGCAACAACGAAGCTCCACCGCGCATCAACATGCTTCCACCGTACCTTAGTGTCGTCGTACCACCGGGGAAGTATGCTGCCAGATACGTTGCCAATGCACCCACTTGAACGATCGCACAAATGAGTGTAGGAAGCATCTTGCGTGGTCCTACTGCAAAGTAGATCGTCAATCCTAGCGATCCGAAGTATGCGACTGAAAATGGCAGACGTTCCTTGCTGCAGATGTGTTTGAGATGCGCCAATGGTCCTGAGAGGATGGAGAAGCCGATCATGAACAGCATGCTTCCGAGCGAGAATGCGAGTGCGAACTTTTGTGGCCGCAATGCGAGGATCGGCGGTGACAAGAAGATGAACGAGAAGAAGAAGCATACTGCTGCACCAGCAATGCATGCTAGAAAGCCGAGGAACCTGTTGCGTCAAGCAAGAACGTGTCAGCTAGTGCGTTCGGAGCTGTCGCAAGGAGGTTGCCCGGCGCTGCATGAAGAGGCGAGTCGGGTGGATGATCGACACTTACCTCTCCCATCTGCTTAAGCTCAGATAGGCTTCCTCTTCATTTGTGCGTTCATTCGACCGTAATGGCACGTAGCCTGAGATACTATTAGTGATTGTAGAGAGATAGCTTCCTCCCGATGCGTTTTGTGGTCTCGAGTCGTCTGTCCTTCCTTGTGCCCATCGGAAGCCCGACAGCTCGGAGCGGTAGTTTGTTTCTGTGGACGCCATCGTTGCCGGCTTCCTGCGAGTTTTGAAGCTTGGAAGGATGTCTTGTGCTTCAGCGACCCTTTCGTGTTTGTCAGTGTCCTTTGAGAATGATAACGCGGTCGTCGGTGTGGCCTTGTACGCGTGTGTTGACGAGTGTTGCTGGGATGAGGACAGTTGTGACGCGCTTGTGATGGTGTCACTCACCTGTGTGAGTGTGTGTTGGGTTGCGGTGGAGGCTCGTTGCTGTGTCTCGTGCGAATGGAATTTGGCTTTGAACTGAGCGGAGCTGCAAGAAAGAAAGAAAGAAAGAAAAAAGGTTCCTTCCTCGCGCTTCGAACACGGAAATCACTCTCTATCCTCGCGCATCAGCCTTCTTGACCAACACCTTCCAATTCACGCACGCACACACACGCACACACACGCCTACTTTCTTCCAGCCAAGCTTCCAGACTTCCGACGTCTGAACCTTTCTTTCCGACCATCTCTCCACCTTTCCGCTTTTCTCGACTACATTCTCGCCTTTGCATCAACGTCGAGTGAAAGTGCATACACAGGCCCGAGAGCACCTTTCCTTTCGCCCACACACAGCACACAACCATGTCGGCCATCGAGCTGATCAACCCAAGAGCCGAGTCCGTTCGTCGGACTCAGGCTCTTCAAGTCAATACTGCCGGTGCTATCGGTCTCGCACAAGTCGTTCGTTCTAACCTTGGACCTCGTGGTACCATCAAGATGCTCGTCGATGGTTCCGGCAACCTTAAAATGACAAAGGACGGCAAGGTCCTTCTCACCGAAATGCAAATCCAAAACCCTACCGCCGCCATGATCGCACGTACCGCCGTAGCACAGGATGAACAGTGTGGTGATGGTACCACCTCTGTCGTTCTTCTTGTCGGTGAGTTGCTCAAGCAGGCTGAGCGATACATTCAGGAAGGTGTTCACCCTCGTGTCATCAGCGAAGGTTTTGATGTTGCCAAGACCGGTGCGCTCAAGTTCCTTGAACAGTTCAAGAAGAGCCCCGAGATGGACCGTGCCACGCTCGTTAAGGTCGCCACTACTTCGCTCTCCACCAAGCTTCACACAAAGCTCGCTACGCAACTTGCTGCTGACATCGTCGATGCTGTTCTCGCCATCAAGCCCACTACTACTTCCACCATAGAGGCGCCAGCACCCACCGCAGACGGCAGCAGCGAGAGTGTCTCCGAGTGGAACATCAAGGACCCTATCGACTTGCACATGGTCGAAATCATGAAGATGCAGCACAAGACCGAAACCGATACCCAACTCGTTCGTGGTCTCGTCCTCGATCACGGCGCTCGTCACGCCGATATGCCCAAACGTCTCGAAAACGCCTACGTCCTCACTCTCAACGTTTCGCTCGAATACGAAAAGACCGAAGTCAACTCTGGCTTCTTCTACTCTTCCGCCGAACAGCGTGAAAAGCTCGTCGAGAGCGAACGTCGTTTTGTCGATGCCAAGCTCAAGAAGATTGTCGAGCTCAAACAGGCCGTTTGCGATGCACCTACCGAAGGCAGCAACGAGAAGAAGAAGAACTTTGTCATTTTCAACCAAAAAGGTATCGACCCTATGTCGCTCGACATTCTTGCCAAGAATGGCATCCTTGCATTGCGACGTGCAAAGAGGAGGAACATGGAGAGGCTACAGTTGTGCTGTGGAGGTGTAGCTCAGAACTCGGTGGATGATTTGAGCCCGGATGTTCTTGGTTATGCCGGGTTGGTCTACGAGCACACGTTGGGTGAGGAGAAGTACACCTTTGTCGAGGAATGCAAGGACCCCAAATCGGTGACGATCTTGATTAAGGGTCCTAACGCCCATACGATGTCGCAGATTCAGGATGCTGTTCGTGACGGTCTTCGATCAGTCAAGAATGCCATTGAAGATACAACGCTGATTGCTGGTGGAGGTGCTTTTGAGATTTCGGCAAGCAACTATTTGACTTCAGAGGTGAAGAAGTCGGCTAAGGGTAGGGCTAAGTTGGGTGTGCAAGCTTTCGCAGATGCCATGTTGGTGATTCCCAAGACGCTGGCTAGCAATTCGGGCTTTGATGTCCAGGATTGCATTGTGGCGCTTCAGGAGGAGGCCAGTGAGGGGAACGTGGTCGGGTTGGATGTGCAGACTGGTGAACCGATGGATCCGATCAGTCAGGGTATCTGGGATAACTACAGGGTTAAGCGTCATATGCTTCATAGCTCGGCGGTTATCGCTTCGAATCTGCTCAGTGTCGACGAGATCTTGAGGGCCGGAAGGAGCAGTCTTAAGAGCGAGGCTCCTATGGGTTAGAAGAGCAGTGGAAATTGAAACAAAACAAGCAGCAACAGGCTATAAGGCACCGATCGCAAAACCGAATCTTTGTAAAACAACTCATCCTCTCTTTTTGTGCCGATGCATTGCATATCAGCACATTGTTTGATCCATCTTTCTGGCTGCAGCATGTTGCTGAAGCATGTTGAGACGGTTGCACACTTGAGCGCACAGTGCGAGGTGTGAAGTGAAAGAATGTGTGGATTGATGTGGTAAAGCATATGCTAGTGATGTATGCCGAGATGATAGATGAAAGAACTTGAGTCTGGGGGTTGTTGTCATAACAGTGCGTGTGACGAAGCCAGAAGCGTAAGTTGGCTTCAGTGAGCCTTGCTGGTCTCCTTGTGTCCACTAGTAAGGTGCAAATCATCCATATGAACCTCCAAAAATCCCTTCACGGCTTCATAGGTTACGAAACTGGTTCCAATACTCGGCGCCACTTTCAATAGATTCGGCAGCAAACCTCTATACAGTCCCGTCACCCCTTCTGCCTTGATAATGTTCTGAATCGCATTAATGGCGTTCTTATCCTTGTAACCCAACTTTTCCTGACTGTCCTTCATTCCTGCCACCTGCATCCTTCTCCTCAGTACATCCAGCGGGTAGGTTAGGGTCTGAGAGATGGACCCCGCTAACGCACCACAAGCCAATTTCATCAACGGACTCGGTTCCGACCCGTCTAGCGGCGTGATACGTTTCCTTGCCGCCTCGTAAAAGTAGAAATTCAAAGCCACATAGGGCGCAACTCCGATAGATGTAGGTACACAACCTCTATACAGCCCTCTCAGGCCTCCCTCTTCGCGATACACTTTCGAAGTCATTTGCCATATTCCTGGGAATGCTTTCTGTCTCGCCGCGATCTGCTCTCGTAGTACTTGCTGTGAGGCTTTCTTCACTGCTTGAGTAGCTTGGGATCTCGCTTCGTTGTACATGTTTGCACTTGCAATGCTGATCCTTGACCGTACCAAATCGAGTGGATAGGTGGAAACGACACTGGCGACTCCGGCTACAGCACCGGCGGTGAGTTTGCGTATAACGTCGAGCTCGCCGGTTTCTTCGTTGCGAAGGTAAGTCTTGCACATTTCGTAAGTTGTGAATTGAACAGCGGAATAAGGGGCGATGCGAAGACAGTTGATTCCGTTGCCACGCATGAAGCCAGCAAAACCTTCTTCTTTCCACATCTTGACGAGACCGGTCCAGACGCCGTTGTAGGCTCGTTTGCTGGCTGCTTTGCTCGTCTTGGCCGGGCCAGAAGAGGTAGAGGAGGTGGTGGAGGAGGTCTGGGGTTGAACCTGCATAATGATTTTCAGTCGTTCGAGGGGGGAGACGACGGTACGGGAAGTTGCACCCGCTGCTCCTCCGGCGAGGAAGTAAGTTATGAGGAAAGCATAGTTCGTCCTGTGAGACTGGGTGTGGTGGGAGTCGTCGCAGTCGTCGTCTGTGTCGTTGCTGGTGAGGGTGCAGCCGGATCCGACGGAGGTTTGGGTCGTCTCGGAAGCTAGGCCAAGCTGTTCGAGTACTTTTGCTCGAGCGATTTCTGTGGGCGTGAGCGAGTCGGCTGAGGCTGATGCTCGCATGGTTCGTGAGCTGGAACGCAGTATTGGTGGTCGGTCCGATGGGAGGGGTGATGCGGAAGTGGAGCTGGCGAGGTTGACGAGCGATGCAGCAGAATCGAGGAAGCTTTCGAGCGTGGAAGCTGATGTCGAGGCTTGGCTTGAACGTGTTAGCGCGGCCAAGGGCCGATTGCTATCCACTGCGGCCGACATGCTGTGTGGTTGCTAGGGTGAGATCAAAGCAGAGCCTATGATGAAGATGAGAGCATAGCACAAGTTGATTGGAGGAGGTGAGGACCAGAGAGGCTGCCGTGTCGATTCCACCAGACGTGTCAAGATCTCTTGCTCTCGTGAGCAACGCAGCTCTTCTTGGTCCAGAAGGCGTGGTTGGTTATGGTAGTAAGTGTTGAGAAGGTCAAGTTGCGGGATGATGGTGCTTTCAAGAACACTGATTCGCGTTGTGCTTGAAGCGGTCTCTGTGTGTTTCCCGCTCCAGATCGGCGTGACTCGCTCGGAAGTGGCCGGCTGCCGTCACAATTGTACCTCTCTCTCTGTTTTCTCTCTAGAAAATTCGCCCCAACACAGCGCGACTTTGGTGTATGTGTGACCCCGCGTTCGGTTTCTGCCTGTCCGAACAAGATCGGCAGCCTCGGTCAATTGCCGCGAGTCAGACAAGCGGCTTCAATTGCGTACCTGAGAGGCTTTCTATGTTGGCCGTCACCTTCGTTCGAGAGGGCTCTAGCGTGCTCGATGTTGGTGTAAGGTCCGTTACAGTCGATACTGCCTGTTCCATCTGCTCCCACAGTAACTTATTCAAATTCGTGGAGGGACACGGTAGCAGAGAAACCTTGGTCCTTGCTCGTAGGAGGTCAGAATGGAGCTGCTGCAAGAAGGAACGGGACCACCAGATGACCTTATAAGAGAATCAACGAGATCGTCCCACTAGCTTTAGGAGTCACACGTCACACGTCACACATCCTTCACGAGGGCTCGCTGGCTTTGCTCGCTTGTTTGCTTCTCAACCCGACTCGTGTGAGGAAAGACAGCCGGCACTTTTACTCTAGCCTCTGCTCTGGAACCGGTCGGATGATCGCCGGAGCTGGATTCGAAGAGCGTGAAATGCGTTCATGTGTCACACATTCTGTCCTGCTAAGAGCGTCTCTCCCAGTCTAGAGGCATGAGCGTCACACAAGACCATCAAACAAGACCGTCACAGAGCGGAACACTGCAAGTGTTGAAAGCGGGCGAACAGCATTCCACTTGCCCTTGCCGATCCTCTCCGACTTTGGCGAGGGTTTAGGATATCGCCGATTTACTTCCTAAGCACGAGCCCGATTCAAATATTGCCGATTCGATCACACTCTTCTCTCAATACTCACGCTCTCATCTACCAAGGATCGCCATCAATCACACTTCTGTTCAGGCCCAAGCTTGGCATGTTTTCGTGAGAATAATTGCTTGCGCATATGTTTACGCTCCTTGCTATGTGTCAAGGAAAGCTATAGATCGATCTTTCGACCAGTGTGTTTTGGGTGTATGTGAGAGTACAAGAGATGCTGAATGGGCATCAACGAAAATGAATGAACAAGGCCAAAGAAGAAGAAAAGGTAAAGAAACGATTGCATCTGTTGGAAAATGCAGGCGGGAAAAGCGACAACCATTAAATGTAGGTGTCGTAAGCCTGGGGAGCAAGGGTCTCGGGGGTGTTGTTCTTCATCGAGAGCGTGTGGGCAGTGCGGGGAGCGGCAGGGAGACGCTTGAGCTGGACACGCTCACCCTTAGCCTTAGCCGTCTTCTTGAGCTCAGCGTTGCGCTTGACACGCTGCAAGAAGTCGTCACGGCACTTGGAGTGCTTGACGTGCTCGATGCGCACGTTGACACGCTTCTCAATGTATCGGTTGCCAACCACCTTGTAGATGATCACACCAACGGCTCGTGGGGCGACGTTAAAGACAACACCGGTACGACCGTGGTAGTACTTGTGGGGCATACCCTTCTGCTCAGCGGCGTTGGCCTTGATGTCGACAATGTCACCGGCGTGGAAGGGTCGGAGGTAGGTCGACAGCTTGATGGGACCATGCTGGCGGAACTTCCTCGCAAAGAGGTGACGGGTGCGGGCCCTGTAACCGAAAGAGTGCTATTGTTGTCGCAGTGGTGTGCAATGCGTAATATATGGTAAGGAAAGGGTCAGCATTTGGCCCGATGTTGATAGTGGGCGAAACTGTTGCCAACAAACGTCACGTCGTCGTCTTTGCATCATCCAAACAGTCGGCAAGGGTCGATGTGATCTTCAAAGTGTTCTCCTTCCCGACATTTCCGCAGCAGATGAGGCAACCCTCAATCTTATCCTATCAGCGAAGCTTTCGCTGTCTCCATGTGCTCTGACTCTTGAGCCATTTTTAAATGTGTGTTGTCGGAGTGATGCGTGCTGTAGAGTGCATGTCCGGGCGAATAGGCGCGATATGTCCAGCATGAAGAGCTTGGATTTCGGATCGACCTCGTAAGGAATCTGAAGCTGCTTTCCGAAAGGACGAGGAGAAGAAGCTGCAGTGTGCCATGACATCCGTCGATTCTGCAACTTCTACGTGAATTGCAACCTTCGAATTCTCGAGCAATGCTGTGTCGGCTGATCATGTTGGGGCTGAGGATGCTTCGGCGGATGTACGACAAGACAAGAATGCTGTCGACGGTTGCCGTGATCACTTGGATTTGCTTCAAGGTCTTCAGTCTGCCCAAGCCGTTCGTTCTGCTAGTCCTTCTTATATTTCGTTTCCATCGTAATGAACAGCGGCACTGCAACGATCGGCGGATCGATCCAGTTCATCTTCATCATACGTCCTGAACACCGTTGTTTGCAATGTCGTAACTTCCTTCATCGACAGCGATACCTCGTCCTCCTAAGGATCATGTTATGCCTGCTGATTACTACTTCTGTCCGATCAATTGCTGGCTGGTTGATGCTAATTGTCGATGCATAGACTTGACTTGACGTTGCTGGCAGCCTTGAGATCATACTTACAGGCATCGTGGATTAATGATCTCTTGAGGTGGTGATGGTGACGAAAAGGGTGATGATGACAGGCACCTCGAATCCCTTTGGTCTGGCTTGCTCGCTGAGACTGACCGGCTGGTTGGCTTCTAAGAGACTGAGAAACTGACTTGTGGCTACAGTGACTAACTGGCTGGCCGACTAACAGACCAGATTTGACCTCGAATTTCCTCCAGCCTGACTCTTGGTCTGCTCCTGACGCAGCACCTCAACGAGGTAAGGAGCGAGGCATGGCCTTCGACTCTTCGCAGGCTGCAGGCTGATTCTCTCTCAAGCGCGGACCCGCTCCCTGATGATGAGGTTCAAGTTCGTGGGTAAAAAAGGAGATGAATACAAACTTGTATCTGACTTTCTTCGGCCGATGGTGTTTCCAGCTGCAAAAATGCAGGCCCCCAAATACAAAGTTTAATCAGTTCGAATTTTGACTGGCTTTGCTGCCGTTGTGTTTTTTCGACACTACGCTCGCTGCGAAAAACTGGTCCATCGCACTCCAATTCCTAGCCAGCCAGGGAGCCAGCCAGTAGAGTTGAGACCAGGAAAAGCAGTGAGTTGTCGACCCTGAAATCAAAGCACCACACAGAGACAAACCCCAGCCCACAGTCAGTGTAGCGAGTCGAAAGCAGCAGCAGCAGCAAGCAACCAAGCAGCGTTCAGAGAGTCGACACACAACAGCAAGCTCAAGTCGTTGATTCACTCCGTCCTCGTCACCTTCCAGTCCCTCACCATATCCATCAAGGTAAGTCGCACCCGAACCCATGCGTTCAGGTGCTCGAGATATGCCCATGGTGGCCTCGATCAAACACAGCCCCCGCGACACATGTCAGCAACACTGGCAACAGCAGCAGCAATGAAAGAGTATTCGACACGACCAAGGATTGGACTACGACAACGACATAGGATCATTCCATAGCATCGACAACTATACCCGACATCATAAATTACCCATATACCAACGACACAACTCGCTCTCTCAGTCACAATCATGCGCACGACGCCGGCAGGACATATAGATGGAAGCATCGTAATTGGAAGTTGGTGTACATCCGATTCCCCAACAAAGCATGGCGTCCTCAGCACACATCACTAGCACGCATTGCTTCCATCAACAAACTGCCAGATCAGGCGTCGCGTTTTCATCTCATTTTGGGCTGCATCACACGTTCAAACGTATTCGCAGATGCCTTTACCTCTTCTTCACAGAAGCTATCTCAGCCTAGGCGCATCGCTGGACTCCAATCACCTCAATTACACCAGCTGGCAGGACGTATTCGACTCTACATCAAGAGTCTGTGCCTCGGGAACGTCGCTAGTTGTCGTAGATACTGTGTTCGCACACCTCTACTCAGCCGCTACGTTTGTCTGGGATGAGGACGCTAGAGTTTCGAGCTTCCTTTGCCTACCCAGCGCTGGATGATCACCACTCAAAATCACCCTCCTTACTCTTTTCATTCGGTTGTTCGTTGGTTGTTGCCGACAGAACCAAGGGTGACTTGATCGAGGCAACTTAGCATTTCAAGAGCTTTGACCCTCGCATGCACAAATAGGCAACATCAGCTTGGTCACGGTTTTTACTGACCTACATGTTGCCCGCCCTGCTCTCTTGTCTTGACTCACTCTCCTTTTCTCTCTTTTCACCGCATCGTAGACAAAATGCCTCGCGCTCCTCGCAAGCAGTCCAAGACCGCCAAGGTTCCCCGACGACCTTTTGAGTCGGCCCGTCTCGACAGTGAGCTTAAGCTCGCTGGTGAGTACGGTCTGCGCAACAAGCGTGAGATCTGGCGCATTGCCCTCACCCTCTCCAAGATCCGACGTGCTGCTCGTGAGCTCCTCAAGCTCGACGAGAAGGACCCCAAGCGTCTTTTCGAGGGCAATGCCATCATTCGCCGTCTTGTGCGCATTGGTGTGCTCGACGAGTCCCGCATGCGTCTCGATTACGTGCTCGCCCTCAAGATCGAGGACTTCTTGGAGCGTCGTCTTCAGACCCAGGTCTTCAAGTCTGGTCTTGCCAAGTCCATCCACCACGCCCGTGTCTTGATCGTTCAGCGTCACATTCGTGTCGGCAAGCAGATCGTCAACGTTCCTTCCTTTGTCGTTCGTCTTGACTCGCAGAAGCACATTGACTTTGCTCTCACCTCGCCTTACGGTGGTGCCCGTGCTGGTCGTGTTAAGCGTAAGCGTGCTGCTGCCGCCGCTGCCGCTGCCGGCGGTGACGACGCCGAGGAGGACGAGGAGTAAATTACTCTCCCACCTCTCCTTCACCCTCAATCATCAACTCAACCCCCTCACATCACATCTACGCTCCAGCATAGGTCCACTCTTTCGACTCACGATGGCTAGCTTGCCTTTCAGCCTTAGTTGAGGTGAAAAGGTGGATCTCTTCAACATGCACACATACACATTGTATTTTTTCTCTCTTCATTCTTTTCACCAAAGAGACCCGGGCACGCACCTACACACAGCGTCGTGTCGACCCACACTCACATCACGCACACCCCCAAAAGAAAGGCAATATTATAGGCTTCTGCTCTCCATACTCTCCTGTTTGTGCACGGTCTGTTTCATTGTCGGTCTTGTCTTGTGCGAATGAGCTTGCTGATTCCGGTTAATAGTACATGTGAGAGGATGGGTAAGGGTTCATTCTTCGGCAAGCTGCAATTCGAGACTCTCAGCATAAACCTCTTGCATCAGTTCCTGGATCTCTCCTCTTGTCTCCTTGACCTGGTTGTTTAGCTCCGCTATCCGTTCCTTTGCTTCTGCTTCATCCCTTCCCCCATCGCTTGCCTCTTGTGACGGCATCAAAGTTGTCTTTCTGAGCTGATCGCGCTGAACAACACTCCGCAGTAAAGCGTTTTCTTTCGTCTGAATCTTGTCTGCAAGTGTTGCGAGATTTGGCGAGGTACAGTGGGATAGTTCCGTTTGAATGGCTCGAAGACGATGCCCGCATTCTATAAGTGCTTGTGCAGTGATCTGGAGGATCTGTGCGAGGAGGTCTTCAGAGAGAGGGACGGTGGTTGTGCTGCATCCTGAGCAGCCGCGGCCGTTGCCGTTTGGCGCCGTTTCGGATTCAACTTCGGCAGTGTGGGTAGGGTGTGAGTTGGTGTTGAGCGACCCATTCACAGGACCAGCAGAGGATGAAGACGAAGGATTGAGGAAAGTATCAAAGGCATCGTCGTATTCTCTCCAGACGCTAATACGGCGTTCTTGGACTTCTTTGACTGCTTTTAGGAGCTCCAGGGGTGTGGAGGTTGAGGTTGAAGGTGCAATTGCACCGTGAATGCCATTCGGTGTTGGTTCTGGCATCCTGGCTGATAAGGACCGAATCGATAGCTGGGGATGTGAGGAAGGGTGTGTGGTGGAGGTCCAGAAGACATGGTGGAGGCATACGAAGCTTTTGAAGGTGGCTCGGGATTATGTGATTACGTAATGCTTATTTTTCGACGCGGTCCTACTGCGAAGGTTGTGGAGTTGACCTTTGCTGTTGCTGCCGCTTTTGACAGCTTCACATACAACACTTCTTAAGTCTCAACACCATCTCGGCCAAGATCTTGTCTGGTAGCTCTCCACACGACGGCAGAGGTTCCTAGCTCGTATTCGCACGCACCCGAACTCAACAGTTTGCAGTCCGACAAGCTTCAGTCTTGATTGCACCGCATCGAGATCCAGCAAGGAATTCTGGTTCAACACACACACCACCTAGCATTTTAGCATGTCTGAACGTGTAAGTCCCATCCTTCACCTTCACTGGCACCACTTACAACTTTATGGTGCTTCGTATTGCTGACACTGACATCTACCCCCCATCCCCTACTCAACCCGATAATCACTTCCGCAACGTAGGGCCGAGGCGGCAGAGGAGGACCCTCCAACCGCGGCTCTTCCAACAGCCGTGGCAACTCCAACAACACTCGGGGTGGCTTCTCCAACAACCGCGGCGGCGGTCGTGGTGGATCCCACTCCTCTAGCTCTATCCCATCAGAACGTCCTAAGAAGGAAGCAATCCTCGATCTGACCAAATACATTGATCAGAAGATCCGAGTCAAGTTCGCAGGTGGCAGAGAAGTGTTTGGTATCCTAAAAGGTTTCGATCAGTTGATGAACCTCGTTATGGACGAAGTTACCGAATCGCTGCGGGATGAAGAAGGGAATGTCACAGACAAGACAAGGTCGCTAGGGTTGGTGGTGTTGAGAGGTACGGCGTTGACGGTGATCAATCCTGCTGATGGATTTGAGAGTATCGAAAAGTAAGTGTTGCTTCGCTTCCATGAAGTTCTGGACCATTGAATGGGGAATTATGGCTGACTGATTCTTTCCGCTTCTTCTGCCACGCAGCCCTTTCGCATAGGCCGACTGAGGAACGAACGCCGCTGCCGAGTTTGAGAGCACAAAGCAAGCATGACGACAATAATTCAGTCAATCTATTATCTAGCACCACGCAGGTGCAGGTCACGATCACGAATGCAAAAGGTGTACTTGTAAGGCCTTGCTTATCAGCAAGCGTGCTCACTGGCGTTCATCGGGAAGAGCCAAAAGATCAGTGAGGAAGTCGACACAGAACGAACAGCAGCACGCACGACTTTCTTCGCTCAAGTGACTGAGATTCAGAAGATGAACAGGAACGGCGTCTATCGAACAGATCAGTATCGTAGGACCAGCTTCAGCCTCGAAGCTCCTTCCATCCAGGAGCATCCAACACAAACCCATCCCTCGACTCACCAGACATCACATGATTAACCTCCAGCTCCAAATCTCTTCTCGGATCCCACTCCCAGCCCTCCTCCTCCTCCTCCCCCTCATCCTGCAGATCCCACACACTAACCCCGACCTCGTTCTTCCCCCTCAAATCCACCACACCACTATGAACCGGGAACTTAATCTGCGGTCCTAGGTTGTTCACATACTTGCCCATCTGCCAGCCGTTTATATACAGCTGTGCGCGGAACTTCCTCCCTTTGCGCTGTTTGAAGATGAAGTTGAGTCCGATATCCGTTTCACCGGGGGCATTCAGAGTGAAGGTTGTTCGGTAGAACACCACTTTCCTTCTTCCTCTTCCTCTTTTGCTGGAGTGTAGAGGAAAGGGGAGCGAGGTCCAAGAGGAGGTATCGAAACCTGGAAGATGCCAACCTTGGACTTCCGCATGCAATCCCCCTTCATTCAGACTTCTCCTAACCCTATCCGGCGCGTTTTCGCCTTTGAAGTTTCCTTGAACCTTCCATTCTACCTGTGGTTCAGCAAGAGAGTTAGAGCGGAGAGAGGGGAAAGAGAAGGCCACGATTCCGCGTGGGAGTTTCACCGCTTCCAGTGCCCGATCTTCTCCGTGGAACCCAATGGGTAGTTCGCCAGCTTCCATCTCTATACCCATATGATCCTGCAACACTAGCACCACGTTCGCCTCCTCACCCTCGGTCAAGACCCTCGATGGAATAGTAAATCTTCTACCAGCAACAGACGTCTCCCTTCCCGCCTCGGCACTTCCTAGATAAACACCGTTAAGCCAAACACTAAACGCGGACGACCTCCCGCCTTCCACCTTAACAAACAAATCTTTGATACCTTCTAACTCGGAGGGAGTAGAGAAGTGTCCGCGCCAGATGATGTAGTTGGAGTGAAACCCATATTCTGAAGCAAAAAGAATCTTCCCTTGCGTATCTAAGCTAGAATCCCGGGTGTAAGGGTTAGGAGAGTGAGTTTTGTTCGCTTTTACCCAAGTAGAATCGTCGTGATCGGGTTTGCCTTCGGGGATTGAGTCTGCCCATTTCCAGTCGAGCTTACTCAAATGAGGAGGTTTCCATTCCAAAGCTGCCTGAGAGGGCCCGGGGAGGGAAAGAACATAGAACCATTCATTCGGGGTTTGTGGTTTCGCTTCGACTCTCTTTCCGTTCCAATACACGTATTTGAGGCTGCGGAGGGCCATCATTACCGCGGTGGAGTCCTGAGAGAGCGAGCCCCAAAGATGGAGGGTATCGAGTGGACGAGCGGTGGTTGAGTAGGTGGCGTTACGGAGAAGGTCGACTTTGATGAGGATTACGCTGTCTTCTGAGTAGTTGAAGAAGCGGTTTGCCAGGTTAGCTTTGTGGGGTCGTAACAGGGATACGGAGGGTGAGGAATCGGAGTAGCGTGCGGGAGCAGCAAAGTCGCGCTGCGTGAAAGAAGTCGATGTGATGTGAATAACGATATAAGTGCCTCCTGATGTTTTGTACACCACTTGGCGACTAAACACATTGCTTGCGGTACGATAAGGAACTCTAGCTCTGACGTTGTAAGGATCAGTATCGAGATCCGAATGCATGCTCTTCAACAGCTCCCATTCCTCCCCATCTACCTGTTGCACCTCAGCTCTGGTGGTACTGGTGGTGAACACCTGCATACCCACAAAACGATTCTCCCCATCCTGCATCGTGAGCGAATATTCGATCATCTGTCCCACCTCGTAGTCAAACGAAATCACCACAACGTTCGCCATCGTCGCAACCCTATACACATTCACAGTGCTGAACCTTAACAACAACCCACCCGGCAACTCTTGATCCACTGGAACAATGTGACTGTCTCGACCTTTGAGAAAGTTGGTCCCGAACAGCTCTTCGTCGCTATCACTCCGCCTTTCCCCCACGGTGATGCTTTCGCCCAGAGATTCGATCGTGAGGGCAAAGTGGGTGCTTCGAGACTCGGTGGTGTTGTCGTATCGGATGAAGTAGAACTTGCTCTTTGTCTGCGGGTTTTCGAGCACTGTTGTGCGGAAGAGGTTGGCTTCAACTTTGTGTTTCGTGTCCATATCGTAGGTCTGAGATAAGTTGAACCCAGGCTCGTCGACAATCTGCTCCGTCATCGCCAAGTCCATGAAACTAGAAAGGAAATACCCCTGTCTCTTAAGCTCCGTATACTTCCCAGTCGTTTGTCTGTGCTCGTCAATCGCCGCCCCATAATCATAAGAAGTATAGACATCAGGTTCGGCAAGTCCACCCCAATTCGTACCGCCATACACCATATACAACGACAACAGTGTCACTCTCTGAGACCACAACGCAGTATTCGCCACCCGAGTGAAACTTGCATTTGTCATCCTCCCACACGCTTCATACCCAGGTCCTCCATAAGGGTCGTAACTTCCACCCTGGAACTCTGGGATGTAGAACGGCTGATCGGGGTTCGTCTCCTCATGATACTTCAGGTAGTCATCGCGGAATGGGACCCATGTGGATGGGTGCGAACAGTCAAAGCGTTGAGGGTAGGAGTCGAGACCGTAAAGATCGACTAGATCGACAAAGTTGGAGTCTCGACTAGGATCGTTATACGTGATTGGGACTGATATGCCGTGAAGTTTAAGGATGGAGACGAGTTCGCGCATGTAGGCTCGTTCTGCGGCGCCTGTTTTGTATTCGTTATCTGCTTGTACGAGGATTACGCTTCCTCCTGTAATGCGGTCTGATTGAGAGCTGTTGTGGACGAGCTGATGCTTGACTACGACTTTAGAGATGGCATTGATGTAAGGCTTCCATGCGTTTTGCCAAGCTGTGTCGTTGGTTCGGAGTACAGCATCGATGTTGACTGTCCAAGGGGCCATACCGCCCACGGTGGTCTCTGCATTGATGTATGGGCCTGGTCGAACGATGACGAAGAGACCTTCTTCTTTCGCCATCGTAAGGAAGAAGTCCAGGTCGTTGACGCCGGTGAGATCGATCGAAGCAGGATCGGGGGTGGGCTGAATAAGACCCCAATGTGTGTAGATCGAGGCGGTGTTAAAGCCAGCGGCTTTGATCTTCTGAATCACATCCCTCCATAGGCTGGGCACGGGAAGACGCCAAGGATGGAACTCGGCTGCAAGGATGAAGAGTCGTTGTTGACCACCAGCGAGAGCTAGACTGTATTTGTCAAAGACGATGGCTGAGTTGTTGCTGGCCAGTGGTAGGGTCCATTTCTTGGATCGCCATGAATCAGTACCGTGGTACAATGCGGTCGCATTCTGATGAGGGGAGGAGGATTGGGGTGAGAAAGGCACTTGGTTCGCACTTGCAGGATGGAAGAGACACGCAAGCCCTGCGGCGACACAGCCTGTCAAAGCTGCGGCTGTCAGCCTCATCCTGAAACCATTCCGATTTCGCTACCTAGAAGAGCAAACCAAGCAATTCCGGCCCTGTGTCGATGCTCTGTCGGGCCTTGAGCTCTATACAAAGGATAGACAGATGGATGTCTAGGGAGCAACCGATGTGGGGATCGCCCCGAGCGCGGTATTTGACAGGAACTTTGCTTGTGGGGTCGGCCGTCGGAATTGTACGCTTTTCTGCGCCTTCGAGTGCTAACCGCTGAATCCTTGCCCGGCTGACGAAGTCGTCTGCAAGAGCAAGCTGGCTCCTGCTTCTCGCTACAAGAGCTAAGAAAGCTGTCAGGATAAGCATGGTTAACGTGATGCAAGTCAAGAGGTGCAGAACGCATGAACCGTGCACATTGTGGAGGGAAGCAACCGAAATTTGGCTGGCGGTTTTCTCACACTTCTATCTGACAAGGCTGGTCTCATGTCTTGCTCCTATCGGTCAACTTTAGCATGGATGGATGCGATCATCTAATGGAGCCTCCTTCCTGCAACGCAAGCTCCCTTCACGAGTTCAGAAGAGTTCTCGCTTGGTTTCTGGCTGCCAATGGGTCCCTTCTGTCGGCCAAGAGCCCGGCCCACGTAAGCTCTCCCTCATCGTTGATGCATGTGCTGATATTAAACCCGATTCTGTGGATGAGAATGAAGTATTATTCCAGACGACAGAGAAAAAGCGTGTTGCGTCCTAATGTATAAATTACAACGACGCTCAGTACAGACGAAAAGGACAAAACTTTATATGGCGAGACAGTGTGGTCAGATGACGGCATCAGGACTGCCTGAATAGCTAAAGAAGCTCGTTTGCAGACAACGTGCAGTGATAACCCGCGAACGGCATGACGAATGAAGGAAAAGAATGCATGTTTCGTGACGCCCTCAGCGCAGCTCGGGTGGATGGACCTGTTGCAGCGTTGGCTTAGTTGTTGACAGGAGGAACGGGACCCTCGTCCTGACCCGAGTTGTCAATGTTGTGGAAGTCGAGGATCTCGGAGTACATCATGACCTTCCATGTGTCAACAGGCAAGTCGGCGTCGTTGAACGACCAGTCGAATGCCTCCTCAGCCTCGGGCTCGTCAGTAGGGTCGTGGTAAGGAGCGAGGTATGGATGCGCAAGAGCCTCAGCGGCGCTGATACGCGTTCTCGGGTCGAAGACGAGCATCTTTTCGAGCAAATCCAATGCCATAGGGTCTGCATTCTTGAACTTTTGCGAGAAGGGAACACGCTCGCGCTTGGGCAAGGACTGGACGAAACGGAGCGTGTTTTCGGAGCAGATGGTCTTGATTACCTCATCTGGTGGTGTGCCGAGGAGCTCAGTGATGATGGAGAACTGGTTGACGTGGTCCTTGCCTGGGAAGAGGGGCTTGCCTTCGAGCATCTCGGCAAAGATGCATCCTGCACTCCAGACGTCGACGGCAACGTCGTACTTTTGCCAGGTGAGCATGATTTCGGGAGCACGGTAGTATCGTGTGCTGACGTATCCAGTCATCTGAGGGTCTTGGATACGAGCGAGACCGAAATCGCAAATCTTGAGATCGCAATTCTCGTTGACGAGAATGTTGCTTGGTTTCAAGTCACGGTGGACGACACCTGCCGAGTGGACGTACTTGAGACCACGGAGGATCTGATACAAGAAGTACTGGATGAATTGCTTTTCGAGCGGTCGGCTGGTGAGAAGACGGTGAAGATCGGTACCAAGGAGCTCAGTGACAAAGTAGCTGTAGGCAGAACAAACGAGCAAAGCGCAGAGATGCAAGAGAAGGATGTTTTGTCAGTTTGGCAGACCTAGTGAGCAAAATTGGCGGAGCACTTCGGCGCTGCAAGACGCCCTCTTTCGAAACAAAGAAAACTGCTTGATTGGATGTGTTGGCTGTCGCATCCAAGGCAGATAGGTGAACGCTATCGTACTGAAATACTCACATATCTTCAAGAGGCGAGATGAAAATGTCGCTGAGACTGATGATGTTCTCGTGACGGATGTGCTTGAGCAATTTGAGTTCACGGTAAGTTCGCTTGGAGAGAACTGGAGTGGAGAAGGGCTTCATGATCTTCTTGATGGCCACAGATGTGTTTGTGAGCTGGTCGTTGGCGGAGCAGACGAGACCGAAAGCACCCATTCCGACGGGTTGCAAGTCGACATATCGGGTGGTGACCTCGAAGACGGTACCGAAGATGGATAGTTTGACAAAGTCGGCCATTTTGAATTGTAAAAGAAGGAATGCAAACGAATGTTTTGCGATATCGAGACTGAATGAGCCCGGGGACTGAACAAGAATCCAAAGAGGCGGGACGGTGACGCTTCGTGAGAACCAGGTGGGAGATCGTAGCGAATGCGAGAAGCAGGAGACCGGAGAAGCAAACTACAAACTAGACAAGCTGATGCAGCAGGTATGCAGGAACGAGATCGTTTGCGATAGGTCGTCGAAAGCGGCAGTGAGACGCGAAGGTGATATGTCGCGTTCGAGCCGGATAAGACGATGTGCGTTGCAAGCAGAAAGAAGCTATTGCAGGAGTGGACGAAAAGTCGAAACGCGGGTGGTGGTAGGCGAAGGAGGAGGAAGGAAAGAAGTTTGCGTTGATGTGGGACCACGGATGGGAGGAAGAGGAAGGCAGACGGTCAAGGTCGATCGGTGTTGGAATGGATGGTCGTGGTGTTGTTGTTTGAGATGGAAAGAAAGAAAACGACGACGACGACGACGACGACGATGCAGGGTTGTGTGTTTCTGTGGCAAGGAAGGGACCAGGCAATTGGCGAGGTGGATCTGATCAAAGTCGACTTTGCAAGGCGAGGCAACTCAGAAGACGGACGAGGGTCAGGGCACAAGAGGCTGAGGCGATGTTGATCGATGAGGCGCGGCGGCACAGCAGTCCAAGAGCTGTGCCTCTGCCCTCTCCTCTCGGGCTGGCTCGAGTGTCAACTGCCGCTGTGACGCGCTTCCAATGCAGAGCGAACAAGAAGAAAAATAGCACCGTGAATTGAATCTGTTTCCCATCTCCAGCTGATTAGATACAACTGGCTCAGCCGCTGAGTAAGCCAAAAAAGGAGACAGAGAGAAAAAGACAGAAAAGCCGAAAGCGCAGAGAGTCTGGCTGCTGACACTCTGTAATCAAAAAAAGGAATAAGTTAATAGGAAAAACGAAATCATACTGAGCGGTGGATGTCCTTGTGGAGAGGCAGTCGGCCAGTATTCCCAACGTATAGATTACCAAAAGGATAATAATGAAATAGCGGCCGGGAGAGTGATGTGCGGAGTTGCACTTCTGCATCGCCAACACACAGAAATTGCTCAGCATCAAAGAGAGAGAAGGGCGAAGAGGGATGCGCTCTTTGCAAATGTGTGAATCAGGCTTGCATCTCTCGCGAGAGGCTCAGTCGAATCATAGGAGGTGATGCCATTCACACGTCAAAGCAGACAGTAAAGACTTTAGAGTCTTTAGAATCATCCTGTCGAGATCTGAGCGAAGCGAGAAAAGCAAGCAAGGGTCTTTGCGAAGAAGACCTGTGTAGTGGTGGTGACAATCAAGGGTCGTCGCGAGAGAAGGACCTCCCTAGTGGCGTGGCGTGGCGAGATTCTCGGCTCAGCGAGGAGGAGAGGGTCTCGATGGTATGTTTGCCTCTCCATCTCACCACTCTTCACACTAGCGAACATGAAGCGAAACACGAAAGGAGAATGTATTCAGATGGCATTTGGTTTGTATGTATTGACAAGGGAAATACTCTCGTCGATCCCGAAAGACTCGGTTGTTCCGCATTGTTCAGCACTGAGCAATGAGGTCACTACACTGCTCATAATCCCACTTCCATATGCATTTGTAATGAATTCAGAACGAGGAGCGACGATCGCCGCTTGCACCCTGAACATTGACCCTTTTCTCGGTTGCGGCACACGCTTCTCGGCCGTGAGACACTTTTTTTTTTTTTTTTTTTTTTTTTTTTTGTTTTGGGATTTTCTCCACTTCAAGCAGCATTTGCTGCTGTGAGAGGCATGCATGTGGTTCAGGAGCCAACTGATTGTGGAAGTTGGAAATTGAGTCGCCGCCCGCTACTGCCTCGCAGCGCTTGGTCCAACAAGGGAGAATCGCTTCCGATCCGTTCGTAAGATGGTGGCGATCTTTCCCTCCGATTCTGTGGTCTTCATATCTTCTTCTCAACCTTGAGATCATACCGTAACTACAAAGCAGACGCTATCAACCTAGTCACTATCCTCGCCTTCCTTTGTCGACACAGCGTATTGCCTTTCCAGGCTCGCTAAACCTTTCAAGATCACTGCCGCCGGCTTTCATCGCGGAATTTAGCTGCCATATCCACGGATCCATCTTCCTCGTCTCACCGAACCATCCCGCTTATACCCGCAGAATACCATGCCTGAACCTCATCTTCCCTCAAACGCTTATGCGGGTGCCTTTGTGCCTGGCAAACCACGCAACTCCGCTGAAGCTATCCAGACCAGAATTCGCAAGGCCAAGCAATTCAACGAAGAACTCGCAGACTATTTTGCCGCTCGTCGTGAGCTCGAAGAGACCTACCTCAAGCAGCTACAAAAGGTTTCCAAACGCAGCTTCCTCTCCGACCCATCCTCCATCCCACCCGGCTACGCACCCGTTTACGAACGTCTCATCCAAGAGCTTGCAGAGGTAGCCAGTGCACATGGCGAACTCGAGAAGCGGATCGCAGAGGATTGTGAGACTCCCCTTCGCAACACCACTTCCAAGGTGGAATGGGATCGACTTCAAACCCATGACGAGTGGCTCAATCTCTACATGCGAGAGCTCAACTCGCTAGAGACGCAACTTCAGAAGGACGAGAAGAAGCTGGAAGGTGCTTCACAGAAGAAGGCGTCGCAAGCCAATGCTAAAGTGCAGGAGACCGAGAAGTCCATAGAGCTTCGTATGTTTCTCTGGGAGAGGGAAGCTCCCGCTGCGTTCCATGGCTATCAGCGCATCGATAACCAGCGTCTCGAGCTGTTGAAGGAAACTGTGGCCAAGTTCGAGACGGCACAGAGCGATGCTGCCCAACGCATCATGTCGAGTTCGGAGAAGACCATGCAGGAATGCTTGACCTTTGATACTCAGGCTGATATGCAAGACTTCATGCTCAAGAACGGCTCAGCTGCTCATCCTCGTAACGCACGAACGGCAACCTCTCGCCCAGCTCCAACACCGGCGGCGCCAGGACTCAACCGACAGTCTTCGATCGCTAGTCGCAGCATCAGCAGTCGCAATGGTCCCGATGCATCGGCGCGTGGACAAGCCAATGGGGCAGGTGCAGGAATGGGTGAGTTCGGCGCATCAAGTACGTCTCTCCACTCGGCCGACCGTACGGTGAGCAGCTCGCAAGATGCAGCGACGCCCAGCAAGTCGGGCGGCTCGACACTCAAGAATGCATTCAGTCGATTCGGACGAGGTCGCTCGAAAAAGGACTCGGCCAACACGCAAACTATGTACGGCGGCTTGCCCGAGGAGCCAAACGATGATTCTTCTTTCTCGTCCATCAACCGAAGCGGAACGCTCCGACAGAACTCGGCTGCACCAACAGGCGGCTCTTCCTCTCGCAACGCTGCATTGCTCTCTGCTGCTGATGACTCGATTGACTCCATGGCTCCTGGCTCAGGCGGAGGACTAATGGCACCGCTTACTCCCTCAACTGCTGCGGCGAGAAAGAACTCGGCAAATGTACCTGCTACAGGATCCTCTTCCGGCGTTGCTCCTACATCCGTCGTTGCTCCTACATCCGGCGTTGCTTCTACATCCGGCTCCGCACCCCTTGTCGATTCTGAGGGCTACTCGATCCCTCCACCCGACCGCAAGCCATGGGAGACTGCTGCTATCGGAGGAGTTGCCGGTGTTGCTGGTGGTGCTGCAGCCGGATCCTCCCTCATGGACGACAACGACAACTCACGTGATACCTTTGACAACTCCATCAACAGCCGTGTTAGCAACATGAACATCAGCAGTCAACCCATCTCCGAAGACGCCTCCAAAGACAAAGCTGCACTCGAACGTATGAAGTCGACCCTCCTTACCAGTGGTCCACCTTCTCGTCGAGCTACCACCCGTCGCGACCGCAGAGATGTACGCAATACCACCTACAACCCGGCCTTTGCAGGTGTTGGTTCAGGCGACGATAGCAGATTGAGTCAGTTTGGAACGCTCAGTGCTTCTCCACAGACGAGTACGCCTACTTCGCCTTCGCCCTTTGGGGCGCAGAGTGCATATACTGGTGTTGCTGGTGTTGGACGTCATCGTACGCAGAGTATCGCAAGTGTTGCGTCGTCAACCAATCTGTTCGAGAACAGTTCTTCTTCGTCGCCCATCAAGGCCAGTCTCAGTGAGAGGGTGAATGTTATCTTTGTTGGGAAGGAGGTTTCGAAAGTTATGGTCGTTGGCGAACTTAGTGTTGCCGTAGCTGCTAATCTTGATGCTGGGGCGGTGGGTAAGCCATTGCATATTAGGATTGAAGCTTTTGAGCAGCTCGAAAAAGCAGCTCCCAATCCTGCTTTCCTGAAAGCGGTGCCTGGTGGAACAACTCCTGGTGAATATTTGTTGGACATCAAATTGCTTCAAGAACAAGGTGTTCGTTCAGCGTTGCCGGGTAGTGGAGCTCAAGCGGTGGTGCTCAAGTATCAACTTCATGTGTCCGAGTCTAGGAAGGAAGAGTATGTGCCGCTGTCGCTTCATGCTCAGTGGCGTTGTGAACCTCATCAAACGTCGTTCCTTATGACCTACTCTCCGTCAAGCATCTGCAAGTTTTCGGGAGAAGGTCCAGCAGTGTTGCAGGACCTGCAGGTCGCAGTGCAGATTCAACCGTCGAATGTTAGCAACATCATGTCCAAACCTACGGCCATGTTCGTGGCGGAGACAAAGAGTTTGTTCTGGAAGATTAACGAGAATCTCTCACTGCTGGGGACGGGGGCAGAGGTGAACAAGTTGTTGGCGAGATGTCAGATTGAAGGTGCGCAGACGGTGCCAAGTCCAGTGTACTTGAAGTGGAGGATTTTGGGTAAGACGATCTCCAGTCTAGGTATTACGACCGTTGGTGAAGGTGTAGCAGAGGGAGGAGCGAAGATCGAGGAGGTTGTGAGACAGTGTACTGCCGGAAAGTTTATTGCTTCGCCCTAAGGAAGGCCGATTTTTCACTTTTGTTGTGTGTAATGGAACATCATCTTCACTATCGACGCTTCGAGTGTGAATTCATGAAGAGGTTCTGTGTGATGTTCCACGGAAGGGCAAGATCTGCATAGAGTCACACGACCACACTCGTCACATTGAGCATGGGAAGATCAAGATCGACAGGAATTCAGCAATCTTCCACAATAATCAAGTGTATATGTGTGATATTGCGATACGATGCCAGAGTCGAAAGTAACAGAATGTGAACGTGATGAGGGAAGATCACAAACTAGCGATCACTAGTCCGTGCCGAAGTGAGATTTTTGACTCAGTTGCTCTCTGGCTCCAAAGTGGTACCACGACGAACGGTACCCCAACCGACCAATCTCCAGTGCTTGTCAATTCTCCTCGAAAGTGCAATCTTCTCTCCGACCTCGGTACATGCTGGACTGGTCAAGAAGATCTTTGCCAAGTCGGCCTTGACACTCATAACCCTACCACCGGTGGAAGTGGAACCGATGTTGACCATCAACACTTCGTTCTTAGCCAACTTCTGCACCTTGGTCTGCTTCTTATCGTCCGACTTGACACCGAGGAGACGACGGAGCAAAAAATAGTTGATCTCCAACTCGGTGTAAATGGCGGGGAGTTGACCGACCGCACCGAGAACCTGACCTACAAGACGATCAGCACGGCACAAAGTAGGGTCGATCTTGGTACCGACACCGATCAACCCACCGGGAACGGCGAATTGAAGATCGTTGTGTTCGGCCAACAACGACTCGACACGGCTGAAGATGGGCTTGCAGTGAATCTTGCCCTCGTTATCCTTAGTGACGATACCAGGACGAACTTCAATCTCCTGACCGATCTTGAGAACTCCCGAAAGAATCGAACCACCTGCAACACCACCACGAAGTTCCTCGACTTCAGCACCGGGCTTGTTGACGTCAAACGATCGAATGACGATCAATCGAGGTGGAGAGGTGAAGTCACGAACGGGAACAGGAACACGCTTGACAATGTATTCGTTGACCGCGTCAATGTTGTACTTGAGCTGGGCGGAGATGGGGACAATAGGTGCGCCGTCTGCGACAGTACCTTTGACAAAGTCGACAATGCTCTTCCAGTGCTCTTCAGCTGCCTGTTCTCGGATCAAGTCGACCTTGTTCTGCAAGATGATGATGTGCTGGAGCTTCATGATCTCGACAGCAGCCAAGTGCTCCGAAGTCTGAGGTTGAGGACACGATTCGTTACCAGCAATGAGAAGAAGAGCAGCGTCCATGACTGCCGCTCCGTTTAACATGGTAGCCATGAGAATATCGTGACCAGGGCAATCGACAAAGGAAACGTGACGAAGCAAGTTCATCTTCCCGCCACAACCAGGAACCTCACAAGCTGGATGAGGCTCCTTGTCAGAGGGATATGACTTGTAGCACTGTGGACGAGGACATTCTTCTCGTTCACACTTGTAGATCTTGGCATTGGCGTAACCAAGCTTGATGGTGATATTTCGCACCAACTCGTTCTTGAAACGAACAGTCTGCACTCCGGAGATGGCCTTTACGACGGTGGATTTACCGTGAGCTACGTGCCCGATGGTGCCAATGTTGATGGTAGCCTGCTTGGCAATCACTTCGGGGCTGAGAGGGTTGAGGTTGTCATAATCGATGCTGACCGCCTGCAGATCTTTTGTGATCTGCTGGACGTCGGCGTTGGAGGCAACTGCTGCTGCCATTTTGGGTAAAGAAAGATGGGGTGATGAGGATAGCTGAGCTGTCAAAAAGTCGCAGTTGCTGTGAAAGGGAAGCTGCGATTGTGTTTCAGCTGCGGTGTACAGAGCACTAGTCCAATTCGGCGATGCTGCTGTATGCGAGTAGCTGGTGGCTGAGATGAGCGTGCGCAGATACTCAAGAGGCGTGCAAACGAAAGACGCGGAACCGGTGACAGATGCAAACGCCGAAAACCCTCGAAGGACGGAAAGAAGTGCTGATCTGATATGTGTCGTGAATGCGAAATCGAAGTCCTGCCGCGATGGAAGAGGGTAGGACGAGATGCAATAGGAAGGGATGGGTAGTGAGGCAAAGATCGGAAGGCTGTAGTGATCAAATTTGGCTTTCGTTACGACTACGATCACAACTCTCTTTCAAAGGTCACTCGAGAAGGCGGCGTTTCGGTAGCGGCCGAGTGAACAATGAAAAACCGAGAGAAGGCGCGAAAAAAATGCAAGAAAGTCGTCCTCAACACTGAGACTCGCGCTGTGCTATTGTGTTTCTGGAGGAATGGCAAGTCGAGCTGAATTTCGAGCGCACGCGCAGGCGAGTCATTTTCTTCCAAAAATTGAGGTCGCACGACTGGCTTTCTGTAGTTGCACAAAGGGAAAGAAGTTGGATTCGTGCGAGTGAGAGTGCCCTTTCGAGATTCCAAGATGATTTACAACCAAGCCGCCTCCTGCCTCTTTCTCATCCGGCGAAACCGGCTACACATTCGATATAACAAGCATTGCTAGGAAGAGCACAAGCACACACTCCATCGCAGCAGCAGCACATATTCAGCCTAAGAGTTTGTCATTGCGTTTACCGGGCCGACGCAGACGACAGAGTAAAGCGGCATGAATCTTTATGATGTTGAGCACGAAGCTAGAACACACATTGCTTAGTGGTGAGCCTCAACCTTGACATCGGCAGCCGCCTCACGAAGGAAGGCGTTGACATCTCCACCCTCGGTGAGAGCACCTTCCGAGGACGAAGAAGCGACGGCCTCAGCGTGGTCGGGCTCAGCAGCGGCGTATGCCTCGAGCTGCGAAGAAAGCTCCGACGACGAAAGGACAGCGGGAGCCTTAGGGGCAGAGGGTGTCTGGAACTCGCGGACTTGGCCCTTGTGCGAGTCGGCAGCCTGCAATACATCATCGATCAAAGGTTGAAAGGGTCGTGACGGAGGATAGCGTCAGTGAAATGTTCGGTCAAGTGTGGGGTTAGATCCATGATCTGTGCGCTTCTTTGAACTCACCTTGGGGGGAGCCTTGTAGCCCTTAAGCTCCTTCACGTAGAGCTCCTGGACAAAGTCTGCATCGTCCGTTAGTGGCAGTGTTGTGCAATGAAAACAAGTTCGAAACAAACCTGGTTAGTGAGCCGTTGGAAGAAAGTAATCGATGTTGATTGATTGGTCAATGCGTACCCTTGGAAGCGACGGCAGAGCTGGAAAGGGCTCGGACCTGGGATCGCGAGGCGGATCGGACCTGTTTATAGCGTCATCAAAGGTATCAGTTGTGTTGGAAAAGTGGTGGTCGAATGTCAGTTGAAAGGTTCAGGGCTGGTGTTTGCATGCAAGGAGTCGAAATCTGCCAAAGTAGCGGGTTGGCGAGTCGAAGTAGTGGCCAATGTCGGTGGTGATACATACAGCGCCGAAAGTTGAGCGGACGACGAGCTGAGCGAAGACCATTTTGAATCGACGAGGGTATGTGAGGATGAGAGGTGATAGTGGAGATGATAGGGCCTGTGTGATCAATCTTCGACAACGTCAACGACGATGAAGTGTTAGCAGCACTGTCAGTCTAGCTCGCTCTCGCCAAGCTTCGCGGATCCGGGCAGATTTGAAGTTGAATTTCGATTTCGTAATCCTGACTGTCGGTCTGCGACGAAATTCTCAAGGAAATTTTCAACTGCCCGATTTCAACCATTCAAACGGTTCCGAGGCGAGCGGGACAACTAACATCCCAATTAGAAAATTCCAGCTCAGAGCCTGCGATCGACTTGCTGCTATCGTGCGAATGGCAGACAGCTACCCTCAAATGACGTTGGCTCGTGCAGCTTTCGAAGCCCAGCTTGGATTGCGCTCTGATACTCCACTTTTAGCAATGAACAACTCAGCTTTGCAAGGGTTCCGAATCAGAGCTCTCTCGTAACAAGCCGGTCTACGCCAAACATAGCCCTTTGAGTCCAATCCATCCTTCCGTGCTACCACCACCCACTCAAGCATCTATCACAGTCTACTTCGGAATGTCCCTTCTTCGCATTTCCACTTCCACGCTCGCCCGCGTTACCAAGGCCCCCACTTTCGCTATGGCTGCACGAGGCTACGCTGACGGTCCCACTGACAAGGCCGGTGCCACCGCTTCTTCCCAGGGCTGGAAGAACCGTGAGCAGGTAAGCATCACTCTCTACGATATCTTGTGCCACCAGCAAAGCCAGTGAGCTGACGACCTATCTCGCTTTCGTCCATCTGTATTGAATTTGACCTCGTCTCCTGGTTTAACAGGCCCAAGAGAACCAGTACGTTCAGCAGGCCGAGAAGGAGAAGCTTGCCAAGCTCCGCGAGTCTATCAAGAAGCAGCGCGAACATCTTGACGACGTACGTATCCATCGCCATTCCCGCCATTCTTTTAAGTCAAATGTTTGCGAAAGCTGACTGTTCCCCCCCTCTATCTACAACATTCCATGCCGCACAGGTCGAGAGCCAGCTCAACAACCTCGACAAGAAGTAAGAGCACTGTCCTCATGGACGTCTCGCTGCCATCACTACTTCTGTCCCTTCGACCAAACATCAATGATACAATCTAAGCACAGCACACAATCTTAAGCTAATGGCTGAAATGCAATCGAATCCAATCAACATCCAGTCGATCGTATCGTTGCAGTGGTTCCAGGAAGAAAGGCTAAAAGTTCTAACTTGGGAAAAAGCTTCAGGCGGTGTCACGCTCAGCGACCATGTGCTGCCAATCTGTAGCATCAGGATCTGTCTCTCCTCCATCAGCAGCATCAGTCTCAACAACCTCTTCCTTCTCAACCTCCTCCGACAGCCGCAAACTCCCCTTACTGTGACTGAACACTGCGTCTCGCTGTTCCAAATACGCGGCGTAGTTGCGCAGTGCCTCGAGATTTGGACTCTCCACCCGACTGTAAGCGGCTTCGCTAAGCTGGGCCTTTTTGAAAGTGTCAATGTTGCCAATGATGAACATTGCACTTTGAGCTCGTGTCAAAGCAACATTGAGTCTTCGACCGTCAGCGAGGAAGCCAACGTAGCCCAGAGCGTTGGTACGAACTGTCGAGAAGAGAATGACTTTCTTCTCACGTCCTTCGAAGCCGTCAACTGTGTGAATGTCGATGAATCCGAGTTGAGACGATCGTGCGCCAATGGCAGAGGAGGCTTTCTTGCGTGCATCAGATCGTTCGTTTTGCAGCATCTTCTCCAGCAAGATCTGCTGACCGGCGTAAGGTGTAACAATACCAATGTCATCACCAGTCAGCTGGGGGTTACGACGAAGCACGTCGACGACAACGTCGACGACAATTCGTGCCTCTGACGTGTTATACAGCGACGTAGAGTTATCCGTTTTTGACTCGCGACCCTGGTGATCGATAAAGCAGAGCCGTTGTGCATCTTGGCTCTTCTTCTGACCAGCAGTGCGAGTGCGCCAGTAGCTAGATTCAACGGGCGCGATCTGTTCTGTGCCCTTCCCGTTCTGCAGTGCGCCGTCGTAGAAGGCCTTGTTGGGGAACTCGGCTAGACTGGGATGCATACGGAACTGGACGTTGAGCATCGTTGATGGAATGTTCTGGCCACTTTCGATGAGTCGCTCGAACAAGCTGCGGGATAGTCCACCCTGCTTGGCTTCGACGCTAGTCACGACAGGAGGAAGTTGCTTGTGGTCACCAATGATGGACAGATGTCGACATCCCTTCATCAGCGGCACCAACGAGACGGGCTCGGTGGCCATCGATGCCTCGTCGAAGAAGACGACTGGAAGATCGATCATGTCGAGTTCGGGCGAGCCGGCAGCGATGGCGGAACCGCAGATCACATCGGCGCGGTTGAGGATCTCGCCACGGATCGAGGCGCGCAGGAAGAAGTAGGTGGCCTTGAGCCGATTGAGCTGCTTCTTGACAGCTTCGTATTCCACCGAGGCAGCGCCAGCTTGACTCTGTGTTGCATCTCGCTCCTCTTTACGCCCAGCCATGACGTCCTTCCATGACTGTGCAACAGCCTCGCCATCTGCACCGACACTCTCATAGAGCCTGTTTGCAACTTTTGAGGAGGCGGAGCCAGACATGCGTCCCATCTCGTAGTCGCTCTTGAGCCTATCGAGTGTGTCGAGACGCCTCTTGATCTGGTCGAGCCTTGCCTTGGCGGGATGGCGGAGGAAGTAGGCGTCGAGCGTGTACTGATCGATGCCAGCTCGCGCGCGTGCCGAAGGACCAATACGCACCACACGAAGTCCAGCCTTGATGCAGCCATCCGCAAGGTTGTCCACAGCAACATTCGTATGCGCAGCAAGCATGATCGGATGAGGAACCTGGAAGTCTTGTTTGAGCAGCTTGATCGCAGTTACGATGGTGCGGGTCTTGCCAGTGCCTGGTGGACCTTGAATGAGCGAGACGCGCTCACGCAGCATCATGGCGACCGCTTGAGTCTGCGACCGGTTGAGCTCAGGCAACGGGTCGCCATCGATGATGACGGGGTCTCGACAAGAGAATCGATCGTACCAGCTCTGCACGCGGGCGTCTTCCCAGAAAGCACCTCTAGTCACTCTATCAGCAGGCGGCTCGATGCCGAGGATAACATCGCTCAGCCGCGTCCCGGACAAGATGTACTGGAAGCGGGAGCCGTAGTGGGTCTCTATGAATTCCACATCATGTTCCAGAGCCTCCAAAGCAATTTTGATGCGCTCAAAGGTAAGATCATTGAAGCCGTAATCCAGACGCCAAGAAGGACACGAGACAAGATCGATGTCTTCGTCATTCTCGTCGAACTTGAGCCGTATGAAGTTTCGTTGTCGCTCGACCACCTCAGCCTCGATCACGTAGTCGTCCTCCAACAGCGGTGGCGTTGCACTCTTGGCAGAAGACGAAGCAACTGCGGATGGCATGATTGTGACCTTGTCTCCCGCACAAAAGAGCGTACGAGGCAGAGGCTCAGCGGCATCGAGCTTGAACACAGCAACCTTTTTGCCGAAATGACGGCGGCTGTTGTCCTGCCAATAACCTTGCAAGCCATCAATGGCGATGCCCTCCTCTATGAGCTTGTCGATTGGCGCCTTCCGTCTCTCGGCAATTGCAGAGAGCTCTTGTGTGCGTTCATGATCGAGGAGCTCGGTCCACTTGTCGCGATAGACTTTGGCCGCTTGTCGCAAAGGCTCACGCTCTGCGTTTCGATGAAGAAGCTGCGTCGCTTGTTCTCTGCTGATGCGCAAAGATCGGTCGTCCATCTTTCGTTCAGCCAGACGCCGGGCTTTGGCAGCTACTTTGCTTTCAGTGCCAGAGACCATAGAGACCGTTGCTCTTCTGCGTTGTAGAGGAGATGATGATGAGCCCGAGAGAATTGTCTTTTTGGAGGCGTCGCAGCAGCGCTTTCTCCAGTCGAAGCGATCAGGGTGTGCGACAAAGGCATCTCTGTAGAGATCTTCTGGCCGGGATGGACCGAAGGGCCATTGTGTAGTAGCTATATGGCTGTCGAGAGCCTCCATGGATGAGTCTGCTTGCTTGGCTTTGCCTGATGTAATCTGTGTACGATTCCACCATTGCGGTTGTGTTCCTTTGTCTGCATCTATGAGGCTGGGTGCTTGGCTGCTACGAGCGAATGTTTTGCTCCGTGTCAGGGTCGAGCTGTATGATCTCCTTGAACTCGTTTTCGTTGTATATGGAGCGTCTGTGTCTCCATTGTCGGTCAGACGGTTCTTGTTAGCATCGAGGGTGCGACTGCCAGAATATGCGCTGGAACGAGCATGGCAAACTTGTGTCGAGCGATTGCTTCCAGAAGCTGAGGGCAACCGAGATGGACCAGCGGTACAGACCCTCTCTTGCCTTGGCGGCTGAGCTTGCCCTTGAACGAGCTCGGTGGCTCGTGGGGCGGATGTCACCGCATGTCGTGCGAGCTTATGCGATGCTAGGCCGAAGCGTGAGGCGGTAATGATGTCGAATGGAGGCAAGGCAAAGAGATCTGCTTGCTCGGCTATTAGCTTTGCAAAGCTCCTTCCACGCGTGCGTCTATATATGCGATTGATGGGCGAGTTGGTCGAGTAGTGGATGTTGAGATGGTAGAAAGTGGCGATAAGGTTGGAGATGGAATTGATCGAATTGATCAACGTTGTGACACCTTTGGAAAGGCTGATTCGAACTTCCGCTTCCTTTTCATTCAGAAGCTTCTGGGTGGGCGCAAATCGGGAGCAAATCGGGATCCAATCGGTTTTCGCCTTCTGCTGGGAATCGCACACACGCTGACGCATCTGGCTTTTGCACCAATAATTTTTAGAGCTTTTCCAAGAAGTGCTGACCTGACCGACTTCTTGTTTGAAGATGCGTTCGGAAAACGCCTCCGTGTTGCCGTTATGCTTGCCTCATAGCTAACTTATGTTCCTGCAACGATCAATGCATTGCTCTCGACTTGATGACATGATGACGTAATGGTATATGGTCAAGTCTCAAGAAGCCGATCCAGATGGGGTGAATATGAGCGAAGCAAAAGATGAAAGGTATGGCGTCTGTCTATGTATTCGAGATGCCGATACGGTCTCCAACACGAACCATGGTCTCGAGACCAGCTAGCGAATTGTCCAAGAGATCCTGGTCCCACTTGACCTTGGCCTCGGGTGGGAAGACACAGACGACGGTCGAACCACCGTAAGCAAACCAGCCTAGCTCCTCGCCTCGCTTTGCAGAGGTACCCTGATTAGCATTGGTCCAGCCGATCGATCCAACGAGCATAGCCCCAATGGCAACAAAGGCGACTGGAACCGCAGGGCCTCCATCACCCTTAGGGGACCAATTGAGCACAACCACGTCTCGTCTGTTCTGAGAGAATACGTCAAAGCCGGCGTTGACGGCTTGCGGCTGTTTGTTGCACCCGGGGTGGAAGAATTGTGAGCGAAATCGGTTGTCCAAAGAATGGAAAGCCGCAAATGAGGAAGCAAAAAGATGGCCGCGAAAACAGGGTCCAAATTAGAGTTGAGTTTGGTGTCAGATCCTGCTCCGCATGGATGAGCACACACTGATGCTGATTGCTTATACTCACGTTGACAGTAAAGTATTCTCCCGGAACGTGCTTTGTCGGTCCACACACAACAGGACCAACAGGGTGGTGGTACCGATGGTAGTCGGCTGGTGCGAGTCGGAGGATGGCCAGCGAGCTCCCTGGCGGGAAGCAACGGTCCGCCAAGTTTGTGTCGCCGACAAGCCTGTTCAGAGTGAAGCCTTGGCCTTTGATCCAGTATTGCGTCGACTCTGCGACATCATTGAACACTGTCAGTCTGCAATCAGCACACGATGAAACGACCGCTGCGTTGTCTGGTTCGGCTATCGGCCTTGCTCCTGGCTTCAATTTGCGGAAGAAGAATGAGTTGAAGCTGGGATACAGTGACGGATCTGGCTGCAAGAGCTCGTCCAAATCGATCGAGTAGGTCGAGATGAAGCTTTGAATATGCTCCAACACCGCCTGTGGGTTCGACTCGTCATCGTACACTTTCCCCTGTCGGATCGAGACAGCCTTGAGCAGATCTTCGACTGACTTGTATCGCAGGAACGATTGCTCTTTGCTTTTGTAGAAGAGAAGATGCATGCCGATACGAACATAAATGGGCATGCTCTCGAAGATCTTCTGGCCTGGCTGACCTCGAATGGCGACGTAGTTGCCCATATGGTAGCTTGCGAACAGGCGGTCTAGGGTCGACTCGAGCGAGCCAGGGAAGAAGCGTCCCCACCAATGCGTGTGCTTCTGAACTGATATAGGACCGGGTGTGATTGCTGTGTGATCTGATGTGCCTTGGTGCAGTTTGTCGTCGGTCTCATGTACTGGGCCAGAAGAGACGAGGTGCTCGAGCACCGCTGCCAGAGCTTCATGCTCTCGATTTTGACTTGAAACAGAATCTGGCGACATGTTGACGATGTTGTGAGGGGAGGATCTGGGTAAATAGCGCGCTGCTGATTGTCGAAGGAATCGTCGTTAAGGTGAAGCCGGCTCACCAAAGAATATTAGGCTCCAACCGGCAAACGAGCTGGGCCTGCATCGAGCTGCGTGAGTGACCTCAACTGGCAGCTTAGATAAGAGTCTCATAATGAACCATGCTCGCGAGGAATATTTTTTTTAATAGTCATGTTAGACTTTTAAGGGGACACATCTGAATTAAGGGAAAGTAGTTCTAGGCAAAAAGACGTGCGAAGGAAAACCGCGTCCAAAGATCAGGACTTCTGCACGGGCCAGTCACAGCTCGAACCGTTCAATCTTCTTGATCATGGTTCATCGACTCATCACGCACTTGTCGTCATCGCCTGTCGATCGGCACTACGTAGAGCGTCGTGCGGGACGGATGAGAACGGCATCTGGATGCCATGCCAAGGATGATGCTGTCGCAAAAGGTCAGCGCTATCAAACAATCTAGTTGCTCAGAGCAGGTCAGTGCATGGACCCTCTCGAAGTTCTGCACAGCACGGCTTGTGTCGTTGAACCCTGCAGCCAAGGACGATACTTGAGGGCTCTGCCTTGTTCCCTCTGCTGATTTGAAGGACTGTGATACTATTGTACTCCATACATGCTCTCTCATCCAAACTATCTGTATCACAATGCCGCTGAAGAGATAGATCAGACGGAATCGTGCTACAAGTGTGGCGTTGGGGATGGCAAACACGAAGGTCGAATTGAGCTGCTATCTGTCTTTGCACATTGCAAAGCGCTGTGAGGCGGCAAAAAGAGCTGCGTGAGGCTGAAGAGGCTGCTTTGCAGAGAGGCCGTCTAGTTTGACTGGAAACCCGCCAAGATGCTGCCAGGCTACCTTGCGCGGCGAGCGAGCGGGCGAGCTCTCCCACAAAAAACAAAAAAACAACGGGCCGTCGGGCAAGTTGACTGAGCTGCAACCTGAAATTTCATCGACCTCTTTGCGCAGACACGCGGGCCAACCAGCTTTTTTGACTTTGACTGGTTTGCCGCCTGTCCATTTCCAGCACGAGCGAGAGCTTGGCGTTGGCTCAGAGTTGGCTGAGGCTCCCTCACTCAAGCAGGGGGACTCAGCGACCAATTTTGGCTAGCTCACTCAAAAGCCCTCCCAGCCAAAACGTCCCCTTTGCCTTCCCACCCACACCAACCACACACGCCAACTCTCATACATAGGTGAGCATATTTCCAAGCCCAACAGCCGCTGCCCAGAGCCAAAAGACGCGTCGAGACGTGATCATACCCTCTCAATGCCATCGTCGATGAACACACAACATTAGCCATCATACTCGACGCCATCGCTCGTCATGATCTGCTCGTGATCACGATCAAGATCAAGGCGTTGACTTTGTTCCATCCGCAACCACCCCATCCACTTGCGTTGTCGGCAAGACATCCAAGCCTAGGCTGGGGAAAGGCTAGTAACCTTAGCAGCAGCGACCTGATAGACTGATCGAGTGCTCCGCAACACTTGACACGATCTTTTCGTTCTAAATTTGGCTCTGGCTTTCGAATGGATACCTGGTCGTCGTCATTATCGGCTTGGGAGAGAAGCACTCACATCATCGCGACGTGTTGCTTTCAGAGTTCTTCACTCTCAGATGACATGCGAACGCGTCTCGTCTCCACTCGCGTAGGAAAAATCGGCCAATTCAATTCTTCTCGCCGACGTTGGCATCGAGTATTCACAGTGAACTGACACCTTGTGCTTTCCGCTTTCTCTCCACTTTCTCACCCTATCCGCACTTTTGTCCGCACCACATCCATCACGCACTCCAACGCTCTTGGACCGCGCTCTACACTCTACACGCTTCACAGTACACACTCCTTGCTCACCCTCGCGTCCTGTAACAACAGTCAAGATGGCCAAAGCAGACACCAAGACCAAATCGTCGACCTCGACGCAGAAGCGCACCACCAAGTCCAAGAAGGACCCCGCTGCCCCCAAGCGCCCTCTCTCGGCATACATGTTCTTCTCCCAGGACCAACGTGAGCGCGTCAAGGCTGACAACCCCGAGGCCGGTTTCGGAGACGTCGGCCGTCTCCTCGGTGCCAGATGGAAGGAGATGTCCGATGCCGAGAAAAAGCCCTACAACGACATGGCCAACCGTGACAAAGCCCGTGCCGAGGCCGAGAAGGCTGCCTTCGCCAAGCGCCGATAAACGCATCCTCCTCTCTTCTCTCTCAGACTTGTCCAAATGATATCCCTCTCCCCCCTTTTTGCTCGTGTTCCGGCTTCTCTCCTCAGCTTCGGCGTGTTGGACGATTCTCCCCGCTCTGTAGCTTGCTAGCTGCTCGCTGCAGCGGCTCGTACCACACTTGTACTATTTCTTCATTCTCTTTTGATCATTCGTGAACAAATAGGGTTTCTCTTTGACTTGCGACTAGGACTGGGCTTGTGACGAACCCGGTGTGATTGAGACTTGTATTGAATAAGCGCTGTCCGAGCTGCGGACAAGATCGCTGATAAAATGCGCAATGCAACTGTGTGTGGAAGCGATGACCGTTTTCCCTTGCGGGGTCGAATCTTCTCATGTCTCTTATCCCGCACTCCTACGTCCTGTTGTCACACCATGACACATACAGTTCACCCTTGCATCACACCCCATCGCCATGACTAACACGACATCGAAATGATCGAAACAAGTCTATGAAACAACTGAGATAACAAATGCAATGTAGAGGCCCGTCTTTCCAGATCACATGGTCTTGGCACCCAAAAGACTCATGATCTCCTCGTAGACAGTGAAGACAATACCACCCGACAGAACGAGACGGGCAAGCCGTGGAGTGGCACCTCGCCAAAACGCGAGAACACCTTCTTCTCGCAAGGTGATGGCGGCGCAGTTGAATGTGTTGCGGTATTTTGTGCGTGCTTCGAGTGTTTGCATTCTTGTTTTGATGACGCTGTTCGAGTAAGAGAGGAGCAGAGGAGGAGAGGCGGGTCAGTTCTTCGCTCACTGGTGGTAGGAGGAAGGACAAGCGGAGAGACTTACTCCAATGGCATTGTAGCGTCTGCACAGAACGACAAGGTCGACACAAAGATATTCGGTATGGTCGTTGATATGAAGAGAGAGAGTGTCAGCAAGCCAATCAAATCAGAGTCCACGGAAGACAGGAGGGTGTAACACTTACAGACAGTAACGATACCCGCAACCGCACCAATACCAAACGTGATACCACCTGGCAAAGGCTGACCAGGCCTTGCACTACCACTGACGAAGTTCTTCAATGTCGAGTATGTCCCAAACCTCACTGCTGAATTTGCACCTTGTCTCAGCATCACCGGGAACAAACCTCTGTAGATGCCCCTAATACCTTCTTCCTTCATAATCGCCGCTGTACCTGGAATCAATCCCTTTGGATACTTGGGTACTGCTCTTTTACCGTCATCGATCAACTTGGTCTTAATCGTCTCCGAAGGTGTAACAGCAAAGACCGCTTCCATCATACCGGCGCCCAATCCAGCCAACAACGAACGAGGACCCGAAAGTTTTCCATTTTCATCCTTGAGCATCGTCTTGAAGTGGTCGTAACTCAAGAACCGTACACCAGCTTTGATGGCGTTACCAGTGACAAGGGCACCACAGCCAGAGTAGAGACCGATGAAGCCATTTTTGGCGATTGTGTTACGGACGATGGTAATGGGGCCTGGAGCTTTTTCACCTGCTTTAGCTGCGAATTGGGAAACGGTCTTGGTATACTCGATAGGGTAGGTGGTGAAACCTTCAACAGCACCAGCGGTGGTACCGGCTATGAGAGAGTAGAGGGGCTTGTCTTTGCGCTGGGCTGTTTGTGTTGGTGTAGCAGCTGCCTTTTTGGGTCCTGGTGCGATGTCTTTGATGCTGCTGTAGGCTGAGGAGGCGGCCTCCGAGACCGAAGATGAGGCGGAAGAAGCTGCGTTGCTCATCTTACCACTGCTGTGCTATTGACCTATGCTGGGAGCGTTGAGGTCGACTAGGAAGGGAGATGCGTACGTGGAAGCGGTTGAAAACAAAGGTGGGATGAGTGAGCCAGAAGCGCAAGTGTGCGGAGAGGGAAAGAGCGATTGACCAGAACCTGGCTGACTCGTTCAGAAGATGCGGAAGCTCGTATCTGCAGACTCCGAGCTTTCAACTTTTGACGCTCACTCTACCGAACTGTTAGAAACCCACTCTAACAATTTGGACCGAACAGATAATTTTGGCCAATTCCACGTGACCATTCACTGTTGACCAACCTTCTGCTTCTACAACCTCCTCCAAATCATCATCAGTCCTTCTCGACTTCCAACCTTTTACTCCGTCTCTTTGAGAAGAAGCAAAGAGTCGCTGAAGGCATAGGCATAATTTTCCTCCAAGCTACTCTCGATCGACCTTCTGCGGGCGCATCTCGAAGCTTCCTTCATCCAAGTCATCTACGTCTCTTGCACACGAGCCTGTAACTGCATCACCTCGACGCATCTTCCAACGAATCGTTTCCCTCATCTCCTCATACCATAAACGGCATCGAATTCAGGATGGTATACATCAAAGACTGGCCCGAATTCCAAGCACGCAGCATCAAGCTGTACCAACAGAACCCTCATAAAGCACGCTACCTCATCAAATCTCGGCCCTCAACACAAAGTCTCACGCTCAAAGTCACCGATGATACCACCACAATCAAATTCCGCACTCGTTCTTCAGCTATCTTGGGTCGATTGGAGATTTTCAACAAGGCGATGACGTTTGCAATGGCTGGTTCGAGTCAACCTTTGCAAGATGCGAATCCGGAACCTGCGCCAGCACAAGCAGCAGCACCAGCAGCAGGAGCGGCGGCAACAGCGATAACGGTGGAAGCGAAAGGAGATGCAGCAGCGACAAATGGTGCTGCAGCAGCAACAGCAACACAAACAGGTTCAGGAGCAGCGTCAGATAAGAAGAAGAAGAAGAAAAAGGGGAAGAAGTAGTCATCATTGGATGGTCATCTGGCAATAGCATTTCCAGACTTGGGTTCGACTCAGACTGTACTCGTATCGGCAATTAACGGTTCTCCCATGCACGCATACACACAATGACATCGATTCGTTTACAGTCACCCACCTTGTTGTGATCAGACTTGTGCTCGGTACTATTACATGTTTGGAGACAAGGCAGCTTTTGGGAAAATGGCCTGAGCTTACTGGCGCAGATCCAATCCGGCCACCAACCCAGCTCGAAATGGCAAATCCTTTATCTCGGTCTTATTCCTCTGCGTCAACCTCAAATATCTGTACAACAGACTACCTGCATCCTTGAGCAGGATGTAGATTGCTGCACCCACCGCGTTTCTAAACCAGACCGGATCCAGATCGTCGTATCTCGGTGAACAGCCTAACAGCGTGAGTCTTTCGGAGAAGGATTCCTTCTTGTCCGATTTCCCCTCTCCCGCTGCGGCATCAAAGTAAGGCAAGTTACCGCGGAAGAGTGATGCGATTGGCGACGGAGTTGATGCATTCTTCGTGGTGAATGTTGGGGTGCTTTTTGTGGTATAGAATGACGACAAGACCGAGGATGTGGCAACGTTCTTCATGCCTAGGAATCGAACCAAGAGAGGTGAGAGGTGTGCAAGACGGGCGAGTATACGACCCATTAGGTTTGCAACGAAGGGCAGGGAGAGAGCGTCGAGGCAGAGTCGTACAAACGTATGATGGCTGACATAGACTGTTTGAGTCGGTTCCCCATCGTCTCCAGCTGTGTCTTGTGCTTCTCCTCGGCCTTCTTGTGTAGCTCGGATCTGGAGCATGGGTCCACCTGTGCCATCTGGCATTGGCTGGTCTCCCAGTGGAGCGTCGCCGTCGACCAAGAACGTCTCCGGTTCACCAACGATGATGACACGGCGTCGGTTGTGCCTGCCTCCATTACTTCGAGTCGTGCTGCTATTGCTGCGTCGGCCGCCGTAGAAGGGGCTCAGCACTGTGCGGTAAACTTTACGCTTAAGGGCGAGGTAGAAGACTCGGATCCAAGGCACCAGAAGCGCAGTCAGAGCCGGACCGGGCGGGTATGCCCGGGCGTTGAAGATGCCCGATTCGAGGTACCTGTCAAAGAGTCTGCCATGAGCAGCAGTCGCAGTAGCCATCGGAATGCTTGCAATCGGAAATGCAACCAAAGTAGGCACCCATGTCATCGCGGACTCGAAGATGTTCAGCCTCGAAGCGATCAATGCAAAAGGAATGAGCGGGATGTCGACCCAGTAGTGCCATGGCCAGGGTAAAGCGAGAGCCCTTCGAGCGGCATCTTTGCCGAGGAGCATGCGGATAGCGATGCAGCCATATGTTGTACATGCGACCAAGATTGAACCTCCAAGCAGCGTGACGGCTCCGATAGGCTCAACGCGTGTGGCGAGTCGGTCGAAGAACTCGAACACTCTGAGTAGAGGAGTCTTGTTGTTGATGAGAATGTACGGAGCTTTGCACTGAGGACATGTGACGTAGGATTGCAAAGGGTGGTCACGCTTGCTCTGGTCGATCCAGCGCAGCAAGCAGCTTTCGTGCGCAACGAGCGTACAGTTGCAAGGGTGAACGAAGCGCCTAGGCCTTGAAGTTGAGACGGAGCTGGAGGAAGAGAATGACGGTGCGGGAGGATCTTCCTCTTCCTCTGAGCAAATCCAACAAGACTTTGTCCTCAGATCACGGACCGTGACTACCCTTTCATTGGGGTCTGAGTCTGCGTTCGATCGTGCGAATCGTGGAGGTAGATGGTTGAGAAAGCGATAGACTCGTGCTGATCCGTCGACATTCGTATAGCTCGTATCAGCAGCTGCTGAGGAGCTTTCAGTGTTGTGCGAATGGACGTGGTCGGAAGCAGGTGGCGAAGGAATGAGATCGTTCTCGAGTCTTGCGATGTCCTGATGTGAAGTCGAGGGAGCGGAGGGTTGCTGCTCCGAATCGGACGTAGGTGTGCGGGGTCTTGAGCCGAACGGCTCGTTGTGATCCCTTTGTTGATCAGACATGATTGATGAGGGGTCTAAGCTCGACCACTGAGGTACTGAGATGATCTGGGTCGTGAGCAAAGAGGAAGCTTCGTTGACGAGGATAAAGGGATGATGAGCGGGTTGACGTGACAAATTTAGTTCCGTGTTCCGAGGTTTATTTTTTTGGCAAAGCCTCGACATGCAAAGCGCAGCACGCGAAATGAAACCGCGCAATTTGCCGAAGCTTTGAAGAAGGGTCTTTCGTCACAAGTATGCCGGCTCTGTGCTACTCTTCTCATTACCACAAACCACTATCCGCAACACTGCCATCAGGCGAGACCGGGAACGATGTCACTCCTCGAAGAGCCCCAGCAAGATATTTGGGATCTTCAAGCGCACAAGATCACCATCCCCGCCCATGCCGGTCCTAGTCAGTTCGCTTCTTCGTCCTCCCAAGCATCACAACCACAGTCACACAAAGGCGGCTTCTTCTACATACCCAATCTCATCACTGAGGATGAGGAACGCTTCTTGACCGAAGCTCTTCTCTCAGCTCCCAAGCCAAAATGGAAAGTGCTCCAAAACAGACGCTTGCAGGAATGGGGCGGACAGATGCATGCTAAGAACAACACCTTGATGCCGCAAGAAATGCCCGATTTTTTCACCAGCTACCCGGATCTCATCACAAGACTTCGCAAGACGGGTGCTTTCGAAGGCTCCAAGCATGGCGAGCCGAACCATTGCCTTGTGAACGAGTACCTTCCTGGTCAGGGCATCATGCCTCATGAGGATGGTCCGGCGTACTTTCCTGCAGTAGCTACGATCAGCCTAGGCTCACATGCGCTGCTTGATATCTACCGATACGTAGATGAAGATTTGCAAAAGGACTTTGATGAGAGAATGGAAGAGCATGACAAGGAGGTCAAGAGGATCGGTACAGCCGAGGACGCGAGTGCAGGGGATTCGGACAAGTCGAGAATCGTACCGAAAGAGAGGATCGAAGGCAACGTCAAGATCGTGCGAGGTGCTAGAGCAAGGGAGCCCAACCCCATTTTTTCGATATTGCAGGAGCCTCGATCGCTGCTCATCACAACAGGCCAGGTTTACAAGTCTTACTTGCATGGCATTGCCGAACGGAAGCTTGACACGGACGAGCACTTGTCCAAGGTTGCGAACGAGCATCTGCTCGCCAATGCTCCGCTGCGAGCTGCGGTAGAGAAGGCCAAATCGAAAGATAGAGAAGAAGGGGCTGCCAAGGGAGAGAAAAACGGAGAAACAGCTGGGCTAGCAAGAGACACAAGACTCAGTCTGACATTCAGAGACGTCGAGAAAGTGAGCAAAGGAGTCGCTGCCATGATGGCTTTCTTGCAAGGCGGAAAGCGATAGAGGCAAACCAGTCATCTTGTCGTGTACTCAAATACCCTGTGTACTAGCAATCACAAAGTCAAGGCAATACAGCAAACACTGGCGCCATCTGTTAGTTTTGCATTAATGTGACGACGGCCGAGACCCAACAGCAAATGCCATTGCCGCACCGACAATCTCACCCACAATCTTGGCTTCCTCCACATCTCTTGGGCTGTAGACGAGGCAGTATGTTGGTGGCAGGCCGATAGCCTTGACCACTTTCGCATCTGTTGTCGCGGGTACTGAGCTACTTGACCACCATCGAGCCGACCTTCTACTAGAATCTCCCGTGAGCCGGGTCAGCCAAGCTGGCCATCCGATCCAGAATCCAGTGTAGGAGGGAAAGCCGGCAAGCGGATGCAGCTCGCCCCATCCTTTCTCGACTACCAGAGCAGCGTCGTCTGAGTGCAGTGTCATGTGCAGGCTTCCGTCCAGTCCGAGTCCCAATCGAAATCCTTCCTCAGCTCCTGCTGCTTGCTCGGTCTCGGTCGGGTTAGGGCAGCGATGAATGTGAACCAACTCGCCTTTCATCGATGAGAGGAACCGTCTGGAAAGTGAGCTCGGGAACCATGCTGAGCGAGTGGAGCGCGAGACGCCTTCGCCTCCCGTCACGAGTGTATGCGATACCGCGAATAGTGCGATGGAGTCCTTCTCGACGAAAGAAGAACCGATGCGCAGATGTGAAAGTTGAGATTCGGCTTCTTTCCGTAACACTGACTGGACGTGTTCAACCGCCTCCCGAGCTTCTTTGATAGCTACCTCCACTGAAACGCCATCCTCTTCAACATCGTGATGAAACTGGTCAAGCTGTCGATGAGGTATCGTTCCCGCTGTCAACGGGTTCGCTCCGTTTCTACGCGGCAGTTTAGCACCTGTCGTCAGTTGGTCACCGTCCTCCTTTCCTCCTGACCCTGTCTTTGGCAGAAAAGCCCGTACAAGCCTCGTACTCGTCCAAGAGCTGCTCAACGACAATGGAAAGAGTGCAAAGTAGTGCAAAGCCCATCCGAACACATTCTTTGGTAATGGACCGCCGGGAAGCGCAAGAAAAAGGCGATAGTCGAGCCAGAGCTTGGAGGCAATTTGCGAAACGAAATACGAAGCGAAGAGCGAGATGGTGACTGGAGCTTTGCGGTATGTCGATACCACCGCTTGTAGAGCGGAGGTTGGATGTGAGCCATTCATGCTGGCCTGTTGTTGCAGAGCAGTGTTGCAGCAAGTTAGGGTTGGAAGAAGAGAATGATGTTCAGCGCTGCTGAGTGGGCGAGCGAGCGGCACTTTACGCGATGAGATCTAACACTCGAGAAAGAGTCCAAAGAGATTTTAGCCCAAATTCCAGTTCTGTTAGGGCGACCGATATCTGCACATTGCGTTCTCGTGCCAAAAAGATTTTTTTCGAGATCGATATGGATGCCGAGATACCAAAGGGCAGGCGCACTCCTCTCTGTTGAAAAACGACACAAACCGATCTGATCGAAGGTCAAGCGGAGCCGATCAAATCTGATTGAAGATCGAGTCGAACCGATTTGGTTAAGGATCGGGTACAACCAAGTCCCGCTCGTTGTCAGGCTAGATCATTGAGTAGGAGTACTCCCACCTTCGGCATGTGCCGCACACATGTATATATATCACGCAGAGAGCACTAGGCTCTCGCCACATCCCTTTAAGTCAATCAAGTATATGTTTCTGCTGCAATAAGGTAGAGACATCGTACTTAGACTATCCCCGATCACCAGTATCGGGACCCAAACGACTTCAACTTTCATCACTCTCTGAGGGGGTATCAAAGTTTTTGTGTTTTTAAAAACCCGGGTTTTTTCAAGAGCACATTTTTCAAAAAAATGCAAAAGCTTACATAAGCTCTGCAAAGGGAAAAAAAAAACTGTGTTTTCAAAAATGCAGCTCAGGAGGTGCATTTGTGAAAATGCGGTTTTTTTATCACTCCACATCTTCTCTCCTTTCCTCACTCTTGTCACACTTTTGCTCACTCCCTCTTCCTTGCGCTCATTCAACATGACCTCCTCCACTGATGATTCTGGTGACATCTCTGCAGAGTTGTTATGCCAATCCACTACACCTACAAGCTCTGCAACTCAGACCAAAAGCATGCCTGCGCTGTTTCAATCTGGTTCTACAAGTGCTCCTGACATCCACACTTCCTGTCCAACTCGAGCCTCTAGATCTGCCACAGGCAAGAAGAACTTGACATGGTTGGGTGCCAATGTTCTTCACCTTGTCACGATCCTCTACAACAACAACTCCTACCAGTGCACTCTGCTGCCATCTCGAGAATCAGCTGAGAGTGATCCAGCCCTCAAACTTCACAAACATCCCATTTTTTGGGATATCTCCAAGATGATTTTCCCAGGTGCATCTGTTGATCCCAATCACATCAAGTCCAAGCTGAGGTGGCTGCTAGAGACATACTACAGGGAGAAGAAGAAGCTTTCACCCACTGGAGCTGGTACACTGCTGGAGGACATGGATGCATCCAACCTGGTAAGTTTTGGTGATCTTCATTGCTTGCAATAGTATGCTTGGATGCTGATTCATACTTTCAATTTTAAACAGTCCTACATATCTCACATTGCCCTATCAACAAAGTATGCTTGGTTTGAAAGGATGCATGAGATGATGAATGGCTGATTCAATGCTGATCCTGCAGCACTTATCACAACTCCCAGTCTCGACTTCACCAGCGATGACAAGCCTGACATGCCTTTGAATGGCTCAGCTGACATACCCATGGATATTTGTGGCAGTGAGCTGTATGATCACAGCACTCATGGCCATGGTTTGCCTCCTATTCTCGACTTGATCAAACCCACCAACCCCCCAGCTGCTGTTGCAGCCACTTCTGGTGCATCCTTTGCTGGCACTGGTGATGATGACATCTTTAACACATCTTCACCTCCACCTTTGCAGGCTCGACCACCTTCCTCCACTGCTGGTGGTTTGGATGTCTCTGATTCCACCTCTTCTCAATCTTCAGCCCAGCTCTCTCCCAGCACCAAGTGCAAGTGAGGTGCCCTTGATCACAAGTGCGTCACACTTGCTGAAGCTTTCTATCATTCTTCCATTGATACCCTTCAGATCCACCTGCAGCTTGAACAGGAATGCACCAGACACGAGAAAATACTGGTGGCTGAGTGTACCAAGCATGAGGAGATGCGCCTGCATCATGAGAGGGAGGAGAAAGAGTGCAATGAACATGTTTGCATGTGTGATCGTGAAATGGTGATGGAGATGGTGTGCCTCCTTGCTTCTCAGGCCAGCATCAAACAGGATGCTCATCAGAACACCAGCAACAACAACAACATGGACTCTTCATTCAATCTTCCTGTCTTGTAGCATTACATGTACTATCATCTGGTCTCAATGCAAAGTCATTTCTGAGTGTTTTTCTGTAGAGTGCAAGTATGAGGTGAATAAAAATGATGTGCAGCACAGTCACATAATGAGCTCAAAAGCATTTAAACAAAATTTTTCACTCTCACACCTCTTCCATTACTACCACCACTCCACTCTGCAACCTTTCGGCATCGCTCTTGCTGCCATCCCCCCTCTCCATCCCCCCTCTCCATGCTCCCTCTCCAACTCCCTTCCTCCTTCCAGCCATGGTGTGCTACAGCAACAAGCAAGTAATTCTCAATGACATTGTCCACACTCTCAAGCTCTCTATACCTGCAGAGGTCATCCAAAACACTGACAGAGTGCAGCACTCCTGCAGCACTGACATCAACAACTTGGACAATGATGGCGACCCAATTCCACTCTCACAACACCTTGTCTGCTTGTACACTTTCATATGCAAGCAAAGATACACAATCACATGTTGCACTCCTCTTGGCCATGCCGATAAGCTTATCCACCTTCTCAACAGGTACAAATCAAGCAATCATAGGATGTATCATGGACTTGTTCATATGTTGCCTGAAGCATTCAACAATCTTGCCATCTGACTCCAGCAAACAGAGGCTTTCTGGTGGAACTACAGCAGCTCAGGTGTGATGTCTCTCAACAAAGTGCAAGAGATTCTTTCAGTGGCTCTGTACAGACTCGGCTGTTCTGGAAATGGAGGTGGTGAATGTGACACTGCTTTGCAATGTGGTTGCAGTGTTGGGAGCATTGTTGGATACACCAATCACACAGTTGCTGGCCTCCTTGAGCTAAACAATGAGGTCATGCAGTTTGCTTCAGAGGGAGAGAGACAACATGCTTCTGCCTGGGTGTGCAATACAACTGGGGTTGAAGAGTGGGGTAAGGGCTGGCTTGTGGTGGATGGCACACACATCCCTCTTGCCTGGAAGCCAGGAGTGCTCAGTCGCGAGCACTTCTGCTACAAAGGCTTCCACAGCATCAATGTAGCACTGGTGATCCTGCCACACTCACTGCGGATTGTTGAATCAGTTGTTGGACAGCCTGGCAGTGTTCAGGATTCAAAGGTTTGGGCCTCAGGCAGCAACATCCTGAAGAAGCCTTGCCTGTACCTTGATGAAGGTGAGTTCATCTGGGTTGATGGTGGATATGGCCATTCTGCCTTCACAGTTGGACCATTCTCTCACATTGCTGCCGACAAGAGTCAAGACCTTCGACACTTCAACTACATGCTCTCTCGAGTCTGAGTATGAGTTGAACATGCCATTGCATACCTGAAGAACCGCTTCCAGTGCCTTACAGGCTATCATGGTAACATCTACCATTTCAAGGACTGCATCACTGCTGCCAAGACAATCCAAGCCTGCATTGTTGCCCACACCTTTGCAAGTCAATATGACCGTCCTGCTGATATTGCTGACCTGCTGTTGCCCTCTTTCTCTGAGGATGAGGTGAGTGAGGTTGTTCAAAGCCTCCAACTTGATGCCAGTGATACACAAGAGCTCAGGAGGACAAGACACACAAATCAGCAGGAATATGAACTGGATCTTGCCACTGCAACACAAGGAATGTCACAGTATGCAGTGTCAAGACTTCAAAGTTCTGCTGCACATGATCTTTGAGAGGGTTTGTTCCAGGCACTGTTCAGATCCACTGGGTGCAATGAGGAAGACACTACTGCATTGTCTCAACATCATGAGAGGACTACTGTGGACTACATTGCCATGACTCAAAGTGCATCAGCTCAGAGACAGGAGCAAGTCTTGACACAACCATTCTCGATCTGACAGGCACTCTCTCTTCTTCTGTTCAATACAATTCTTCTCACCACCATATGAAACATTACATTGAGTGCATTGTGTGAAGAGGAAAGCAAGATATAAGCAAGCAATGGGTAATAGCAACAAGAGTGACAAGTAACATGACCACTGTTAGGTTATGTATTTTATCGGCTGTATGATTTCATTGTGTTTTTGGAAACCCGCTTTTCCTTGGGGGGGGGGGGGTTCAAATTCCCTCCAAAAATGCGCTCTCGAAAAAACCCGCGTTTTTAAAATCGCAAAAACTTTGATACCCCCTCTGCCTCATTGCCGGTTTTTTTATTTTTATTTATTTTTTTATTTTTATTTTTTGGCTGTTTTCAGATAAGCCGTCTGCTGGCTTCACTTGCTGCTGTGCGTCTCAGTCGTTGGTGACGCCGTTTCTCATTATTCTCGTGGTCTGATACGAAAACGTGGGTGGGTTGAGGGAAAACAACTAATTTGGCTTGCAAGCGAGAGAGAGAGAGAGAGAGGCTGCCTTGGCCGGTCTCGGAGTTGAATTCTGTCCTTTTCCCGCCTGTATTTAAGATTTGACTGCTCGGCTGGCGGAATTCTATCGGCCAACCAAATTTTTCGCTTTGCAGGTCCAGTCCCTTGTAAGTAAGAAGTGAGCGAGCGTGTCTGTCTGGGGCACACACACATACACCGCCTCGAGACGCCCTTTGCCTCTTCACTTCTCTCCAACACCATCCTCTTTTCAACAACAAACTCTCAATACTCGCTCTATCTGCCAAGGAGTCACATCCTCTCCAACCTCAAAGACAACTCATTCACAAAACCTATGCTTGACCCCAGTTGTAGACCCTATCAGCGTGCTTCATCGTAAGTCTCATTCTTTCAACTATCCAACATTGATCTCCTATGGATCAAGTCATCTTGCCAACATCATCTCACTTTATCTCCCTCTTTCGTCGGCCTCTCTGTATCCTTTCTTCAATCGTCAACAGTCCTGTTCGATCCCAGGCAAGCTGCCTTTGCGTTGGCCAACTGCTTCTCTTCCTGGACTCGTCCGACCGTCCTCCTTAACGTAGACTCTCCATCTACTCGGCTTTTTGACTTTACCCTGCGACCATCGTCACATCAACGCATTTGCAACCCATCTTATCGCATCGCATCGATTACACATCGCTGTTTCCAGTCACATCGATTCGCTAGACCACAGCCACAGCTTCCAAACGCACACTTTGCATCTGTGCGTTTTCAATCATCAACACCATCTTCTCTCGCTCATCGTTGGCCTCTCCTGCCAACCGCCTTCTGTAGCCAACCCATGATCGGCGCCATCTTTGCCATCCTCCGTCTCTCCACCCGCTTGGCTTGAATCCCACGCTGCTGGGCTACCCTTCCGGATCCCAGCACCACTTTAAAGCCTCCTTGACCCATCTCGCCACCGCTCTTTTTTCTCTTAAACTTTTCTTCATCGTCGTAGCGCGACGTCATCGTCTCGCACCATTCCTTCGACTGCCTTTTCCATTACGGACTAGGTCGGTGCAATATACACGCAGCCGCCTGCTCCCTCACTCGTAGCTTGTTTTCAGCATTGATCTTATATCAGAAAGACTTGCCCTTCGCACAAGAGGCTCGCCCTTGCTTTGCCTCGCCGACAGAAGAAGTCGGGCTCTGGCAACAACTCTCCTGCCTCCGAGATGTCGCCTCCGCTTACAGCAGTTTATGCAACCTCGTTCAGTGCTAGACCCTCCACCGAGCTCGGTCACAGCGACCCTGCTCCTGATGCCGAACGAATCAAGCCCAAGCGTTCCTCCAGCTTTGGTCGTGGCCTTGGCCAGCTCGCCTCTCTCGCCAGCACCAAGCCCAAGACTGTCGACCTCATGTCCTTTGGTCGAACCAAGTCGGGTGCTTCAACTCCCCAGCCCCCCGTCCCTAGCAGCAACACCACGGACAGTGTCACTGCTGCCGCTACCATCCTCGCCAATGGAGGCCCCAACACTTTCATGGATCCACCTTCGACTCCCGACCCTTCGCATCTCACTCAGTTCTCTCTCCAGCTGAGCGACCTCGTTAACAAGGCCTTTGTTCCATGCACTGCTGGAAACACCCCTGCCGCCAGCACCACCTCGGTCGCCTCCAACGTTGCAGCTGCTGCCAAGGGTGCCACCACGCCCAAGATCAACCAGATCACCTATGATGGCAAGCATCTTCCCGACAAGGCCAAGATCATCGAGATCGCTCAGACCGTCGTCGGTGAACTTCGATACGCCGAGGCTGTCGATGCCTACCTCCTGCGTGCCGTCTCGCGCCAGATCCTCAAGGCACTTACCCTATTCGCTGCTCGCATCGACTCGCTTCTGGTCTCGCCCACCAAGGACCCTGGCGCCCTTCGCATCCCCACGAACGCCAAGGAAGGTCTGCATCTACCTGCCGCGATGGAGTTCAACCTCGGCCTAGTCACGCTCGAATGGATCGTCGAGGACAGTCTCGAGCGCTGCATCGAAGGAGACCGTGACGCTCACGGCGAGCTCATCGCTGACGAGAATGGTGCAGTGCATGACGGCATGCCCAATTTCGTCTCGGAGATCCTCACGCCCGTCCGCAAGAGGATGGAAGGCACCATCTTGCACATCATCCAGCCCATTCTTGCTCAGACCAAGCTGTCCATGGCTCGATGCATCTCCACTGCCGTCCCTACTCCTTTTGTCAGCCCTGTGACGCTTTCGCCCGCGACCACTTCTGGAAGCGCTACAGCTGCTGCTGCCCTTGATAGCCGCTCTGTCTCGCCTCCACTCGCAGCTGCTGTCACCTCTGCTGCCACGCCAGGCGCCGCTGTCTCTGGCAACGTCTCACCTCTTCGCCTCCCGGAGACTGGTCCTGGCTCTGCTTGGCTCCGCGACCTCGATGCCCGCCTTGAAGGCGCTCGCAGGCTGCTGCTGCCTCGCATCGAGGAGCGATGTGGCCAGGACGGCGAAGGATGGTTCATCTCGGTTGCCATCCACATCATTTGGAAGGGTCTTCTGATTCTCACTTCCCGCTCCGTATCGCTGCCTAGCAACGCCGCCTCCGAGCTCCTCACTGGGAGCAACGCTGCTAGTGCCTCTGCCTTTGACCGACTGCTTGGCGAGGTCAACCAGAAGCGCAGCCCTTCTCCTGCTCAGCTCGCTCATGCTCTCAAGTCTGTTGGTGTCGGATCTACTCGTAGCAAAAGTCGCAGCACCGATCCTCTGGGTCATCCCAACGACTCGGGTCGTCAGAGCCCTTCACACTGTGCTGCTTCGACCATCGCTCCCTTCTCGCTAGTCAGCGCCCGTCTCTGCGCTCATCAACTTGCCGAGTTGCAGACGTTCGAGAAGCTCATGCTTCGCTTCTGTGACGGCTTCCTGCGCAGGCCTGGTACTCAAACCAAGAAGCTTGGCAAAGAGTCGAAGCGATCGCGCTTCGCCCTCTTCTCGTCGGGTAGCAGCAGCTTGGGTGGTGCTAACCAACCTCTCGATCTCTCCGCTTACGACCCTGACGAGGAAGACGAGCTCGCCCGTGCCGCTTTGGCGGAAGCTATGCACGCTCTGCGAAGTACGATCATCGTATTGCAGTCGCTTGAACGCGAGCCTGGCACCATATGCGCTGCTTTGGAGCACCTAAAGTGTCTCCCAGGTGCTCAGGATGGCGTGAAGGTTGGAGATGCTGCTTTGAGCAACACTGCCACTTCCAACGCACTGGGCACTGAAGCAGCCAAGGCTCTGGACGCAATCCCCAACCTGCTTCTTCTGCAGACCCTCTACAACCGTCTTCCGATGGGTGCTGGGCGTCTTGAGCTCCCCTCTCCTCCTGCTTTGTTTGGCTACACTTGGACCGAGTACGAAAAGGCCATTGCTGGCTTCGCTGGAGGCGAGCAGTGGGCCCAGGCTGTTGCGCTGCGTTACAAACCTGAGATTGAAAAGGCTTGGAGGTCGATTGCCGTCCGAATGGATGAAAAGCTAGCTGCGTCGGAGCACAAGCTTGCTGGTGCGAAAGCGAATGGAGGAGCAGCGAACACTTCTCGTACCGTGTCAGGTTCTTCCGCTCGTGCAGGATCGGGTCTTGCTCGTGGTGGATCGCTTCACTCCAGCTCCGGAGAAGAGGAGGAGGGCGATGTGCCAGAAGTAATGTCTCAGTCCGTACCTGAGCTTAAGAAGCCCAACGGCACTACCTCCCGTAGCAGCGAAGAAGCTCAACCAAACGCGAGCTCTGTAGACGTTCGAGGTCGACCATCCCCCACTCATTCCCCTAGACGTAGCTCGACATTAGCTCATCCAGAAATGGCGCCCTCTGCCACTGTTCAACCTCTCGCCGCTGCCAGCACAGCTACTCAACCCCGCTTCTGGCGTCGTAGCACATCAACCGCACGCAGCGGATTTCATCTCTCCTTCTCCGGACTGCGTTCGCAATCTCCTCGTGCTGGAACTCTTCCCACTCCGCCAACTACGACCTCGCAAACCGCTGACCCACTAGCTACAGCTAGCCCAACAGGTAGCGCTTCAGGTTCGAACACCAACCTTGCCTCATCCACTACCGCTGATTCGCCCCCTAGAACAGCAGCTGGTTTATACGCCGAACCGACAGAAGAAGGCGGAATGAGTGAGGAAGAGCAGAAAATCCACCTGGAAGCCAAAGTGGAGCGAAAGAGTCTTTGTGTCTTTGCTAAAGCACTCGTTTATGCTGGTAGGGGACAGGTTGCTATTGAGCTTCGCTAAATCTCTTGCACAAAGGTTTCACTATAGATGTTTCATGCTTTTTGTGGTTTGTAGATAGCAAAACAGACAATTTGACAGCAAACTGTCTCACTTTGTGCATGTGAGTCGCGAGAGTCGTGAGAACTGGGATTTGACGACGAGTTGGGATCAGCTCGAATGAGACTGGTTGAGGCTGTCTCGATCGCATGCCTGCACCATCACACAAGCACAGACACTTCGGCGTAGCATCATGACAAAATGTGAAAAAGAATCGATTGCGCATCAACAGCTTGACCTCCAGATGAGGGAGATCAGAGCTTCTTACTCCTGTACAGCAAGATATAAGCGACACTGTCCTCTCCTCCACCATCCAGAGCTTGAATCTTGTCCCTACCAACCACGCTGACCTTGTCATCGTTGAACTTGTACCATTCTTCATCGGCCTCTGTCTTGTCCAGCTTTTCACGCTCTCCCTGTGCTTGCTTACCATCCTTTGCTTGTCCATCCAGAGCGTCTTCCGAGTCGAGGTCTTTTCGAACCCAGCTGATGTAATGACCGGCATCAGCAGCAGCACCTTTATGCGTAACCACGCCTACCAGCTCGTACAACGCAGAGGGGTTGCAACCGGTGTCGGCTAGGAGATCGGGGTGAATAGTGGACTGAATTCGTTCACGTTCTTTCTGACGCTGAACCAACTCCTCTTCTTCTGTGAGAGGTACACCCAGTTTCGAATCTGCTGAGGGTTCGCCTTCCTTCTTCTCCTCTCCCTTACCCTCCTCACCCGCATTAGCAGCGGTAGAAGTGGCATCAGCCATAGCAACATCCCCACCCTGTCGAGCAGCATCCTTCGCAGCCTTCTCTTCAGCAATCTTCCTCGCTTTAGCCCTCTTCCTAATCTTTGCCCTCTCATCTCTATCCTTTTCGATCTTCTTGATCGCCAAATTCGTCTCCTTTGTCTTTTCCTTCAACTCGTCCGTCAAAAACGGAGTAGCATCCAAGACGAAAGGGAACTTCACTTTACGCATGATCTTAGTCTTCTTGTTAATATCCCTTCGCCAGTAGAACCTGACAAAGTGAGTAGCAAGGTAGGCGGGAAGTCGGTCGATGCGTGAAGTCTCGTCATATACCGCAGTACGACCGAGAGAGGAAGACGTCTTTTCAAGTTGCTGGTTGAGAGAGTCGAGAATGCCAGAAATCATCTCGTTGGTGGTGGAGGAAATGTTGCATTGGAGGATAGAGAATTGGTCTCGGTTGGTCGAAGCGGGTTCGTCTGGTGCTTCGGCTGTAGAGCGCTTGATGACCATCTGTCCGGTCAAGTACTGCTGGACGAACTTGCGCGAAGCTGCCTCGTTACTTGCTCCCTCAGGCGACAATCCCTGAAGAGAGTTTTGGAGAGCCTGGATAATGCGCACCCAAACCTCCTCCGCATCTTGCTGAGCAAATCCATGCCCATCACGAGACATCTCAGCAAACTGCGGAGCAACTTGCCTGAGAATTGTCAGAAAGGCGAAGGGAGGGAAAGGTTCCGTCGTCTCCGAAAGATTCTTATAAAGATCCCTCAATGCAGCAGTCAAGTTCCTCTCTCCATCCGCTCCTCCCAACCCACCATCGAACTGTCCCAACGCTGTCTGCAACTCGGGAATAGCTCTCAAAACCTGCAGTGTCGAGTTCAAATAACAAGTGTTACCCAAATTCGTCAGTCCAGCCTTGCTCTTAGTCGCAAGGGCCAATTCCGAATCCGTCATGTCCTCGATGAACGTGATAGGCCCCTCGGGAGCTTTAGGCAGTTCACCAGCTGTACCGATCACCATGAAGGTCTGTCCAGGTTTAGCACCAACCTTGGTGAGGTCATGATCGTCTTTGAGCATTCCACCTTTGACCATCACCTTCATTCGATCAGCGGGGACGCCAGTCTTTTCGTAGATGGCCTGCTTGAATGCAGTGGCGGGAAGGGAGGTGTCTAGGGTGATATCGTGAAGTTTGCCATTGTGTTTGACTTTGATTGGGATTGTGGTTGCCATTTTGGCCATTTCTTGTTGTGGCGGCACCGCAGATGAGTGTCCGTGAGGAAGGAATGGATGTAAGAGGGAGAAAGTTTATGTGTGGTGTACGTTGACAAGAAGGAAGTTGTTGCTGGAAGCTGACTTGAGTGCCAGACTGGCTGATGCACAGACACCTTTTTCAAGTGGAGTTTGGGAGAACAACAAAACCTGCTCAGCTGCTACTGAGAAGAAAGGCTTCGTGTGCGTCGCACGATCACTCTATGTTAGGCTGCTCCAAATGAACAGAAAGTCCAGAAAAATCATTTCTGGTTTCTGAACGCACTTGTCAGAAGCAGCCTTTTCTGCGAAGCAGCAGCCGCCATTAGGCAGCAACGCGACAAGCTGCCTACTCACGGAGCACAGACAAAGCAGCAAGAGAGAAAGAATGAAACATGACAATGCAGCGGATACAAATACAGATGGGGGGCACTAGAATGTGGCGGATGCGAGGGAGAGCAAGGTGCTGGACAGAATGACAAATAGTCGATGCTTCGCTGCGTCTAGAGCAGATCAAAATCATCCAACTCATCATTATACCTAGCGATAGTCCTCTTGATCTTACTCGTATCGACCCAAGTCACAAAGTCTTCCATATTCCTTGTCACCATAAATGCAGGATCACTTATCGTATCTGGCCCGACCCGAACATGACCCTGCTCAACATACTTCACCGCCTGCCCGACCGTCTCTGACATCTTCAGTCTAACCATTACCACTGGCAACCTTCTCCTGCAGAACGCTGACACGTTGAGCTTATTCGTAATGTCAGACATCTTAGCACCTGTGTCCAGGAGACCCATGTCGTATAGTTTTGCAAGCATTCCTTGCTCGTGTTTGCCTCGGAAAGGATCTGCTACAGGGAGAGTGGAGAGGCGGAGTGCGAGATGGCGGAGTTTACCGACAAGCTTGTTGTACTTGTGATAGTCGTCTCGATCCTGAATATGGTAGCGACGCATGACTTTGGCTTCTCGCATACCAGCATCTTGTTTCCAATCGAGAAAGTCATGCTTTTTGAGCAGTTTCTGCTCATGGAACTTGAGCTGACGCATGCTGGAGGCGTTTTAACGAGGTGGTAGTGCAGAAGGTAGACGAGCTGTACTTGATGCCGCGCGTAATTGCGTAAATGGATGTATGTGCGTGACGCCGGAATCAAGCGACTGTCAAGGCGTGCGGGCTTTCAAGGTTAGGGTCTGGCGGTGAGCGGAACCAAGTGATGATGGTGAAGGATTGGTTATCCGAGGATGTTGGAGGTTCGAAGGTGGGGTTTGCTCAGGGTGCGAAAGGAAAATTTTGAAATTCGGATCTCGGTCACTGCAGCCCGTCAAAATTTTGATCTCGAGTGTGAACGTGTGGGACTCGACATCTTGAACTCGGCTCCACAGCGTCACAACGACCACTTGCTCAACAATCTGGCCAGAGCATGGTACATCTCAGCTTTCCCCGCTGATGGAGGAGAGTTTGTATATAGCAGAAGAGTCCATTACAGGTGACAAGAGGGAGAGTGGCTGACAAGCATGAGACGAGCTCGTGCACCGCTGCGAGTTAGGCTCGCCTCAGTTGAGAACAGCCAACAAAACAATCGCAACCACAAACCCAACTACGAGCAACAGACAGATACACCTCCTTCCTGCTTTCCTCTGATACTCGTGGGCCACCACCAACTCTCGATCCGCACCCGCCGTGTTCTCTGCGATTGAGTTGATATTAAATTCGATGTTATCAATCATCCCTCCCTGCTCCTGCACGATGTTGCCGAGATCACGGAAGATCTCGTTCAACTCCTGAACACCACTCTCGATCTCCCTGATCTCTGCCTCTCTGGATGTGATCAGCGACTCCTGGTATTCCAGATCCGCCTGTGATGGCCCTTCGGGCAACAAGTCCAGCGACTCGGCTTGCAATCCTCCTTCCTGCGACACCCCAGCAGCGTTGTTATTACGCTTCGACTCTTCCGTGTCAATCAGCAACTGAGAGTTTCTCGACTTCAACATCTGTCGCTCCTTCTGCTTGTCCTGCTCCAACTTGGCTCTCGTGGTAGCCACCGCTTCCTTCTGGACACGCTGGAACTGCATCGCTGCCGACTGGAAATCACGTTGCAATTTCCCTTGGGTGAGCTTTGCGCCGCCATTGGATGGTCCAAGCGGGAAAGTGGAGAGTGACTTGATATCGGTGGTGGCATCTTTGATGAGCTCGCGTGTAGTCTCTATCAGATCGTTGATGCGTTTACTCCAGTCTTGACCCGCTGCTTTGGCGGATGTGTTGGATGAGGCGGAGGAGGACGAGAGCGAGATGAGCTTCTGAATAGCAGTGACGTTCGAGTTGATCTTGAAGATTTGGATGCCGATCTTATTGGTGAGCTTTTCGAATTCTGGAGGTAGTGAGGGCGCTACTTCGTTGCGGTAGAGTGGGAGAGGGGTTTTGCGTGGTCCACCGCCGCCTCCGCCGGAGCCACCGCCCCTTGATGAGGAGCCTCGTTCGAGATCGTTGAATGACATTGCGACAACCTCAACCCACCAGCAGTATGCGCGAGAGCATGCGCGTTAGAGAAAATCCGGATGCAGTAGGGCTGCTCTAGCTTGATCCGGTGCAAAGGATGGATGTGATTGCGGATGTTGGTAGAGTCGACGAGTTTGCGTTGAAGTTTCTCGTGGCTGCACTGACACCGAACAGGGGATGTAGCCTGTGTTCCTGCCGTCTTTGGATGTATTGTTCGTGAATGGATCCTTACGATAGAAGTAGAGTGATCGAGGCCGATTGCTGATGAGCAAAGTGTTGTACTGAGATGATGGATGTCAATCGCTGAGCGATGGATCGATTGACAGGGCCGTTCTTAGTGCGTGCGAGTATGCGTTGCTCCGACAGCCCTGACAAGCCTTTCTGCCCCTGTTCAGTGACGCATCTCTGCTGTTGCACTTTGGCTGTGCCGATTTCAACCTCCGGATTCAACGGCCACGTTTCACCGAATCTAACAGACTGGACCCTGCGTGGAAAAATGGCAATCCAGCAGGTTTTTAGGTTTTCGGCTGTTTGGAAATTTTTGGTTCTTCCAGCCACAGTCTTCCCCTCACCGTCTTCATCACTCTTCGCACCTGCATCTTACACACCACTCCCCGAGCATCAGGAACGATGGATCAGGATATGGACGTGATGCTTTCGGGAGCAGCAAGGGCACCAGTCCTCGCTTCAACCTCGAGCTTCCACCGTGCTAAGGAACCTTTCCATGTACAGGTGATCCCACCTAACGCCAACGCCAATGCCTCGCCGGCCTACGTGACACACCTTCTCTCGTTGTCTACTTCCTATGGCGTTCCCACACTTCTCGCTGTTGCGGATGACAGCACGCTCACATTGATCGACAAGACTTCTGGTGTCGTAGCCGAGTCTCACCGCGCATTTAAAGACGCCCGCATCACCCAGGCTAAAACTCTCCCTTCCGCTTCAGGCACCTTCGTAGCATCTGTCTCGAACGGCACCGTCGCATGCTGGGACACAAGGTCCGGACTCAAAAGACCAGTGTGGACACTTCAGGGCACAAGTAAAGCTCCATATTTGTGCGTCGAAATATCGCCGAGCGATGCAAACACAGTGGTAGCGGGCACAGAACAGTACGGCCACGGTGATTCCGACATTGACATCTGGGATGTTCGCTCCGCTGCCGCACCACAAAGCAAGTACAACGAAGTACATAGCGACGACGTGACCGTCTTGCAATACCACCCTGACTCTGCAGCACACGGAGGTATCCTCTTGAGTGGCTCAACTGACGGTCTCGTTTCGGCAATCGACACTACGATCCCTGAAGAAGACGATGCCGTGATCTCGGTTGGTAACACTGGCAACTCGGTCGCTCGTGCTGGTTGGTTCTATTCCTCCTCTTCATCTTCGTCCTCCACCTCCTCCGCGGCGGTGGATACCAACATGGACAGCACCGAAGAAGCAGACCTTAGCCAAGTCGAAACAGAAGCCCGTCGTCGAGCCCTCGGCAAAGTCTGGGCCATTGGAGACATGCAAACGCTCTCCCTCTTTGATGCAGATAAGTTCGATCCCATCCTACCAACCACCGACGTCCGATCCTCTTCCTCCCTCCGACCACCTTGGTCCACAGACTATGTCATCGATGCGTTCACACATCTCCCCTCCTTTCCTAATCCTCCCTCCTCCTCCGAAGAACACCTTACATTGTTCGTTGGCAAATCTGAGGGAGCCTTCGCGACAATTTCTATCCCCACTTCAGCACCTACACCAACTTCAAGTTGGGGCTTGAGAGCGGTATTCCCGGAACAGGGTGATGGTACATTCTATGGTCATGCTGACATCGTAAGGTCTGTAGACTGGGATGCGGCGACAAATACGTTGTACACTGGTGGAGAGGATGGGAACTTATGTTTTTGGCAGTTTGAAGCGGGTGCTGGTGGCGAGGTAGTGGGGCAAGGGTCAATTGCCTTGAACTCTTTGCCTGCGGGAGCAGCGGCGGGAGGCGGTGGAGGAGGAGGGTACGATAGTCAGAGTTCGAGTCGAAGCGCGTCGAGGAATGCTACTCTTGGCAGCAGGACAGCTAGGTACACACCATACAAGTAATGCTCGATAGTACAACCTAATTCAATCTTTGCATCACTATTGCAGCTTCTCACCATCACATAGAGAAACAGATGAGTGCAAGTAAGCCTTGATATTGACGAATAATTGTGCGATGCGAGTAGAGTTGCATGAGAAGAGACAGCGACAGTGTTTGTGTGCTTGCTTTGTTTGGGTATCGGGTCTGTGTAAGATGTTTCTTTGCTTGCGGGTCCATGAAATTATCTACAGAAGTTGAGGAGCTTCGTTTCCAAGCGGCACTCACTTGCGCGAGTACCAACTCTTCTTCCCAGCCGGAGCAGCCGCCGAAGCAGACACGGCAGAGATGTCCTGCATAGGCTGTGCTGCACCGCCAGCGTTGAAGGCAGCCTGCTAATTCCTTCCGATGTTGTTCTGCACGAGGTTCGAGCTTGAGTTGCCAACCGTGCTCCTTCCTCGTCCCGCCGCAACTCCCGTCGACTGCTGCACATGGCTCTGTGCCGCACTCTGAGCCGGATGAGTGTCATGTGGCGCCCTCGGTGTCAGATCTGACAGTCCCTTCGCAATGTTCTCTTCGCCTCTCAACCTCAACAACTCCTCCAACAACTTCGCATTCCTCGAATTGGTCCTCCAAGCAGCCATCACAACATCACCCACCAGTGGAACGAACCCAACCCCCGTCGAAATGGCATTGTTGACGATCATCTGTCTGATCAACCAGTCCGGAAATTCATCCAGCTCCTTCTTCACCGGTCGTACCACCAAAGTATGGTTGAGCAGGGCATTGACTAGATCACCAAGACCGGGGACAATTCCGATGAAGAAAGTCCAACCGAAACGCAAGCCACAGATGGAGAATCCTTTGTCAAGGTAGTGAGCGCGTTTCTTGATCTTTTGGAGCAACTTGGCTTGCTTGCGTGTGAGACCGGGAGGAAGGGCTCGTTTGCGTCGTTTCTGTTTGCCATCGGCAGTGGTGTAGAATTCGTAAAGCGGGTCTTCAGGCTCGTACTTTTTGGCATGACCCGAAACGAGGCGTTTGGTGACTTTGTTGGCGAGGTAGCTGGCCATATTGAAGCTGCGTTTTCGTTGAAATGAGTGCGATGGTGTCGGGAGGACTGCGTGGTGGAAGTGAAGAAAGCTCTTATAGAAAAAGTGATGAGTGGATCAAGGGTCGATTGAAAGCTCGGGTCGAAAGGGTTGGGGCAGGCTGTGTGACTGCATGTATAGAGGAACCCTTTCACACAAACCACGCGAGTGACAACTTCGCACTGCCAACAAGCGGACTCTCTCGTTTGTGGCAAAGCAACGAGGCCAACAGTCCGGAATGCAGCAAAGTCAGTGTCACACTCAACCGCACCTGTGTAGAATGTGGAGAACTAAGCACTGCCTTGTCCGTGCTGTGTTTCTTTCTCCGGCTATTTTCGGCTCTGACGTAGACAGACAGCAACGCGACTTGCGATTCTGGACCGAATGTCATCGGAGCTCGACCAACAAGAATTCTCTTGGGTCTGTGTGAAAGTCGGATGTAACAGTTTAAGATGAAAACTCAGCACCATCCTGTGAGGATGTGAAGAAGTTTTGTCCCGATAACTGGTGATCGGGGAGAGTCTGAGTACAATGTCACTGCTGTTTTAGACAGAAAAATATATACTCAATTGACTAAGTGAACATGGTGAGAACCTAGTGTTCTCAGCTTGATATATATACAGTACATGCATAAACTGTCCCAAGATTTTACATGTCACCATACATCACTCTAATGCTCAATAGATATAAGTTGTATTGCCACACTGTCTGATATCATCTGAAAGTGCTGCTTCTTCTCTCCAAGACTGTGGAATTGATATTGACATTGACTAAAAAATTGTGCTATGAAGAAGAGCTGATTTTATTTATTTATTGTGGGACAGTTTATGGAGTGCTCCTCAAGAACACCTTAGTACTTTGTATTCCCTCCTTTGGCCTTCAGAACTGCCTTGATGTGGTCTGGCATGCTCTCTATTAGTATCCTACATGTCTCTGGAGTGATTGCTTTCCATTCAGCTTCACATCTCTTGAGCAGTTCATCCCTGGACTTTGCAATCATACTATACTGTGAAAGTCACATTTTGAGATGGTGCCAGAGGTGTTCAATTGGGTTCAAGTCTGGTGACTGTGCCAGCCATTGCATAACCTTAATGCTAGTGCCTTCCAACCATGTTATTGTCTTTGACATGTGTTTTACGTCATTGTCTTGCTGAAATGTGATGTTGGTGTATGCATGCTGAAGCCACAAATCTGAGATTGTTTTCAAAAGCTTGTCATTCAGGATATCAATGTATTGGTCTGAATTCATTGTACCCAGCACCAAGTGTATACCTCTGACCCCTTCCCATGTCATACAGCCCCAGATCATGATGGAGCTGCTGCCAAACTTGACCATCAGCCTGACAAGCTTGCTGTTGAAGCCAGCATTCTTAATCCAACAGAACTGCTTCCTGTCAGAGGTCTCGCGCCTGAAACCCAGGTCTGTCTGTCGAGATACTCGGTGACTATCAAACTGTGTGACAGCTATTGTCTCAGTATCAGTCTCGATGAGCTAGTTGTTCAGTGACTATCAAGTTGCATGATGGCAGTGGGTGGCATTTGTTGTATATACTATCATAGGTTTCAGCTGACCTCTGTGGACACTCCATTCAGGGGTAGCTCAGCACGATCAATATCAATGCATAGGTTATGATGACACCAAGGTCTGGTGTGAGTGTTGATGATGATGAGGTTGATGGTGTTGGTGATAAGGTTGGTGAATGTCAATGATAATGAGGTTGATGGTGTTGGTGATAAGGTTGGTGGCATCAACACAAGTGTCCAGTGTGTTGACTGATGCTTGAGGTGATCCCCAGACCACAGTGGACTACTGCCTTCGGTTCTATCTTGATCCAGACTGCTAACCTGCTATGGGGTGCCTTTGGATGTCAGGTAGTGGTGATACAACACACACACTATGATGAGGAGCAACCTTGATAGATTGCTGCTATGCTGACTGAAACTAATATATACTTATGCTGAAGTGATAACTAGTTATGATGGTTGTGTAGAGTGGATGAGGATCCACTCGACCTTTGATGATGAGAAAGCATGGTTATATACCTCTTCACAGCATCACCAGCAATGCTGCTCCTGCTCTCTCTCCAGAGAGTACCTTCTTCATCGAGTACTGTTCAGGAGGACTCTCCTGCTTGCTTGGCACCCCTGTGCCTCTTGAGCTGTGTTGACTCCTTTGACACTGCTCCTCCTCCTTGCTATCCTGCTTGTTTGGCACCCTTGTGCCTCCTGAGTGGTGTCAACTCCTTCGACACTGCTCCTCCTCCTCAGGACCTGCTTGCCGGTTCCCTATACACTGCTCCTTCTCCTTTGACTGGTGACAGTTCCTTTGACTCTTGTCTCTCGAGCCCCTGAGTGGTAACCATCTGCATGCTCCTTGAGCTTGGTCCTCTTCGTGGCTGTGCCTGGCCCTCCTCGCATATGGGCTTGGTCCTCTTCGTGGCTGTGCCTGGCCCTCCTCGCATATGGGCTTGGTCCTCCTTTGCATGTGAGTCTGTAGGAGTCCATGGTCTCCATGGAGACTGCACTACGACCATGCTCTCTAATGGTATCGACTAGATCTTCGATACCTGCGCTCCTTCCATATGAACCAGTGACCCTCCTGCTCCTTGAGCATTCAGGCCCATGACACTTCCCATCTGGTCCAAAGAAGTTGATCTTTGTCTCATTGGACCATACCACATTCTTCCAATCCTCAACAGTCATGTCCTTGTGCTCATTAGCAAATTTGGAATGGGCTTTGCAATGTCCCTTGAGTAGCTTCGGTTTTTTCACTAACCTTCGTGCTTTATAACAACAGTAATGAAGTGCTTTTCTTACTGTCATTGGGCATGCTTTGATGTGAAACATCTCCTGCAGTGCATGACATGCTTTCTGTCATGGGCTTGACGGTGCAGGAAGCAGGAAGACCCGACAGTTCTTATGAAGGTAGCACAGGAATCGAAGGATTGGGTGGATTGGTGGATTTACAGAAGAATTCAGTGGAATCGGTAGTAGACCCGGTTCTATGACAGATCTCATTGGGATCTGCATGAACAAAGTCAATATCACAGATCCTACCAGAATCTGCAGTAAGTATGATAGTATGGCAGATTTTGCTGAGATCAGTGATAATGATGTTTGTACAATGATTTCACATGCGAGAGGGACTACATTTGCAAGCAAGGAGGATCGAGCACTGCCAAGACAGGGACTGAGCTCATGAAGCATGCAGACGGTTACCGCTCAGGGGCTCAGGAGATATGCAGACAAGAGAACCATTGCCAGTTGAAGGAAGAGGAGCTGTGTGGCAGACACTGGTGAACAAGTCATGAGGAGGAGGAGCAGTGTCGATGGAGTCGATACAGCTCAGGAAAGACAGGAGTGACAAGGTTCATCGAGGGGGAGGAGTCTCAGTGGAGACTCTAGCACAGTACTCAGCAGCGAAGGTACTCTCTGGAGAGAGAGTTGGAGCAGTGTCACTGGTGATGCTGCGAAGAGGTATATAACCATACCTTCTCATCACAAATGGTCGAGTGGATTCCCATCCACTCTATTCGCCATATTAACTAGTTATCACTTCAGCATTAAGTATACATTAGTTACAGTCAGCAAGCAGCAATCAAGTAGATTGCTCCTCATTGAAGCACATGTGTTGTATCACTGCTCACTGATGTCTGAAGGCAGTTCATAGCAAACCAGCAGTCCGGATAAGATAGAACCAAAGGCAGTAGTCCACTGTGGTCTGGGGATCACCTCAAGCACATAGTCAACACACTGGACACTCATGTTGACACCACCAAGCACATCGCTCACACCAGACCTTGGTGTCAGTACCAGTTCACATCATTATTGATCATGCTGAGCTGCCTCTGGATGGAGTGTCCGACAGTGGTCAGTCAAAATCTGCAATAGCATTACCACAACTACAGATTCGAGCAAGAAAGATAATAGAGATGGCTCTACTGCATATCTCGTCCAGAATCGCAATACCACAAGTGCTGTCACATAACTCGACAGAATCGGTAATAGTATTGATACTACTACCGATCTCAGGTTTCAGGCATGCGACCGCTGACACTTTCCTGACTGTGGACGTTGAATTGAGCTCGAAATAGTGGTCCAGGAAGTGAACATGACGAGGCTGGAGTTTTCTTGGCTGGCCCCCCTTTGACTTTGGAGCATTGGTGGAGGCACTTTTGCTGATGCAAGACACTGTAGACTTGCTCAGACTGAGTTTCTTGGCAACTGAACAGGTAGATTCTCCATTTTGGAGGTGAAAGAGTGCCAATTGGCATTTCTCAGGAGTGGTTTTTGTCATGATGGTATAGATATGATGGTGTCAGACTGGAAGTGCTGCCAGATTGCTCACAGTCATCTGATTGAGCTGAAACTTTCCACATCACTACTTTCAATGTGTATGAAGGTGCCCACCAAGTTACATTACAAGTTTCATTGTAGTCAAAAGCCCACAAGGTCAGGAATGGAGTGGTGTCACTATTTGGGAGCATGCTCCATAAACTGTCCCACAATAAAAAAAAATTCAGCTCTTCTTCATAGCACAATTTTTTTAGTCAATGTCAATATCAATTCCACAGTCTTGGAGAGAAGAAGCAGCACTTTCAGATGATATCAGACAGTGTGGCAATACAACTTATAGCTATTGAGCATTAGAGTGATGTATGGTGACATGTGAAATCTTGGGACAGTTTACACATGTACTGTACATCTATGAGGTACATGCCGAATGTGGGAGTATCCTTCTTCATGATCTAGCTTGACAATGAGCGGGACTGTGTTGTACCCGATCTCCGGACAGATCTGTTCCATCAGATCCCCGATTGCGTTTATGTCAGCATATATCATCATAATGGATCGCTTCCTTCGGCATCGCCTTGCTGCCATCCTCCGTCTGAACGATTGCATTCGGGACAGCATACTGTACATGTCCACTGAAGATTGTGGGGGACAAGATTAAGCTCAAAGATGACCAACAAGATCTTGCCGAGCTTTTTGGGCCCCTGTTCCAGAGACTATATTCAATGAACCGCTCTGGAGGATCGACGTCTATGACTCAGTCCAGCTCTTTAGCCGTCAGGAAGACCGAATAAGCAAGGTATCTTGCTGGTGAAATTCGACCAGTTTCAGGGAAAGCCAGGAATGACGGCTTCGAGCTTACCCGAACCTATCGGCCGGAAAGAGAAGGCTCCGAGAGTGTAGCAGCGCAAAATGAGAGAACGTGGACAAAGGTCTTTCCGTGAAGGGTGTAGTGGATGAAACATTCACAGCATCGCTAATGCCCTATTTTATTTCGGCGACTCATGACGATGGTGATGGCGTTGCAAAGTTCGAATCGGAGTGGGCCCAAATGCGCGGTATGGTTGAGATCAAAGGGTCAGGATGGGCGCAGTGAATGACACATGACCTTGGCGAGTGACATTAGGGTTTGAGCAATCGTTCAAACTGTCCACTCCACGACAACACCCGCCACTGCCCCCTGATTAAGTCTCCTTGGCGTCGTCAAGCAGACCAATCGCGCTCTCAGCACTATCGACAGCCGATTTCACCACAGTTGAACGCCCAGTCTTTCGAGAGCGGCTGGACCGACTCCCAAACTCGCAGCCATATCCACCATATCGAAGAGCAGAGATACATTCTGCTCAGTCGCCCCTGTACTGCGTCATCGTTGATTGATATGGTAACCTTCGCTTCAGAGCCAAGTACACCAATGAGTCAAAGCCAGAGTCTGAGCAAATCTCGAACTTGCTCACGAAGCAGCTGCGCATACCAGAAGCAGCTTGCCGGACTGTCCAAGCCTGCTTCTCTCTTCAGTCATCTGATCGACCTTCAGCTCTCTCCTTTTTGGCTCTTTTGCTCTCTCGAGCGGCTTCTCCGACAGACCGAAGAGCTGAGCGCTTCTCATATAGCCCCTCCCGAGGCTCGCATGTCCAAACCCTGTCCTGCTTGATCTACCTTTCCCCGCTGATATATAACATCAACAGCCTCCAAATTTCTTCGCTAGATTTTGATGACAACTAGTCATGTCTACCCTTGAAGGCGCCGTACCTCTCGGACTGGGCATCACCAAGCTTCGACTCTGGGATGAACTAAACCAAGCACATTGTGAAGCTTTGCAACAATCAAATTCGATCTCAGCCTCTTCTTCGACTTTCACGCAGTTATCACCAACTCTTAGCGACAAGACCGCGCCACTTGGACCTCAACATGTTCAGCCTCCTGATAAGCAATCGATCGAAGTCCTGTCAGAGCGCTCTCACGAATCCGATGCGACGTTGGCAAGGAGAAAGAAGCTGCGAAGAAGTAGCGTTGAATCTGTTTCCGAGGGGTCAGCTGCAGTTGACTCGGAGCCCGAACGCAGCTATCAGACAAGCTGCTTCGACTGGCTGCTGACCAGTCGAGACTCGGGGTGCAGATTAGCAGCAAATGCTAGCAACGGCAATGTGTCTCAAAACAAAAGAGACAGCTATCTGCCAGCTCGAGACGGCCAAGGTGTGCTGATGCCTCCGCCTCCTCCGAAACCTGGACCCTCTCGGCGTAAGCCTCCGCCTTTGATCGTCAGAATCAAAGCAAAGGCGCGACGCGCTAAGCGCAAGCAGCAGAAAGCCGAGTATCGACGATGCCTCTTCCTTGCACACATGGTCCAGGCAACTCAAGCAGCACGTCTACAAAACGCACCGATGTCAAAGTCAACGCAAAAGCCGACATATGGCGCGCATGAAGGTGCTTGTGCAAAGCTGCAAAAGCCAACAACGAAACCGCGTCTTCCAGCAGAGCAACGAGGTCGACAAGCACCTTCGACCTTCCCCGAGACTCTGGGCGTAGACCTCGCTAGCTTTGTCGAAGTTGTCTTTGACACCGACGTTCAATCTTCCGAGATCACTGCTCCTTCCGACATTTCCGACGACGATCTCGCCCGGGCCACAAAGATGGAGATCGAGACGCGCAAGAAGCTCGGAGGCGCTGACGTAGTGGTGCCCAAGGGAGTGTTCCGGTGGATGGTGGGCCGTGACTTTGCCGAACGATGGCCGCAGAAAGTGAAAGGCGTGCGGAAGAATCCATGGCCTGGGCTGGAAAATGTTTGGGGTTCGCCTTCCGGTATGACCACGATTGAAGGGTTGAGGGGAGAGGGGAAGGATCAAGTCAAGCGTGACGAAGAGCCGTTCAGATGGCAAAGTGGTCAACGAAGCAGATTCATTAGGCGAAAGGAGAAAGTAGCATCGCAAACAAGTAGTCGAATTGGACCAACCTTGAAGGAGGTGCGAGCAGCTGTTGGCATAGGCCACGATGCGATATCAGAGCTTCCAGCACTGGCAATTGCCACTGCAGCGATTGAGGTTACGCCGACAGTCTCGGCATCCGCTGTACATCAGAGTGTGGTGAAGCCAGCCTTATCACCTGCAAGATCGACAACTCTGCGGCCAACGGAGCAGGATGCTTCGCCAATTGTGCCTGAGATCTTTCCATCAGGGCTTGTACCAAGCTCGCAACCATTGACATTAAGCTCGCAATCATTGACATTAAGCTCGCAACCAAGCCGGGCCAGCCACCCGTATGATATGTCCGATACTTTTGCCACATCTTGGGACTGGAGCAGCGCGTTCACTTATTCCCGGTCCACCGCGCTCCCAAGCACCCTTGCTGGAGTGCCCATCAGCCTCTGAGCACTTTGGTGGAGACTGGATGAGGTACGTGGTCTGTTCGTTGGGTCCAAGGGTTCAATAGTAGAATCGTTTCTATTGATACCGATGAAGCGTTCTATCTCTTCTCGGTGGTGTCTAGCACTGAGAGAATAGGAAAGGGCAAATGGGAAATGTGCAGATCAGTCAGTGACTACTTTTCACAAAGCTAGTGCGTTACCGTAGATGTAGTGACTTACAGATGGTGACAGGTCCTGTTTCGTGGAGATAATTGCGAGTGAAGATAAGGTCGAAGCAAGAAAGGTTGTCAAGGCCACATTCTCTTGCTTATGCTGATCAGGCAGCGAACGGGGACTGAACCTACCGTCATTGGTCAGCGAAACATCCATCATCTCGCCGAATGCACCATCCTTGATCTTGTCTGCAGCATAGCTGTCACCCAGCTTCTTCAGCAACGTCTCGTAAATGATCTTAGCATTGTCGCCCCCCATTGCTCTGTGAAAGTCTGGCTTGGTGCCCTTGACCGTCCTTGCAAACAGCGTGAACTGCGAAACACACAAGACCTCACCGCCCAGCTCGATGACAGATCGCTTCCAGGGCTTGCCGCCCCAGACTTGCTCCGATCGCGCCTTGGCCTTTCCATCCCCCTCTGCTACTGTTGCTGCCGCTTCGCCATTGCTTGTTTGTGCCGCCGCAGGTATGAATTGCTCTGGTTCGTACTGCAAGGGGACGGTGATCTGGCCTGCATCTTGGTTTTCGTTCCATAGCTTGGTATTGAGGATCTTGTTGGCAAGCGGCACAATCTCAGCAGCCGTGTCTTCAGTAGAGATACCGATGAGCGCTACAATGCCTGGGCCGATCTTGGACACGAGCTTGCCATCCACTGTGTCGGTTTCGAGGGTGTACAGGTTGAAGTCAGCCAAGAAGCTCGTTGCTGATCAGATCATGTTGCACGTGTGCTGCTGCTTACCATGAACAGTGGCGCCTTTGACCCGCTGAAGGACAGCCCTCATCTCGTATCAGCTGTCAGAGGTGTGCCTACTTTAGTGAGCTAAAGAAAGTGCAGTGACGATGGTGATGTCGAAGAAACAGCAAGCTATTCCACAAGTCGAAGTCTTCCAGCTCTCCGGTATCTTTAGCCGAGTCACGAGCTTCTTCGCTGGAATATTGGCACACCGACACGCGCCGATCAAGTCACCGATCAAGTCACCAATCAACGTTCTTCACATTCATAGCACTTCCATGCTGAAGGAAACGATCCAATATGATGATGCGAGTTGACGTGAGCGGATTCGAAAGAGATCGGGCAGAGCCGATCTCACTAGAGATCGGGTACAACTTAGTCCCGCTCGTTGACAGACATCGTCATTAAGTGGAATGCTCCCACCTTTGGCATATGCCGACACTTTGTATATACTGTGTATCAAGCGGGGAGCTCGAGGCTCCCACCACGTTCTTTAGTCAATTGAGTGTATAGGTTTCTGTCTAAAACAGCAGTGACATCGTACTCAGACTCTCCCTGATCGCCAGTTATCGGGACAGATCTTCTTCACATTCTTACATTCCACACCTTGTCGCCACATCAACACCACGACGATGCCGGGAGGACACGCCTCTCTGCAGCGACATGCCCAGCCGGGACGACCTGCTCAGGCTTTCGAGTGGGCTCGTCGGCGGTCGTTTCCGCATCCGAATGCAGAGTGGGCTTAATTGAACAGGGGGAACAGAAGCCATATCTTTTCAATTCGAAATCGCCGTAGCAGTCAAGACGAGGCAGGGTGTTTCACAGCATCTCTGGACTCTGTGGGGTGAAATCGGCGGAAGAGATGAAGGTATCAAGCTTCGTTTCTGCCACCGCTGTCCCGTCGCAGCTGGAAACACCCACACACTTCATGGGGTCCTGTAGTCAAGCTGCGGGCTCGGCGGCTCGCCCTCACACTTGCTGTGTAATCCCACTGTCATCTCGACCCGATGCATCGTGGTCCTGAGCAAACTCAAGCGAACAGAGAAAACTGGCTAAGTCTGCTTGTCGACTCTCACCGTCTCTCTAACTTTACCTGGCTTGCAGACTCAACCTTCGCATGGACAGGGCCACGTGCAGGACGCAGCCTCGTTCGTCTGAACACCTGAAGTGAAGCGAATCAAACAGCTTATCTTCAGCATGGCTGGTGACTCGGGCCAACGAGAGGCAAGTCGCCGTGCTCAAGCCTACACGCGGAAGCATCCTCGGGACAAGAAGGACCAGTCCCACCATAAGCAGGACCACCGCCAGCTTTCGCACTCCGACCAGCCCGAGCAGCATCATGACAGGCCAAAATCTCATGGGCACCAAGATGCAGCCAAACCACAAGGCAAAAGCGACGAGTCTCAGGAGCATAAGGTTGAGACTAATCAAGCACCTCAGCCAGCAGCCGCGGTTCAAGCAGCTTCACCACGTTCTGCACTTGCTGTGCTGCCACCTCCCGTGGCCAACAACGCTATACCGCAGGTAGCTTCACCCGTTACCGGCCCCACAGTATCGAAAGCACAAGCGTCGGCAGGAAAGAAGCCGAGTGTGTCAGCAATGGCAGGAATCGCATTGGGCATAGTCGTGCTTCTCTTGATGCTGGGCAGCGTGCTGGCGTACAAGTTTGGTCATCGGAAAAAGAAGGGCGCCCAATTAAGGTCGAGTGCTGGAGTAATATCAGACCCTTCGGAATCATACAGCCCTGCGCAGGGCTACGGTACCGGTCAGATAGTCGAGAAGGTGAGCGGCTTGAGCTACGGAACGGGCTTGCAGACCGAAAATTCAGTCCGGGCAACTCAAGAACGGAGCGCAGAGGCGGGAATGGAACCCCAGCATCTCAGCTTGTCAATGTCACCCCCTCGCGAGCGGGATCTGATAGCAGCTCAAGGTGACCACGGCCAAAGGTCCTCATTGAAACCAGAGGGCTTGCAGCAGAGCGAACAGTCCGAACCTGGCTGTCAGCCCCAGCTTCAGCATCAGTCGTCAGGCGCTGGACCGCTGAATGGCGGACACAGATCAAGCTTCAAGGACGGAGAAAGGACGTGCGAAGGCGACGATGATCAGATCGAGCGTTGTCTCAGCTACTACATGAAGCGTCATACAAGAGCTTCTGCGAAAGCGGCTCCCGTCCCCGATGCCTCGGTATCCTTGCATGAGATTTCCGAACAGAACGCATTCCCTCAATCGGTGCGCAACAGCTTGTCCCGAAGAAGCTTCAAGTTCCCGAAGACGGCGAACCTTTTCGAGAAGATCCGCCGCTCCCAGCTTCGGCTCAATGATGAAGCCCTGTCCAAAGCCAGGGGCGAAGATTTGCGAATCTCAGCTGCTCTCGCTCACACCTCGGATTCGCAAAGTACATCTCCATCGCGGTACGATCAATCCTGTTCGACAATACCTGCCCACTGGCGCTCGAGTACGAAGCTTCGTCAAGATGAAGAGCTCGACAACGAGATCACTCTAGGCTCATCTCCTCATTCAGCATTCGAGTACGCAGATTACTACGACAGCTACCTTCCTGGTCCGCACACTTCGATCCGGCTGCAACGCCCCCACGAAGATATTGAAGAGGACGGCTTCGCATTGCCTTGGCAGAACAACTCCCCGTGTCGATCGTCTGCATTGTCGCCCAGAAGGTCTACAACGACGGTCAGTGTGCGACAGCGGAGTACAAGTTTCAACCAAGGCTCTCCGTGCTGGCCACCCAGTGAAATCAGCGCCGGAAATGACAGTAATGACAGGCGTGGACACCTGAGCCATGTCTCCGCCAATAGCTATCGTGAATCTGCGGAGGCCGGAGAAGTGATCAGATTCTAGATAAACAACTAATGTTCGGGCATGCTTGTTTCAGCAGAAACCTCCGAACGGCCCCACTTTCTTCGCTCTTTATCACATCACAACACATTGTACACTCCTTGCCCACAGTCTCATATCAATTTCGCCTTGATCCTCGTCGCAAGTGGCGTCAGTGCTCGTGTCGGTGTCTACACTTGCATTGAGTCGTGCTTATAGTGGTGAATTTTGCCTAGAGCCCGTGCATACTTCATCAGAACTCAACGGAACCGATGGCCGTGAGGGATTTCGAAAGATGCAGGGGCATCCGTGCATTACGCTGATGAAATGGAACGGCTTGAGGCGGCGACGCCCTCGAGTCAGTCCGTGCCCATTGCCTTCACTCTGTCGCGTTGCTACGGTGCAAAAACTTCATCGTATGGGTGCACTGAACAGAAGGCATTGTGGAGAATAGCATCTTGAGACCTAAAAGAGGATAGCTGGAGCGACATGATGGGGATTGAAGGAAGTCAAATCTGAACAACGCAACGAGCTCATATGAAAGTTTGCATACGTGACTGATGGTCACACGATCCCACCTCCGCTTCGACTTCATGTGTGAGCGCCTTGAATCGGTGCTGCCTACGTTGCTTCACTTGAAAAGACTTGAGAGCGTGAAGAAAGCACACCTTTTAGACTGGCACTGCCTCAAAAGCATATTGCTTCAAAAGGTAAGCTAGGTTCCTCCGTAACCTTGAACGGACTCCACCTCATCCGATCCTCTTACTCATCGACATCTCTAGCGTTTGAGTCGGATCGCCTCTCCGCTCATCACCAAACCTTCACTTGCACTTCCGATCCTCTTTGTTCATCCCTCGTGACTTTTTGTGACTTGCACAATGAACGGTTTGACTGAGGCTGATGCTCATGCTCTAGCGGCAAGTCAGACGGCGATGGAGGTTGGAGACAACATGGGAAACGTAGAAATGTTCCCCTCTTCAGCTGTGGCACAATCACATGTCCCTGGATCAGCTGCCATCGGAACTCTTCAACACCCTCCTCTCCACCCTCTTCATCAACACCACACCCGTACTTCCTCCATCTCACAAAATCCTTCGTTGGACAACAACAAGCACAACCGATATCGCGCCTCCAACACAGACACAAACGGTGTCAGCGTCAGTGTGAGTTGTGTCACCCAAACTGACCACCAGCAGGACATTGTAGAGCAGCACAAGTCAACAGTCACGACGACCAGCACAGCGACGAATTCGGCCATCATGATGGATGACACAGTTCCCCATGCGCCCGCCCCCGCTCCTGTTGCTAAAGATGCGGCGATCACGCAGACTGCCAATGACAAGGAAGCCAATGCTGCTGCCGTTGCGAATGCAGCTCCGCCAAACGACAACTCGGCAGTTCGGAAGATTCGGTAAGTTGTCTCTTCAGTATTCTCGAGGCGATATATGATGCGTCCAGGTGGCGACATTTCTGGCTCTGTTCTGCTATCGGGTTCTCGTTGATGATAGTGGTGAGATCGGCGCGACGAATCGGCGATGTTCGTTCAGCCTTAATCATCCGCCACACGTTTTGCCGTCCGATCGCATCACTCCGCACACGATCCTGATTGCTGTCCTCGTGATGGACCACATCTCATGTCCTTCCTTGGCCGTCGTATTGACGCTACTAGGCATTTGGACTATGACTGAGACAATGTCGACATGCACTGGTGGACACTTGGCGATGTCTGACCTCGTATTTGTTGGTCTCAGAAGCGAAGTGTGAAGCGAGAAAATAATAAAGACATCTTTTTTGGGTTTTTGTTCTTCTGCAACGCTGCTGGAATACTGGAATACACAGCCTCATGGCATCTGTGGTAGTAGCCCTTTCGCCGTCAACGCATCGTTGGTCAGATGTGTTCATCATATCGTGCAACGGTGGTTGCGAGGGAAAAGGTTGTAATCTGCACGCCGAACCATGTTGTTGCTTCTGCGGAGCTTGACGCCGAATCTGTCGCTCGGGTCCTTCACGTTGTGCTGCTCTGGATTTCGTTCTCGGTCGGACCCCTTTTTTTCTTGTCACACACAGAGAAGAAAAGATACGACCCTGCTTTTGGAAGCTCGGGTGCACAAGATCGTTGGCTCGGCATCAGATATATCAGCACATGCTTTCGGCAAGTCGTTTTGGCTAGTTTAGACGCTCCCAGCAACAGCATGATGCTTTCGATGCCTGCAACACCGAGCTTTGTTCTGTTCGTCGTCTTGTTCACACAGCAAGCCGAAGGCAAGGCATAGCAACTCGGAAGGTCTGCAGGAGTCGCAAGGCAACACTGTACCAAAAACCGTCGTACGGAGGCTCCTTGCATCTGCTGCAAAAGCGTCTGGCGTTGCAGCGAGAAGAAGAAAGGGGAGCTGCTGTGTCCTTTTTGGTCCCCTTTTTTTTCTCTTTTTTTTTTTTTTTCTTTTTTTTTTTTTTTTTCTTTTTCTTTTTCTTTTTCTTTCCCTTCCTTGCTGGCAACCGCGCTGTCGGGTTGCGCCGCTTTTTCTTCTCTTCCTTTTTTGTTTGGAGCGCCGAGGCCGACAACTTGGACTTGCGCCAACGCGGCTTTGTTTCAGCCCTCGTCAGCTGTCACGTCACCCGCGCCACTCTAGCGTAGAAGAAGGTTCCTTGTACGCCTTGCCAATAAGGTGCAGCATCTTCTGTCTGTCTGAAGCGTTGCACCGCTGCAAAGATGCACAGGCTTGCAGTCAGCAGCAGGAAGCAGGCTGCATGCTGCATGCCGCAAAAGCTTTTCCGTGTCTGCTTTTCCTGTAGTGGCATAGCCTTGGACCATGATCTCACCAAGCGTCCCTCCTGACGGTCTTGTGCGCCCATTCTTCTTCGACGGTCACCTTCTGTTTAGGAACAGTCTCGCCCTGGCTGTTATGCTCCTTTGTTCTTCATCCCTCACTCTTCTCGTCCCTTTGATTCTTCCACATCTCGCGCACTTCCTTGTTTCTGCCGGTCCCTCTGCACTGCATCGCAACTCTTTTCTGTCTCATTGTCTCAGGCTCATCTCTGTAGAGGTAGATCCTATATAGAGTTCAAATCGCTAGTCTCGTCGTGTCTGCGCCGCTTCGCCCTATCGCCTCGGACGCAATCTCTTCATAGACTTGTCTCACTCTGACATCTCTTCTGTCTCACCCTACTCTTCCTTCACCACCACACATTCGCTGCGATCATGGCCACCTACGACCATTCGCGCGTCTACTTGGAGAACTTCTGCTCCTCCTCCGCTGCTGGACTTCACTACGACATGTCCAACATGTCAATCGCAAACGTCTCTTCCTCGTCTACCTCGACCGAACTTGATGCACGTCACGATATCACTGACAACGCTACACTCGCTTCAACCTCCGCCTTGTCGTCGTTGCCACCTCAACACGCGGGGCAATCTCGACCCATCGAACATCGCACCATGTATGCGCCGGCTGTCGACGTCTCGACGGTCTCGGTAACCACGCAATTGCATCGACCACCGTCCAAATCGCATTCAATATCCTCGGTCGATTCGGTGGCGTCCGTCTCGTCTGCTGCACCTTCGACTCCAACGCATGACGTTGATGATATCCTGTTCGACATGGAAACCATCGCCAAACGAACGCAACTTTCTGCGGAATCATATCATGTTGTTGGAAAACAACTTCTATCGCCGCCGTCACATCCCGCACCTCAACCTGGACCGTCACGCCACTCTATCGACCACACTCATGCTCCTGCTCCTGATCCTGCCGCTGCTGCTGCTGAAAACAAAACCGCCGTCGCTCCCTCTCATCCCGCCTCACGCAATGAAAAAACGAAATCGGCCATCAGCTTTCGCGTCGGCAGCAAGTACAAAGTCTGCGAGATCATCGGCGAAGGAGCCTACGGTGTCGTATGCAGCGCTATTCATCGTGCTACAGGTCAAAAGGTAGCTATCAAGAAGATTCAGCCCTTCGAACATCAGATGTTTGCCCTTCGCACCCTGCGCGAGCTCAAGCTCCTTCGCTTCTTCCAAGAATGCGATGTCTCCGAAAACATCATCAGCATCCTCGACATCATCAAGCCTAGCACCTACGAGGCATTCACTGAAGTCTACCTCGTCCAGGAACTCATGGAGACCGACCTTCACCGTGTGATTCGAACCCAAGAGCTGTCGGACGACCACTGTCAATACTTCACCTACCAGACGCTGCGTGCCTTGAAGCCGATGCACTGCGCTGATGTCATCCACCGCGATCTCAAGCCGAGCAACGTACTATTGAACGCCAACTGCGACTTGAAGGTCTGCGACTTTGGTCTTGCTCGTTCCGTGCTTACTGCAGACCAGGATACGGGTTTCATGACCGAGTATGTTGCCACTCGCTGGTACCGTGCTCCTGAGATCATGCTCACCTTCAAGCAGTACACCAAGGCCATCGACATCTGGGCTGTTGGCTGTATCTTGGCTGAGATGCTCACCGGTCGCCCTCTCTTCCCCGGTCGCGACTACCACCAGCAACTTTCGCTCATCCTCGACGTCCTAGGCACACCGACGCTTGAAGAGTTCCACAACATCAACAGCCGTCGATCGCGGGACTACATTCGTTCAATGCCCTTGCGCAAGAGACGCAACTTCCACGAGATGTTCCCCAAAGCTTCTCCTGAAGCGATCGACTTCTTGCAAAGGACGCTGACGTTTGACCCAAGGAACAGGATGACAGTGGAAGAATGTCTGCAGCACCCGTATCTTTCGGCTTATCACGATCCTGATGATGAACCTGGTGCGCCTAGGTTGGACCCTGACTTTTTCTACTTTGATACGCAAAAGGAGAGTATCACGAAAGAGGATCTGAGGAAGGAGCTCTGGTACCAGGTTCAGGAGTTCCAGCCTTTGCTCCGTTAAGCCTTCTGGCAAAAGACTGCTTCTCGACGTGCCGTCCCTATAATCATAATCGTTTTTGTCTTCGTCCCGGCGACCGATCAAAGACGCAAGCATCTCGCTCCGTACATATAAACTTAGTTACACCCTCGCATCACTCGTTCCCGCCTGCCCGTCGTCTCTTACTTGCATACAATCGCATCTTTTCCGTCCCTCCCTCATCGGTCTGAGCCGCTGTGCTGATGATTGTGTGACACACGTGTAGCTTAGCTTCGACCAATGAAGTCTTCTTTACTGTTGAGTGGATAGGCTTTGCTAGTCCAAAGAACGGCTTCTCCCTGCTAAAGATAACGATCCAGTGGAGAGCCAAAGTGACGAAGGATCGGGCAAGATCGATCTAGAGCGTAATCGGGAAAGGAGATCTAGTCATGAATCAAACGGGGCCGATCTGACGAGAGATCGGATACAACACAGTCCCACTCGTTGTGAGGCTAGGTCATGAAACAGCATACTCCCACGATAGGTATCAGCCTCACGAATGTATATATATCAAGCTGAGAACACTAGGTTCTCGCCACGTCTACTAGTCAATCGAGTATATATGTTTCTGCCTTAAAAGTAGTAGTGACATCGTACTCTGACTCCCCCCGATCACCAGTATCGGGATCAAATCGCCTTTAAAACTTTAACACTCCCAGCTGTTGGAGCATCGAGCACAACGAGGACCCTGAACTGGCCCTTGAGATCCGAAATCCGAGTTTCTCTAAGAATTTTTATTTTTTCAGCTTCTCCTCCGTGTAAGGGCGGAACAGCAGCAGAAAAAATTCCAGAGTAACACCCTTCTCTCAATCTTTCTTCTCCGCCCATCCTTCTCTCACCATCATCTCTGCCATCATAACTTCGCACCACCCCTTCATCCTGTAGCGAAGATGGTCAAGTCATCGATGACCAGCAAAAAAGTTGAATCTAGCTCCAGTTCCACATCTTCAGCTCTGGAACAAGTTCAGTCGCTCCAGCAAGCTCTACTCTCATCCTCAGACCTCAACCCGCTCTCTGACCTCCTTTCACTCTCCAAGAAGCTCGCCAAAGCCAACACCGAACGCACACCAAAACAGAGCAAGGATGCAGCGATCGCTTTGCACCGAGCAGCACTTGTCCTCGTACGCTCAATGAAGGCGTTATGTGGCGAAGACAGGATCCCTTTCGACAAAGACATCGACAAAGACGGTTACATCTTGTCCTATGGCGCTAAAGCAAGCAACAAGCAAGCCGAAACCGCCACATCCGGGAAGGCAAGAGAAGCATTGAACAAGGTGCAGGACTGGATCAGGATGCGTTGGAATGAGACCCTCGAGTTGCTTTGCGGTTTGCTAGGACACGAGGTGGAAGGGTTGCGATTCGAGGCATTGCAGATGCTGGTTGAGCTTCAGACTTCGGCTTCTTCTTCGCTCACACGGATCGTTGCAGCTGCTTCTGCTGCAAAGGCTAGCGCGAGGAACGGATCGGGGAACAAGAAAGACAATGCTGGCGGCGCTCCAGAGTTGATAATTTCTACTCCTGCACTCTGGTCTGCTTCACCCTGGCGAGCACTAACTCTGGCACTTATTGCGGGACCACCCAGTCTGAACAAGATCGAAAACGGAGAAGCGGGTACACGACACAAAGTGTTGCGAGTGGAATCAGGCGTTCCCGAGGACGTGCGTACGAAGTTCGTCCAGAGCGGATTGGAGGAGTATGACGATGTCCGATTTGCCACTCTCCGGGAGATCTCGCATGCTCTTCATAAACCTTCGCCTAGTGTTGCAGGGAATACCCAACTTCGCGCTCACACATTGGCGTTGCTGATCCAGCTCACAGCTATCCCAACCACAGCTGATGATTTGAACAACTTCCTTGTTGAGGAGCTATCAATCCCACCTTTGGGTAGTGCTGGAAGGAAGAAGAAGAAGAGCAAGAAAGCTAGTAACGGCACCAAAAATCTCTCCGTGGTTGATGATGGCGATTCGGACGAAGCTCCAGAGGAGGAGGAAGATGATATGGAAGGCTGGTTCTCAGACTCTGACGACGAAAGAACCGGTGCTACCGCAGGGGAGCAACGCAAAGCAGCCGATAAAAAGGCCGTTGGTGGTCTCGGTGCCGCCGCTCGCTCCGCCTCCTCTTCTAACAAGCGAAAGAGGAGATCACTTCACGAAGCACTTCACAACCTCTCAGCTCAACGTTCGGCTTTCTCTTCTGCTTGGACCAACCTCCTCCTTCCTCGACGACACACTGCAAAATCTGCAACCGCTGCTGGTGTTCCTGCGAACAGCCTCATCGGTGGAGATCTCAGCTTGGCTGCAACTCACGAAGTGCTTGTCCGACTCCACGCGCAAATTCTGCCTCATCTCACCAAGCCAACCCTGCTCCACGACTTTCTTGTGTCATGCCTGGACTCGCGCGGAGCAACAGCCCTCTTGGCGCTCAACGGAATCTTCACGCTCGTCACCAAACATAACCTTGACTATCCCCAATTCTACAACCGCTTATACTCTATGCTAGACGCCTCAGTACTCCACATGAAGTACCGAGCTCGCTTCTTGAGGTTACTCGAAACGTTTCTCTCCTCCACCCATCTTTCTTCCACGCTCGTCGCATCTTTCGCCAAACGTCTTTCACGACTCAGTCTCCGCGCACCCCCTGCAGCAATCGCCTCCGTCGTTCCATTTGTATACAACCTCCTCAAGCGTCATCCCAGATGTCTTTCCATGGTGCACAAAGAATGGGATGGTGACAGACTCAACATTGGCCCCGCGGGAGTTTCTGACCCGTTCAACCCCGACGAGAAGGATCCGCTCAAGACTAACGCTCTTGATAGTTCGCTCTGGGAACTCGCATCGTTTGGAGCTGCTGCGGTGGCGAAAGGGAACAGTGGTGGGCCGAGTATGGGTGCAGATGGAGCAAGTGTTGTGCCCGGAGAAGCGCATTATCTTGGATCGGTGACTAGTTTGGCTAGGATTTTGGCTGAACCATTTACAAGGGAGAGATATAGCTTGGATGACTTTTTGGACATTACTTACGCAACGCTGTTTGAGACTGAGACGAAGAAGACTCTCAAGCGTCCGGCGAGGCAGGGTGATGCACCGCGGAAGAAATACCTCCCTGCGCTGGTTTATTCGTTGCCGGGTGGGTTTGGTGCTGGTGGATCAACCGATGTTACTAATTGTAATAATGTCGATATCTTCCCCTCCGAAAGCGGCAGAGCTCGGGCGAAGGAATCGCTCGCAAAAGCACAGAGAGAGGAAGAAGAGGAGATCAAGAGGGATCGTGAAGAAAGGAAGCGTAAGCTAGGTATCCAGGGAGACGAGGAGGAGGATGAGGATGAGGATGAGGAGGAAAGAGAAGCAAGGGAAGCGATTGAAGAGTTGAAGAGAGAGGAAAGAGCTAAGAAAAGGAAAGTGGATCAGACCGGTGCACATGATGTTTGTGCGATCTTGTTCAGCTTTGCTTGATCCCAATCTTCATCAAGATCATCGATATTCTTGCCATGAAGTATCTGTACCCATTGTACCATGTTGAAATGGTGTCAATGTGTGTGATATGAAGTGGGTGAAGCGGGTGCTGTGAGGCGCGTGGCGGGGGGATCCTTCTTAGATTCGCGTTTATGTCGGCTCAAGCTCGGGCCTCCTTTTCTGAGCGTTCTGAGCTGAGGCAAAGGCTGAGTCTTGGAGACGAGGAAGACCGTGCGGGGGAACAAAGGGGAACTGAGTCTTTTGGAAGTGACCGCCGAGGTGACTGCTCAAAAAGACAAAAGGTCGTTACGCGTAGCTTTCATGTGATTTTCGAAAGGTGTGGGCTCGTCCCTTTGACGTGTTTCCGCACCTGTCTTGGCTGTGTGGGTGAGAGTATTAAAAGGCTTTCCGCTCGACTGAGCCTTAGCTTTCTTCTCTTCCCCTTCTTCCTCCTCCCTTGCTCGTCACCGTACTCAAGCTCATTGCCGCCATGACGACTGGCGCAGAAATCGGAGCATCGTTCATGCAAGTCTTGTTCTCTCACATGGTCTCTGCTCATCCCGAAATGCTTGCTCATTCGCCCAACTTCACCTCCACCCAACCTCCTACCTCAGCGCAGGCAGAAAGTCTTTGCCGAGCGAAGCGATCCCAAGCAGAGACGGTCGGCAAACATTACCTCACCGTTATTCCTATAGTCCCTACTCTCGACGAAGCACTTGCTCCTCCCCTCCCCACCCATCTTCCCGTCCTGAATCTGGCAGCTCTGACTCCAGGTCAGGCAACCCAACACGACCTTCTCAAATGGCGCTGGATCGCTAACAAGACTCGTCATTGCCGCATCGAGCTCGAAAAGTATGATGACGATATTGCTGGACGGAAAGAAGCGATCATCAAATTCGGTGAGGCAATGCTGGTTGCTCTATTCGGCCAGGACTGGACTGCGGGAATGAATGCTAGGTGCAAGCCCAGCTGTGTATACATGCCTGGTGCTGGCGACGATCCCTATGGATATGGTCGCGATTATGATTACGGCTATCCGTACGGAGGGTTGTGGTCGAAAGGGTACTCGAAAAAGGTCGAGGAAATGTTCACTCGTCCTAGTAAGCCCCCTCCGGGTACTAAGCTGGACGGCTATGACAATAAGCCAAAAGATGGCTTGCGACTTTCCGAGTCAGCTGTGAAGATGCTCGGCAAGACTCCCGGCGATAAGACAGCTAAGGCCAACAAAAAAGAGAACGAGGCGGAAGACAACGAAGACCCTTCGGACTCGGACGAGCTTACAGACGACGATCTTACGGAGCGGCATACCAACAATCCATACTTTTTCAACCCTTACGTCGAGCCAGATGACATCGACTACGGCCTTGATTCCAATGACTATGATCCGGAGTACGGCTACTATGATGGATACGCCGAGGAACACAGCGCTGCGTACAACGAGGCTATGTTCGACGCGCTGTACGCCAAGTCTTGGGGTGACGAACGTCCGTTCGACGCTATGTTTGGCGGTGGGATGGGATCTGGGTGGGGGGCAGCGATGAAGAAGGGCAAGAAGCAGGCAAAGGGTAAGAAGAAGGCAAAGAAGATCAAGAAGGGTACGTTTGTCAATGCTTTCGTCCCGTATGAGGAGAATAATTGGACCGATGTTTATGTCATTAACAGGGCCAATCAAGCAAACAGCTCTGCCTCAGCCAAAGCAAAGTCCGCTCCCGAAGAGTCTACTTCGGGTGAAACCAGCACACCTCACAAAACGAACGCTTCTATCGATCCCAGCACACCGAAAAAGCCCACCATGATGACACCCGTCGCCAAGCAAACAAGTCTGACCTCTAGCCTGGGCCTCACCCACACTCCGACCCCAGCCTCGATCAGCTCAGTCGGCCTCAACCTAGCAAGCTCGCAATCCTCTTTCAGTCAAGGGGCTTTCAAGTCGTTCCCACTCCCGGTCATATCAAACAGCAAACACTCACTCTTTTCCAATGCAAACCCCTCGCCAGTGCAAATCAGCATCAAATTTGATCCAACTGATGCAGCAGACAAGCCCGAGCCGGGCAAACGAAAAGCCACTGGATCCTCTTCTTCCACCGAGGCGGGGAAGGTGGGCACTGGCTCAAAGCCGGTCAAGAAGAAGAGTGCGTCTGGTGCTGTTGCCAAGGAAGAAAGATTAAGAGCCAATATGACTACGGGTACCGTGACGGGTAAGTTAGAGGGAGGCAAGGAGAACCCGGGAGCTAAGGGTAAGAAAGACAAAGTGAAGGTAAACGGCAAGGGAGTGGCGAAGGCGAAAGGTGTGAAGCCAAAACAGCCGAGAATCAAGTACGAGATGGTGGTTTACAAGAAACCTTACCTACCCTCCACGCGGCCTTGGAGAGATTGTTGGCATCGTCGAGGCTACTTTTAACTTTGGCTGTCCTTCTCATCTTTTCATTCACAAGTCTCTCACGCTGGCAGGACTGGCCAACCAGCGATTCATATCTCACGGAAAGCTTATTGTTGCAATCGATGCTTGGTTGAATTTTGTCTGAGTGTCAGTTCTTTCTCACGTTGTCGATGCTGACGAAGACACGGTTTCGTGAGAGCGAAGAGTTAACTGAAGGACAATGAACACTGTCAAATGACTGAGCTCTCACCCCTTCTCCATCGCCGCTTTGACCACACACATTCACACGAACCCACATGCACCTACGCAAGTCCCTCGATCAATGCATTCTTGCATGCAAAAGGTTGCACAAAAACGAAGCATCACATCCATCAAACTTACTTTCCGCCAGCACCACCCGTACCCGAACCGCCACCGGCCGCACCACCAACAGCCCACACCTTCGTCCTCGGAGGAGCAATTGGTACAGCCCCCGGAAAAGGAACTCTCAAGTTCCAGTTCCTCTCCAAATGCAGCTGTACATCCCTAACCTCCAACTTGTCACCTCTTCTATGTTTGGCTAGTCGACAGCCCATCTGAGTTACACTCTCAATAAACTCGTCTGCCAGCTCCAACAGAAGATCTTCTACTGCTCCTTCCAGCTTCTCATTGCTATCGAGCTCTGAGATGAGGTCTGAGATCTTCCGTTTAGTGAGCAAGCTTGAGGTGGTTGATGTGTCAATTTGGCTGGTAGCTGGGGCGGCTGAGGAAGGCAAGATGGAGCTGGCAGTAGCAGCTGCAGCCTGAGCCACATCCACTTCATCACCAGCTGGTAATCCTAGTAGATCATCTGCGTTATTTGCATTACTCGATCTCGAAGGTAATCCCAAAAGATCATCAAGCGCTGCATCGCTTTCGCCTGTTGCATTAGCCGGACCTGTTGGATTAGGTCTAGCTAAGATAGCGGGAGTTCCGATAACAGGGGGTACACCTAAGCCTTGTGTCATCGAAGACCTGGGCCCAGCGGATGTGGGGTAAGGTTCAGGCGCGGTTGAGCCAGAGACATTGAGGACTGGTGGGATGGAAACATAGGCGTAAGATGCAGCGGCGGCAGACATTGCGGTTATTGGTGTACCTGCCGTCGTCCCGGCTGTGGGAGTAGTCGGCACTGTAGCAGGGGCAGCAGCAGCAGGTGTTGGAACACTAGTCGAAAGGTTCCCAGCTGGACCAGCCTTCGAAGTTGCAGCAGCAGCAGCGGAGGGAGCAGGAGTGGTGGGTGCAGGTGTACCACTTGCACCCACACCTGGTGTGGCTCCAGCCGCTGCTGCAGGAGAAGACTTCGCACCAGCAGCAGCAGCAGGACTGGGTGATGCGGTACCTTTACCCTTACCCGCCTGCGCACCTTTGCCTTTCGCCTCCTTTGCAGCCTTCTCCTTTTCCTCTTTCTCCTTCGCTTCCTTCTCCTTCTTGGCTGCAGCCTTACTCTTTGCTGGAGCTTTAGGCGTCGCCTTGGCCGGAGCCTTGGGTGTGCCAGTGACTGTCGAAGCTGGGGTAGCAGGAGTAGCGGCAGCCGCTACAGCAGGGCTTGCCGTTTGAGTTTGCTGCTGCTGTTGCTGCTGGGGAGTACCTGCACCACCCATAGGAGCTGGTGCTGCTGGAGTGGGAGCTTGAACTGGAGTCGCTGGTTTCGCCTGTTGCTGTTGTTGAGCTTGCTGTTGCCTGAAACTCTCGCGTACAACCTGAATCTGTTTCGCCAACGCGGCTTGCTGATTTCTCGCCTCTTGTAGCGCATTCTGGCACTGTTGCCTTTCTTCAGGCTTCAGGTTGGGGTTGTTCAAGGCGCTTTCTAGCGCTTGCACCTTCATGCGTAGCGGCTGAGCAACGCGATTGAATTGCTCCAGTAGCGTTTGCTCCGTCAATGGCATTTGAGGCTGAGCAGGCGCTCCGGCAACTTGAGGCGCTCGAACAAGTGGTTGCTGAGGTTGTTGCTGCTGCAGTTGTTGCGGCTGCTGAGGCGGTCTGACCTGCTGGAGCTGCTGTTGTGCCTGTTGCTGCTGGAGCTGCTGTTGAAGCGCAGCCGCCATTTGTTGCTGTTGTTGCAAACTAGGCTGTTGTTGCTGCTGCTGAGGAGGTCTGACCTGCTGTTGCTGCTGTTGGAACTGCACCTGTTGTTGCTGTTGCTGCGGCGGCCTAACCTGCTGCTGCTGTTGCGCTTGCTGTTGCTGCTGAGCCTGTTGATGAGCCCCAATAAATGCCTTCAACTGAGCCAGCTGTTCCGGACTGATCTTGCCCTCCCTCGCTGCCTGGAACAGAGCCTGCAAACCTTGCGGATTGTTCTGCACAAGTGCTTGCAAGGCTTGAATGTTCGCCGCCTGCTGTTGCGGTTGTTGTCCTGGCTGCGGCTGTTGCTGCGGCTGAGCGGAAGACTGACCTTGCTGTTGGGCTTGTTGCTGTGCAAGTTGGTGTGCGCGCATAGCTTGGATTTGTTGTTGCTGGATGAGCGCTGCTTTGTATTGTGCTGCTTGGGCGGCGTTTTGCGGTGGTCCTTGCGGAAGTTGAGGCGACCGTTGCTGGCCTGGAACAGCAGGGCTCTGTTGGCCAGACTGCTGTCCTTGCTGTCCTTGGTTGTTCATCGTTTTGATCTGCTCCAGTAATACGTAGATAATGCTGTGCTCGTCTCGCAAGAAGAAGCCTCGTCGACGCGTGAGAAGATCGCAGACCCGCACGCGATCAGATTTGCGGGTGGTTGATCGATGTTTCGTCCAATCGCTGCGTCTGATGTCGAAAGTGAAGGCCGAGGTAATGAAGCAAATGGATTGATGAGAAAGATCGATGCGAGTGTTGGTGTGGAAGTGCTCAGTGGATGTAAAAGGAGGGTTGGATGCGGGCATGCAGCCGTGACACTCTTCGCCGAATTCCAGCCAGCATCTGTTAGAAACTGGAGTCGTTTCGGTCCCGATACTGGTGATTGGGGAGAGTCTAAAGTTAAAGTTTTTCGTGTGATTGATGATGATGGTTTTAAATACAAATGCGAATCAAGTATCTTCAAGTTTTCGCCACTCGCGCACACTTGGAATGCACACACACATGCGCTGCTGAGCCCCTTTTGCACAAGCCTTTTACTTGGCCATAAACACTTTCTCTGCAGTCTCTACACTTTGTGCAGCTTTATCTACTTCAACTCCCCCCCTAAACAGCATATGTACCCTGTTCATTATGCTGTTGTTTCAGGAAGTGGCCTCCATTCTTCAATACTGTCACATAGCTTGGGGACCCTGTTTTGTATGCCACTGCTGGTATTTGCAGGTGTAGCCCAGATCTTGCTTGCTGCATTGCTTGTCTCCCAATGGGCTTTGTGAGTACATCTGCCAAGTTTCTTGTGGTGTCCACATACTTGATCTGCACCCTTCCCTCTTGGACATTGTTATGGATGAAGTGATACTTGGTGTCAATGTGCTTAAGCTTCCAGTGCTGTGCTGGGTCCTTACTAACCTGTATGCAACCAGTGTTGTCCAAGTAGACCATTGGGGTGCCTGTGGCAATGCCAATTGAGTGTAGCAACTGCTTGAGGAAGAGCACCTCACATGTTGCTTCCATGGCTGCAACAAACTCCACCTTGACAGCAGACAATGATACACATTTTTGCATCACTGACTTCCAGGCTACTGGGTTCCCATACACTAATGCCACTGACCCTGATGTACTCCTTCTCTGTATGGTGGTGTTGCTCACCCAGTTTGCATCACTGTGTGCAACCAGTGGCTCTTGCAACTCATTTGCCCTATAAACCAATCCAACCTCCTTTGTGCTTTCGAGGTAGTGTAAGACCTGTTGTGCTGACTGATAATGCTCCTGTGATGGTTCACACATGTGTCTAGCGAGAACTCCCACAGTGAGGCTAAGGTCAGGCCAGGTGCTGTTGGCAACCCAGAGCAGCTTGCCAACAATCACCAGATACTCCTTCTGTTGCACTGCACTTGCAACAATGGTTCCCTCCAGTATGCTCTGCATTGGAACCATGATCAGCTTTGTACATTTGTCCAGGTGCTTCACCAGCACTTGGTCAATGTACCCTGACTGACCAATTGTCATGGTGCGCATCACATGGTCTTGACTGATTTTGATGCCAAGGAAGTGAGAGACCTCACCACTATCTTCCATCTTCCATCTCTGGCTGATCTGCTTCTTAACCTTTAGGACTGTTTCCTGCCGTGGTGCTATGACTAATGTATCATCAACATAGATGACCACAATGGCCATATCTTCACCCTGTCCCTTGGTGTAGATGCAGGGAGTGCACTCTACCTGGAAGAATCCCAAGCATTGCAAAGACCTGTTGAACTCCTGGTTCCATTCTTGCCCAGACTGCTTTAGGCCATATAAACCCTTGACTACCTTGTACACCTGGCCAGGAGCTACTCCTGATCCTTCTGGTGGCTTCATGTAGATTGCTTCCTTTAATGTGGAGTTCAAGTAAGCCATAGTGATGTCCAGAGCATGCACCTCCCAGTTGTTCTGCACTGCTAGTGCTAAGATGGCTCTGATTGCTCTGAGGGGTGCTACTGGAGAGAAGGTTTCTTGGTAGTCAATCCCCTCTCTCTGTGTGAAGCCCCTTGCAACCAGTCACGCCTTGTGCTTAATGGGCACACCATCAGTGTCAAGCTTCAGCTGAAGCACAACCTTGGAGTCCACAAGTGGTACTCCTGGTGGTTGGTGCACCACCTCCCAAGTCCCCATTGCCTCAAGTCCTTCTAGCTCCTTTCATATTGCCTCCTTCCAGAGCTGGGCATCCTCACCGTTCATTGCTTCTCCAAGCATTGGGTCCAGGTTCAGTACCACTGTGTTGGCAGCACCTACTGTGCTGTCTATGGCTGGTAGGAGGTCCTCCACCGTGGCCTCTGATCTGGTTTCCTCCTCCACTGTGGTTGGTGTGACACCCTCCTCCTCGACTTCTGCAGTCACCATGGGCTTGAATGCCTCCTGTTGGCAATCACTCCATCCTTTGTCCTCATGGAATGTTGCTGAGTTGCTCCATTGGATTGATGCAGGCTGGTCCAGGTTGCAAAACTTCCATGCTTTGTGCTCATCATTGTACCCAATCATGATGGCTGGCTTTGCTCTAGCCCCATACTTGCCTTGCTGGTCCTTCCATTGAACATGGACCCATGCTAAGCATCTGAAGACTCACAGCTGTTGGGCCAGCTTGTGTGCAGTGATTCCATAAAAGGCCTTGTGAGGGATGGTCTTGGTGGCTGATGGGGTGAGGTTCATCATGTGTGCTGCTGCTGTGATTGCATATGGCCATAACTCTCTGGGGCAAGCTTGACCAATGAGCATCGAGTGCATCTTTTCTTGGACTGATCTGATTGCTCTCTCTGCCCATCCATTTTGGATGCTGATCCCTGGGACACTCTTTTGCCACTTGAAACCCTCCTGAGTTTGCCAGTCTTCAGCTCCCAAGCTGCACCACTCTCCTCCATTGTCACTGTGGAGCATTTTGAGTTTCCTGTCTGTTGCTTGTTCCATCCTGGTGATCCACCTTCTCAGCACCGTGAGTGCAGCACCCTTAGTGCAGAGTGGTTCCATGTAGATCAGGGAGGAGAAGTCATCCACAGCAACTAGTGCATAGTGGTAGTTGGCATGGCCCTTGAAATCTGTCATCAAATCTACATGTACTAGCTCTAGTGGTGCCCCCACTCTTTTCGACTCTGATTGGCTCATCTGTGCTTGGGTCTGTTTCCCTTGACTGCATGTGTTGCAATGCTTCAACTCATGCTCCATCCTCTCATCAGTACTGAGGTAGTGTGCCCAGATCTGCCTTGTCTTATCTTGTCCCAGGTGTCCAAACCTCTCACGCCAGAGGTAGCTGTCCCAATCTCCTGTGTTCCTATCATCCTCTGGGACATCGTTTTGTCTTCCTGTGTTCTTACCATCCTCTGGGATGTCATTGAGAGTCTCCTCCAGCTCCAAAGCCAGTGGTTGTCCTCACACTTTGAAGTGGCCTTGTCTCCTGTTCCTCCTGAGTTGTACTTGGGTACCATCATTTTGCCTTATAGTAGTCCCAAATTCATCAAAGGTTACTTGTGCACCATTCTCGATCAAGCCTTGTACGGACAATAAATTAGCATTAAGTTTTGGCACATAGAGCACATCCAATAGTTGGATAGTAGCCTCACTGACCCAAAAGGATGCATCTCCTATGGCCTTCACCTGAAGCCTTTCGTCCCCTGCCATACTGATCTGGCCAACCTTGCTCATCAAGGTGAGCAGCATTCTCTCATCATTTACCATATGATGAGTTGCACCTGAATCGACAATCCAGGTGTTGCATGCTGATCACTCCCCCCTGTTGATCGCTAGGAAGGTGCACCCAAGTTCCTAGTGACTCGCTTCTTGTGCCATATGAGCAGTGGATTCGCTTGTGCTTGGTGTGGGATTGTTGTTGTTTGTGCAATTGCGAGCAATGTGATTAGGTTCTCCACAGGCATAGCATCTTGGAGGGGCTAAGGGGTTGCATGGATCATGCCTCCCCCTGGGCCCCTGCTCCACCCAACTGGTGGCCCCTTGCTCCATACTTGTAGCTACCCTGGCTGCTCCTCTGATGCAACCCAAAATCTCGCTGTCTTGCTGTTTCTTCATGAGTGCATGATAAGCTTCATCATACTTGCAGTCTGGTTTGGCTGTCTTGAGTGCATCAACAGAGTTGGCATAGAACCAATCTTGAGCTGTGCAGCAGTAAAGGGTGGACTTCTTGAGGTCTTCATCGAAATGTTTCCCCAGGCATGCTGCATCATTCCAGATAGAGTCCAGTTCCCTGCCCAGCCTAATGACATCTCGATTGTACATACATACAGTATGGATGTGGTCCTGCAGGCCTGCTCACTTTACTGTGTTGTTCAATATTAGTGCCTTCTTCAGCTTAGCATAGAGTGTGCTGCTGAGCTGGGCCTCCTCATCCAAACCTCTAACAGTGTATGTATCTATGCAACTATCTGGGCTGTTGTCACAGCAGGCATGGATAAGACCCATGAGGGCCTTGTCCAGGTCCTCATCGTAACCCTCACTCCCAGGTGCAATCTTGCCATACAAGATTTCCTTTGCATTGTGTACCTGTTGGAGACAGTCGATGAACGTGGGTTCCCATGTGTGCCAATTACCTTCATTCAACTTCTTGATATGTGCAATGGAGCTTGTCACATCCTTGGGGATCTTCTCAGCCTCCCCTCATGGGGCCTGGTTACCAACATTGACAAGACTCATTGCTCATATGATTGCTTCCTCTGCTGTCAATGCCAGGTTTGCCAACTGTAAGATCCTTACTATCTGCATGAGCCAACCCTCCTTGCAACCATTGCCCACAGTCACAGCTGCTTGATCATCATCTCTCTCCTCCCTTCCTGTCTGTCCTGCTCGTGTCAATGGCAGCATTATGCTTATCATCAAACTCTTGATGTATGAATGTTGTGGGTTCGAGCCCCACATTGGGAGCCAGTTAAAGTTTTTCATGTGATTGATGATGATGGTTTTAAATACAAATGCAAGTCAAGTATCTTCAAGTTTTTGCCACTTGCACATGCTTGGAATGCACACATGCATGCACTGCTGAGCCCCTTTTGCACAAGCCTTTTACTTGGCCATAAACACTTTCTCCGCAGTCTCTATGCTTTGTGCAGCTTTATCTACTTCAACTTCTAAGTACGATGTTGCTGCTAGTTTATAGACAGAACAAATATACTCAATTGACTAAAGTGAACATGGCAGGAGCCTGGTGCTCCCCGCTTGATATATATACATGAGTGCGGCACATGCTGATGAGTGGGAGCTATCTACTTCATGGTCATCTCTGACAATGAGTGGGACCAGGTTGCATCCAATCCTTGTCTGAGCATCTCTCTCTAATCTCTGATCAGATTTACTTTGCCCAATCTCCCATGTTTCTCCTTACTCCTGCTTACATCACCATGTTGGATCGTTCCATTTTCAACAGAATCGCGTTCTCATCTTGGCTAAATCGCCGATCTTTATACGGAATCTAACACACGCCCACTTTGTGCACAGTTGCAGCATCCTTGATGGTTGGCTCGCCTCAGCTCACCCAGGGGAATCACCTGTACTTGGATCAGAAATGCTCGCTACTCAAAGCAAGCAAGGACAGCAGGAGTAGTGTATTTTGACGAGGAGCTGATCAGACACTGACGACTAATTAGCGATGCATCTACAAAAGCCAGCCTCTAGCTTACCAGTCCAATCACGACACTGACCCATCCGTCAGGCCCAACCAACGCACTCCCCAACCACCCGATTTCTGCATCCAACGGCACTCTCACCCCCTGTACAACAGCATACGCCAATGGCTTTCCCTGTCCCTGAAAAGAACTGAAACTAGGTGGCGGAGGAAACAACAACGGAAACAGAGCCGACAGGACACCACCCAACGTATTCACCCTTCCATCCTCCAGAACCGGCGGCACGGGCTCTTGCACTATCGGCGCATTATCCGGCAAAAAGATCCTGATGGGTATACTCCTCACTGCATCCTTACCAGCGCCTCCCGACGGCGTGGCAGTGCCAGAAGCTGCATCAGAAGAAGAAGTGGTTGTGATGGCAGAGATAGTGCTCGGCGCCAAACTTGCTTGAGACTCGTTCGGCTGTGTAGTTAGACTGCGTTGTACTGCCAGTGCTTCGTCTGTTGGGCTGAGATTGAGTGAGAGTGTGCGGGAAGCAATTGGTGAGCGACCAGGAGTGGAAGGCACCGCCGCGTTAGGGTCTGCAGCCGAAACGGTTGCTGTTGGGACAAGCTTGTTGGCAATGCCCCAGAACATCTCGTAGTCATGCAAGACGACACTATCCCAAAGCGTGTCTTGTTCTTGTTTGCGCAGGTTGACTACTCTCTTTGTGGAGCCGTATCGAACGAAATCAGCCTCTTTAATTATCGACATGAACGACGTCTTGCACGACTCGAGACCCGAGTTGCTGTGTAGGCGCTCCACTGGCGGTTTGGACAGTCGAAGTTTGATCCTCCACGGGAGTCTTGATGGCTGGTTGCACGGTGCAAATGATACATCGAATCCAGCAGCTTGTGTTGTTGAAGCATTGTCTGACCGCAACGACGCCAGACCTGAGCTATTCGTGCTGGTCGATTGGTACGCGACCCCTGTACGCGCCGGATTAGAAGTATGATAATCGTACAGCAGCCCAATCTGCCAATGCCACCTCAGCGGCTGTCCTTCATACTCGAACCAAAGCTCTTTCTCTTTCAACGCATTCAGTGCAGGCTGCTCCAAGGCCAATTCCAGCAAGTTCTTCTTTACCTCAGCTACGATCAATGGCAAATAGCTGATCCGTGGAACTACCAGATAGGTCGAACCAATGCTGGAGTCAGAGCCAGGCGGAAGCTCTGTCGGGTCTATTGAGATGCATATCGGTATCGTTCCTTCCCAGACGAGCCTGCGAAAAGCTGAAGTGGATTGTGCTGCTGATGAGGAGGGGAACGAAGTGTGTATCGAGGCATGCGAGGCTGCCGTTGAAGGGAAGCCGCCTCCGTATGGCGAAGAGGGGAGGAGGGACGACGCAGGGCTAACAGGGCCGAAAGTACCGTGTCCGAGTAACGGCGTTGTTGCGGCTGAGCCTGGAGCGAGCGATGCTGCTGCCGAGGAGGTGAATTGCATTGAGGAGGAAGGGTAGTTGCCTGCTGATGCAGACCGTTGCTGCGAGCTTGGTGGTGGTGGTTGGCTCATGGCCGCTTTGCGAGTTCCAGAGTTGCACAATGGGAATCGAGGAGCAGCGCTCCGGATGTTGCGCAGCAAGACGATGATGTCGATGATGATGTGGTAATGAAAGCAAACGTTTGCTGTCCGTACGTGTTGGTCTACCACACGCACTTAGACCCTGAATTTCCGTGGAAGATATTCGAGCTTGGAAGCCAGTCGTGGCTCGTGCAGTAAAGACACGCCTCTAAGCCGCTCAGATTCAACCTCTGTCTCGATGACAAAGGTAAGGTTCTGAAGCACACCTCAACATCTTCAAACGCTCACGGAGCTCACATACAAAGGTCTTCCTGACTCATGCGATGCTGTGTCTGATCGGATCATGTTGCATTTGCTTATGAACGCAATCAAGCTCGCCACTGTATACCATAAAATCAAGGAAGAGGCAAGGTAGTTTAATGTCAGTATCTCTATTCGAACCCAATGAAGCACATTCCAAACAGGCTTGGTACTTACAGCAACATCAGGCGTATCAGTCCTAAACCTCTGTGTCACCGTACTCTTCTCCAAACTCGTATCGATCCCCATCCTATGGCTCAACAGTCCTGCATGAGCGATCATGATCCCATTGTCAATACAGAACCTTTCATCCGTCGCAAACACACTTCCTCCCCTCTCGCTCGCCATCAGTCCCATCATCTGTTGCAGTCTCTGGTTACTTCCCACACCGCCGACAATCAGTACCTCTTTTGAGCCGATATGAGCCATAGCGCGTTCAGTAATCTCGACAAGCATGGAGAAAATGTGTTCTTGAAGAGAGAAACAGAGGTCGGCGGGGGTGATGATGTCGATGGAAGAGTCGAGCTGCGAGGGGCCGGATTGCGAGACGTCGACGTCTGCGTCCACAGCTTTGACTGGTGCTGGTGTTTGTTCTGTGACGGAGGCGTCCATGTTGACGATATGCTTCCCGCCACCTTCACCAGTCCACACTTCCCCGTTGGCGAGGCTGCCGACAGCTGCATTGCTATAATCGATCTTTGGGTTGGATTTAAATCGCTTGTCTCTCGTATACGCCTCTGTGGAGCTAAGGATACCGGCTAAGCTCACATCCATGCCCTTGGTTGTGTATGGCAGCGGTACGAGCTTTGTCCCCTTTCTCGCTTCCTTTTCGATGTTCTGTCCTGGACTTGGATCGTTACTTAGCCCAATCACCCTCGCGAATCGATCCAAACAGTTTCCTACTGCAATATCCAATGTCTCTCCGAAGATCCTGTACTTTTGTGCCGAGTAAGCGATCACCTGCGTGTTGCCTCCCGAGACATAGAGCACGACGGGATTGTGTGCGCCAGTGATGGTCCTTCCCATCTCGATGTGTCCGACACAGTGATTGACTCCAACGAGTGGTTTCTTGTACATTAGTGCCAAAGTGCGTGCTACAATAGCAACACTTTGCAGGGGCGCACCCATGCCGGGACCTTTGGTGTAGCAGATGCAATCAACTTCAGCGAGGGAGGCAATACCGGATCGACGGACGGCTTCAGAGATGACACGGATGATCCATTCTTTGTGGTGTTTGGCTGTGTCGCTCGGTTGGAAGCCTGAGCCAGGAGGCGTGACATAGGTATGTCGCACATTGGAAAGTATCTCGACTTGGCCGACTGAGCGAGAGGAGATGGAGGAGGACGCGGACGAAGAGGACGAGGATGGAGCGGAAGGGTCGAAGGGTTTGTGGAGAACGATGCCTGCTCCGAGCTTGTTGGCGCTTCCTTCGAGGCCGAGAGCCAGGTAAGGACGAGTTGGGTAGGGCAAAGGGTCTGGCTTGCGTACTCTTTTTCGTGACGGCATGTTGTCGGTACTCGGCTGAGAAGACAGTGTGGTTGAATGATTAGAGGAGGTGGTAGAGAGAGGTGCCATCTCAAAGCAACTTTCTTGACCTGAAGCCTTTGTCTCCGATTCCCGAACTCCGACCCAAATTTTTCTGAGCTCAGAAGTATACTGTAATTCTCAATGTAGTACGACACCCTTGATTCTGGCTGTGGCGGCAAGGCAACCCTTAACTTCAACTCGAGAAGATTCAACCACTCTACCTCTCCTCTTCACTTTACCTTACCTTGCCTACATCTACACATCTATACCACCCTCACTTCGGCCCGTTCACTATGCCGTGCCCACAACCAGACGGCCCAAATACGACCGCACTGCCGGACACAGCCACCTCCACCATCTGTGTTAAATGTAGAATGAACCCCGCAATCTCCATCTTCCGTGATTCCATCTACTGCCAGTCCTGCGCTCTCGCCGTCTTCTACCAAAAAGCCAAGTCCGGTCTCGAATACGCACGAGGAGCTGGCCTCGCGAAATACGTCGCCGCTGCTAAAGCTGCAGTCTTGTCTGACCGCCCTGCAGCCTCCACATCCACCACTGCTCCCACCGTGAACGGAGAAGGCAGCAAGACAGGGAACCAAATCAACAATGGTGGAGGAAATGCAGAAGTCAACGTCTCAGCTAGCATTGCTGTTGCTTTCAGTGGTGGTTCGAGCTCAAGAGCGCTACTGAGGTCAGCTGTGCAGTATTTCCGACCGGAGACTGTTGTTGATCGTACTGCTAGACGTAAGAAGGGGAGAGGGGACAAGGCTGATCCTACACCAATAGACTCCGCTTCATCCGAACGAAAGAATAGTGCTGGTCCAACAGGGAGGTTCAATGAAGTAGGAAAGATCTACGTCTTCTTCATTGATGACAGCGCGCTAATTCCTGATGGGGTGGACCAGACAGAAGAGGTGCGGAAGATGGTTGAGGAGGAAAACTGCCCAGATTTGCATTTCGTGCCGTTGAAGATTGAAGACATATACCGCACCACTTCCTCTTCAGCTCAGGGAGTCGCCTGGAGACTTCACGATAGCGATACTCAACATCTCGCATCTACTTCAACTTCCGTCTCGAACCCAACCCAGGCAATCAAAGATCTGTTCGCCTCCCTCCACCCAACCTCTACACCTCGCACCGGTGCCTCATCGGCAAGAACAAGAGTAGAAGACCTGCATCGAATCCTCATCGCCACTCTCCTGCGAAGCACTGCATCCGAATACGACTGCTCTGCTCTCCTGCTTGGTGATTCTGCGACTCGAATCTCTATTCGTCTGATCGAAGATCTCGCTAAAGGGGCAGGTCATAAGTTGCCGGTACAGGGAAGCGATGCAGTCTGGATCGACGATTTGCTCGTCGTTCGACCACTCAAAGGCCACCTGATGCAGGAAATCCTATTCTATACCTCTGCACTCGGACTCGAGCCTCTTTTCCCGGAACAGCATGTCGTACTATCTACGGTGTCCACTAACGACATTTGTTCGAACACGAATAGCAATGTTCCTGCCATGGATAAAAGCTCAATTGCAAAGCTGACAGAGACGTTTATTCTGAACCTCGAAAAGGGCGTACCAAGCACAGTAACAACCATCGGAAAGACGGGAAGCAAGCTCGTACTCAACCAGCCTACTTCTACCGCGCAAGGCGAGGAAGGAGTGGCAAACTCAACAAGCAGCTTCCAACAAGTGGGACCTAGTGTCTCGCTACGATCCCGTGCCCAAATCCCACCAACAACAGGGATGGCGGGAATGACGCTTTCAGATCCCTCAGAACCACGCATTGGATCGAGGGGAATCAAGTTGGCCCAAACAAGTGCATCTTGTTTTAACTGGTCCACGTCCTCCGGCTGTGCGCTTTGTGGGATGCCCTCCCAACATCCGCATGCGAGACACTGGAAGAGGGACATTACCATCTCGAGCCTTGCGGAGACGGCACCGAGTCAGCAGAAGCACACAGCAGAGGAAGGCAAGGAGAAAGGATGGTTGGAATTGGCTGATCATCTGTGCTATGCTTGTTTGTTAGTTCTTTCTCCGCCTGATGCGGGGATTGCGTTGCTTCCGGCGTATGTGTTGGATCATATCCTGCGAGCCACTACGCAGGCGGACACCAATGGCGTAGAGGCTCACGTGGATGGGGAGAGAACTGACGACGATGATATGGACGCAGCAAACGGTTCCAGTGGCCACAAACAAGGATGTGGAACCCACGAAACACCTCAGCCGCTCAAACAGTCAGAAATGAAAGCTCAGATCAACGAGTTCCTCCTCGAAGATTAGCTTCACACACTTTCTTTCGCGCATCACTTGATAGTTGGAGTGTAATGCGAATCCACGTTGCTATCCACTCCCTCGTTATGATAATCCAGCTTCTACTCTGAGAAGATGTGACATTATTGAGTATAACCGCCACCTTGACTCGGGCTACCATTTCCGCTTCCGCTTCCACCACCGCCACCCTGTCTAGCAGCACCGCCACCGCCATTGCTTACAGCCGGAGAGATCGCATACCTCGGACTAGCGCCAGTGGGACTCGAAGTCCATCCCGCGTTCATCTGAACGCTGCTACCTCCTGCATCTGAGCCTTCCATGTATAGCTGCGGAAGCCGATTGAGCGGCTGACCAGCATTCCACATCTGGTTCATCGATGCAGCAGCTGCTGCCGGCGATCCGCCATATGATGACTGAGTTTGCGAAGACAAGTCCTGCTGACGTTGCTGCGACGCCGGCGATCGGCCCATGTCGCGGTATAGGGACAGATCGTTGCCGTCGATACCACCTAGCTGCTGGTTGGGGGCGCCTGGGGTCGCAGTGATGCTATCGCCGAAGGGCCCGTCGAAAAAGTTACTTGAGATGCCGCCGCCCTCGGACGCCTGCAAATCATCGAGAACCTGTTGAAAGTTGTATTCTGGCTCGTGCTCTGGCTCGTTGTCATCTTCTTCGTCCTCCTCGTATCCATCTTCGTCTGCTTCTTCATCAGAGTCCTCCTCGTATCCATCTTCGTCTGCCTCTTCATCAGAGTCCTCCTCGTCCGAGTTTGCGTCGCGTTGGAACTGCTGTGCAAACGCAAGCGCACGTGTGTCTTCGACCGACTCAAGTGCGGCCTCAAGCGCACCATCGGCATGACGGAGTGTGTCGGTAGAGCGTCGTCGTTGATCGTCGTCAGACTCCTCTTCGTCTTTGCGCTCGTCGCGAACGAAGTGAGTACCAACGTCCTTGGCTGTGAAGGTCTGCTCTCGCTGCAATTCGAGTGAATCGGGTGAGCCTTCTCGGTCTTCGCGCACCAACGGGTCGCCGTATGTCACTGTGGCAAACGATACACCGCCCTCATTGCCGGACGGATTGGCAATTTGACTTGCTGTGATCTGTGATTGCTGCTGCTGCTGTTGTTGCTGTTGCATTGGATTGCCAAGCACATTGATCTGGCGGAGCATGGCTTCATCTGGTGTCTGACCTTGGCCCATGAACTGCATACTCGACAAGTCGGCGGAAGCTTCGGGCTGCTTACGAGTGCTAGCCTGGGATGACAATATCTGTTGCGTGAAGGAATCGCCCGCGCCAGTTGATGTGGCTCCATGGTGGAGGTCACCGGCCCAAGAACGGTGAGACAGTGGTAAGGAAGCGAGGAGCTCGTTGACATCCTCTGTCTGCAAGCCCGAGTCCGAGATACTGCCTAGGTCCCAATCCATGTTCCATTGCGCCGCATCACCAGCAGGGGATGAGAGCGGATTCATGAAGTTTTGCATCTGATTGACCATGAAGCTGCCACGCATGTCTGGCTGCTGATTTTCGAATGACTTGTTGATCGCCTGCGGCAGTTGCTGTTGCTGCTGCTGCTGTTGTTGTTGTTGTTGTTGTTGTTGTTGTTGTTGTTGTTGTTGCTGCTGCTGCTGTTGTTGTTGTTGTTGTTGTTGTTGTTGTTGTTGTTGTTGTTGCTGCTGCTGCTGTTGCTGTGCGAATGCATCGAAGGCGGCTGAAGACCTGCGTGAGCCTGCGGCTGATGATGCTGACGAGTCTGAGGCTGCACCCATTCCGGGGACCATCATGCCTGACGAGCCCGAAGGTGGAGAGATCAGACCTGACTGACCCGGGAACTGCAGGCCGGCACCAAAGGGAGGGGCCTGGTGGCCGAGGAAGCTGCCGCAAGCGGAGGCATCCAAGCTGGTGCCAGAAATATCGCTCGCACTTGAGCTGTACGCCGACCAGGAAGATAATCCTTGAGCTATGGCTCGTTGGTCATCCACGTCCATCAGAGAGGCAACAGGCAGCATCGGATGACCATTGGGATTCAACCATGCCAGCACATCGGGGGGAGCAGGCTCGGTGTGACTCAAGGGCGAGAGTCGAGCATCTGCTTGGATAGGCATCGCGCCACCTGCAGGGGATTGACGTTGGCTGGAAGACTGAGAGTGAGGCCCCGAATGGGCGCTTTGCTGAGCAGCCAGGTGAGCGTGACCATTTCCATGACCATTTCCATGACCATGACCGTGCATATGATGTAGATGACCGTGAACAGAAGGCAAGCGTTCGAGAGCCGAGTTCTTCCCTGTACGCGTGACATGACTCCTCCGCTTGTGGCTGACTCCGTCATGACTAGCTTGCTTTCCAGCTTGTCGACGAGCATCATCTGCAGAAGCAGCTTTGCCATGGGCAGACAAGCGCTGGTGATGCATGTGCTGGAGTTGCTGTTGATTTGCAAGGTCGCTTTCACTTGCACTTGGAGGAGTGGCTCGCTCGCGGATGCTGCTTGTCTTCGAGGTGGTGCCAGGAGCTTCGAGACTTGCCTGTTGGAGCTGTTCGAAGAGACTGTGTATCGATTGACCTGTCACCATGTCAGATTCACGAAGCGGCAAACCTGCACCAGGCAGTGGTGCCGTGTTGGATGACATGAAAGGCGGCCTCGATTGTTGCTGTTGTTGCTGCATGGTAAAGACTTGACCAAAGCTTCTCTGCTCGCTTTGTGCCATCCGCGCTGATATTTGACGTGGCAACGTGCCACCATTGAGAGAGTTTGAATGACCAAGAGCACTGCTGGCGCCGCTGGATGGGCCAGAGAAGATCTGCTCGGGACCTCCATCTGTGAGACTACCATGGTCGGTGAGGTTGTCTTGATCAGTAAAGTAGCTGTAGTCGGTGAGGTTGCCGTGATCTGTGAGATGACCGTCGCTGGTGGTATCGCTGAGAGAATACTCTGGGCCACGCCAAGCCCCCTCTGACAAACTGTGATCTGAGAGTGTGCCTGCCAGCAGGCTTGCTCGACTAGCACGACCTTCACCAGGTTTGGCTGCGCTGGGTCCACGATCCTTCTTGGCCTTAGACGGTCGTGGCTTGAAACCGGCTCGCTCGTAGTCTTCTGGGAAAGCGTTACGGAAACGATCACGCAGATCGATAGCACGTCTTTGACCGTTGAAGATGGGGTTCTTGGCTATCAATGCCCAGTGAGAGCCGTATTGTTGGTAGCCTGCGCGGAGAGCGGCATCCTCCTCAGCTGTGAATGGACGACGCTCCTTTGTTTTTCCCTTTTCAAAGATGCTTTTGCCTTCAGCATCTCGACCTCTGACTGCTTTGCTGAGATGCGTTTTAGCATTTGGATACATCTCATGGTAGGCGTCGGGGAAGTACGTTCGGAATCGGTCTTTGAGGTCTCCCGCTGTTCGGTCGGAGAAGAGAGCAGAAAGCTCTGGATCTGAGAGAATCTTCTTCCAGTTTCCGACGCCATGCTTGTTGCATCCATCAACGAGTGCCTGTGTCTCTTCGGCAGACCATCTGTGTTTCTGAGTTCGATGTCCTTCGGATGCTTTGGGACCGAGGGAAGAGGGTCGGCGCAAAGCAGCAGTCGAAGTCGATGGTGGGCCGCCATCTGGCATCAGATCACCGGCTGCTGATTGTGCACTGCTTGATTGGTAGCCAGAGCCTGGTTGATCTGCGGAAGCGGAAGCTGACAAAGGAGAGTGACTGGCAGTGTCGAAAGGCTGCTGAGCTGCTAAAAAGTACTGCGCTGCTGCATCTTGTGAAGACTGCGGTGGTGGCTCTGTCTTGTTGCCTGTGGTGATGGCGGAAGGAGCGAGAGTGATTGGAGAAGCGCTCTGGTTCGAGGGCGGCGTCTGTCGGGCTTGTGACTGCATAGTGATGATAAGCTGCGCCTCTCGTGCTGCAATGGTTCGAAGTCAAACTCTAAAGATGGGAAACCGGGGGTTCGAATGGACGTCCAAGCTTCGATGCAGGGTCGGTCACTGCTACCTAGGATGCCGTGCAAGGTTGTAGCGGCCAATTCCGAGGATCTCGCTCCGCTGCTATGAGAGGCAGAGAAGGTTGCGCCTTGCGCGAATGGTGGATGCTACGAAGAGGGATGAGACCGCATTTGGCACGGAGCTTGTTGCTGTCGATAGAACGACGTAGCAGGTGTGTCGAAGCGTTGTTGGTGAGAGGCCTCTCTACTCTTGTCGCGACGCTGATGCTTTGATGGGTAAGTGGTAGCGAGATGAGCCACGGCACAACGCTCGAAGACACCGCTGATGGTGGGTGTTGCAGGGTACGAACAATCGAACCACATAGCTTTCATCGAGCCATCAAGAGGCGACATCAGAAGATCTATACCATTCTACCATGGCACACACACACACACACAGACACACAGACACACAGACACACATGTTTTTAGCCAAGCCAAGCACACTGTGTGAAGCAAACAGCCAACTCTAAAGACGCGCTCGATTTAGCCTGCCTTCTTGACTTGCTCCTTTGCTCGCCTCCTCCTTAAAGAAAGGCTTCTGTAGAAACAAGAAAAGAAAAAAGAAAAAAGAAAAAAAGAAAAAGAAAAAAAGAAAACAGTCGGGTTCGCTTCTCTGTAGCGGCAATCGTGTCAAATCTCGGCGACGCCCAACGCCTCATTTTGTGACGATTCGTAACAAACAAATAAACAAATAAACAAATAAATAAATAAATAAATAAATAAATAAATAAATAAATAAATAAATAAATAGATAAAAAGTGCGAAGATGACGCGAATCTAACAAACCGGGCGCACACCCGCAAAACGGCAGAGCCCGATAGCAGAGTGGCGCATCGGCGAATCTTGCTGCGCTTTCTGGAGAACTCAGCTTCATATCGATACGATAGCGCTCTAGCCCGTCAACCTTGGCGGATCAAGCAACCATGGCCCTCACTGTCATCACACAGCCGATCTCGGTGTCGTCTCTATGACGGCTGAAGAGTGCGACAATCAGTCGAGCCTGCTGTATAAGAAAGAACTCATCTCCTTGATGGCGTCCATCTCGCACGCTTCGACCTCGTCAAGAGGAGGACCCTTGATTCCTCAGAAAGCGGGTTTCCATTCGGCGGACTTTGATCTACCGCGCCTGCTTTTGCACGTGTCTTTACTGTAGACAACGATCCAATATGATGATGTTGGTTGACGTAAGCAGATACAAATAAGATCGGGCGAAGGACGATCTGATCAGAGATCTGATAGAGCCGATTCTACCAGGGATCGGGTACAACACAGTCCCCCTCGTTGTCAGACAGACCTCGTCATTAAGTAGGATGCACCCACATTCGACATGTGCCACTCCGTCTCTCACCGATTGTCGATCATCGGGACCCGTTCTCCTCACTCTTTATTAGTCTTGCTCCTTTCGACCGCAGCCAAACACCGTCACTCAAGCTCAGCTTCCGTCTTTACCTTGACAGGAACGAACATCGTCGCTTAACCATTTCGTGGCATTGGTCCAGCCTGCTACGATTCCGTATCAGGCCGAATTCACGGAAATATCTTGTTCTGCAAGGCTATATGTCGAGCTGCAGCTTCGTTTGCAGATCCGAACATACTATAAAGGCTAACGGCAGACAAAAGGCGGCAACGTTCTTTCCATGAGTGTGTAACAGCATTTTGGAGCTCACCTTTCTTCCCGCGATGGGTTGACCTGGACGACCTCGCTCAAATCCGTCATCGGTCCCACATCGGCTTTTATCCCCATTCGCGCTACGAGCCGTTCACACAACCGAACGGCCTGAGCTTCCGCACGAACTTAGCCTAAGGTCGCCACTGGTCGTCTAACCCATCCACCTGCATCACACAGTGTCCGCTCTTCCCTTCAACAGATTCGTGAGGCGCCGCCGGGACCTGTTTCGGCCAAGCTTACACAAGGCTCAGTCGGGCTTCCCAGGGTCAGCTCTGAAAAGTACAAGAAGGTTCCCCCGAAGCACTTTCGGGCCAGCTGTCCCGTTCGTGTCCCTTTCGACTATCCCCCCATCGTCTGCCTCGCTCAACAAGTCCTTGTCGCTCGGGCTCGTCATCGTAGCAATGATTTCGGCTCTGACACGCACTGACTCATGGAGCTCCACACTCCACAGCCTCCACAAATGGGCGATTCCGGACTTTTACGACAAGATGCCCTATGACCACACCAACTCTTGGATCATTGCCGCGCCCATGCCCTTCATCCTCCTTCAGATTCATCTGCTCATACGTTACGATCCGAAGACGACCTTGCTTCTGAGAGCCTCACTCATCCCGATCGTTGTTCTGCTCTCCCTGAGATCGACCTTCGCCTACTACTACAAGCTGACTGGCCAAGGTCAGCTCGACGGTCGTGGCCAGCATGTCAACATCACCCTTGGTTGCGGTGCCTTCTGCATTATCATCTGGTCACTCGGTTGGGGCTTGACCCTGCAGCCTCCTCGCCTCAAAGTCGCTCCCAGCACTACTAACGGAACTAAGAACCGTCTACACAATCGCCAGCTCAGCAAGGGCAAGGCGAAAGCAGAATCGGACCTGCCTACTTTCTTCCCGGGGACAAAGATGCCTGTCGAGCTTGACCTTCTGCTCAATCTCCGAGGCATTGGCTGGGAGTATGGCATCAAACAAGGCGCACCAGCCCTGCCTGTCCCTCAAGTCACTATCCAGCAGCGCTTGTCTTGGATTGTTCGCCACCTCGCTGAAGTACCCGTGTACTACCTCCTCTACGATGCCATCTTGATTCTCGTTGAAGACCAACGCTTCAACCCTCATGCACATACACGATATGGCGGCAGCATCTGGGACTGTCGCAAGGGCTCTTTTGGAGCGGCAGGACCTTACCTGATCTGTGCGGCCTACGCTTCGTCCTTCATCTGCGTTCAGGCTATGATGCACGCAGTCCTCGGAGCCATCTCTATCGGCTTTCTTAACGACCTACCCTCAAGGTGGGATCCTCAAGCAGTCCAGGTACCATGGCTATCCACGTCCGTACACCAGCTCTGGGGCAAGCGGTGGCATCAGTATCTTAGGGTCACATTCATGACTTTAGGGTTCTGGCCTGTTCGAGATACATTGAAGCCTATCGCTGGTCGCAGGGTGGCTAACATTGCAGGTATCTGGGGCACTTTCCTCGCCTCGTCCTTTGTCCATGAGTTCGGAAGGGTGAATTTAGCACCGAAACCTGGCTTCTGTGTCACGCATGTCTCGCTCTTCTTCGCCATCCAGCCGATTGCTATCTTTGCTGAGCAAGGGTGGGAAAAGGTCACAGGTCGTAAAGTCAGAGGCCTGCTGGGATGGCTCTGGACTATGACATGGATGTTGTCCACTTCGCCTTTGCTGATGGAGGTAAGTGCTGCCATCACCACCCAAACCATCCTCTTGAAAGATACACATACTGACTCATTCCCTTTGATCTCTTTCCAGATGATGAACCGGGATGGCATGCTAGCATCCAAGAATATGACGCTTGCTGTGACCAAGCGACCCGTCACCTTGATGCTAGATTGGTGGGACAACGTGGTCAGAGGCTTGTAACAGCTCAGTCGAAAGCAAGTTCAGCATGCAATAGATTAGTTATGTCAAATTAGTGTTCTTAGATGAGATTGTATGAAGTACAAGTACAGATGGTGTTACAAGTGCGAATGAGTGCGAGAATTGCGAGACGGGGAAGCGGTGAAGCTAGCCTTGGGTATCTCGAGAGGGATGCGATAAGCGAAATGAGTGTGCGTGAGAAGAGAGAGAACGCGGCTGAGCGGATGAAAGCTTAGATGTCAACGTATCCACTAGCCCCATCCGCACCGGTACCGTAACCTTGACGAGTCGAATTGAACGGATCTTGTCTTCCAAACCCGCCAACATCGACTGTCCCTGCACCACTCATCTGCACCTCTGTTCTCCACGCACCCTTCAGTGAGCTGATCTGAGCGATTAACTTCTGACAACCCTGCTTCAGTGCGTCTGTCGGTGTTATTGATCCGTCAGTCTGGATCTTGACAAACACTTTTGGTTCCAAAGGATGTGGTACTTTGTATCCGCAAAACAGCACTGCAGGATTTGCAAGAACTGCGTGACGCAACATGTTGCCGAGGGTGTGATCTTCTTTGTTGAACCAAAAGGTGGCAGCGTTGGGGATCTTGGTGTCTTCGACGATCTCGACACGCTTCTCGTCTGGACCGAGAATAAAGAGGTCGAATCGGTTGGGTGCGTTTGTCATCTTTGCGAAAAGTTATGTGAAGGTGGACAGGGTGATGGACTGCGAAGCAGAAAGATTGGGAGACGAGTCAGTCCACTGTTGCCAGTACCTTGTTGCCAGTACCTAACGCGATTCTGCGTAGTGCAAGCAATTGTGCAAAAGCAAGAAGAGCAATGCATGTATGCAGATATGAAGTTGGGCTCATCTACCGTTGTAGTCTAGGAATCAGTGAACACCCCAAGACCCCCTCGACACACTTGTCAGCGTTTGAGAGGTATCATGACGAGTGTTCTCAAACAGTGTGAATATGATGTAATCTTTGCCGCCGCGAGCGATTGTCGCTCTGCAGTTTACTCTTGCTTCTTTGCTAATGCTTGCTTGCTCACTTGCGTTGGCGAGGATTGGGACTTACTGTACAATGAGCTATATGGTTCGGCAACGGACTTTTGTAGGATATCTCGAGCAAGTAAAAGATTGTGACAACCTCCACTCAAGCAGAGCGCAAGGCGCAAGAAAAAGAAAAGAAGAAGGGAATAGACGGAGGACAGGTAGCTTCCTTTTTAAACCGTAGCGAGGGACGAAAACTTTGATGCAGGGGGTTGTGGTTGACGAGAAGAATGAGCGATTGGACGACCCTCTGATTGGAAGAATGGTGAAATGCGATCGACAGCACCGCCAAGAAGACTTGCCCATTTTTGCTGTTCCCTGCGGCAGCCACGAAAGACACGCGCGCGGTTCTCGCACGACAATCAGTCAAACAATTCGAAAGATGTTTTCGAGACTCTAACATAAAGTGGAGAATCGCGAGCCGGTAAAGACGAAGCGGAACCGGATGCGACTGGATGATTCGAGCGCGCCAGCCTGTTGAAAGCGCAGCGTGAAGTCTTCCCCACAATCTTGTTGTTCGTCGCTTCTCCACCTCATCCATCCTCGGCCTCGCACTCTCCCAATCGAGGCGCGCCCCTCTCACAATAGTTTGGACGAGATCCGCCACTCCTCAAGATTGGCTGGAGACCACGGCTACACCGCACGGCTACATCGCACGTCTAGCACCTACGCACTCTTCCGAGCAGAAAGACATTGACGTCTGAATCGCGGAATACATTCAAGATGTCGGACCCATCCACTTCCGCTGTTGGCGCACACCAGGAGCAGCAGGTCAGCACCGGACCTGTCCGTCAAGACATGGTCGCCAGCGCTGTCAGCTTTCTTTCCGACCCAAAGGTGCAATCCTCGTCAATTTCGCAGCGAGTCAGCTTCCTCGAATCGAAAGGACTTCGACCCAACGAGATCGACGAGGCCATCCGTCAAGCTGGTCAGTCACAAGCAGGAGGATCTTCCGGCTACGCATCTTACGCTGCCGGACCACCCTCGCCCTACTACGGCGGAGCACCCTACAGAGCCTATGCAGGCGCAGCACAAACACAGCAGCAAGGCCGTGACTGGAGAGACTGGTTCATTATGGCAGTCGTATCCGGTACTATCGGCTACGGTGTCATCTCACTCGCCAAGAAGTACCTGATGCCACACCTCCAACCACCTAATGCCAACGTGCTTGAAGCGGATCTTGAGACTCTTACCGCAAAGTACGATGAAGTTGCCAGCCAGCTCCAAGCGCTTGATGCCCAAACCCTTGCCGTCAAGCAAGGTCTGGACGAGCAAAAGGCAGAAGTGGAGAAGAGCATCAAGGAAGTCGAAGATTGTGTCAAGAGTGTCCGCGACAACGAGAAACGCAGGGATGGAGAACTGGACCGTATCCGAGACGACGTGGACGGCATCCGCAAGGAACTTGGCGGCCTGTTCGAAAAGTCGAAGCAAGCACAGACCAACTCGTTGTCAGAGCTGCAGTCGGAACTCAAGTCGCTCAAGTCGTTGCTGGTGTCCAGAGGAACCGTAGGTGGAGCGACTGGTGGAGCTGCACTAGCGCCTCCTAGGCCTTACGGTGTTGGTGGTTACGGCGCTGGATCGTATGGTTCGCCAACGATTGGTACGCCCACAGGAGACGCTAGCCCACCTCACATCCCTAAGCCTACCATTCCCGCTTGGCAGCTTGCTGGAGCCGGGTCGGGCGCCAGCGGTACGACTACGCCTAGCGCGACGGCGAACAAGACAACAGATGCAGAGACGAGCAAACCTTCAGAGCCGACACTGGCCGATCCTGCTGAGGAGATGTCGAAGAGCGACGAAAAGGTCAAGGACACCAGCGAGTAGTTGGCGTTGTACAGTCCCTTCCGTAAGTTTGGGGACAGGGTTCAGTAGACAATCATTCAACTCGTGCGGTAGCATACCTTCCATCCGCTTGGACGACTGATGTCTCATAAGTGTCAGGCTATACGAAACACACAGTGAGCAAGTCCGAAAGAAGAGCTTTCGATTGCAGTGAGTCTCGGAGCCGACTAATACTTGAGTGGACTTCCATGCTTAGTAAGCAGCTGCTAATTTAGACTTGGCTTGACGCACAAGTGTGTTCCTCCGAGCAACAGTGTTTGAAGCACTCGCGTGCCTGCGCCAATTGACACTCTTATTGAATTGAGACGGTTGGGTCGCCTGATAAGCCTTCTTTCGTCAGAGATGGGTTGATCACAACAAGAAGATCGGCTCATCCGACGCTTGAGCCTTTTCGCTAGTATCGGATGAAGCCGAACAATGGCGGGCCCGTCAGCAGACCCGGCGTTGACTGCCACAAGGGTGTGTGATGTGATAGGCGTGGGATTCCAGCTGACTAGCAGAGGTATTGCAACGGATCAGCCGACTTTGGCATCGCAACATGCAGATCCGAGAAAGAAACTTGGCTGGTCGGATCCCTTCAACAGGCTCTTGCGCATCATGAGAGAGGCTTTGGTGGTCCAGAGAGTGAAGTAACTATGGCACAAAAACCACAAGAGTTCAGGAGATCACACAGATCCGTGAAGCCGAACTGTTCAGAAAAGCGGTCTTGCCTCTTTCTGGCAAACGGGCGAGCGGAGTTGCAAGACAGCGGCCACACACAGCCTCGCTGGGTACAATTCTTTGAATTGCAAAAATAAAATAAAAAAAGGGCCACGACAGACAGACGTCTCGCTTAGCAAGAACAAAGGGTCGAAGTGGCCAATCGGCCAAATTTAGGCGGGGAAGTCATCTCGTGCGTTCGTGCAGCAAAAAGAGGTTCTCCTACGTGAATTGCACTTGCAAGCCGACCGCCACTCACGCAGTCTTGCCTCCTGACTATGACGACCCAACTGCTGCTGATCCCGCCGCTGTCGGATCATCCGAATTCGAGCATCCCAGACCCAATCATAGAGCGGCTTAGCGTGGAGTACTTTTTCGCCACCTCAAGCTTCCCTTCCTACCACCACCATACTCAGCGCGCACTCGAGGCGGCCTGTCGAGACTGCGTTCAACATCAAACATCACTCATACCTATAATCAAACTCGCTGCTTCGACAAGACTGACCACAGTCGACCTGCATAAGATATAAAGAGGTCCGAGCTTCTGCATAGGTTAGTCTCTTCCTCATTCGGTTCGAACAGAGGTTCTTGCCAACATGCCTTCGCTTTCAGGTAGCAAGGCAGCTACGCCCAAACGGCCACCAATGAGCAAGATTCGCTCGTGGTCAGCTGGCCTCGGCGCCAAGCTGGGTTCTAGCTCTAGCAACGACAAGCAAGACCTCGCCTCCGAAGTAGAGCTCCGCAAGAAGGGTATCGACAACCTCTACACCTCCACCGAAGCATACTGGTCCTATCTCGGCAAGAAAAAGCCGGTTCCCTTCGACACCTCCACGCTACCTGTCGATGATACCTCTTCCATCACCACCGGTACGGTCACGTCCAAGCCAGAGGGAAAGATGCTCCCTGTGGAAGCCATGGGCTGGGCGATGAGCTCTTTCAGCACCGCTTTTCCAGATGGCTCTGCTTATGGATCCTGTCTGGGGCTCTTGGGTGAAGCGCACATCAAGCTCGGCTACTTGCAGTCCACCTTCACCAAAGATACTTCGCATATATTCCTTGCCAGGATTGCACGCTCCAAGGCCGCACTGGATTCGTTCACTGCTGCGCTCAAGAAGCTTGGCAGCGCCACTGCCCGGTTGGAGTCGGCACAAAGTAAAGTGCAAAAGAGCAGGAAAGAGAAGCGAGAGCTCGAGGAGGAATTGCGTCTCGCCAAAGCAGCTTATGACGAGTCTGTCACTGATGTTGAAGCGAGAGCAGAGGCGATTCAGGATGCAGAATATGATGACTGGCAGTGCTTGACAACGTACATGCAGGCACAAGTGGACTATACTGCTCAAGCTACAGCTGTTTTGGAACAGGTCAAATCAATGTGGGGACAGCCTCCGCCTTCCAGGGCGAACTCCGGGGCCAACACCCCGGTCACTAGACCAAGGTCGCTGTCTGGACCTGGCGCACCCAAGCTGCGTCCATCTATCTCGCGTCGTTCCAGCGCCAAGGATACAGGCGAGTTCGCGACAGCAACTTCGAGTCGATTTGGGTCTAGGTCTTCACTGAGCCTGTCGAACATCGATCGGCCCTCTTCTCCGACTGATGAGACGAAGCGAGAGAAAGAGAAGAACAAGAAGAGCAGGTTGCGTATGCCCTCTTTCACTGGGGCGGGTGACACTGTTGCTTCTGTTGCTTCAGGTATCGGTTCTTTTGGCAGAGCAAAGAGTTCGAGCCTGTTCGGAAATGGTAGTACTGGCGCGAACGGAGAGGGATCCCCTAGTCCGGAGAAGGAACGTGAGGGGCCAAGCAAATGGAACTTCAAAACTCGCTCAAAGAAGGAGTATGGGTTCATGTCGATGGATGAGGCAGAGAAGACGGCCTTCGAGAGCAATGGTGCTGGATCGCGTCCACCTGCACTTCCAGTCAGGGACTATGTCCGACAGCCAGTCTCTGCTCATGATGTCCATCTAGGCGGCGATCTTGATGGCTCTGTTGACGGACACGGCGATGCTTCCCCCAACTTCAGGCTCTCCTGCGCTGATGACGACTCCGACGATGAAGAGTTCAGTGCTGGGCATGAGCCATCCCCTTTCTCTCCCGACCCCGATTCTCAAAACTTTCTCAACGCCTCAAAGCGTCGTTCAGTCCACGACACTATCCATGAGCGAGGCGAGTCACAACTTAGCAGCGAAATACACATCATGGACAGCGGCTTCCTCGGCACCTCTTCTGCTCCCCATCAAGCTCATCTCTCGCTCAGCCATACCGGTCTTTCTGCATATTCGGATGGAGGAGATCCATTCGGTAATGCGTCTTCTGCTATGTCACCGCAGGCAACGGGTGGTAGATTCAATGATGACTCCACCGATGAAGAGGAAGAGAGACAGGGTCTGACTGCAGGCAACCTAGTCGATAGTACAGGTGAGAGAAGGGGAGTGGAGCCATCTGCGAGCTGGAAGAACTTGGCGGCTGGCATGTTGAACGGCATTGGAAATGGGACTGGCGGAGGAAGCGCGAGAGGACCGCCACCGCCGATTCCGTCCAGTGCTTCGTTCTTGAGCAAGAGCAAGGCGAGGTTGGCGCCTCCGCCGCCGCCTTTGCCTTCGAGAAACAGTCAGTAGTCAGGCTGGTCAAATGCTGCATCTTCACACCTACTCAGATTGTACCAGTCAACACAGTAACGGACAATTGCAACTTTATACACAATCTCATTGAGTTTTATCGTGCAATCAGGCTCGAGCAGCATCAGTCGGCTCCAGAGATAACCTCCCTCTTATAAGATTAGCCCTTCTGACAGCCTCCAAACACTTCCCGACACCATCAACATCGCTCAACAACGTCGCATGTCTATGTGCACTCTCCACCATTCCTTCGCCCTCGAACCTCATCCTGTACCTGTCCAGCTTCATCCTTGCTTTTCCTGTCTCCTTCTTGTACGGTGGACCTTTGCCCCAGAACTCTCCAGGTAGTGTTTCTGTCTCACTCCATTTGGCGAGAAGTTCAGACCAATGGCCAGGTAGAGTCGTAGCAGAGCGACGAGTGATGACGCCATCACCGGCAGCGTAGGTGATACGAGAATAGTCTCCTGCTCAGACGTCGTCTTTCCAACCTTGCTCTCTTTGCGATTCGATACCGACGAGGGCGCCGCGAACGCAGGGTGTCCCTCATCCCCTCGATATCTTCAACAGGACTGGTTATGTTTGAGGAACTGCTTAAGGAATCTTGCATTGTCGTTCCCGACATCGCCTTCGATATCAACCCAGCACGACGAAGGAACATCATCCACAGTCCTTGCGAGAAGTTTATTAGGATCTCGTATGGACCGGAATTGTCGCAGGTTGACAGAGGCTTGGATGCTTTGGAACGTGTGATTGCGAAAGCCGACCCTAATCATGCTGACAACGCCAAGTTGGCCAAAGACTTGGTTCCAACAAAGCTCACTCACGCCGATGTAAAGCACCACTGAAAGTGTGCTGACATGGGTCCTCTGTTTATGCTGCAATGCTACTCGACTCAGAAATTCCATCAGGCGTGAGACCGAAATTCGATATCATTGCGATTCTGGACCCAACGGACACGCGGTTCTGTGCAGACATATTAAATGTGCTGTGCGCACAAAAATGCCAAACCGGTCGAGTCGAGCGTTTCCGGGAAATCTCGCTGAGGCTGGCCAAGTAACGAGCTCCTGAAGGAGGCTGCTCGACCGGGTTCACAGATTCCTCCACGAAAAGAGGCTATCGACGCAACAGGACTCAAATGCTACCATCAGATGGAAGGGACGGCCTGCATTCTCCGAGTAGAGGTCACGTGCTTTCACCAAATCCGGCTGCCAGATCGCGGTTGGACGTTGGCCCGATTTAAAAGATTCGGTTCATGGAAGGTTTTGCTGAAGATTACGATCCAGTCCGATGCTAAAGGATGACAAAGATCCAATCTGATAGGAAATCGGGCAAAACAGATCTGATCGGGGATCGGGGATCAAGCAAGGCCGAAAGAAGGGAGGGATCGGGTACAACTGTGTCCCACTCGTTGTTGTATTTCGTCATTAGGTAGGATGCACCCATTCCTGGGTATGTGCTGTATCTTTGTATATATTGTTGAAAATTAGCAATCCAACATGATGATGTTGGAAACTTAAGTTGTTTCAGTCCCAATACTGGTGATTGGGGAGAGTCTAAGTATGATGTCACTGCTAGTTTATAGACAGAACAAATATACTCAATTGACTAAAGGAATGTGGCAAGAGCCTAGTGCTCTCCATGAGATATATATACATGTGAGCAGCACATGCCATAAGTGGGAGTACTCCTATCTCATAATCTACCATGGCAACAAGCAGGACCTTGTTGTGCCCAATCTCTAGTGAGATCAGTTATCCTCAATCTCTGATCAGATCTGTCCTCTACTTGGATCAGCTCTGCCTGATCTCCAATCAGATCAACTTTACATCATCCTTCAGTGTCTTGCTTGATCGTAATCTCCAACAGATGATGCGAGACAACATGAGGCAATAAAGGAGGGATTGGGCGAAGCCGATCTGGTCAAAGATCAGATGGGGCAGATCTCATCAGAGATCAGATACAACATGGTCCTGCTCATTGTCAGGGATTGTCATGAAGGAGGATACACCCACACCTGGCATGTACTGTCTAGATGTATATATATCTCACAGAGAGTGCTAGGCTCTCACCACATTCACTCAGTCAATTGAGTATATTTATTCTGTCTATAAACTAGCAGTGACATCATACTTAGACTCTCCCCGATCGCCAGTATCCAGACCGAAACAACTTCAGTTTCTAACATATATTGCTGGAAAATAGAGCTCTGATCGACACTTATCGGGAGATATCAGTCACAGTATGGCGTTCAAGCTTGTTGAGCTAAACACTATACTATATTGACATAAGGAAAGAACATAGTGGTAGCCTCAAGCTCTCTGCTCACTATCTATATACATTGTGGTTTGTGGTTGTCTGTGAGAACATCCCACCTAATGACTGTCTATGACAACAGATGGGTCTCTGTTGTCCTCGATCTTCGTCATGTGGGCCCACCCAATCTCCGATCGGATCGACTCTCCCCAATCAGTCATCAGGTCGTGCTCCGCTGGATCGTTATCTCTAGCATATATTGTTGAAGATTACGATCCAGTGACGACGCTAAGAGGTGACGCAAAGACGACGAGATCGGAGATCGGGGATAACTGATCCTGTTAAGGATCAGGTACAACCAAGTCCCACTCATTGTCAGGCTGGGTCATTAACTATAGAGACTCCCACATTCAGCATGTGCCACACTTTTGTATATATAATGAGCAGAGAGCACTAGGCTCTCACCATGTTCACTTAGTCAATTGAGTATATTTGTTTCTGTCTTTTAGTAGCAGTGACATCATACTCAGACTCTACCTGATCACCAGTATTGGGACTGAAACAACTCCAGTTTCCAACAGGTTATGAGCCCAACAAGCCAATACACTATCAGCAACACTAGCCAATATGCTACCAAGATTTGATATCAACAAGAGGTTTCACTATCAACATGTCAAACCCTGACTACTCATCATATGAACACTTCATCTGGGTGATTGAGGAGCTCCTCCCTCGCCTTCCAGACATAGTACAAAACCATTATCATCAATTGATCAATGACAATACCTATGGTACACCAACAGAACCAAAGGTTGGACTGGTCTTTGAATACATCAGAAGGACAAATGTTAAGCAAGTGGTGACACCCCTCACCATCTTGATTGAGTGTGTTGCCACACTCTTCTATGCAAAGCATGATCTTGGCCCCTTCCATAGCCACTTCAAGCTCGAGTGGCAAATGAGGACATTTGTGACCTCATTCATCAGCAATGAGAGGGATGCAACCTGCATCCTCCACTTCATGATTGAGGTTCCAAGGTGGTTTGAAGTGGAAGCTGGTGCTCTTGAACAGGAGTTCAACATGGTATCAACCAAAGGGGGAAATGTCATGCAGGACTCAAAGATGGTCGAAGCCTCTGATGTAGCATCGTCCGAGGGGGGAAATGTCGTGCCTGCTGCAGCGGGTGATGGTCTCACCATCACTGGTCTGAGCTTTGTCAATGCTGCGGTTGCTCATAGTGGACCCCACACCTCATCGTCCACTGTCTTCCATCTCACTAGCATAGATGTGAGCTTCAATATCAAGATCGATGATGAGCAACCTCTCCCCAAGCCACCGGATGCACTCACGACGGATGGCGACTGTCAGCGGTCGTGTGCCTGAAACCTGAAATCTGTAATAGAGTCGATTCTATTACCAATCCTGTCAAGTTATGCAACAACACTAGTGGTATTGCAATTCTTGGTGAAATATGTGATAGAGCCATCTCTATCACTTTTCTCACTTGAATCTGTGATTGAAGTAATGCTATTGCAGGTTTTGACTGACTGCTGTGGACACTCCATCCAGAGGTAGCTCGGCACAATCAATAACAATGTGAACTTGTGATGACACCAAGGTCTGGTGTGAGTATATTGTTTGGTGGTGCTGACATGAGTGTCCAGTGTGTCTACTATTGCTTGAGGTGATCCCCAGACTGCAGTGGACTACTGCCTTCAGTTCTATCTTAATCTGGACCACTGGTTTGCTATGAACTGCCTTCAGATGTCAGTGAGCAGTGATACAACACATGCACTACAATGAGAGGCAATCGACTTGATTGCGACTATGCTGACTGGAACTAATATGTACTTATGCTCGAAGTATAACTAGTTGATATGGTGTGTAGAGTGGATGAGGATCCACTCGTCCACCTATGATGAGAAGGTATGCTTTTATACATCTTATGCAGTGTCGCCTGTGATGCTGCTCCAGCTCTCTCTCCAGAGAGTACCCTCTTTGTCAAGTGCTCTACAGGAGTCCCTGTAGCATTCCCTCTGTCCTTAGCTGAGCTGTATGTCCACCTCTTTGACACAGCTTGTCCTCCTCATGACCTGTATGCTGGTGTCCATGACACAGCTCTCCTACCAGCAACTGTTCTCCTGACTCTTATCTTGTGAACCCCTGAGTGGTAACCAGCTGCATGTTCCTGAGCTTGGTCCCTGTCTTGGCAGAGCTTGGTCCTCCTTGCATGTGAATACATCATATGAACATCCTTGTCACTGATCTCCACAGAATCTGCCATATGATCATGCTTACTGCAGATTCTGGTGGGATTCGTGATATCAACTTTGCTCATGCAGATCTCAATGAGATCTGTCATAGAACTGTTCCTACTACAGATCTCAATGAATTCTGCTGCAAATCCCACAATCTGCCTGATTCCTTGATTCCTGCGCTTCCTTCATATGAGTTGACAGATCTTCTTATCTTCTGCGCATCCAGGCCCATGACAGCGACAAACCCAACAGCAGCGATTATAATTGCATAGAGGATACGTATGATACAAGCATTGAGGATATGTACGATACAAGCAAGTCCATGTCGAGCAAAGCACTTCGCAGCGCTCATGAGATGTATGGCAACGGCGAGATGGATGTCATGGGCCTGGGTGCGCAGAACGAGGAAAGACCGAAGTTCATATGAAGGTAGCACAGGAATCGTGGGATCAGGTAGATCGTAGGAGCTGCAACAGAGTTCACTGAGATTGGCAGTAGAATCAGCTCTATGGCAGATCACAGCGAAATCGGCATGAGCATCATTGATATCATGAATCCTGCCAGAATCTGCAGCAAGCGAGATTGTGTGGCAGATTCCATGGAGATTGGTAGTAAGGATGTCCATATGACGATTCACATGTGAGAAGGACCAAGCTCTGCTGGGCCGAGGACCAAGTTTTGCCAAGATGGGGACCGAGCTCAGTGACATGCGGTCAGTTACCACTCAGGGGCCCACAGAACAGGAGTAAAGGAGAACTGTCACCAGTCAAAGGAAGGAGAGCTGTGTAAAGGACACTGGTAAGAGGGACATGAAGAGGAGGAGCAGTGTTGATGAAGTCAACACAGCTCAGGAAAGACAGGAGTGACAAGGCTCAATACAGAGGAGGAGCCTCCTTGGAGATCCCTGTACAGTACTCGACGAAGAGGGTACTCTCTGGAGAGAGAGAGCAGGAGCAGTGTTGCTGGTGACGCTGCGAAGAGATATATAATCATACCTTCTCATCACAAATGGTTGAGTGGATCTGCATCCACTCTACACACCATATAAACTAGTTATCACTTTAAGCACAAGTATACATTAGTTCCAGTCAGCAAGTAGTAATCAATAGATTGCTTCTCATTGTAGTGCATGTGTTGTATCACTGCACACTGATGTCCGAAGGCAGTTCAGAGTAAACCTGCAGTCCAGATAATGATAGAACCAAAGGCAGTCATCCACTGCAGTCCAGGGATCACCTCAAGTGTTAGTTGACACACTGGACACTTGTGTCAATGTCATCAATCCATACTCACACCAGACCATTGGTGTCAACATCAAGTTCACTTAGAGTCATATCGTATTTTGATCATGCCAAGCTACCTCTGGATGGAGTGTCCACAGTGGTCAGTCGAAATCTGTCATAACAACAATACAACTACAGATTCCAACAAGAAAAGTGACAGATACAGCTCTGTCGCATATTTCACTAAGAATCGAAATACCATTAGCACTGTCGCATAACTCGACAGAATCAGTAATAGTATCAGTACTACCACAGATCTCAGGTTTCAGGCGCGTGACCCCTGACAATGGATCACCACCTCCACACTGACATCGCCACCATGGACAAGCCCTGCAAGCCCTGTTTCCAAACGATCATCGGAGGAGCCATCAAGACCTTTGTCGATGCCAAGGTGATGTCCTTCGTGGCCTACAGGCCATTGAAGTTGCTTGCAGTACCACCAGCACTCCCATGGAAGAGTGTATCAAGGTCTCGGAGAACATGGACACCTATTCTTGTCGTGAGTGTCTTGGCATCACTGCTGCCATTGTTCCCTTCAACTTCTCCACCATGATCCTGCTCTGGTCTTTCCCCATGGCTACCATCACCAGGACCACCCTCATCCTCAAGCCTTCTAAGCGAGTCCCCGGCATCTCTATGATCATCGCAGAGCGCTGCGAATCTGCAGGAACGCCCCAGAGGGGGGTAATGTCATGGGCCTGGATGCGCAGGAAGCAAGAAGACCTGTCAAGTCATATGAAGGGAGTGTGGGAATCGAGGGATCAGGCAAATTGTGGGACTTGTGGTGGAGTTCACCAAGATCTGTAGGAGACACAGCTCTAAGACAGATCTCACCTAGATCAGCACAAGCAATGATGGTATCATGAATTCCACCCAGATCTGTAGCAAACAGGATCATATGACATGTTCTGCAGAGATCAGTAGCAAGGGTGGTTGTATGATGGTTTCAGTAGGGATTAGGGACAAGGACAGTTGAGGTCACCACTGGATGAGGTAGGGGCCTTACATGACAATGAGATCAGCACAGGAAGATGGGTGCCAAAGTCAGGAGGAAGATGAAGGAGAGGGATGTGCATTGTCATTAGGATGAAGTGGGGCAGCCCCTATCAGCAATGAGATGATGCTGGTCCCCCTTGTCTCAGGAGCAGGAGGAGTAGGGCCCAGCTGGGGGGAGAAGCATTGGTAGAGACCTCTACCATAGTACTTGATGGAGAAGGTACCCTCTGGAGAGAGAGCTGAAGCAGAGTTACTGGTGACCATGCAAGGATGAATATAAAGCATGCCTCCTCATCATCAGTGGTCAAGTGGATCCTCATCCACTCTACACCATACACAACTAGTTATAACTTCACTTAAGTATACATTAGTTACAGTCAGCAAAGTCACAATCAAGTAGATTGCTTCCATTATAGTGCATGTGTTGTATCACTGCTCCCTGATATCCAAAGGTGGTTCATAGCAAACCAGTGGTCTGGATAAAGATAGAACTGAAGGCAGTCATCCACTGCAGTCCAGGGATCACCTCAAGCATTCAGTTGACACACTGGACACTTGTGTCAGGGGTCTCGCGCCTGAAACCCAGGTCGGTCTGTCGAGATACTCGGTGACTATTAAACTGTGTGACAGCTATTGTCTCGGTATCGGTGACTATCAAGTTGTGCAGTGACAGCAGGTGGCGTTCGTTGTATATACTATCGTAGGTTTCGGCTGACCTCTGTGGACACTCCGTTCAGGGGTAGCTCGGCACGATCAATATCAATGTTATGATGACACCAAGGTCTGGTGTGGGTGTTGATGATGTTGAGGTTGATGGTGTTGGTGATGAGATTGGTGATGTCGATGATAATGAGGTTGATGGTGTTGATGATAAGGTTGGTGATGTCAATGATAATGAGGTTGATGGTGTTGGTGATAAGGTTGGTGGCGTCAACACGAGTGTCCAGTGTGTTGACTTGATGCTTTGAAGTGATCCCCGGACCGCAGTGGACTACTGCCTTCGGTTCTATCTATATCCGGACCGCTAACCTGCTATGGGCGCCTTCGGACGTCAGGTAGTGGTGATACAACACACACACTACGATGAGGAGCAACCTTTGATGGATTGCTGCTATGCTGACTGAAACTAATATATACTTATGCTGAAGTGATAACTAGTTATGGTGAGTAGAGTGGATGAGGATCCACTCGACCTATGATGATGAGAAAGCATGGTTATATACCTCTTCTCAGCATCGCCAGCGATGCTGCTCCTGCTCTCTCTCCATAGAGTACCTTCTTCATCGAGTACTGCTCAGGGGCCTCTCCTGCTTGGCACCCCTGTGCCTCTTGGTCGACACAGCTCCTCCTCCTCATGACCTGGTGTCGACTCCTTCAACACTGCTCCTCCTCCTCATGACCTGGTGTCGACTCCTTCGACACTGCTCCTCCTCCTTTGATCAGTGACAGTTCCTTTGGCTCTTGTCTCTCGAGCCCCTGAGTGGTAACCATCTGCATGCTCCTTGAGCTTGGCCCTCCTCGTGGCTGTGCCTGCTCCTTGAGCTTGGTCCTCCTCGTGGCTGTGCTTGGCCCTCCTTTGCATGTGAGTCCATAGGAGTCCATGGTCTCCATGGAGACTGCACTACGACCATGCTCTCTACTGGTGTCGACTAGGTCTTCGATACCTGTGCTCCTTCCATATGAACCAGTGACCCTCCTGCTTCTTGAGCATCCAGGCCCATGACACTACCCCCCTCTTAAGAGCCGAGCTCCGTCGAGGCATGCTCTGGTCTGGTTCATGCTGACTCCTCCTCTTCCTTGACAACATCGTCCCCGTCATCCTTCCTCCTTCTCTCAACGTCATCCTCCTCTCTCTACTCCTCCTGTTCTCTCTTCCTCTCTCTACTCCTCCTGTTCTCTCCTCCTCTCTCCACTCTGTCTACTCACTCGTCCCCCCTCCGACACCTCATACTCCTGGATGAGGTCGGGACAGTTGAGGTTCTCTACTGGTTCCCATGAAGCAGCTTCCTCTGAGTACCCTCTCCACAACACCTTGTACTCCGTAGTCCCATTGTGTGAACGCTTGTCGATGAGTGCTTCGACTTCGAAGTCGAGGTCCTCATCTGGAAGTGATGGTATGGTGGGCTGTTCAGCACGTTGAGGAAGAGAACTTGTTCTTGCTGGCTCGAGCATGGAGACATGGAACACATCATGCACCCTAAGGTTTGCTGGCAATGTGATTCGATAAGCTCGGCGTCCTACCCGTTCCTGAACTGGGTAGGGTCCTGCAAACCGGGTGTCTAACTTGGGTGTGGGTCTCCTTGTTTTCCAGTTTCGTCGGTTGATATAGACCATATCACCCACCTTAAGCTCGATGTCCTTGTGCTTCCTGTTATACTGGTTTACTGATCTACGTTGTGCCTCTCTGATCTGCTCCTGGAGGTACTTGCAACGCTCCTTTCCATCCATGAGGTACTCGAAGCGACCTGGATCATTGACTCCTAGTCGTTGAGGGATGTCAGGATGAGCTTTGGGGTTCCATCCATAGCATGCAAAGAATGGTGAGACACCAATGCTGTTGTGGACCGTGTTGTTGTATACAAAGGCTGCAGTGTCCAGCAGGTTGGCCCAGTCATTCTGCTCATAGTTGCAGTACATCCTGAGATATTGCTCTATGACCTGATTGACTCTCTCTGTCTGACCATCAGTTTGAGGATGGTAGGCCGTGCTAAGTGAGTGCTTCACACCCATTTGCTCTGCAAATGCCTTCCATGCTCCTGATATGAACTGCCTGCCTCGGTCCGAGACCATGTGATCTGGATATCCGAAGAGTCTAACCATGTGTCCATATAGCAATACTGCAGTCTGTTTGGCTGTGACTGTCTTATGGGTTGGAGCTAGTATGGCAAACTTGGTTAACCTGTCGACGATGACTAGGATAGAGTCATAGGTCTTGGAGTCATACTTCTTTGATGGTGGTAGTCCTTCAATGAAGTCGAGGGATATGGAGCCCCAGGGCCTGTCTGGGGTTGCTAGTGGCTGTAGCAAACCATATGGACGATGACGAGGAGCTTTGTACCTAGCACATACAGGACAACTTGCTACATAGTCTGCAATCCAAGCTGTCATGTTTGGCCACCAGTAATGTCGTTGAGCTGCCTTGATGGTAGCATCTCTTCCTATGTGTCCAGCAGTGATACCATCATGGCATTGGGTCATCACCATGAATCGCAGATGCTCTACAGAGAGAGACTGTCCATCTACCTCTTTGGCACTCCTTGAGTGTCGGTTGTTGGTCCTCCCTGGCATGATCACCTTGGGGATAACCAACCTTCCTCCACTGTACCATAGGTCATCCTTGAGTTCGAAAGGCTTCTTCCTATGTATCTCCTGTAGCTCTTGGTCTAAAGGCTGGAAGATCTTGACCAGGTCTTTGAGACCTTTTGATGCTATGGACCCCATCGAGATCATGGGGGCCACTAGAAGCGAGTCATGGTCTGCTGTCTCCTTGAACACTCGAGGAGGCAGTAGTTGCCTCACATTGTGATCCTGCTCTTCACCGGCTGGTTGCATGTCTGTCCTTCTGGTGAGAGCATCGGGTTCACCACCTTTGTCTCCTGGTCGATACTGCAATATGAAGTCGAAGTCTGCTAGTAGTATTGCCCATCGAGCTTGTCGACCTGTGATGCGTCTCTGTGACTTGAAGTACTTGAGGGCTTCATGGTCAGTGAGGATGACCAGTTGGTTTGGTAGTCCAGCTAGCATGTGTCGCCACTGAGTGAGGCAGGCGACCACAGCTAGGAGCTCCTTATCATGGATCTCATAGTTCTTCTCGGCAGAAGACATCTTCCTAGAGTAGAAGGCCACTGGATGCCATCGTCCTTCATGCTCCTGCTTGAGCACTCCTGCTATAGCAAAGTCACTTGCATCAGTCTCCAACCTTGTTGGAAGGTGGTAGTCGAAGTGCTGAAGCACTCCTGCTGATGTGAAGGCCTGGATGAGCTTGTGGAAGGCCTGTTGGGCCTCCTCTGGTAGTTCGAACTTCTTGAACCGTTCTATAGGCTTTACCAGTGCTGTCAAGGGCTTGGCTATGCGAGCAAAGTGGGCTATGAACCTTCGATAGAAGTTGGCAAAACCCAGGAACCTCTGGATGTCATGGATTGACTCTGGCATTGGCCACTCCTTGACAGTGCGCACCTTTTCTGGGTCCATCTCTATGCCCGTTGGCTTGATGATGTACCCCAGGAACTCGACTGTCTTGGTGTGGAACTCACACTTCGACAGCTTAGCAAAGAGCCTGTTGCTCCTTAAGCGAGTGAGGACCTCGGTGACATGCTTCACATGTACCTCTTCAGTGTCACTGAAGATCAGGAAGTCATCTAAGTATACCACTACATATACTCCAATGATGTCTCGGAAGATGTCATTGATGAATGACTGGAAGTGAGCCGGAGCATTGGCTAGGCCAAAGGGCATCACTAGGTACTCATAGAGTCCCAACTGAGTGCCAAAAGCTGTCTTCCATTCATCTCCTTTAGCAATCCGGATGAGGTTGTATGCTGCTCTAAGGTCTAGCTTGGTATAGATCCTTGCCTTCCTGAGTAAGAACAGCTGCTCCTCGATGAGGGGCAATGGTGCCCTGTTCTTGACAGTGATCTCGTTGAGACCTCTGTAGTCCACACAGAGTCTGAGACCTCCATCCTTCTTTGGTACGAAGAGCACCGGTGATCGTGCCGGGCTCTTCGATGGTCTTATGAACCCCTTCTCGAGGTTCTCATCCAAGTACCTCCTCAACTCGGACATCTCCTTGGGTCCCTTAAGGTATAGGGGCCCTTGAGGTGGCTTCCCTCCTTCTATCAACTCGAGGTGGAGATCATGCTCGGTATGATGGGGCAGCTTGTCTGCTTCCACCTCATCAAACACATCTTGCAGGTGTTGGTATGGCTTTGGTATGTCTGCAGCCGTCACCACCTTATCTACCTCCACCTCCATCTCGACTCCTTTGTCTGCGCCTGTAGGTACAAAACCAAAGGCCGGGAGTGATGATGGTGGCTCCTCTAACAGCATGAACCCTATGGGTCCATCTTCCAGAGCTGCTCGTAGTATGCGCTCTGCTGAGACAAACTCGTTACCATGAAGGGTTGGTCTCCTCATGGTTAGGTCCCCTGCTCTTGCTGCTTCAGGGGGTCTCCTAGAGGGTCGGTCCTGCTCCTGAGTCTTGAACTCCAGCTGGCCCGTATCCCATTGTATGGTGGGTTTGAGCCTCCGTAGCTCAGTGAACCCCAGGATGAGGTCATAGTCCACAGTGTCGGCCACTGAAGCTTCGACCACACCCAGATTGTGTGTACCAATAGATACCTGCATGCTCGCAGAACTATTGATGGAGAGTTGGTGCCCGGTGACACCATGGATCAATCTTGTTTTTATGGGTTTTGTGGGTATTTGGTACTTACTAATGAAAGAATCTGAGACTATGGACAAACCAGCACCGGTATCAGCTAGTATCCGAGCAGGATGGTCTTGAACCATTCCAGAGAGCTCCAGTACTGCTTTGCCTCCACTGGTAGAGAAACATACTTGACAATCTTGATATATACAGAGTGATGGCGAGGAGGTTTGTAGAGCAATGCATGCCATCAGTGCATCACCCCACTGACGTTTCCCTCATCGTCATCATCATTGTGCTCCTCCTCGTGATCGGGGTCCATGGGTTGCTGGTATGAGCTGAGGTCCATGGCCTCGGGGTCACCTGTCTCAGTGCTGCCTGTGTGGCCATCCCCTGAGTCGGTGGCCTCCTCGAAGGGGTCTGCTGTGGTGACCATAACCTTTGGTCCCATGGGTCGAGAGCTAAGAGGGTTTACCCTCCTGCTGGGGCAGTCTCTGGCCCAATGGCCGATACCCTTGCATACATGACAGGTGTTGATACCTGATGGAGCAGGGCTTCCTTGCTTCGAGGGTTGGGTGGGATGATGAGGAAGGGGTCGGTTTAGGTTTTGTATAGTTGCTTGTGTAGTTGCTTGTGATGGTGATCGAGCTGGATAAGGTTGAGTGGGTTGTCGGATGGGGATTGAACTTTGATTTGGCCGAGACCCAGTTCTTAGTGGAGGTGACGTGGCATTTGGAAGTGAGTGTCTAGCCGAGGACTGCTGTAGTAGCATCCTCTGTCGATCGATCTCCTCGACCTCTCGATACCACTCCCATCTCTTCCCAGGTGGATTCCTCTCGAACTTCTCCTGTATGCTGCGAGTGAGACTACCTCTGAAGAGATCAATCACTAGCTCGTTGTCATCTAGGTTGACCTGTCCTTCCAAGTCTCTGAACCGCTCTACATGACGTGTGGCAGCACCAGGAGTATCACTTGTGAGTCTGAGAGCCAACAGCTTGTTGTATGCCTCCATCCTAGCATTGCGTGGGTTGAACTGCTCTGACAGTCGCTCTGTGAAGTAGTGCCAATCATTGAACAACCTTCCTTCTCTAGCTCTATCAATACGGAGCTTGGAGGTCCACCACTCTCTTGCTGTCCCTTCCAGTTGAGCACCCATGTGATTGATCATCCTAGACTGCTCATACACCTGGTTGAACTTAAACCATGCTTTGGCTTCTAGAATGAAGATCTCCATGTCTCGGGGATTGAACTTTGGAAAGGGGGTGGCAATGGGCTTTGACCGGTTAAGCTCTGCCATGATGCTGGTATCCTCCTCGTGGTCCAGGGGGTAAGGATCCGTCCTAGTCCTGCTGTAGGGGTCCAGCTTAGTCTTGACATATCTTGGCCCAGTAGGTGAAGCATACTTCTCGTAGTTGATGTCCTCCTGCTCATCCAGGTTGAATGAGACTGATCGTCTTGGTCGTGGAGCTGGAGTAGGAGTATGTGGGTCTCCTATCATAGACTCATCTCCTCCTCCTGCTTGGTCTTCTGAGTGAGAGAGGTCCATTGTCTCCTCCCTGTTCAGTTGAGCTCGTTGTAATCGTTCCTCTCGATGACCCTGTCTGGTAAGCTCTAGCTGTGCTTCCAATAGAGTGAGTAGTCTATCGAGCTTATTGTTGAGGTCTGGGTCCGTCATGGTGATCGTGAGGAGCTGCTTGAACGATCCACTCTAATGTCAGGGGTCTCGCGCCTGAAACCCAGGTCGGTCTGTCGAGATACTCGGTGACTATTAAACTGTGTGACAGCTATTGTCTCGGTATCGGTGACTATCAAGTTGTGCAGTGACAGCAGGTGGCGTTCGTTGTATATACTATCGTAGGTTTCGGCTGACCTCTGTGGACACTCCGTTCAGGGGTAGCTCGGCACGATCAATATCAATGTTATGATGACACCAAGGTCTGGTGTGGGTGTTGATGATGTTGAGGTTGATGGTGTTGGTGATGAGATTGGTGATGTCGATGATAATGAGGTTGATGGTGTTGATGATAAGGTTGGTGATGTCAATGATAATGAGGTTGATGGTGTTGGTGATAAGGTTGGTGGCGTCAACACGAGTGTCCAGTGTGTTGACTTGATGCTTTGAAGTGATCCCCGGACCGCAGTGGACTACTGCCTTCGGTTCTATCTATATCCGGACCGCTAACCTGCTATGGGCGCCTTCGGACGTCAGGTAGTGGTGATACAACACACACACTACGATGAGGAGCAACCTTTGATGGATTGCTGCTATGCTGACTGAAACTAATATATACTTATGCTGAAGTGATAACTAGTTATGGTGAGTAGAGTGGATGAGGATCCACTCGACCTATGATGATGAGAAAGCATGGTTATATACCTCTTCTCAGCATCGCCAGCGATGCTGCTCCTGCTCTCTCTCCATAGAGTACCTTCTTCATCGAGTACTGCTCAGGGGCCTCTCCTGCTTGGCACCCCTGTGCCTCTTGGTCGACACAGCTCCTCCTCCTCATGACCTGGTGTCGACTCCTTCAACACTGCTCCTCCTCCTCATGACCTGGTGTCGACTCCTTCGACACTGCTCCTCCTCCTTTGATCAGTGACAGTTCCTTTGGCTCTTGTCTCTCGAGCCCCTGAGTGGTAACCATCTGCATGCTCCTTGAGCTTGGCCCTCCTCGTGGCTGTGCCTGCTCCTTGAGCTTGGCCCTCCTCGTGGCTGTGCCTGCTCCTTGAGCTTGGTCCTCCTCGTGGCTGTGCTTGGCCCTCCTTTGCATGTGAGTCCATAGGAGTCCATGGTCTCCATGGAGACTGCACTACGACCATGCTCTCTACTGGTGTCGACTAGGTCTTCGATACCTGTGCTCCTTCCATATGAACCAGTGACCCTCCTGCTTCTTGAGCATCCAGGCCCATGACAACTTGTGTCGATGACATCAACAATCTCAATCACACCAGACCTTGGTCTCTGTCAGGGGTCTCGCGCCTGAAACCCAGGTCGGTCTGTCGAGATACTCGGTGACTATCAAACTGTGCGACAGCTATTGTCTCGGTATCGGTGACTATCAAGTTGCACAGTGACAGCAGGTGGCATTCATTGTATATACTATCGTAGGTTTCGGCTGCATTTACACAAGTAGAGTAAGAGCAAGTGTCTGGAGAGGAGCAGTGGTGATGGTGATGGGGAAAGAAGACTAATGTTTGAAGCCTTCGTGCAGCGGAAAGCGTACAGGCTGTGACTTGGTTGGATTACGTCGACTACGTCTTAGAGAGTCGGTGGAATGAGATGTGCGGTGCTTTGAAAGCGGTACGATCGTTGCAGCGCTGCTTTGGGATGGCCCGAGATCGCCGTTTTCAGGACACGAGTCAGTGAATGTCCCAACGCAGAGGAGTTGAGTTCAATCGAGAGTGGCTTGACGAGCATGAGCGTCTTTTCCAATAGTGAGCGCCTTGCCGTCCGAAGCTGGGCCTCGATAAAGTCGGCCAAACTTGCGTTCCTTCTTTCGCACCTTACCTGGACGCGCCTGGACCCTGCAGCCTGTCCAGCATATCCTTCTGGAACAACGAGGAAGCCGTAGCAGCAGCAACACTGCTATCGAAGACGAACTCTCCAAAGCCAAGGTACTTCTCCAACAGACCCTTCGTCGTAGGTTCCGAGATACGATCGATATCAGGTCGCAACCCCGTCTGTCGCTTGATTCCTGCCAACACTGTGGAGATCAACAGAGCGTCGCCTGCGTAGTGCATCAATCTGCCAAGAACCATGTTGGCGTATTCGTCTTGAAAACTTTTGAGTGAATTGGATTCGAAGGGACGTTGAGGTAGGTGTTGGAGGAGCGGTGATGGTCTTGGTGATGATGGTCAGGGTTTGGAGCTGTTGCAGTAGCGCGCATTTGTTTCAATAATAATAATAATGAAAGTGACAGGCCAGCAAAAAGAATGGCCCGTTCGGTTGACGCGCCTAAATTTAGATCGCTGGAGCAAAGTGTTAGTAAAAAGGATCGAACATGATCAGAAATTTCTCGAAGTCGGAAGCCTCGATGCCGCACGATCCAGAAAGAGAAGAAAAGGAAAAAAAAAAAAAAAAAAAAAAACCCCGTCTCGCGACGTTTGTGTCAACCAACACTTCTCCTCATTGTGTCCATTATTCCTCATCACCACACGGCCATACTAATCTTGAGCTCTCGGCACCAATCACTCACGCCCCCAACCCGTCGCACCGATAACGAATTGGCGCGTCTCTCGCAGGTCTTTGTCCTCCTTCCCTCCCTTTGACCAGCTGCAAGCACACGTACCGCGTTCAGGTCGTGAAAGCTAGCAAACATGGCGTTCACATTCGGCACACCAGCTGCGGCACCTTCACAACCTGCCGCAGGCACAAGCGCCACATCCGGCTTCTCGTTCGGTCAGACACCAGCGCAGCAGCAACAGAACAAGCCAGCAACCAGCGGATTCTCATTCGGCGCACCAGCAGCATCACAACCAGCTACATCCGGTGCTGCACCTGCAACCTCTTCCGGTGGAGGCCTCTTTGGCGGCTTCGGCTCCTCTCAACCAGCAACAGCTCCAGCTTCCTCATCCACAACTAGTGGTGGCGGCGGACTCTTCTCGTTCGGTGCAAAACCCACTGCAACTTCTCAACCGCAACAACAACCTCCTGCTGGGTCCACATCCACCTTTGGCACCTCCAACACCACCGGCGGTGGGCTGTTCGGCAGCTCAACTACCCAGCCCTCTACGGGTTCAGGCTTCTCCTTTGCTGCTCCCGCCAACAACACACAGCCACCACAAGAACAACAGCAGCAATCAACATCACTCTTCGGCGCACCTGCATCGTACTTCTCCACTACCTCCAGCGCACAGCAACCTGTAGCTCAAACGCCATTCTCTGCCCAACCCCAGCAAATCCAATCTCAACCAGCAGCTCAGCCAGATAAGAAACTCGGTCCCTCTCTCAGCGCTAAGATCGAACAAATCCGTGCAGCATGGGACACATCCAATGCTTCCAGCTGCCGTTTCGCCTATTACTTCTACAACAACGCTGGTAACTCGCAAAATCTTAAACTCATCCAAGGACGACGTCCAGATGCTGTCGGACCGATGCACGATCAACTATGGGCCGCTGCCGTTCGCGAAAACCCTGATCCTAATCGTCTTTACCCCGTCTTAGCACTTGGATTCAACGATCTCAAGAAACGAATAGAGTCCCAGGCGCGAGAGGCACAGCGACAGCGACAATTCCTCGCCACCATCGCAAATCGGCTTTCTTCGTTGGAACAGAAGCACAGCTTGTCCAACTCGGTGCGCGCACAGGCTGCACAGAATAAGCAGGCTCAGTTGCACCATCAGTTGGTAGCGCTTGTGGGGAAGACTCAGCTTTTGATCCCCGCGTTGAGAGGGAAGAGTGTCGGGCCGGAGGAGGAGAGGTCGATTTCAATTCTAGAAACTTGCGAGGCGGAGATCACGGGTGGAAATTCGGCTGCTGCTGCTGCTGCTGCTCGCGGTACACCGGCTTCCGGTGGTGCAAACGGGGGAGCAGGGAATGGTGCATACCCGGCAAACCATGCTAGATTGCGAGCGAGGATCAACGAGCTCTGGGCCCAACTTGGGGTCATTCGGGCCAAGAGGGAGATGCTGGCGAGGGAAGGAAGGAGTGCAACGACGGAGTGGGCGGTTGTCGATCAAAGTGGATTGGAGAACGTCACGAGGATCCTAGGACAGCAACAGCAAGGGTTGAATCATCTGTGTACGACATTGGAGAACGATACGAAGACGATGGAGACAATCGCAAATGGCTTGACCGGGGTTAAGCTTGTTGGTATTTCCAGGTAGCCCCCTTTCCACTGCATTCACACAAAACGTATACTGCAATGTCAAGAATGTTGCATTGATCAGATTCATCGTCTACATCAAAAACTAGAATGGGGAAAAGCCTGTAAAAGCAACCTGGCCGACGTTCTTCTGCTCACTGACCCTATTCAACCCGCCTGTCTTGGGATCTCGTGAGAAAATGACAATGTTCTGATCGGTCTGATGTCCAACCGCCAAATAGCTCGCCTCTTTCTCCTTCCCGGTGTCGGAACTTAAACTGAAGTGTCGTGGCATCCTACCGCCACTTCCGACCCATTCCACAAAGCTAACCTCTCCTGTCTCCTGGTCCCTCTTGAAGACGCTGATATGGTCTTCCTTCATATCACCTCGATTGCTCACATATACAAAGTCGCCAGCTGGAACAACAGCAATTTCGGCTGTAGTCCTATTCGTCGGCAAGATCCCATCTCCACTAAGCGGTACACCGGGAGGCGAGGATAGAGATGGAGTTCCGATGAGCTTGAGCTCTCCGGTCTCTTCATTCTGCTGAAATGAGGAAACCTTGTTGTCCAACTCCGAGGCAAGGTAGCCGAACACACGTGCCTGCTTGTCCTTATGGAAGGTGATATGACGGGGACCAGAACCGACCTCAACATTGGTACTTGCCACAAACTCCACCTCCCCTCCCTCGTCGATGCGAAGATGATGGATTTGATCAGCACCAAGATCGACTACATACACCCACTTCCCAGAAGGCGAGATCGAGACTTGATGTGCGTATGAGTGATCTTGTCGATCCGCCACTGGTCCTACTTTTGGTTGTTCTGCAGGTCTTGTAAACTGGATCACCTTCTTTGGCTCACTAGCCACCGTCCCATCCTTAGCATCAATAGGGATGACAGCAGCTGAACCAGAATTATAGTTGGCTGCAAAAAGCAACCCTTCGCTTGGCCCATGACCGATCAAGCAGCTGACAGGTCCATCACCACCGCTAGAAGATCCATTCGATTTTTGTTTTGCACTACCAGTCTGAGCAATCCTATGCGTCTTTGGGTCATAGGTGTGAGAAAAGACTCGGCCGGGCGAAGATTCGTCCACAGAGTAGAAATCTGTGACTACGTAGAGTCTGTTTTTGTGATGGCGGGTGGAAAAGGCGATCCATGAGGGAGAAGTGCCTGAGCAGTTCGCGGCTACACCTTGCGAGAGCTGAGCGATCTCACCCTGGGAAGAGACCGAGTAGGGGACGATGGTTCCGTTGTATCCCGCTGCGAAGAGCGTCATCTTGTGCAACTTTCGATGAGAGGTAGAAGAGACGATGGCCAAGAAGGAAGCTAGCAGTAATGCTAGGAGAATTAAAGGGCGGGTCAGCATCGTTGACGGTGCCAACTCTGAACGAGAATGCAGTGGAGTCGGTTTGGGAACGGTGGGAAGAAGAGAAGTGAGGCGGACTTACAATCTTTGCTTTCTTGAAGTACCTCTGGGCTCTTCGGGCCGCAAAAGGTCTTAGACTAGAAGGCTAGGGGGTTAAAAGAAAGGGCTCGAGCAATGTTGGTTGTGAAGAAGACGGTGTGTGCGCGGGGACATCTTCTCGCTTAACCGCACATTCTGCAGCTGGAAACAGCAAATAGAATCGACTGGCGCTTACAGTGAGGGAGGCTTAGGGTGCGAATGACACTTCTCTTCTCATGATACCACCAACACACCTTTTCTCTTCTGGCTCAAGCTTTGCTCCATAACTGTCGCGTGTTGCAAACAGTCCGAGGCTCGATCGATATGTTTGTTAAGAACATAGGCGGTTATGGGAAGAGGCGAGAACAAAAGCGGCGTGAGAAGGCTTAATCCTGCTTAAGCGAAGAGGAGGCTTGTCCACGTCGATCTTACCACCGGTCCAACATGAAGAACTCGCCGTTGTTGCGACCATTGCTTCAATAGATCCGAATTTGCCGAACGAATGCTCTCTCTCAACCTTGCTGGATAGCACTCCTCAATCCCAACTCCATATCTTTGCTTCTGAAGCGATAGTGTTCCAATGCTGTATTCGATCGTGATACGAGTACAAAATGAAAGGAGAAGCGCCACACTTTCGGTGTCTACGTCCTCTTGGCAGCCTCCTCCAGGTTCTTCAACCACCTCGGCTTCAATGTCTCCCTCTGCTGTCTAACATGGAGATCCATACCTACAATGGTCTTGTAGGCATCTTCCCCACTCAACTTGGTGCCATCTTTCAACTTCGCCTTGATCAACGACTTGTCTACATCATGACCACCTTCCTCTATACACACCATTCTCTTCCTACTCAAGAGAACTTCTGGTATTGCTTCCGTCAGATATCTTCTATTCGCATACACATTGTGCGAGAGTCTTTGGACGAAAGGTGAGCTCCAGTTGATATACCTCCCTAGCCCATTCTTTCGATCTGGATGCTCCCTCTCGAGTTTGCGATCTTGCTTAGCTCGCAACCAACTAGAAGGATGCGGTTCGACCGGTGAAGTGTGAACAGAGGCTTTCGATCTTTCGAAGCGTTCCTTTTGGCTTTTGCTCATGTCGGAAGTGCGAGGCTTTTCAGGAGAGATACGAAGCTGGTATGCTTCACGTTCATCTCTTTCCCAATCAATCCAATCCGCCTTCTTGAGCATATCCAGACTCCTTCCCTCAACAGCAGCTTTGATAGGCTTTTCAATGCTCGTCTTCTCCAGCATTCGAGAATTGAGGTCGGCTCGGAAAGCTTTTTGATGCTCTTCATTTCGTTTTGCCCATTCTTCCGACAATTCTGCTTGGGTTTTACGTCCTTTCTTCGGCTTACCTTCTTTTGCGGCTTCTTTAGCGAGCCTCTTCCGCTCCATCGCCCTTTCTTTCTCGCGCTCCTGCTCAAAGTGCTTGTTGATCGAAGTCTTGATGGGCGCACGTGGAAACAAGTCCAAAAAATCAACCTTGAGCGGTGAAGCTTCACCTAAACTCCACTGCCAGTCTTCGCCCTTCTCCTTCATACAGAATTGCAGTCCATTCGTATCCCACGCTCCCAAGACCATAGTGATGTAATGCTTCTCGCCTTCTTCTTCGACATAGCTGAACTCAGCCATGTGCAACGGCATGAGGATCGGATAAGCAGCCATCATATCCAACTTGAGCGTATTGGGCTCGAAGCAAACAGGTGGAGATCTAAGCTGCTCTCCGTCTTGGTCCACCAGTGCAATCTTCAATCCCAAGCCATGTTTGTCTCCACCAGGCAAGTTGATCGCTGATTCAAAATCCGGTGCAAAGGTGAGGTCCTCCAACTTCAACACCCTGCGCAGCATATCCGGTAGAAAGAGCGGTGAAATGGTGAATGGGATAGGGTCTGGAATGCCACCTTCGATCTTCACTTTAGATTCCTTCTTGTGTTTCAGATGCGACTCGTACGATTCGTAGTCGACCATAGCCAGGTTGTCCCAATCTGCTTTAGGTTTATCAGCAGCATAGTTCGGGTTTTTTTGCAAGCCTTGTACGGGGATCATATCGTGCGGTGGAGGAGGAAGCATCGGTAACGAGTCCATCGGCTTCCATGAATGACCGGGGAACCTGGAAGATGTAACGATGAAGTTTGCTTCGGCTCGACCATCGTTCCCGCGACATTTGATCTCGAATGAAGCATCAACGATCCATGTGGGCAGGTAGAGTGCGGTCATATGTTCAAGTTGGACAATCTTTCGATCATCGTTGGACGTGCTGCGAAGGCCAATAAGCGAGAGAACTTGGTGTTTGAAGATGTCCCACTTGCTCATCAGACGTGGCATGATTTCCGTGGTTGCGAGAGTTGTGAGGTAATCTTGGGCGGCTTTGGTCGGTATCCTGAAGGGAAGCACTTCGACTTTTGCTTGATGATGCCTTGGGATGCCGGCGCTGGAGGAGGCGGTTGTGCGTAACGGAAATTCTGGTGCGCTTGTATTGGCTACTGGGTCGGATGTGCTTGAAGCATTCATGCTACTGCCACCATTTCTTGAGGCTACGCTGCAAGCAGACAATCTCGAGACGCTCAATGAGGCTTTTCGGCGCAACAGAGGTGACGTTGTGTGTAGTAAGCGGAAGTGTTGGGCGGAGCTGCTGGAGAGAGACGTACTTCGAACAGACCGGAGCCCTGCTGAGCCGGCTCGAAGCAGCTGTGCAGCGCTCATGACAGTATCAGAGCTGATCGCTGCTCCTGAAAGCGGTCTGACAGGAGTCTATAGAAGATGAAGGTGATGAGCGGATGATCGTGTGCGCAGGTCGAACGAAAAAGTAAAGAGGCGTGCGGGATGGGACACTTTTGCTCCACCTTGTTTTTCTGTGCAAGGTCACGCTTCGAAAAGTGGCATGGCTCAAATCTGAAAGGCCATCGTTACCGGCCAAGTCCGGTGGAACGAGCGAAGATCGACAATGGGAAGAGCCAACTCTTTAATAGCTTCCCTTTGCTCTCCGTTCATCCTCGCATCTCGCGCCGCGATCACTACCACCTTGCATTCAACATAGAAGCCCCCTCTGGCATCGACTTCTCACCATGCTGGTCCGCTCGCTACGCCTGGCCGCACCTCGGCCATCCACTTGCTCGTCATACCGTCAGATCGTCCGACATGCGTCCACATCCTCCACATCCTCCAGCTTTGCATCAGCTGCCAGGTCCACAATTAGCACCAAGACCATAGCAACCTCAGCAGCAGCCATCGTCGGCGGTCTAGCCCTCTACTCCACCCTCTCTTCTAAACCTTCGTCACCTTTAGAATGCGAAGCTCCCTCTTCAGCAAAACCCACTCCTGCATCCTCCGTCAAAGGCGGCAACCAATCCGACCTCCCCGAGATCTCTCATCTCGACCCTTCCCTCCTTACCAACGCCTCAGCCCCCATGCGCAAACGAATGGAAACATACATCAAGCTCCTCCAATACAACATCGTCTCCGCCCTCTCTCAGGAAGAACCCAAAGCCCGTTTTCTCATCGACTCCTGGCTTCGCAAAGAAGGAGGCGAAGGAATCTCTTGTGTCCTTCAAGATGGTTCGACGTTCGAGAAGGCCGGTGTCAACATCTCTGTTGTACATGGTATGCTTCCTCCTGCTGCAATTAGGCAGATGTCAGCTGATCATGCAGGGTTGATGGACAAGACGGGCTATAAGCTCGAAGGAAAAGATGCCGATGTGAAAGGTCTGCCCTTCTATGCAGCTGGGTTGAGTTTGGTAGTTCATCCGAAGAACCCATTTGCCCCGACGGTGCATTTCAACTACCGGTATTTCGAGTTGACTCATCCCGAGAAGTTGGCTGATGGGTCTCCCAACCCAAGACACCCAAAGAACAGGAAAGGTGGGCAAGGGGATAATGAGCCAGTAGCATGGTGGTTTGGTGGCGGAACGGATTTGACTCCGATCTATCTGTTTGATGAGGATGCCAAGCACTTCCATTCTACACTCAAGGAGGCAGCTGATAAGCATGATGCGAGCTTTTATCCGACATGGAAGAAATGGTGCGATAGGTACTTCTTGCTCCCTCATCGAGGTGAAGCCCGTGGTGTGGGTGGAATCTTCTTTGATGATCTTACCCTGCCTCAATGGGCTGACGGTAACTCAGCTAAGGCGTATGTTCCGCTGAGTGATGGAACAAAGCCTACGCCAGCAACCCCTCTCGTTCCCAGCATCTCGTCGAGCAAGCAGCACAATCAAGACACGCTCTTTGCTACAGTGCGATCTCTCGGTGGCGCTTTCCTCCCGGCTTACCTGCCTCTAGTGCAGAAGAGGAAGAACACACCATACACAGAAGTACATGAACGATGGCAGCAGATCAGAAGAGGTCGTTATGTCGAATTCAACCTTGTCTATGACAGGGGGACGAAATTTGGACTGCAAACTCCAGGAGCAAGGATTGAGAGCATTTTGATGAGTTTGCCCCTGAAAGCTAGGTGGGAGTACATGGAGAGGTACAGTGGCGGTGGTGCACAGGGGAGGGACGGGAAGGCGACAACAAAGGCTGATAGCGATGTGGAGGATGGGAAAGAGGGTGAGATGGAGAGAAAGACAATGGCTGCGCTACGACAGCCTCAGGAATGGGCATGATCGCATGATGAGATGCAGATAGAATCCAATTTCACCTCTCACGCTTCTCAATCTCGGTTCATTGTGTGTGTGTGTGTGTGTGTGTGTGTGATCCATGTCTATTGTGTGTATGAGTGTAATCCATGTCTATTGAAGAGGAAGCATCAATCTGAGCTTCACAAGGAGTAAGTCTATGGCGGAGCGGCATTGCTTCCGGAAGCAAAAGTGCTGGAGCTCCTACTGGGAGTCATCTGTTGCACCAACCTATTCGGCAATTCTTCCCTGCTCGCTCCAACGCCGTTTGTTTCCGCCACTGGAGTCAGAATCGTTTCTGCTGCTGTAGCTGATGACGTCGCCGCTATTACTTCCCCTTCCCCCTCTGCTCCTTCCCCATCTGCTCCTCCCACCATTGACCCTCCCACGCTTCCGATCGCCTGCTGTATACCTTGACCCCTCCTACCAGGCCCAGGCGCCATAGTAACAGGGAAAGGGAGAAAGGCACTAGGACCGCTCTTGTTCCCCACTGCTCCGTATTGCGGTTGCATGCCTCTACTCAGTGCGCTTCTCTGTGCCGATGTGCTTTGGACTGGTGCGACGGGGTTCAAGGTGAAATTTGGCGGAGGTGTCGCCAGGAGGAGGTAGTGGCCGGGGGAGAGACCTGTCGGGCGGTCCATTGACATAAGGCTCAATTTTGGCGTGCGCTGACCCGAGTTTGATAGCAGGCCAGCGTTGGGTTGATTGCTGGCTGAGCGGGAAAGATGGGTGGAACAAGGACGATCGAATGACCCGGAGAGACGGGAGGTGGCTTTGTGAGGGGAATTTGTACGTGATCGTGGCCTAGAGGAGGAGGGTTGGGATGGGGGCACGCGAAGTGCAGAGCTGGGCGATTGCTCGAATAGCGCTTTCAAATGACGTGGTCGAGGCTTGGTTGATGGTTCAATCCCATGCCATGAGTGTGAGAGGAGTGGCTCTTCTTCTTCTACTTCTGTTTCCTCTTCGACATCTTCTTCTTCCTCTGCTTCACCTTCTTCCGCCAATGCGTGCTGATCCAAGCCCTCTCCTGACTCTCCACGACGCCAAGTGAGCACGAATACACCAGCAAACGTCGTCAAACAACCAAACAAGAAATTAATCAACCTATGAGCGTCCATATTCTCGAAATCCCTGTATAAGATCGCACTCCCCACAATCGCTGAGATTGTAAAGAACACAAACTGCGTCGGGATCACCTCCCTGCTATCGAACCTTTGTAATGCCCTGTTGAGGTAAGTAATTTGGACTACCGCAGTTGCTGCTAGCACCAACAACAAGCCGTAGGTGATGGGAAATTTGAGCGCTTCAATAGGCTTACCACCTGAAATAAGCGACGAGATTCCTTTAGTGGAGAGCACGGTAAACCCGCCAAAGATCGCACATGTCCCAACATCGATGAGCACCCAGCTATCGCCAAGAGAGGTGGTGGAGAGGAAAGCGAGCAATGCGCCAGAGGATACCGAGATAGCGGTGTAGATGAGGAACTCTAGCCGCTTGATGGCGAGCAAAAGCTGTGAGGGGCCGACACGAACATCGTTTTGCTTAGAGGAAAAAACGACGGTCACTGCTCCGATGATAGCTAGCAGAATTCCACCAATGTCTGACGGTCGAAATCTCTCTCTAAGCAGTATAGGTGAAATAATAACGTTGGAGAGCAAAGCTACTGCGCCGAGCGGAGCGACAAGCGATGCGGGCGCAAAACCGTATGAAATGAAGTTTCCGGCTTCGCCGATAGTCATCAACGCCAGCCCCAACCACCATAGCTTGGAATGAAGGAATTCTGTGTCCATGCCATTGTTGTTGTTGCCGCCTGAGCTGCGTGAGTTTGAGACTTGCTGATCTTCTCCAGCGTGGCCGTTCGATTGTGTCTCGTGCGAGTTGGGTTGGTGAGGCTTGGCTACTGCATCTTCGCTGGAGCTGTTGTTATGGTTATCGTCTTGGCTTTGCGATTCCTGGTGGCTTTTTTGAAGACGAGTATGGGCAAGCTTCTGACAATTGAGTGCAAGACTGATCGTAACGTTGCCTGCCACTGCGACGACTACGCCGATCCATGTTCGGCTGAGAGACAGCATCAGTGAAGTCTGGTCACCTGATCGGCTTTGGCTAGTGGAACGCTGAATGCCGTGAGAGGGCTGCTGCGGTCAAGGCGACATTGTGACCGCCGATCGCTAGCTCTGAAGCTTGGTGCCTTGCGTGATGGTGAGGAGGAGAAGAACTGGAAGATCCTACAAGGAAAGATTAGAGGTTGGACAAGAAGATTCGGCCTGTCACGTCGAGTGGAGGCATTTGTGTATTTCTGGAACGTCGATGCCGCCAAGAAGGGACGTTGTGAGATCGCGCAATATCGAACATCTCAGTCCTCGGGTTTTGTTCGCAAAGAGGCAACTTAACAATGCTCTCAATTTTCGGGAGAGAACGGGAGAATTCGGCCTGAAAACCGAAAGCCAAACCGTGTTTCACTTCTGAGTAAAATCACATGACCATGCGGTCACGTTCATGCATTAACACATGCACCAACTTCATTCACCATCACCACACATCATTGCCCACCAACAGCCCCTATTCCAGCTCATCTCACTTTAGCATACCACACAGTCATGTGTGGTACCTCACCCTCACACACTCATAGCAAAGTGTATATATATGTTCATAGTATTGCTGTATCTAGCATCTGCCAAATGCTAACAATTTTATGCTGTTTGCTCCAATTCTCCAAATGCTGTGAAGTACCTTAACAGATTAAGAGTCTGAAGCCCTACCAACTGAACACTGACAGACCTCGCCACACCTCACCATGCTGTCCAACCCATACCCTCACCTGCATCTGCTGCCCAAAGTAAGGGCCCACCTTTGACAAATCTGCTGATCCAATATGCCTCCATGGACTCATGACTCCAATGCTGAGAGCAGCAACCTGTCTGATGGACCAAATGAATCAAGGGCCCCCACTGCACTGCAGAAGCAGATTCTGATCAGTGCAGAGACCCCTTCGCCATATGACTCCAATGATGATGATAACATTGGAGACAAGACATGCTACCACATTGACACCATCTTGAACCTAAACCCAGAAATGCTCAAAGGCATGCTCATCAAGCTCACCAAATGCAACAAAGCAAAAGACTCTGATATATACAAGAAACTGTCCTGCTGCTCTGATTTCCATCAAAGGCTCTCACACACCCACGATGCACTCAAGGAGGCACCCAAGCTAACAACCAAGAATTGGTACACTTGGAATCCTCATTTCAGAGGGATCCTGTCTAACTGTCCAGCAGCTATGAAGCACCTTGATGGTGTCATGGCCCCTGGGGACAAAAGGTATGATCATGCTCTTGATGGCAAGCTATGCACCATCCTTCAAAGTAGTGCCCTGTGTCAGGGGTCTCGCACCTGAAACCCAGGTCAGTCTGTCGAGATACTTGGTGACTATCGAGTTGTGTGACAGCTATTGTCTCAGTGTTGGTCTCGACGAGCTAGTTGTTCAGCAACTATCAAGTTGCATGATGACAGCAGGTGGCATTTGTTGTATATACTATCATAGGTTTCGGCTGACCTCTGTGGACACTCTGTTCAGGGGTAGCTCGGCACAATCAATATCAATGTGTAGATTATGATGACACCAAGGTCTGGTGTGAGTGTTAATGATGATGAGGTTGATGACATTGGTGATAAGGTTGGTGGCATCAACACAAGTGTCCAGTGTGTTGACTTGATGCTTGAAGTGATCCCCGGACCACAGTGGACTACTGCCTTCGGTTCTATCTATATCTGGACTGCTAACCTACTATGGGGCGCCTACAGATGTCAGGTAGTGGTGATACAACACACACACTATGATGAGGAGCAACCTTGATAGATTGCTGCTATGCTGACTGTAACTAATGAGTACTTATGTTTCTAAAGTATTGACTAGTTGTATGGTGAGTAGAGTGGATGAGGATCCACTCAACCTATGATGATGAGAAAGCATGGTTATATACCTCTTCACAGCATCGCCAGCGATGCTGCTCCTGCTCTCTCTCCAGAGAGTACCTTCTTCATCGAGTACTGCTCAGGGGCCTCTCCTGCTTGGCACCCCTGTGCCTCTTGAGTGGTGTCGACTCCTTCGACACTGCTCCTCCTCCTCATAACCTGGTGTCGACTCCTTTGACACTGCTCCTCTTCCTCAGGACCTGCCTGCTAGTGTCCTATACACTGCTCCTTCTCCTTTGACCGGTGACAGTCCCTTTGACTCTTGTCTCTCGAGCCCCTGAGTGGTAACCATCTGCATGCTCCTTGAGCTTGGTCCCCTTCGTGGCTGTGCCTGCTCCGTGAGCTTGGTCCTCCTCATGGCTGTGCCTGCTCCTTGAGCTTGGTCCTCCTCATGGCTGTGCCTGGCCCTCCTCGCATATGGCTCGGTCCTCCTTTGCATGTGAGTCTGTAGGAGTCCATGGTCTCCATGGAGACTGCACTATGACCATGCTCTCTACTGGTATCAACTAGATCTTCGATACCTGTGCTTCTTCCATATGAACCAGCGACCCTCCTGCTTCCTGAGCATTTAGGCCCATGACATAAGGTTGGTGGCGTCAACATGAGTGTCCAGTGTGTTGACTGATGCTTGAAGTGATCCCCAGACCGCAGTGGACTACTGCCTTCGGTTCTATCTATATCCGGACCGCTGACCTGCTATGGGTCGCCTTCAGATGTCAGGTAGTGGTGATACAACACATGCACTATGATGAGGAGCAATCTATTGATTGCAACTTATGCTGACTGAAAACTAATGAGTACTTATGTTTCTAAAGTATTGACTAGTTGTATGGCGAGTGTGTAGAGTGGATGAGGATCCACTCGACCTTTGATGATGAGAAAGCATGGTTATATACCTCTTCACAGCATCGCCAGCGACGCTGCTCCTGCTCTCTCTCCAGAGAGTACCTTCTTCATCAAGTACTGTTCAGGGGCCCCTCTAGCACTGCTCCTCCTCCTTGCTATCCTGCTTGCTTGGCACCCCTGTGCCTCTTGAGCTGTGTCAACTCCTTTGACACTGCTCCTCCTCCTTGCTATCCTGCTTGTTTGGCACCCCTGTGCCTCCTGAGTGGTGTCGGCTCCTTCGACACTGCTCCTCCTCCTCAGGACCTGGTGTTGACTCCTTTGACACTGCTCCTCCTCCTCAGGACCTGCTTGCTGGTTCCCTATACACTGCTCCTTCTCCTTTGACCGGTGATGGTTCCTTTGACTCTTGTCTCTCGAGCCCCCCTGAGTGGTAACCATCTGCATGCTCCTTGAGCTTGGTCCTCCTCGTGGCTGTGCCTGCCCCTCCTCGCATATGGGCTCAGTCCTCCTTTGCATGTGAGTCCATAGGAGTCCATGGTCTCCATGGAGACTGCACTACGACCATGCTCTCTAATGGTATCGACTAGATCTTCGATACCTGTGCTCCTTTCATATGAACCAGTGGCCCTTCCTGCTTCTTGAGCATCCAGGCCCATGACAAAATGATACCATGTGTCAATGTGCTTTAACTTCCAATGTTTGGCTGGATCTTTACTCACCTGTATGCACCCCTGGCTATCTGTGTATAGCATGGGCCAAACATCTGTGATCTCCAAGTCCCAGAGCAAATATGAGAAGAACAATGCTTCTCGCACCACTTCAGAAGTGGCAACAAACTCTGCTTTGACTGCTGACAATGCCACACATTTTTGAATGTGAGACTTCCAACTCACTGGACATCCATACACATATGTTATCAACCCTGAGGTGCTCCTTCATCCATTTGTGGGGTCAGATGCCCAGTTTGCATTGGTATATGTTGTTACCAGTGTATCCAAGTGCTTGTTTGTCTCCCCTCCTAAGTGCAACTGATATCCATTTGTCTGGTTCAGGTACTTTACCATGTGAATGGCTGCCTTCCATGCACTGTCGATTGGGATCAACATATATCACAACAGTATGCCAACAGCAAAGGCAATATCTGGTCAGGCTGTGTTGGAGACCCATAATAGTTGGCCAACCAACTCTTGATACTTCTTTGCTCGCTGAGGTTCACATCTCTCACCTCCAGCAACATTCACTATGCTCAGCATGGGTACCCAAGATTTCTCATTTGCTCCTCTTAACCATTTGTTCACCATTACTTTGATGTATGCTGTTAGACCCAGAGATATCCTCCTCTGTCTTCTATCACATGTGATCTTGATACCCAGAAATTCTTTGATCCTTCTGTTGTCTTGCATTTCCCATTTGTCCATGATCTCTTGTTTAGTGTGGTCTACTTCATCATGACTGGGTGATGTTATCAGCATGTCATCCACATATGCTGTAATGATTGTGATCTTGTCACCTGTCCCTCTTGAGTATAGGCATGGTGCACTCAGCATGCAATGAAATCCAATCATCCAGAGATGTGAGTCTAACTCAATGTTCCATTCTTGGCCTGATTGTTTCAGACCATACAGTCCTTTCACTACCTTCAACACTTTTCTGGGTGGTATTTTGATTCCTACTGGGGGCTTGAGATATACATCATGGTGTATAGTGGAATTCAGGTATGCTTGCTTTATGTCAATAGAGTCTATTTCCCAATCTTGTACTGCTGCAACAGTGATCACCCCTCAAATGGATTGGATGGGCACTACTGGTGTGAAGACCTCTGTGTAGTTGATGCCCTCACATTGGGTGAAACCTCATGCCATGAGCCAGGCTTTGAACTTTGTTGGCATGAGGTTTGCATCAGTTTTGATCTTGAGTACCCAACACATGTCAATGGTGTTTGCACCCTTTGGGAGGTTGGTGATCTCCCACATGCCCATTGCTTCCAATCCATCCAGCTCCTTTTGCATGGCCTCCTCCCAGTGCTTTCTGTCTTCTCCACTCATTGCTTCATGTATGGTCAGGTCCAGGTTCTTTCTCCATTCCAGTCACATTGCTACAAGTCCAAAGAATCCACTGTCAATCTGAGTTTTGGTGATTGATCCTTGTTCCATCACCTCTGCCATTCCTCTGCTTAACCTTTCTTCCAAATCTGTCTCCATATCCATGTATTCTTGTAGTGGCCCTTCATCTGTTTTGTCAAATATATTTTCTTTGTTATATCCTAGATCTTCAAGATTCTCTTCTGTCATCATCACTGGAGGTGCCTTTGTGTTGACCAGTTGCCACTCTGTTCTGTCTGACCAGCACTTTGATTCCATGAATTTTGCTGAATTGCTCCAGAACATGTTCAGATTATAGTCCAGACTGTAGAAGAGCCAGCCCTTTCTCTCTAGACTGTATCCCAAGAAAATGGATGCAATGGCTTGCTGGTCCAGTTTCTTGTTGTCCTGTTTGACTTTGGGTACATTTACCCATGCCAGACAACCAAACACTCATAGGAGTCTTAAAGCTCACTCTGGTGGCTTGCCAAACATTGCTTGATAAGGGAACTCATTATCAACACTCAGAGTGAGGTTTATTTTGAATGCTGCAGCTCTGATCATGTACAGCCAGAACTTCTTTGGTAGTCTCCTCTGCATTAGCAATGTCCTCATCTTCTCTCCAAGGGTCCTGTTCATTCTCTCTACCCATCCATTTTGTTTGCTGTTGTACCCTACAGTGGTTTGCCACTCTATGCCCTTTTCTAGCGACCATTCTAATGCATCATTGCTTCTCCATTCAGTTCCTTGATTGGATTGGATCACTTTTAGCTTCCGATCCATCTGTGTCTCCAGGAATGAAACAATCCTTTTGAGTTGCATAAATGCATGACTCTTTTGTGTCAATGGCTGTGCATACACATACTTGCTATGATTGTTGACCAGCACCAATGTGCATGTGTACTCTGTCACATGGGATGAGTCTATTATTAGATTGATGTGGATAAGATCCAGGGGCCCTATGGCTCTTTTGCTGCTACCTTGCCCCATCTGAGTGCTTGTGCTCTTGGATCATATGCACTGTTCACATGTCAGAGCAGTGTTTGGATCCAATTCCATGGTATGCTTATCTTTTAACTTGCTCATGATTGCCTTAGCTTTATCTCTTCCTGGGTGTCTGAGATGCTCATGCCATAGTTGTTGCTTTGAAACTTTCAGCTCATTCTTAATATGCTCGAACTCCTCATCAACACCTTCAAACAATGGTGTTGATGTGGCCATTGTGCTTTCTTGCCATGTGTCACCTCAGAACTCCAAAAGTCCTTGCTTGTGATTCTTTGCAATCTTAAGTGCCATGCCATTTGTTAGGAAGATTTGACTGCTGGTTGTGTCCAATATCACATGTGCTCCTTCATCCATTAATGAATTCGTTGACAGAAGGTTAACATTAAGGTGCTTCACATATAATACATTTTGTAGGGAGATTTCCCTGTAATCTGTTGATATGCTTGCATCTCCTATAGCTGCTGCTTCCAAGACCTTGCTTCCAGTGGTAATTATCCACTTTCAGCAAGTTCTTGGATGGATGAGCATGCTATAGTCATTCACCATATGATAACTCACCCCCGAGTCCAAGATCCAATGAGCTGTTTCTTTTGTGTTTGGGGGGTCTTGCCATTTCAATGGGAGGGTGAGGGAGCACCATGCTTCCTATTTAGGTTTAGCGAGGGGGGAGTCTTTGGGAATGGTGACTGAGGTGTTGCATTGACTAATACCATGTCCCAGTTGCTTGCAGATCCAGCATCAGATTTGGCATGGTCTGCCTGCATTCCTTGAGCTTGCATGGCTGTTGTTGGCTTCAGCTTTGGTCTCTCTGGCCCATTTGTTTTGATTGTCATTGCTGGTGGTTCTAGCACTGGCTTGTCAGGGGTTGATCTTTTGTGCAGGGATGCTCTTGACAGCAGTCTGCCAGATGCTTAGTGCAGTGGCAAGGGTGTTGAAATCAATTTGATGAATGGTGGCAACTGTCTCCTTATACACTGGATGCTGGATCATGCATTTCTGCAGGGCCGAGAACAATGTATCATCAGCGAATGGTTTGCCAAGGAGGCTACTTTCAGTCTGTATGGACCAGATCTCTTGAATTAGCTTTCTGGCATCTGAGTGAAACATCTTTATATCATTGAGCTGCAAGATGAGTGCAAGTCTGTGAGACATCTTGGTGGCTTCATTCATGAGACCATTTTTGATCTTTCTCCATACTTGATTGAAAGTAAGGTACTCCTTGATTACATCTAGAACAAGGTAATTTACATTGTATTCTCTGGTAGTGTCAATTGTTCCATGCAGGGCATTGATTAAAGCATCATCAAGGGAGCAGCTCCATTTCAGGTGCTTCTTGTTGTACATTCCCTCGAGATGTTTCATCACATGGGGCATGGATTGGAGGAAAGATTTCATGTGAGTGCTCCAGCTATAATAGCTGCATGATGTGAGCTTTGGCACAGGTTCGAGGAGCTTTGCTAGGGTGCAAAAGTTATATCACTTGTTGCCATCATCAAAGTTGGAGTTGGAATCAGTGTCTTCATCAGCTTCATTGTTGATGGCCTCTGGCTCATTCTCATTCATGGCATCATTGTTGACCCAAACCTGGGTGTTCTTGCCTTTTCTGCTTCCTTTGGTCCTCGTTTCAGTGTCTTCTACCATGGTTGTTGATGAGTTTCGGTTAGCTCAGTGATAGCTTCTTCAGACTCTTAATCAATTGAAGATAACAATTAATATACAGTGTTATTGGGGTCACAATCAGACTCCCTTTACCACAGCCATGTGTTCTATGTAATGCTTGGTTTTCATAGTGTGAACCTAAATGACAAACACATATATATACTCCATTTGCTGCTCTAGTCCTATCTGAGGCAGGACATGTCACTTCATTCATACTCCAGTGTTGCTATGATACTGGGTACCACTGAGCTGTTGCCATGACAACAATCATGTACCTCATTGTGCTTCTCACTTAAGTGGGCCTCCTGTACCTCAGTGTCTCGGCCGTGACATGTGCATCTTGCTTGAGATGCTGATGCATCTTCAACTGGTTGACAGGCTGGCAACTCTTTTTTGCCATTTCGGACAAGGTGACAACCGCCAACTCGAAACCACGCCAAGAAAAAGAGGAAGCGAGATATTGTTTTCATTTAATCATTCAAATGTTGGATTTTTGGCTAAAAAGAAGAAAGTGAGATGAGCGCAGAGTGTCAGTGTCGGTTGGCAGATGGCAGATGGCCGGAGTTGTGAGCGGACTTAGCCTGTGTGTCACAAAAAGAAAATGAAAAATTGGAAAAATGGAAAATTGGAAAAATGGAAAATTGGAAAAATGGAAAATTGGAAAAATGGAAAAATGGAAAAATGGAAAAATGGAAAAATGGAAAAATGGAAAAATGGAAAAATGGAATTTTTTGAAGAAATTTGATTACAAAAATCAAATAAAAAATGAAAAGAATCCATGTTGGTTCTTCATGAATTGGGCTGACAGTTGAAGTGTAGTCGCTGGGTGCGGTGTTGCAAAAGGCGCTAATTTAGAGAGGACGGAGGAAGGCCTGGACAATGGCTAAGCGAGAGATGCGAGTCGCTGCCCTTTGGGAATGCGACTTGCTTCCCCTTGCTATGAAATCTCTCTCTCCTCCAAACCACTTTCTTCGACATACCACACAGAGAGGTTTCTTCTTCGTGCGCCTTGTCGTACTCTCGTTCAAACTCCTCCCTTTTCCGCTGCAAAGTCGATGAAAGCTGGAATGTGTCAAGGTCAAGAATGCCTGCATGTTGTCATCGTGTTGAGACCATGTCTGATCTGAGTCCATGCCGATTTATGTCGCTCTTTTGTTTCTCTGCCAGCAAGCGTTGGGGCGCAATGACGATGCTTTCAGGCACAGAAGCGAGAGGTATGGACGAAAGAGGACAGCTCCGTAGAGCGGCTAAGCAGCTTGTTCAGATTCCATCCAAATATTTGCGCTTCCAATGAGGCAGAGGCAGAAGTGTGCAAGCAGACAATCGAGATCTGCTGCTTTCGTACAGGAGCTGTAAGAGTGAGATGTCATCTCACGTTCCCATGGATCCAGAGGCAAAAAGGGCGGTAAGCGACTAAAGTTAGGGTTCAGCCATTCAATGTCTGGCTGCCGGATACACGAACCACACGCGGCAACAGAGACCGAAGCATGAGAAATGTGAGATTGCCTAACTCGTGGCAGAGTCGCTTGCGGGATAATACCAGGCGGCTTTTGGGATCCATGGAGGAGGCAGTGCCAGAGGAATGGATGAAGTTGAACGGGTGTTGAAAAAAGCTCGGAGTTTAGAGCGGGGTGTCGAATGGAAGAAGGCTGAAAGCGACGCTGAAGAAGGTCTTGGTCTCGGGCGCTGATCCCTTTTGTCGTTTGTGACAGCTTTCAATTTTCCAAATTACGCGCACCCATTTCCGAATTTTAGGCGCCTTTTCTGTGGCCCCTTTTGTACGTAAACAGCGTGGTTGGCACACAGCGAAAAGGCGCTCGGTCAAATCCCTGCCTGAATTCGGGCCGAAGCAATGAGCCTGACATCGATTCTGGAAGCAAAAGCTCTTGGCTTGCATTAGCGCTCATGTGTCACGTCGGCTTCACTTTCGAGGGTGCTGGATCCTAGCGAAGAGCCGAATCTAGTTCGAGAGTGAGTTCCAAGAGCACGATCGGATGCGATTCCATCCTAGCTCACACTGGTAAGTCGGATGGACTTGGATCACAAGCGGCGTCCCTCCGACGGAAACATTCGAATCAGGATAGCGAATTTCATGGGCACTTAGCACGTCCAACCCTTATTGGCACAGCAAGCAAGATGCACGCTTCCTGAGGCGACTCTATCCGATCCCTGTTAGCGTGCACTGCCTCCTTGCCAAAGCCTTTAAGAAGCGAAGGTGTTTCGTCTGAATGATTGGCAAGATGAGAAGGTTGCATGGGAAGCCAAAGTCAGATAGAGTATTGACCCATGTCGATCTCAAACAGAGTCCGATCTGACAGCAGCAGCTGTTTGGTGCCTGAGTTCTGATCGGCATGCGAGAATTCCGCTTTGGACAACCAATCACCGCTTCCAATCTGCCTGACAGCATCTGTAGCGATGAGAAGAGGGCGAGAAGACAGTTGCACGGGCAAAGAAAGTCTCATCGAATGGGATCCCCCTTGCTGAGCTCTGCTTGCCCGTGTCTCTGTGTCGCCATGAAAAGTGGCGGAAAATGCTGGCCGGGCAATGAGAAAGCGGCGCGGAGGGTAGGCTTTGTGCATACATCACACTGCAGCATTACTGAAGGGGCAACGCATCCACACGGTATTTCCTCCTCAAGTAAGCTCAGTCCTGCGTCTTCTTATGGTCTGGTGTCTATGCTAGAATGCAATCTCAGGCACAGCGTCAATCAAGGAGATGCGATGCGCCACATCTTGTGGACGAACAGGTGTTGGTACAGGAGAAGCACCTGCGCCACCACTCCATGCTGCGCCTGTTTAGATTAAGTAAGACCTCTTCAATACATCGTGAGGACCATGAAGCTGGATAAAGTTTCGATGGAATCGGGTTCATTGAGTGCGATTGCTCTGTGTATGGCCGTGTCAGTCTCAGCCAAAGGATGAGGGTGTGGACACAATGGACTGTTTCTACAGCGTGATGTCCGAGCTGAACAATTAAATATTGTATTTCTCCTTTTTTTGTTTTTTTTCTTTTTCTTTTTCTTTTTCTTTTTCTTTTTCTTTTTTGACAGCTTCTTCCCCACGCTGTCCTGGAAAAATTAAAGATGTAATCTAAGTGGGGCGAGACATTGTAGCGGCTAAGTGAAGCAGAGATTTTGTTTCATGCCCACACAAAGTTTGGCGTGAGAAAAATGTAATGCACGAAAATGCAGAAGGAAAAGAAAAAAAGAAAGAAAAAAAAGAAAGGAAAAAAGTTGAGAAGCGTCCGCCGCCGCCGCTGCCCGTTTCCATGCGCACGCCCCCACGAAGACACAGGCGGCCAAGATAGCTTCTGACAAGAGAGGGCAAGACATCAGACCTGAGCCTTGTTGCCCCCTGCTCTGTAAGGGGGACTGCTCCGATCGCTGCTCAAAATGACATGCTACCACCCGCCACAGCCCCATCTTGACAGCGCAAAGTGAGATCCGCCAGGCAAACAACAATCTCGAGTGCACCAAATGTTGCAGCGCATGATGCCGTGATCTTCCTCCAATGATGGTTTCTTTGACAGTCATTCGAGTGATCATTCTCGTCGTTGCAGTGAATGGTGTTGATGGCTTGTGAAAACTGACTTCTTTCACGCTTTTGCGTCTCGAATTGGATCGAGTTGCCATACGAGACACATGACCTAGTTGAAAAGCCATGGCATATTAGGAGCCTTCGATCAGATTCAGCGCCGTTTGGTTGCTCCAACCCAATTCTGAGAATGCGGGGAAAGGGATTTGGGAGGGTCAGGTGACCTCCTAGAACACAGAAGACTTCGAGAGAAGGCAATATCAAAGCCACTCACTTGCCGAGGCGAGGTCGATGCCGAATGTTTCCACTCGTTGACAGTGTTCCTACTGGAATTCACCGCTTCCGAGAACACGGCGGGAAACGCTTGCTCTTGCTCGCTCCTTGCACACCCTTCAACCGAAAGGCAATTGACGATAGCTACTCTCCTCAACCTCTGCTTCGCTTGACTCGCAGCGCTTGCTATCCTTGTAACAGATGTGCCTTCTGACATGGCCGTGGCCGGTCTCCCCAGTGTGAGACGAGCCATCGCAGCAAATGGAGGGGTAGAATCAGTGGCAGCTCGATGGGTCTGTCATTGTCTGCGTCGGTGGAGATAAAACTCTGCCAGGGCGGATTTGTATGTGTGCCTTCCCTGTGCCTGAGATTCAGTCAAACAGATCTCTTGGATACCAAGCCTTAAAGCGTGTTTGCAGAAGCGAGGTCTGAATCTTTCCCACGATCTTGCCTCGTTAAGCGGACGCGGCTGGAGCTAACCGACATGGTTCTTGGCTATGCGCTTGTTCGTTCAACCTGACATAATCTTAGCCGCCTCTCAACTACAGTGCCTCCTCTCTGTCAGGCGGCAAAAGTGCAGATACCGCGGCTGCCGACACCGAGACCAAGGCCAACACTTTGGACAGGATCTGATACAGATATGCGTTTGGATCGTGCATTGCCGTGGGATCCTCACCTTCTCGTGTTCCTGTCGCTTAATGCTAGCCTGGTTGGAGAAGTGACCGGACGCGAAAATGACTTTTGTACGAGCCTGTCTTGTCGCAATCCGTCACGGGAGTTGAAGGGAAGCATACCCTTCTTGACCAAACCGAGGAGCCGACAAGGGGTTTTATGTCAGCTTCGGTCAAGTCGAGTCTTTGCGATGCCTAAAGCTTACACCGAGATAATTCGATCACCTCATGGATGTCGACGTGACCGGTTGATGGCCCAAGAGTATCCTACCCTGAGCCCTTTGCTATTTTTGGCGAGTGAGAGATGATAGATAGTCGCCGAGCAAAGAACCGCGGCTAGTGTAGGTGAGGTTTTTCCCCATATCGAAGCGCTTACTTTACCTCGCTATCTTGTTGATGAGCGGTGGACGTGGCTTGCATCGGCGGGCCCAATTTATGTACTCGTCGATTCGAAGTCTATCTTTGTTCATCGGCCCATTCGATGGCGTTCACCAAGATGGATGTTGCAGTTCTCATACTGTGGCATCTGATGTCTTCTATCGATCGTTGGCGTTGGTGCTGATTCACCATCAAACCCGTCTTGGGGACAAAGTTGGGGTCGAGACCTGTATGAAACACCTCGGGCGATCTCACAGCCGTGTCACAAACAAGCCAAAGGGCATAGGATCAGGTATGACTTGCATTGCGCAATTAGAGTGCGCTTTCTGTGTGTGTGCAAGGTCAAGTGAAGAGACTCTTGCACTGGCGCGAGTGCAAAGAGTCATGTCATGTGTAGCATAGGGGCAATCCTCTGATCGGGGAGAGCAATGGAGTGGTGTTTCTGCTTTTAGGAGTACAGCGTCGTCAAGGGTACAATCTTTTATTTAGTGCCAAGCAGCTGCAAGGATGCGATTACTGACCCCAGTACTGACGAGCGTAAGGGTAGTTGGAGTAGGCGTTGCTGCTGGCCTGGTGGCCGTAAGCACCGTACTGCTGATAGTACTGCTGCTGCTGCTGCTGTTGCTGCTGAGCCTGTTGCTGCTGCTGCTGCTGCTGCTGAGCCTGCTGTTGCGGCACACCCTGAGACTGACCCTGACCACGGCCCACCTGGCTAGAGGCGGCGCCCGACTGGGCCGATCCCTTGGAGGCGTTGGCGTCAAACTGACGATAGCTGTCGAGAGCGCTTCCGGACGAAGCACCGGACTTTTGCTGCGAACCCATGTGAGGGGTTCCAGTGTTACCGGAAGAAGCGTTGCCAGAGGCAGCGTTCTGCGGAGGAGCACCACCAGCACCGCTTCCAAGGAAGCCACCGAGACCGGGGATGCTTCCACCACCCCCGTAGATCTTGGAGTAATCCGACATGCCACCGAGACCAGGCACGCCACCACGGCCGAAGCCCTGGTCATACGAAGAGAGACCAGCGGAGCCGGGTGCCTGACCGTAGTGGTTCTGGGCACCGTAGGCGTTGGCGTCACTCTGAGGAGCCTGGTTGTAGGGCGAAGCGATGTTGGCAGGGGTACCGGGCTTGGAGTGGGGCTGGGGCTGACCAGAGGGCTGACCATAGACGGGATATTGACCGTAGCCGGCGGTGGGCTGTGCGTAGTGCTGGAACTGGTGAGGCATGTAGTAGTTGGGGTAGTAGTAGGGCATGATGCCAGGGAACTGCTGCTGAGGAGCCTGCTGCTGGTGAAGACCCGGACCAGCCTGGTGAGCATGGTGCTGGTGAGGCTGGTGGCTCTGGTGGTCACCGCCCTGCTGCGGAAGCGACTGCTGCTGTGACTGCTGGCCCTGCTGAGAGGCCTGAGGCTGAGCCTTGTCGTCGGATCGCTGGCCGAAAGCGTTGGATCCCTGGTCGTAAGAGCCGTAGAACTGAGCGAGACGCTGAGTGTCGAGACCACCGTACATGGACGTGTAGTCCTGGAGACCCTGCTGAGGCTGGCCCTGCGATTGAGGCTGCTGGGCAGCTGCCTGGTTCTGGCCAAGCGAGTTGTATCCATTGTAGCCGTGGATCTGGTCCTGCTGCTGGGGAGCGGCCTGCTGTTGGGCCTGTCCGGTGAAACCGTACGAGTTGTCGAAAGAGTCCGACTTGAAGCCGTTGTACTGGGAAGTAGCGGACTGTTGAGCAAAAGAGTCGGTCTGAGGCTGGGCAACCTGAGCATCCTGTCGGTGAGCCGAGGGAGAAGCGGCGGCGGCGGCGGCGGCGGCGGCGACAGGAGCAGCCTCAGCCTCTGTCTGTGTAGGTGCAGCGTCGTTGGTAGACTCGGGAGTGTCATCGGCATCGTTGCCAAGGAAGTTGAGCGAGCCGAACTGGACGCCAAGCTTGTCAAGCTGGGAGGAGCCACCAGCCATGACGACGGGGGCATCCTGTCGTGCGCGCTGCAAAGATCGCTGAGCGCCAGCACGAGGATCTGCGGCCTTGGAGAGACCAGGTGGGGCAACAGCCGATGCGTTGGCATCAGCGGCGGGAGCAGCAGTGGTGGCATCGGCGGCGGCGGCGGCGGGGGTAGAGTCAACCGCTGCAGGCTCAGTGGCAGCAGCGGCTTCAGGCTCCTGAGTGATGGTAGCTTCTGTGCTGGTAACAGGAGCAGCGGCAGCCTCGACGACGGGCTCGGCAGCAGCAGCGGTGACGGGCTGCTCAACGGAAGATTCAGGCTTGGCCTCGGTGGCAGACTCGGTAGCAGCGGCGGGAGTAATTTCAGATGCTGGGGCGACGGGGGCGGACTCGGAGGGAGCAGCAGTAGCAGCAGCAGTAGCAGCAGGAGCAGCAGCAGGCTTGGGAGCCTCGGACTTGCGAGCAATTTGAGCCCAGCTCATACCAGCAGCCTTTGGTGAAGGCTTGGAAGGGGTAGGAACCTTGACGGCAGGGGTTGAGTCTTCAGCAGAGGAAGTGAGAGCGGCGGTGGTGGTGGCCGACTCGGTAGCTTGAGGAGCAGCTGGAGCGGGGGCGGCAGCAGGTGCCTCTGCAGCCTCGGTGGAAGTTTGCGAAGGAGCAGCTGGCGAGTCAGTGAGCTCCTTGGGAAGCGCAGGTGCTGGAGCAGGTGTAGCAGCAGCAGCAGCAGCAGCAGGAGGAGCGGGTTGGGACTTGTTGGCAGATCGACCGAGGGCAGCGGCCCAGCTGGTTCCAGAGGTAGGTGTAGTGATAGGAGCGAAAGCCTGAGCTGTAGTCGTCGACTCGACAGGCTCGGGTGTCTTGACTTGGTGCCCGTTGGTCTGGGGAGCAATGCCACCACCACGACCACCAAGGCCACGGAAGCCACCTCGACCGCCACGAGCACCTCGAACAGAAGCACCGCCACGACCACGAGCAGCAGGAACACCAACGTGGTTGCCACGAGCAGCGTGAGGTGCAGTAGATGGAGCGGTTGACGAAGGGTAAGGAGCTAGGGCGGCGTGATGAGCGCTGGACTCCTTCTTGGGCTGCTTCTTTGGCTTGACGGAGGAGAATTGCTCGACCTGACCTTCTGTGATACGAACGACGGTGTTCTCGACATCGCCGAGCGACTCTTGGAGAGCAAAGAGAAGATCTTCGTCGGTCCAAGTTGGGAAGAGCTCACGGATCATTTCGAGCTGAACCGAGTATTTGGAACGAAGGGTACGGACCTCTTCGGTATCGTCTTGCACATTCTGTGAGCGATCCTTGGGGCGAGGGAAGGACCCTCTGCGCGCAGTGGTAGCCGACATTGTTTTGTGTATATGTATGTGTGTGTATTGCGCAGTGTAGGGATGAGAGGTTAGAGGAAGTGTGTCTCGACGAGATGAGCGAGCTGAACTGCAGGACGACTTTTTACGGCGAAGAGGAGAAGAGCAACGAAACGATCAAAGACAAAGGACCGTATGCAATTGTCGAGAACCGCGGCGGAGAGAGTCGAGAGGGAAGAGAAAAAGGTAGCAAGACGGTGAGGAGTGGATGAAAGGAAGAAAGAAAGTGGCAGCGATGAAGTCGAAGCAACACTGCGCAAGCTCTGTTGGTGCACTTTGACAGCGTCAACGACAGTGTGGCTGGGCGGCTGGCTAAATTAGTGTCCAAGATACACCAGCAGCACAAAACACACGGACACACACACTCTCTCAGACACTCTCAGACACTCTCACTCACTCTCACACACGAGGCAGTCACGAGTGGAGACTCTCTGTGCTTTTGCTGTTGGCCTGGAACTGAATTATTTTGCTTTTCTTCTTCACTAATGTGACTGTCACTCGATCAGAGAGCATTGCCTCCTGCGCCTCCACGAGAAGACACTCCTTCGAGCAAGCAAGTTAAGACTTCTACCGGAGCCCTTTTTCGCTTTTCCTCTTGAGCAGCCTGTGATATTGCAAAAAGTGAAGAAAGTGTGATCGAAAGTTAAATAGGCTTGTATCCATAATACAAAAAGCTGAAAAGCAAGTGATCCTTTGATTTCGGTTCAGTTGAAATCGAACTCCCGAGATATATACAAAACCGAGAGTCGTATTTCAAAGGAATTGAATACAAAACCTTTTCAAAGGAATTGAATACGAAGCTGGTGAGAAGAAAGGGCCATCATGTAGGAAGAGACTTGGTCGGCTGACCATCACAAAGCGACGAAAAAAGCCTCGACCCTGAAGGGCCTGTCTGTCAGCTCTAAGCTAGGAAGCGACATATGGCATCTCAAACTGTCAATTCCCCCACATCAGTGATCAAAGGCAATAGGTATCAAAGGCAATAGGTGGTCTGAGAGGGCTGAACATTGATACCGTTCTCCAACGCCAAGGGTCATAGAAGAGACAAGCAGCTCTATCGAGGTAGGAATCGGGCGATGAATCGGGAGAGGAATCGGGCGAGGAGAAGGAGTGGAAATACTAAGCATATGTCATAGCTCGCTCTATACATTTTATCGCACGACACATAAGGGGTCGCCTGCTGGTGGAAATCACTGTCCTTCCTATCCGATAACTCTGCCGACGCTGGCATGCAGCTCCGCAGCGCAAAGGAGCTCCATCTTCTGATGGGTTTGGCCTATGTAAAGCAAGTTATAGTAGGAATGAGCTGCTGGCAGGCACATGATGCGTTGACGCGAATGTGAATAAAGGATGTTCTTGTTGATGCTCACTTGCCAAGCTCAGGAAGAGAAGTTGCTCTGTCTGGAGCGACCGTTGCCATCGGCATTCCGAGGACGTGCACGCGGATACCGTAAAAGTATTTGGTTCGCGAGCCAAAAGAAAAGAAAAAGAAAAAAAAAAAAAAAAAAAAAAAAAAAAAAAAAAAAAAAAAGATGCTGAAAATCCGCCTTGAAAGTGGGTCTGCCGCTGCATCACCTCGTTTCGGTGGCCGGCTTCATTTCAGTCAATCACAAGGTTCAAGCCGCTCAGCGTTGTAGCATATCGACTCGTTCAATATGGTTCAAAGCCAGCTAGGCCTCGAACGGCTCATACCGCATCCTATCACGGCAACGGATCCGAGAACAATGCCTTGAGCAGCTGTGTGAAGCTCGCTGGCAGACAAAAGAGGCGCCCGTTGCAGCCACACGCGTTATCGCATAGTCTCGGAGCTTTTGAACCTGACCATATGCCTTCAACGAGTGAAGCTTGAGTCAACTTGCTGTGATGAAGCGGTTGTGAGCCTATTCACAAAGCTTGTCAACATGCAGACGTTGGGCAACAGAATGAAGAAGCCGCCGCTTTTGTCTTTGCCTTTCAATGGCGGTGGGAGAAAGTCGGCTTCGATTGCGCAGAACAGACAACGAATGCTTTCTTTTGATGCTGGAGAGAAACAGCTCAAACCTCGGAAATGTATAGTGTAGCAGCGAGCGCAAAGCTCATCAACAAGACAAAAATAGAAAGAAAAAAGAAAAAAGAAAAAAGAAAAAAGAAAAAAGAAAAAAGAAAAAAGAAAAAAGAAAGAAAAAAAAAGGGTTTCTTTAGTTGAAGCGTTTTTGTAGATGATGATAGTGCTAAGTACAAATGCGAGTCAAGTATCTTCAAGTTTTCGCCACTTGTGCACACTCGGAGCACACACATGCATGCACTGCTGAGCCCCTTTTGCACAAGCCTTTTACTTGGCTGTAAACACTTTCTCTGCAGTCTCTATGCTTTGTGCATCTTTTATCTACTTCAACTCCCCCCCTCAACAGCATATGTACCCTGTTCATTATGCTGTTGTTTCAAGGTGCAACCTCTGTTCTTCAATACTGTCGCATAGCTTGGGGACCCCATTCTGTATGCTGCTGCTGGTATTTGCAGGTGTAGCCCAGATCTTGCTTGCTGCATTGCTTGTCTCCCAATGGGCTTTGTGAGTACATCTGCCAAGTTTCTTGTGGTGTCCACATACTTGATCTGCACCCTTCCCTCTTGGACATTGTTATGGATGAAGTGATACTTGGTGTCAATGTGCTTAAGCTTCCAGTGCTGTGCTGGGTCCTTACTAACCTGTATGCAACCAGTGTTGTCCAAGTAGACTGTCGGGGTGCCTGTGGCTATACCAATTGAGCATAGCAGCTGCTTGAGGAAGAGCACCTCATGTGTTGCTTCCATGGCTGCAATGAACTCCACCTCGATGGCAGACAATGATATGCATTTTTGTGTCACTGACTTCCAGGCTACTGGGTTCCTGTACACTAATGCCACTGATCCCAATGTACTCCTTCTCTGTATGGTGGCGTCACTCACCCAGTTTGCATCACTGTGCGCGACCAGTGGCTCTTGCAACTCATTTGCCCTATAAACCAATCCAACCTCCTTTGTGCTTTTGAGGTAGCGTAAGACCCATTGTGCTGCCTGATAATGCTCCTGTGATGGTTCGCACATGTGTCTAGCGAGAATGCCCATGGTGAGGCTAAGGTTGGGCTGGGTGCTGTTGGCAACCCAGAGTAGCTTGCCAATGATCACTGGATACTCCTTCTGTTGCTTTGCACTTGTGACAAGGGTGTCATGGGCCTGAATGCTCAAGAAGCAGGAGGGTCACGGGTTCATATGGAAGGAGCACAGGTATCGAAGATCTAGTCAAGATCAGTAGAGAGCATGGTCGTAGTGCAGTCTCCATGGAGACCATGGACTCCTACAGACTCACATGCAAAGGAGGGCCAAGCACAGCCACGAGGAGGACCAAGCTCAAGGAGCAGGCACAGCCACGAAGAGGACCAAGCTCAAGGAGCATGCAGATGGTTACCACTCAGGGGCTCGAGAGACAAGAGCCAAAGGAACTGTCACTGATCAAAGGAGAAGGAGCAGTGTTGAAGGAGTCGACACCAGGTCATGAGGAGGAGGAGCAGTGTTGAAGGAGTCGACACAGCTCAAGAGGCACAGGGGTGCCAAGCAGGAGAGGCCCCTGAGCAGTACTCAATGAAGAAGGTACTCTCTGGAGAGAGAGCAGGAGCAGCATTGCTGGCAATGCTGAGGAGAGGTATATAACCATGCTTTCTCATCATCATAGGTCGAGTGGATCCTCATCCACTCTACTCACCATATAACTAGTTATCACTTCAGCATAAGTATACATTAGTTTCAGTCAGCATAGCAGCAATCTATCAAGGTTGCTCCTCATTGTAGTGTGTGTGTTGTATCACCACTACCTGACGTCCGAAGGCACCCATAGCAGGTTAGCGGTCCGGATATAGATAGAACCGAAGGCAGTAGTCCACTGCAGTCTGGGGATCACTTCAAGCATCAGTCAACACACTGGACACTCATGTTGACGCCACCAACCTTATCACCAACACCATCAACCTCATTCTCATCAACACTCACCAACCTTATCACCAATGTCATCAACCTCATCATCATCAACACTCACACCAGACCTTGGTGTCATCATAGCATTGATATTGATTGTGCCGAACTACCCCTGAACAGAGTGTCCACAGAGGTCAGCCGAAACCTACGATAGTATATACAACGAACGCCACCTGCTGTCACTGCGCAACTTGATAGTCACCGATACTGAGACAATAGCTGTCACACAGTTTGATAGTCACCGAGTATCTTGACAGACCGACCTGGGTTTCAGGCGCGAGACCCCTGACAAAGGGTTCCCTCTGGTATGCTCTGCATTGGGACCATGGTCGGCTTTGTACGTTTGTCCAGGTGCTTTGCCAGCACTTGGTCAATGTACCCTGACTGACCAATTGTCATGGTGTGCATTGCATGGTCTCAACTGATTTTGATGTCAAGGAAGTGAGAGACCTCACCACTATCTTCCATCTTCCATCTCTGGCCAATCTGCTTCTTAACCTTTAGGACTGTTTCCAGCCATGGTGCTATGACCAATGTATCATCAATGTAGATGACCACAATGGCCATATCTTCACCCTGTCCCTTGGTGTAGATGCAGGGAGTGCAATCTACCTGGAAGAATCCCATGCATCACAAAGACCTATCAAACTCCTGGTTCCATTCTTGCCTGGACTGCTTTAGGCCATATAAACCCTTGACTACCTTGTACACCTGGCTGGGAGGTACTCCTGATCCTTCCAGTGGCTTCATGTAGATTGCTTCCTTTAATGTGGAGTTCAAGTAAGCCATAGTGATGTCCAGAGCATGCACCTCCCAGTTGTTCTGTACTGCTAGTGCTAAGATGGCTCTGATTGCTCCAAGGGGAGCTACTGGAGAGAAGGTTTCTTGGTAGTTGATCCCCTCTCTCTGTGTGAAGCCCCTTGCAACCAGTCACACCTTGTGCTTGATGGGCACACCATCAGCATCAAGCTTCAGCCGAAGCACAACCTTAGAGTCCACAAGTGGTAGTCCTGGCGGTTGGTGCACCACCTCCCAAGTTCCCATTGCCTCAAGTCCTTCCAGCTCCTTTTGTATTGCCTCCTTCCAGAGCTGGGCATCCTCACTGTTCATTGCCTCTCCAAGAGTTGGGTCCAGGTTCAGTACTGCTGTGTTGGCAGTGCCTACTGTGCTGTCTATAGCTGGTAGGAGATCCTCCACTGCAGCCTCTGATCTGGTTTCCTCCTCCACTGTGGTTGGCATGACACCCTCCTCCTCGACTTCTGCAGTCGCCATGGGCTTGAATGCCTCCTGTTGGCAATTGCTCCATCCTTTGTCCTCATGGAACATTGCTGAGTTGCTCCATTGGATTGATGTGGGCTGGTCCAGGTTGCAAAACTTCCATGCTTTGTGCTCATCATTGTACCCAATCATGATGGCTGGCTTTGCTCTAGCCCCATACTTGCCTTGCTGGTCCTTCTGTTGAACATGGACCCATGCTAAGCATCCAAAGACTCACAGCTGTTGGGCCAGCTTGTGCACAGTGGTTCCATAAAAGGCCTTGTGAGGAATGGTCTTGGTGGCTGATGGGGTGAGGTTCATCACATGTGCCACTGCTGTGATTGCATATGGCCATAACTCTCTGGGGCAAGCTCGACCAATGAGCATCAAGTGCATCTTTTCTTGGACTGATCTGATTGCTCTCTCTGCCCATCCATTTTGGATACTGATCCCTGGGACACTCTTTTGCCACTTGAAACCCTCCTGAGTTTGCCAGTCTTCAGCTCCCAAGCTGCACCACTCTCCTCCATTGTCACTGTGGAGCATTTTGAGTTTCCTGTCCATTGTTCATTCCAACCTGGTGATCCACCTTCTCAGTGCCATGAGTGCAGTGCCCTTAGTGCAGAGTGGTTCCACATAGTTCAGGGAGGAGAAGTCATCCACAGCAACTAGTGCATAGTGGTAGTTGGCATGGCCCTTGAAATCTGTCATCAAATCTATGTGTACTAGCTCTAGTGGTGCCCCTGCTCTTTTCAACTCTGATTGGCTCATCTGTGCTTGGGTCTGTTTCCCTTGACTGCATGCATTGCAATGCTTCAACTCATGCTCCATCCTCTCATCAGTACCAAGGTAGTGTGCCTGGATCTGCCTTGTCTTATCTCGTCCCAGGTGTCCAAACCTCTCGTGCCAGAGGTAGCTGTCCTGATCTCCTGTGTTCCTATTGTCCTCTGGGACATCATTTTGTCTTCCTGTGTTCTTATCATCCTCTGGGATGTCATTGTGAGTCTCCTCCAGCTCCAAGGCCAGTGCTTGTCCTCACACTTCAAAGCGGCCTTGTCTCCTGTTCCTCCTGAATTGCACTTGGGTACCATCGTTCTGCTTTATGGTAGTCCCAAACTCATCAAAGGTTACTCATGCACCATTCTTGATCAAGCCTTGTATGGACAATAAATTAGCATTGAGTTTCGGCACATAGAGCACATCCAATAGCTGGATGGTAGCCTCACTGACCCAAAGGGAGGCATCTCCTATGGCCTTCACCTGAAGCCTTTCATCCCCTGCTGTACTGATCTGGCCGACCTTGCTTGTTGAGGTGAGCAGCATTCTCTCATCATTTACCATATGATGAGTTGCACCTGAATTGACAATCCAGGTGTTGCATGCTGATTGCTTGCCCCCATCAATTGCTAGGAAGGTGCACCTGAGTCCCTAGTGGCTTGCTTCTTGTGTCGTATTGTTGTTCATGCAATTGTGGGTGATATGGTTCAGTCCTCCACACACATAGCATTTCGGAGGGGCTGAGGGGTTGCAGGGATTGCATCTGCCCCTTGGTCCCTGCTCTGCCTGGTTGTTGTCCCCCTGCTCCGCACTCGCGGCAACCCTGGCTGCCCCTCTAATGTGTCAGCGGTCGTGTGCCTAACACCCGACTCCCTGCGGAATGGGCCGTCTCAGTGGAACTCAGTGAGTTCCGATAGGGAGGGTAGACTGAGTGTACTTCTCGGAGAACCAATGAGGAGGCTCTCCTGAACAGTTACCCATGATACCCAATGAGTGAGGCCTGGGGAACAGATGTCAACTAACTGCTGTTGGCACTCCATACAGAGGTAATGTGGCAAGGTCAGCTCCTAGCAATGGTGTAGCACAACATCAGCACAAGTGTCGAGACGTCGATGTAGCACTGTTAGTGACAGAGCTAGTGCTCAGTCATTGCTGCTGGCAGCGTTTAGGTTATAGGGACTGCTAGAGGTTCCAGGCCTGCAGTGGAGGTTCCACCTGTAGTTGAGGTGCTACAGTGCCAATGTAGGTGTCAATGACATTGTTTACAATACTCTTCATTTGATGATGAAGGCTCAGACTTGCAATGATCACAATAGATGATATTGCGATGTGCGACATAGAAAGAATGTTACTGTTCATGTAGTAGAATGTACAGCTATGATAACTGTGAAAGTTTTGTAGAGTGGATGAGTCTCTGCTCATCCAATAGCATGGGGAGATAGTATATATACAATGCTGTATCAAGGACATGATCTAGCGCCACCACACGACCTGCATGTGGCACTGCTCAGGGCTTGCTTGGTAAGGCTGACTTCAGCACCTTCCTGAGCTGCCAAACCAACTACACTTCCAGAGTGATTGTTCCCTAGCAATTCATCACATGTCTGATCATTGTCAATCGATGATGATGACTTCCCATGTGTACCACAGAGTGGCATTGCTCGACAACCCTCCCATCTGTTCCTGCCACCAGTAGTCCCCAATATCCAGCAAGTTACGGTCTCCTACTGGATCTCCTTGGGAACTGCTGAGTCAGGTTCTTACGCAGCCCTTCAACCGATTTAACCTCTCTGTCTGCGCAGATGGCGCAGACTCCATTTCGGCCGACCGGCTCCCGTGACATAATGCAGCCAGAGATCTCACCGTCCTGCTGCTTCTTTGCTAATGCATGGTAGGCTTTGTCATACTCACAATCTGGCTTAGCTGTCTTGAGTGCATCAACAGTGTTGGCATAGAACCAATCTTGGGCTGTGCAGCGATAGAGAGTTGACTTCTTGAGGTCCTCATTGAAGCACTTTCTGAGACATGCTGCATTGTTCCAGATTGAATCAAGTTCCTTGCCTAGCCTGACAATGTCTTGATTGTGCAAGTGCACTGTGTGAATACAATCCTGCAGTCCTGCTCGCTTTACAGCATTGTTCAGTGTCAGTGCTTTCTTGAGCTTGGCATACAGTGTGCTGCCAAGTTGGACCTCCTCATCTGCACCCCTAATGGTGTAGGTGTTGATGCAACTGTCTGGGCTGTTGTCACAACAAGCATGGATGAGGCCCACGAGAGCTTTGTCCAGATCTTCATCGTACTCCTTGCTTCCAGGTGCAATTATGCCATATAGTATCTCCTTTGCATTGTGTACCCTCTGAAGGCAGTCGATGAACATTGGTTCCCAAGTATGCCAGTTGCTATTGCTAAGCTTCTTGATGTGTGTGATGGAACTTGATACATCCTTGGGGATCTTCTCCATCTCTCCACATGGGGTCTGGCCACTGATGCTAACAAGGCCCATAGCCTGTACAATCACCTCCTCAGCCGTCAGTGCTGGGTTTGCTAGCTGGAGGATCCTGACTACCTGCGTGAGCCATCCTTCCTCTTGACTGTTACCTGTGGCCACAGCTGCTTGTTCATCATCTCTTCCTGTCTGTCCAGCTCTTGTCAATGGTGGCATTGCACTGAGCATCAGACTCTTAATCAGTTGAAGCATTTTTGTTGATGATGATAGTTCTAAGTACAAATGCGAGTCAAGTATCTTCAAGTTTTCGCCACTCATGCACACTCGGAGCGCACACATGCATGTACTGCTGAGCCCCTTTTGCGCAAGCCTTTTACTTGGCCGTAAACACTTTCTCCGCAGTCTCTACGCTTTGTGCATCTTTTATCTACTTCAACTTCTTTCTCTCCCGATGAGCTTTCCGAATCGAAATTGGTTTTCTTCATTGTTGGCAGCAGACGGCTTTCCGTTGAGTTTTAATGGAAATTTGAAATTACGCCTGCTCACACACACAGCCCTCGAGGTCGGGTCAATTCTCGGCCAGCAGCTGCGCTCTCTCTACACTATTGGCCGCTGCAGACTTGAACGCGCGCGCTCTCTCTCTCTCTCTCTCTCTCTCTCTCTTTTGCACTCTCAATTTTTTGGTCTGGCTCTCAGTCTGGCTCTCGGCTCCACCAAAACGGCATTGTTCAGGACGGCGCAACCGCGGAATAGCTAACTACAGCAGCGCTTGGCTCAGCTTGCCCTCCTCTTCTACCAACACACTGCCACTATACACCAACCACACGATCTCGGCTTGGCCTACTTCCGCTACTGCAACACGCTTGTAGTCCTTCCATCCTTCTACCCTCTGGCCGGCCCAGTCTCTTCTCGACGTCACTCCATCATCCCTACCACCTTCTCCCCACTCATCTCGATCAGTTCACGCGGCTGCTCTATCTACAAGCAATCCTTCTTCCGCTTCTTGTCCTCGTGCACCTCCTTCAGCAGCAGCAAGCCCTGTTTTCTTGCCATTCGCAGTCATAGCACCTCGACCAGCTCGGGTCTATACAGACGAGTAGCATCTCCAGCCTTGTATTGGCACACTTCCTCCACGGTGAATCTTGAGCGCCCACAGCAATACCTTGGAGCTGCGCTACGCCCATATAGGTGTCAGCTTTCCATCCGCACAAACGATCGTCTCTTGCCAATACGCACATGGGCAAGAGCCGCTTCTCCGAGATCGTCTCCAACGTGATCCGTGTACACCAAGCTCCTCGTCTCCAACGACGCCGCTCTTGCCGTGCATCTACCACCTTCACATCGCCTCATCCTCTCCAACACGGCGTCCGCTCGGACGTCCACACCATGGCTGCTAGCGCTGCAGTATCCCCGGTCGACGATCCGATAAGAAGCAGCACTCCTTTCGCCGACCCATTCTGCGACCCATTCTGGCAACCTGATTCACTGTCTCGGCGCAACTCTGCTCTTGTCAACTCAGCTCTGGCATCGCCGGCAATTGGACAAGCTCTAGCTCAGGCGCTTGCTTCGCCTGTCTGTGACAACGCACATCGATTTACAAGGGGTGACCCATTCCTCTTACGCTCTGATGTCGATCCGCATTCGCATCCAACATTGATTCCAGCCTCCTCGACACTCTCGCACCTGCAAGTCTTGCATTCGAGTCCCGAACAGCTAGCCAAGCCAAGCTCTGCTGTCCCGCTACGCTGGAGCGCAATGTCGCCCTTCCAAGCCACTTCCGCCAGTGCCACGCCCGCTTCATCATCTCAATCCATCACAGCCTCTCCATCCCGATTCGACGGTGGCTACAATTCTTCATCGGCACGTCCCACTCGTCCAGACAGACCGACTTTGACACGGCTTAACACCTCCGAAATGTTGCGCACGCAGACAGAAACAGCTCTCGACCCTGCGCCATCATCACAGCCCATTATCGGGCCATCACCACAGCCCATCATCGGGCCATCATCACAGTCCATCATCACCACTCGCAAGTCGCCCACCGGCTTGAAGCTTCAGCTGGACACCTCGGTGCCACGTAGATCGGCTACCTTGAGTAGCTATCCGCATCCCTCGAAATCAAAACAGAAGAACTTCCTGCATCTGCCCATGCCTATGCTTACACCTCCGACTCCCATGGAACGTCTCAAGCCTCGATCCCACGACAAGGCCGTTTCAGAGAACACGGCATCATCATCTACTGCGGCTGTCGCAGCTGATTCAGGCTCGCGACAGTCAGATGCCCACCTTGGCCGAAGTGACTTCAACTTGGAGGAGTTCACGTTTGAGGTCTCGACCATTCTTCCCGACTTTCTTTATCTCGGTCCCAACGTCCAAAGCGAGCAGAACGTCGCCGAGTTGCAGCACAAGGGCATACGTCGCATTCTCAACGTGGCTTGCGAGATCGACGAACGCGGCCCTCTCAACCTGCGAGACAAGTTTGACAAGTACCTCAAGATTCCTATGCTTGACAGTGTCGAAGCAAAAGGCGTGCAGGACAGCATTCAAGAGGCATGTTCTTTCCTCGATGACGCGCGCTTGCGGTCTGAGCCAGTGTACGTGCACTGCAAAGCAGGCAAGTCGCGCTCTGTCACCATTGTCATCGCCTACCTCATCCATGCACTCGGCTGGTCCTTGCAACGATCCTACTCGCACGTCATGGAGAAGCGAGCTGCCATCTGTCCCAACATCGGCTTTGTTGCCGAACTGATGAAGTACGAGGAGAAGGAGCACAAGTTGACCCGATCATCGGGCATCTATGGCGAAGCTCCAGCAGGCACCAATCTGCCCACCTCAAAATCTTCAACGCATCTGCTTTCAGCTTGGAGTGACGACAAGGCAGATAAGCAAGCAAGGCCGAACGAGTCGGCGCCAGCTCTGCCTATCTCCACGCTCAAAACGCAGCAACTGCGAGCATCACAGGACCATCGCCCAAGTGACTACTCGTATGCCTTTAGTAGCTCCCAGTCACAGTCGTCACCTGACTTGCCTTCGTTGGCCTTCAGCAGTAGATGATCAAGATACTCTTCAACGTTTTTGGCTTCTGCACGGTAGTCCCAGCATCTACCTCTCCGCAGATCATGTGTAACCCGATTTGACGGTGGCGTTCGCCACCATCGCCACGCTACCAATGTCTCGCTCTCTTGCTTCCCTTTCCGTATCCTATGGACTATTTCTCGCATCTATCTTGTATTGCAGCTTCACAAATTTCTCCTCACAATCACAGAGTCGGTCCTCTGTTGTAATTCTATCCCCATTCTCGCTCATATCAGCAGCGTCGCTCCTACTCAAACATCTAGTTTGGCTTGTCTGTCTGAAGTTGGTGCCTGTCACTTTTTGTCATGTCTGCGTGACCGGACTGAGATTTCGACAAGGTGAAGGATAAAACGAAGCCAGCTTGGTGCACGCTGAAAGGGGGATCGAGGGAGGATGTGCATTGGACCCTGCATGCTGTTGCAACGTTCGACACCAGAAGCGAGCATCATGACGTTTGCAGCAAGTCATGTGCAGCAGACCGCAGGCTTCACATGATCTTGAAGGGCACTGTGAGGAGAGCAAAGACCCTGACTCATGCTCGCAGTTTCGATCGCCGTAAAGCTCCTAAGGAATGACGCTTTGCATCCTGCATTTTGTGTCTTATTTGTCAGCTTTTACCCTCCCCATCACAACACGCTCTCGAAATGCAGCGAACACCGGGTGTCAGGTTGTGCCATCTCAGTTTTGATTTGCAATCAATCACACAGGACAAGCCGAGCGAAATCGTAAGCAGTTGCTTGATGTACACTCGGCATAGCGTAAGCAACTGCTGAGGGCTTGTGAGGCCACTTCATCGGAGCAGACATTGTTGCAGTTGCAGTTGCAGTTGCAGGCTCCTTCCTTCAGCAGTTCACTTTGTCTCTTCACCACACTCGACCATACACTATCAATCATGTCGTCTACTACTACTGGACTCGCCGTCCGATCGTTCCAGGAGGACAGCAACTCTGAACCCGGAACTTACTCCACTTCCAATGGTGTCGCTGTCCCTCATGCCTATGAAGCCCAGCGAGCCGGTCGCGAAGGCCCCCTTTTGCTTCAGGACTTTCACCTTATCGACCTGATCTCTCACTTCGATCGAGAACGTATCCCTGAGCGAGTCGTTCACGCTAAGGGTGGTGGAGCTCACGGTATCTATCGAACCACCCACCCAATTCCGGACATCTGTCTTGCGCCACTCTTTGGTGAAAAGACTGAATGTCCTATCACTGTTCGCTTCTCTACTGTTGGTGGCGAATCGGGTTCTCCTGATTGCGCTCGTGATCCTCGTGGATTTTCCATCAAGATGAGGACGGCACAAGGAAACATGGACTGGGTGTTCAACAACACTCCTATCTTCTTCCTTCGTGATCCGGCCAAGTTCCCTCACTTTATCCACACGCAGAAGCGAGACCCTCAAACGCACTTGACGCATGCCGACGACTCGATCCACTTCTGGGACTACATGGGTGACAACCCCGAGTCCGTCCACCAGTTCCTCTACCTCATGGGTCCTCGTGGTATTCCTTTCTCTTGGAGACACATGCAGGGCTACTCTGGGCACACGATCAAGTTCATCAACAAGGAGGGCAAGTGGAAATACTGTCAGATCCACCTTCTCTCCCAACAGGGCACCAAGAACCTCACCAACGACGAGGCAGCTCAGCAATCGCCCGATGCTCACCAGAAGGATCTCTTCGAAGCCATCGAAAAGGGAGACTTCCCCAAGTGGGACGTCAAGTATCAGATCATGGACCCCGCAGATGCTCCCAACTCCGGTGTCAACGTCAATGACCTCACCAAGGTCTGGCCTCGTGACAAGTTCCCTCTCCACCCTCTCGGCGAGATTGAACTCAACCGCAACGTCGCCAACTACTTTGCCGAGATCGAACAAGTCGCATTCAACCCAGCACATTTGATCCCTGGTCTCGAACCAAGCAACGACCCCGTTCTTCAATCGCGCCTATTCTCCTACCCTGACACACACCGTCATCGTATTGGCGTCAACTATCAACAGTTGCCAGTAAATCAAGCTCACCCAGACCACAAACCCGTCAACTTCCAAAGAGACGGTGCTATGGCCTTTTACAACCAAGGTCCTCGACCGAACTACATCCATTCCCTTGCTCCACCCGAGTTTAGAGCTCGTCAGGTTGACGTCGACAACATCCACGCAGACTATGAGGGTAATGCTATTGCTTTCCTCTCTGGTGTTCAGGAGGAAGATTTCCTCCAGCCTAGGGCTATGTGGAAGAAGGTCTTCTCCGAACAAGATAGGAAGCAAACAATTGAGAATATCTCAGGTCACATGTCCACTTGTCAGAATAAAGACGTTCTCGCTAAGGCGATTAGTGTTTGGCATCAGGTCGACCCGGAGATGGCAGAGAAGATCGCTGAACCTTTAGGTTTGAAGGGCAAATACAAGACCGACTTGAGGGATGCAGTTTTCAACGGCAGTCACAACTTCCTTGGTAGGAACCTGGGCGACCAGGCTGGCTCAGCTGGTGGCTGGTCCAGGGCAGATCACAAACACGAGAAGGTCGAGAAGGTTTATGGTCTCAGCAGCAACAAGCATGCTTTGGTTGATGGAAACCAGACCAATGGAACCAAGCTCGTTGATTTGTGCCTTTCCGTTAATGTAGCATCTGAATCAGCTTGAATGGATTCCTCTCATTTTGAATCCTTATGTGTCTGAAATATTGGTGTGATGTAAAATGTTGCGTTTCAACTCTAGACCACCATGACGGCCGTTTGAGGACGTGCGCCAAACTTCGAAGTGGTGTGGTTGCTAGCGGCATACAGCAAGAAGAGAGACATCAATAATGCAACGAATGAGCGACAAAGGTGAGATTAAAAGACAAAGTACGTCTATGTATGCGTATGAATAGCGACAGTAGCAGAACTGCTTGTTCACTGAGACAATCGTCTATGTATATGTGAATGAAGCAGAATTGTAACTATTCACCATCCTTGCAGAAGCCCTTTTGATGTAAGGCAAAGGCGAAACCAAACCAGTTGCACTTGAAGTTTGCCTTGCTCTCCTTGACATCGGTGAGACTCCCGCAACCTCGTTACCGTCACTCCTTGTGGCATGTGTAGCGCTTGTCCCTCTCGAGCTCCCACCACCTCCATAAGCCCTTTTATGATCAGCAGCTAAGAAAGGAGAGCTTAAACCCAGATCGCGGTATGCCTCGTTCGTACCACTTCTCTGCCGATGCAAAGGAGAAACAAACCTATGGAGGAGGTATTCTTGCGCATCCTCTTGAACCCTCGACATCTCCTCTTGAGGCAGGTTGGAGTATTCATATTGCTCTGGACTCACCTGAACTTTAGTGCGGTAGTGCTGCGATGCTGAGGGAGAGGTAAGAGTAGGGCGGATGTGTACGCGAAGTCCGAATTCGAGCAACGTGCCATCAGCGCGATGGGGAGTAATGTTGGGATGGGTAAGGGAGAAACTTATATCGAATCCAGCTCCGGTGGATGCAGCTGATGGATAAGCTTCTGCAGCATGAGCTGGTATTGATCGGTTTGGCTCTAAACGATGATAGTTCCCTCGGTAATGCGTGCCCTGATTAGATTGACCTTCAGCATGGCCATACTCGAAGTCGTTTCGCATATCAAGATGCGCGTGAGGCGACCGTGGACGATTCACCACACCACCTTTCGGACGATTAGGCGAACGCTGCATGGTATGACTCCGTCCGCGACCCGGAACACCCTCGTAAAAAGTTCCGAAGACCTCTGCCCTTCGATCGCGCGCTCCTACCTTGTGACCTTGCAGGTTAGCTTGTCTCGTCTGCGCAGAACCCATCGACCCCGTCACACAACTCTCTTCCGTAACAGCGGAATGAGCAGGATTGCTCGTGTTCGGAGTCCAAAGCTCCGAAGTCACCGTGCGTGGCGAAGTGTCGGTAACGCTCGCATCCGGTCTCCTTCGAGGCGTGCTAAAGGTCGACGAAGAGGTCGCGAGGCGGAGAGGTTTGAGTAAGCGACTAGTATCTGATCTTGGTGTTGTGGTCGGTGCTTGCTGTACGCAAGGCGATGATGGGTGTTCAGAGATAGCGGCGCCGACTTGTGGTTGAAGGATTTCTTGCGGCTCGACTTGTTGATCGGAAGCCGGGAGTGGTTCTTGAGCAGAGGCGAGGCTGCTGTATTGGAGCGAGGGACGCTCGTTTGCGAAAGCAGCCATCGTTGGAGCTCGCTTCCGCCGCACAATCATTGACTTTGTCTTTTCTGGTGGAAGCGGCGTCTCGTATGTGTGGACAAGGTTTCGAAGGGGTCGAAGCACTGGTTGGAGCTCGACCGTAGGAGCCGGCTCGAAGAGATGTTGTGAAAGCTTGCCGGGTGATGGTCGTGATCGCCGCTCAACAGAAGATGGTTGCTCAAAGATGTGATCGGGAAGCTTGTCATGTGACGAGCGAACCTCGCTCGATCGGGGACTTTCTGGTTCGTACGTCGGGAGTTTGCCTAGAATCGGTCGAGATGCTTGTGCTGGCTCTGGCTTGAATGCTTGTCGTGATAGCTTGCCTGGTATCGATCGCGGCTTTTCAAGGGTGGAGACTTGGGCGACACGCGGTTGCAACTTGCCTGGCAAAGATCGGGATTCCCCGGCAGAACCTGACTTCTGCTCGACAGAATCTCGTGCAAGCCTACCAGGTGCTGATCTTGGCTCCGGAAGAGCAGCGCCTGAAGTTGGATGTGCATCGTATCGAGGCAGCTTTCCTGGTAGCGAACGTGGCTCTTTAGGAGAGACTGCTTCTTCGGGATGTCTTTTCAGCTTGCCCGGTGGCGACCAGTCTTTCTCGGCAGTAGTCTCTTCAGCCAACCATGATGACAGCTTGCATGGCGACGGCTGCGGCACCCGAGCAGAGGTAGCGTCTTCTACAACCCAAGGCGACAACTTACCAGGTGATGATCCCTGCTTTTCCACCAAGCCAGGCTCCGACTCAACAGCTGCTATTGACAGCTTGCCCGGTATCGGCCTTGAGGTTCGAGAGGAAGCCGTCTCTGTCGTCAGCGCATCTCGAGCGAGCTTACCCGGAAGCGGCCTCCGCTGATCCTCTGCATCTGACTGTGATTCCTCTTGCTTATGGTGTGCAAGCTTGCCTGGCAAAGGTCTCGTCGGCTTTGTAGGTGAAGCTGGCTCCATATTGGGTTGACGGAGCTTGCCAGGCATCGGTCGAGGTTGCTCTTCGGTGTCAAATCCAACCTTTGTAGGTTGAGGGGCGAGCTTGCCGGGCGGAAGCTGCGACACTGCAGGAGAATCGATGTTATGCAAGGTCTTCAGCAGCATCCGCTTCGTCTGTGGTTCTTCAGATCCGGATACCTCTACTGCACGCCGAGTCAGCTTGCCTGGCGACTTCCTCTGGATGTGCTGCGGTTTCGAGTGGGCATTCAGGTCAGGCATCTGCTTCAACAGCGTGCGCTTAGTCTGTTTCGCTGGAAGGGCAATATCTTCGGTGTCCACAACCTCTTCTCTCTGCCTTAGCTTCCCAGGCAAAATCTTGAGTTCACGCCGTGGACTGCCATGAACAGTGAACCCCGACATCCGCTTGAGTGTCATACGCCTGGCGACACCGACGGAGGCAACTTCTGCTTCTTCCTCCTCACTATCGTCCCAATCCTTCACCATCCTTCCTACTTGCTGCCTTGTCGACGGTGTCACTGGCTCCGCAACTTTTGCTCCGGGCTGGGACCGTGCGAGGAGAAGGCACTGCAAGTCACCTTGATTAGTGACATCTACCTTTTGGCGAGGCTGCTCTTCGAGGGCTGGTCTTTTGGACTTGTTGAGAGCTGGTAAAAGATGCAAGCTCTCTTGGCGAGGTCTTGAGGCAACCAGATCTGGCTCACGTTGAGGGATGTTGAGTCGACCGGGAATCTTGATGGGCTTGAATGACGTCTGTCCGAGCTTCTTTCGTTGAGAAAAGGACCGAGACAGCTTTTGACCCAGGAGTGGCCGGTCATTGAGTGGTTGTGGAGGAGAGGCTTGCTCTAACCTATTAACGTGTCGGTGGATGCCTTCATCCTTCTCGACAGCATCCGAATCGGAGGCACCTAGAGCGGACACTCCAGAAAAAGGTTGCAAGAGAACCTCGCCAGGAGCATTGTGCGTAGATTGCGGCTTCGCTTCCACTTGGCGTTCTGTGTCAGCTAACTCGAGCAATGTGCTATCTGCTGCTGTATGGATGTCGGCGTCGCCATCATCGCTCGAAGAGTTGACAGCTTCGACCATCGTGTGCTTGAGCCAAGAAGTGGTCCTTTCGATGAGCGAGTCTCGAGGCTTGACATAGGGCTCCGTATCCGCATCCTCCACTTCGTCTATAAGCTCTGCCAAGATCTCTTCGTTACCCGACGAGCTGGCGTAGAACGGCGCCACTGACTGTTCTGCGTGAGCCGATTGTTGGTCTTCTGGCACAGGGTGCACGTCGGTGGGAAAGAAAGCTCGCGCGTTTTTGCCGCCCGCTGAGACCAGTTCGATTACTTCTCCGATCACGAGATGATCTGAGGGGCCCGTCGGTCCGGATGGTGAGGCTTGAAGGATTTCTTGAGGGAAAGATTGCTCGCTATCGGCGTACACTCGGTCAAGGAGACCGTCTTCCCATGAAGCATCGCTTTCAGAGTCGGTGTCCAATCTTTCTACTATTTCCGCTGCATCTGGAATTTCTGCTCCACCAGATTCTCGGACGGCGTTTGGATCTGTGGCCTTGCCAGGGACCGTCCCGTTCTGATGCGAAGGCCCTGACCTTTCGAGAGAGGGATCTGCTGTGCCGACATGATCTTCTGCAACCTTGCCCATCGACTGGCTCGTCCGCGTGGCCGCTCTGCAGGGCAGCCTGTCGAAGGGGTTTGGCGACGCCGTCGGATCTGTTGAGTCAGAGAATGCTGACTTGAGAGTCGAGGAGGGATGGTGGGGTGCAGTTGTTGAGATGGTTGAGGGCAAGCTTGCTAAAGAGACTTGGGAGCGAGAAAGACTTTCTTGTGTCTCTTGGGTAGTAGTATCTGCTGTGATGAGCTCTCTCTGAGCAGGCAGTGGTTTTTGGGAAGTTGAGGAGGCCAAGTGCATGCTCTTTTCCGCCCCATCCTGTGCTGATGAGGGAAAGAGGCCCTCAATGTGAGCGGCTTGAGAAGTGATGCTGGTCTGGTCAGTCTGCCAAGTAAGATTTGGCGGCTCTTTCGAGCTGAGCAGCAACGAGGTCGTCTCATGGCCTGCGGAGGATGCTAGGAAAGTTTCCACGCCAGAATGATTGACACGTTGTGGTGATGGGTCGTGAGCTTTGACGTGGCTTTCAGAAGAGCTTGTCTGTGTCGACAGCTGATGGGCAGGGTTGATGGCTTCGCATTGCGAGGCGGGTCGAGAGTGAGAGCTGCGAGCCGGGCGGGTGAAGCTAGATCCTGCAGAGAACAAGACAGAGTTGTCGGTCGGCGTGAGGCTCTGTGTTTCCTTCATACTTTGCTGCGGGGATGAATTGTCTGTCAAAGTTTGAGCTTCAGTCGTCATACGACTATTTTGTCCAGCGGTAGTCGAGTTCTGGAGGATAACGTCAAGATCTGACGGCTGCGCTTCCTGAGACTTTGATGAAGCAAGAGGGATGCTTTCGACTGCGACAGCGCTCGTCGTTGTCATGGATGCACTATCATCTCTTGTGCTGGTCGAGGTCTGCTGGGTCTGCTGGGTCTGCTGGGTCTGCTGGGTCTGCTGGGTCTGCCGGGTCTGCTGGATCACTGACTCTGTTGTGGGAATGACAGGGTCAATTGAAGCGACTTCTTCCTCGTCCTCTGCTGCCTTTGAAAAGTGCTGTACAGCCTTGGCCACCTTGCCACCCTGCTTTGCAAGATATCGAGGTGAGCTTGGTGGTTTGGCTGTCGATGTAGAGTTGGGGAAAGGCGTTGGTCGAAGTCTGCTGAGAACAGTTTTGGACGATGGGAAGGCCGATGAGGTTGCTGACATTGGCATGGGTATGATATGCGACGATTGAGCAAGTGTCATACGAGGTACTCTGGAGTTGGTGCCGACGAAGAAGTTGGCAGCGGTCTGCGGCAGCTTACGAGCCTCTGAAGCTCGACTGTTCTCATCCATGGTGGAGGATGCTCGAATACGGGTGGACGAGTGAGCTTGATTGAATGCATCAGTGGCACTTGGGTGTGATCTGCATGACTAGGCCGGAAGTGTTTTGCTAGGCCCTATGATCTAGCACTGAATCTGGCAGAGCATTGCACTGTGAGAGAAGAAGAAGAAGTTGAAAGAGATGGTGGGGTCAAGTTTGAAAGTTAGTTGGCATCTACATAGCAACCTTGCGTTCTTCAGCCCAAAGCGCGACTGTAAGTGTAACTGCAAGAGCTTCGTAATGCATAATAAAGGAGCTCAGCGTGGCAATGACATCGGTGTGATCTTGTGTAGAGGAAGGTGACATTGTGATCTTGTGTGGGTCCATGCATGAGAGTAGCAAGCGAGAGTAAGGGATACGTCGAATTCTGCGCTTCAGCCTTGTGTTTTGCAGCAGGGCGTGCATAAGGCTGCAGCCATCTGCACCACAGACCCTTTCGCCGCCAACGATAAGTTGGTTGAGGATGATGCCTGTCCACCAAACGATCCTGGCTGCAGCTGTACCATCCGTCGTCTCCAGGCTGCAATGTCGTGGAAAGCGGCTTCTTCGGTGTTGATTTCGAGAAAATCGCCGAGATCGGGATCGAAAAGAAAAAAAAAAGAAGAAAAAATCAAAAATCGATCGATCGGGGCCAGAAAGCTGACAAGGAGCGCGATCCCGATGCAACACCGCAACACCCTTCGAAGTACTTAGACTGATATCTCCCGATCTCTGTCGCCAAGTGTCACTCTTGTTCCCACGAGATACTCGTTTACAATGGCCACTCGGCAAGGCGGGCAAGGCTGATCGCGTAGCAGTCCGATTGAATCGTGACTCTTCCTACTCTTTCATCTGCCGCGCATTGACAAGAAGCTCCTTCTTTAGTTGAGGTTACAAAAGTCGAGTGTGCAAGCTCGTTCGAGAGAGTGCAGCGAAGTAACAATGTGGTGTACAAGAGCATTGAGCGTTGCAGCTTGCGAAGGATGAAGGATCTGAGAATGTTGGAGATGCAAAGTTGCCCTGAACGCTTGCAGCAAGACGTCCTCTTGCTTCTCAAGCAGCGAACTCGAAAAAAGGGCTTCCGCTCGGGCCGCATCGGAGACCCTTTTGCAATTTTATCTTTTATTCATTTGTTTTCGATGTATCCTGATGTCCTTATTTTCTACCTCAATTCACGCAGCATCATCACTTCTTGATCCGATCGTGTGCGTCATCTGGAAATCATCCCCATCACAATGAAGACTTTGCGTGATTACATGTGATCGAAAGAAGAAAAAAAGAAAAAGGGGGGGGGGGGAATGCAAAATAAGGGTAATAGCTTCGGCATCTTCCGAAAGGTGTGGGAAAAGTTAAAGTATATAAAAGCTACACAAAGCGTAGAGACGGTGAAGGTAGTGCTTACGGCCGAGTAAAAGGCTTGAGCATCTGAGCACGGACCACATGTGTCACAACCTACTCAAGACAAATGCTTTGTTATGTTCCGCAGTCGATGCGGCTCTCTGCCGCTCTTCTTTTGTATATATAGACTCCTTCTCTCTCCTCGCTCTCTCTCTCTCCCTCTTACCATCATTATCATCATCAATCACACGAAAATTTTAACTGGAAAGACAGCCAGATTGCACTTTGCAAGAAAGCCTGACGGTCAAGCAAAGAAAAAAAAAAAAAAAAAAAAAAAAAAAAGGTTAAAAAATATTATTATTATTATTTTCTTTTATTTTTTATTTATTTTTTAGCTGTTTCTATGTTGGGGTTCGCTCCAACCCCACTTCGCCTGTCACAACGCTGATACACCGTGTGTCAGCCAAGGTGATATACGCAGTTTGCCTTTAGAACCCAAAGGTCTGACGGTGTCAGCCGACCCTCTCACTTGAAGAAAGCACAACTTGATCACAAGATATAAGTGCAAGCTATTCTCCGCAGCCTCTCTGATCTCTCGCAACCCTCCTCGACCTTTCCTTCTTCGACTCTTCGACTCTTCAACTCTTCGAGATCCCAGCTAGATCATTTGCTCATCTTGATCCCCGATACAACACCACTCATCCTTCTCCTGCTCGCTCTCGCTTCTTTACTAAAAATGTCGCCAACTGCTACTGGCCCGGCACCTTCCGGTGTTGCTCCTATCAGCAAGAAGGCACAGGTCACACCTGATGACAAGACCACCAATGACCCACGCGACTCAAACATTCACAGAGCTATTGCTCAACACCCATATGGCGGTGCCGCCAACCTTCGCGATGTCTTTACAAACCAAGGTGAGCTGTAGCTCTTTTTCGACAATATGCGATGCGATGCGATGCGATGCGGTGTTCATCCGTTTGCAGTTTCCAATTCTTTAGTGTCATGGTCTCGTTTCTTCACGCTGTCGAATTCGCCGGGTGCTTTGTGTTGATCCACCAGGTTCGCCGGTCCGTTCCGGTCATCCGCCAATGCTCTCCAAGGCGATTGGGCCTGGTCAATTGATTGGGCATTGTGGGATCTTTCTGCATTTGATGCTTCCGGACCTCTCCGACGGAAAGGGTCGGGTAGTTGATCTAAGGGGCAGCATTGCAGTCATTGGATGTTTCCCAGGGGAAAGGGCGAAAGATGCGAGCTTCGTCGGTCAATTCCTTGCCGCCATGGTTTCTCTCGCGTGCTTCTGTCGAACTTTTACGAGGGCAGCGGCACTCTTTCTTCTCTGCCAGTTGGTGAGCCAAGAATGGAGACTCTTGCGCACAGACACTTGCCGATGATCACACTTTTCTTCCCCGTCCTCTCAAGCCACAAATCACATTTTTCCAATCTTTTTTTTTTTCTTTCTTTTTTTTTTCTTTTTCTTTTTCTTCTTTTTCGAATTGGAATTTGGATGTTTTCTTGGGCGTTTGCCTCTGTTAGGGACTTTACCCCAACGAAGCATTTATTTATTTTTTGTGGAATTTCCTCAAAAAAGAAAAAGAAAATCACCGTGGCGGTTAGGCTGCCTTGCCGTCGCGTCGCGTCACGTCTCGCTTGCTTGCTCCTCTCTCTCTCTCTCTCTCTCCCGCCACGTTCCGAGTCACCTTTATTTCCATTCTCCGCATTCTGTGAAAGGACCCTTTGATCATTTGTTCAAGAACGGGTCGGGTCAATCTTCTCAACCGAGTCTCGCCGACAGTATCACCTGTCAGAAGCCTCGAAAGAGATCATTGCACCAGTCACGCTTCCCTTCCATCTCTCCCTCATCCCTATCTCTCCCCTTCGAGATCCGAGCGCGTCCCTTACGATCAGCTCGAGCAGCTTATCGCGTCCTATTAGCAATTATCGGAAGCGCCGCCCGCTGTTTCTTCTTGTTTCGCATCGAGCTGCTTCACTACCTTCCACCTCATCGTTCCTCTCCCTGCCGTGTCCCCGATCATCATCATCATCATCATGCTTCGCTCGTCACATAGATCCTTACGCAGAAGCATGCGCTGCGCTGCAGCCGAGGTATCCCAAGCAGGTCCCTCTAGCTATGCATCCTCCTCAGCACCAGCTCCAAGGCCTCGTTCGACACGCAATGCATCCATCGCATCCTTCTCCACATCATCTCCCCGCAATGACACGCTCGCTGACCATCGTATCATCTCCGATCCTTTCCCTAATCAAGACACCGGCTTCACTTACGAGCGCCGTGACCAGCTCGGCCTCCGCGGTCTCCTCCCACCTGCTATGCAGAGCCTTAACACACAAGTCCTTCGCGTCCTCCACCAGCTTCGCAGCAAGGCTACTCCTCTCGAAAAGCACGTCATGCTCGCTTCGCTGCGTCAGACCAACACTCGTCTCTACTACGCAACCATTCTCGCCAACAAAGAAGAGATTCTCCCTCTCATCTACACTCCCACCGTTGGTGAGGCATGCCAGAAGTTCTCTCACATCTACCGCCGTCCCGAAGGTCTTTCGATCTCGCTCGAGGACAAGGGCAAAATTGCTAGCATCGTCGAAAACTGGCCTGTTCCTGCAGGCTCTCCTCGTATTGCCGTCATCACCGATGGTTCTCGTATCCTCGGTCTCGGCGACTTGGGATGGAACGGTCAAGGTATCTCGATCGGCAAGCTTTCTCTCTACGTTGCCGGCGCCGGTATCCACCCCCGTGCTACACTTCCTATCGTCGTAGACTTGGGCACCAACAACAACAAGATTCTCCAAGACCCCCTTTACCTCGGTCTCCGACGCAAACGTGCCAGCACAGAAGAATACATTGAGTTTATGGACGAAGTCATGGATGCTCTTCACTCGAGGTATCCCAACTTGGTCATCCAATTCGAGGACTTCACCTCCGAAAACGCATTCCGTTTCCTCGATCGATACCAGAACAAGTACCCCATGTTCAACGACGACATCCAGGGCACCGGTTCCGTCATCCTCGGTGGCTTCGCAAACGCTGCCCGAATCGCAAGCAAAGAGAGCGGTCGACCTCTGCACGACCACCGCATTCTCATGGCTGGTGCTGGTTCTGCCGCCGTCGGTGTGGGTAAACAGCTAATGTCCTTCTTCATCCGTCAAGGTCTATCTGAGGACGAGGCTCGCGAGCGTATCTACATTACCGATTCCAAGGGTCTCGTCACTAAGGATCGTGGAGATAAGCTACCAGAACACAAAATCTTTTTCGCTAGAGACGATAACTCTGGTCGTCAGATCAAAGATCTTGCTGAGATCATTGACTACGTTAAGCCCACCGCTATTCTCGGTCTTAGCACCGTGAAGGGGACATTCGACGAGACGGTCATTCGCAAGATGGCAGCCTTGAACCAGCGCCCGATCATCTTCCCACTCTCCAACCCCACCGATAACTCGGAATGCACTTTCGAAGAAGCTGTCAAGTATACCGATGGCAAAGTTCTTTTCGCTGCAGGATCTCCCTTCCCCGAGATCGAAGCCGAGAACTCTCCCACCGGCAAGAGATTGATTCCTGGTCAGGGTAACAACTTTTTGGTCTTCCCCGGTATTGGTCTTTGCGCAGCGCTCTGCAAGGCAGGAAGGGTGACGAATGAGATGATCACCGAATCTGCTCTTGCACTTTCCGACGCACTCAACGATGAAGAGAGGGCTGAGGGTAGACTCTACCCAAACACAGAGAGGATCAGGGAGATCAGCAGAGATATTGCCGTACGATGCATTCAGATGGCTAACAAGCAAGGTGTCGCGAGGGATGCAGGTAAGACAGCAGCAATGGACCAAGAGCAACTGAGCGATTGGGTTCACGGTGAAATGTGGACGCCTAAGTACGATACTCCTGAAGATCAGTAAGTTTGCTTAGCGTCAGTCGTCGGGGTTTGTTTGTTCATTTGCATCTCAAAAAAAGGGCTACTCTTGTCAAACTGTCACGTACAGCCCTTCTTACACACCTAAAACAGATGGACATTCTGGTTTCATTTCCCCTTCCTGTCTGAAGTCACAGCCCGTGCGTAAGAATGAGTGTACGACTGGGTATCACAAGGCATCGACTTGGAAATCAGATCAGATCGCAACACCAACCGCACTCCTCCGCCTACCATCATCACCATACAATCGCATCTGATCTAAACTATACCTCCCTCCACCCGCACCCAAGCTTCTGAAACCCCACCCTTTCCCCCCACTCTCCACAGCATCCATCTCCAAGTTCGCATCATCGACAACAGGGTTATAGCTCGACATCAAGGCGCTCTGTCTTCTACTCCTACTAACCCCGCCCAACCCTTCTGCTTCCTCTTCTTCCTCCTCGACAATCTGTCCGATCAAGTAGGCTCCCGATGTGGTGCTCCTTGGCAGAGCCGCACTGCCATACGGGTTCAGCGGTGGAACAGGCTTTCTGCTGACTATGGCGTAGAGTTTGCTGCTCCGTCGAGGAGGTGGTGTTGGCATGGAACGTGGTGTATCGGCTCGTAAATGCGGTTCGATGGAGGAGTCGAGTGAGAATCGTCCTGCGCTCGCTCCAGGAGCTAGACTTGTGTAGCTGGTGGAGCGTTGGAGGTTAGAGGTGAGGTTGGCTTGGGAGGAAGAACGGGTTGGCAATCGAGGCGAATTCTCGTCAAGAGATTGCCTTGCTTTGCCCTTACCGAACCCATTCCGACCCATCCCTGTGTTTGTTGGAGCTGGGGCTATGGCTTGATGTTTATCCCTTCTGCGCCTGACTATGTCTACAAACGATCTTGACTTGGTCACTTTCGCTTCAGAAACCGGTGGAACGATTTGCTGGGTTACCTTCTCCGGCAATGCCGGTGCGGGTGCAGGTAATACTGTAGCTCTCAACTCTGGTTGCAAAGCTGAGGAAAGATCTGCACGAGTTCTCGACCTGCCAAACCACCTTGGAAGGGTCAGAAATCCAATCCGCTTCTTCTTCGTTGAGGTTTCCGTCATGTCGAGGAACGAATGCAGTTGCTGCCCTTCCACTGTTGCTGTCGTCGGCTCGATAACTTTCGTCGTGCTCCCAAGGCCTCTCAACACCTGTGAAGTAGAGTCGAGCGATTGCACCGGAGCACTGCAACCAACTTCACAACAGATACAAGGACAGCCTACCTTCCCAGCCGCTTTACCACTCTTATTCGTCCCCACAGGATCAGGAAACCTTGTGACTCCAGTCAACGTTTCAAATATCTCCTCTTTGATGCGTCCACTTGGATCATAGTTTTCCGTTAGTTTCTCTTGTAATGTCCTATATAGCTGTTCTTTGTGCTCTTGGAGTAGTCTCTCATCGAATCCGTCCTCTGATCCTTGATCTGCTTTCAATACTTGATGTTGAATTTGAGAGGTGCAGGGTAGAGGATACCTGGAGCGTAAGGTAGCAGTCGGAGGGAGGATGGTATCGATAACGATGCGATCAGCCGTTATGCTGACGGCTGTTTGAATATCACTCGTGGGAACAAAGTTGACAAGCGTTGGTTGGGAGATGACTAGTGCTGTTCCTTTTCGCCTGTGATGAGTGGTTTTGTATTCCACTTCTGAGGCGGAAGAAGGTGAAGAGGACGAGAAAGAAGAAGAGTCGGAAGAGGAGGTACTGGATGAAGAATGGGAGGGCGAGAGTGGCGGGTGGTCATGTGATGTATAGTACGATGATGAGCGAGAGGCTGTCGCTGGTGGTGGTGGATTGGTCAACATCGTATCAAGCAGCGTTCCGAAGGCGATCTTCGGTACCGTGGCAGCTCCAGAAGGACGTGCAAAAAGGAGACGGAAAGATGAATGGAGGAGGTGAAGATACCTTGGCTTTTAGCTAGTCCTCCAAAGCTCAGAAGCAAGGGGCTTTCCTTTGACGCGCACCAAAAGTGGAGGCAAAACGCACGTCCCACCGAAACCCTGCGTCGCGGCTGCCGTCATTCAATACGTTTGACCGCCACCGCGCGCCGATAAAACCTGACCGATGCGTCATGCCCGCCGACCCAGCTGCATCCTTCTCGCCAATGCTCAGAATGATACGCAGCAATGGGATATTCAAATGGCATTATGCTAGATGGAAGTGCATCAATCGGTATTAGTTGGCCGCGGTACTTCCTCTGCGGCTCGCATCTCCACTGCCAACAAGATTGACCGACACGTGGGAAGCGTTTGATTCTCCTCCCGCAGGCGCAGCAGTCATTGGAGTGATGGAGCTTCGAAGACGACCACCGAATTTGTCATTGCGCTGTCGAGCATGCATCTGCGCCACTGCAGTTTGCATCGATTCAGGAGCTGTCGACATCGAGGTCGCTGAGAGAGGCTCGCCGAGTCGTCCAGACACTTTGCCAGTCGATCTGACTGTGCTCGGTGGATGACCGCCAGGTGTGCTGTAGCGTGCTTGTCTACTTGCACGCAAGCTTTCGGTGGTAGCAGCCGATCCTGCAGTGACAGCTGAATCCGTCGAGGCAGCAGCTGGCCTTTGTGCGCTTCGTGAAACTGAGCCAGTCGAGACTCCATTAGTACGTCGCGCAGATCTGTTAGCGGCTATCTTGACTTGGGTGTTGCCGCCGCCATTTGCCCGCACACCAGCTATGGCACGTCCAGGCTCGATGCGATCGCCCCAGTACGTGAACGAAAGCTTGGTCGATCGGACATACTTTTCCTTCCCGGCTTGACCATCAACGCCGTCACTACTGCCAGAACCAGAGCTGCTGCTACTCGCGCTGCTACTATCAGCACTGCTGACACTGGCGCCGTCATCGTCATCTTCCTCATCATCCTCCTCGATGCCCTCGTGTGATAAAGGCAGTCCATCTGCAAAGCCTCCTTTCCCGCCTTCCGCTTGACGTGAAGCTGCATTTCGCCAAGCAACAACAGAGACGAACTTGTACAGGTTGCGCGTCTTTGCACGTAGCGTTGTGTTGCGCAAAGCTTTTAGACGTCCACGACTGTCTTTGCTGCGTGCAGTGAAATCACTCGTATCGATTTCGGCGGCAGCGCCCTCGTCTCTCAGAGCGGCAGTGCTAACCATTGGTAGAGCTGTTACACCAATACGCTGGCACTTGATCTCGACATCGGAGAAACGTACCACCCAAAGATCCTTCTTGCTACCCAAAGCTGGCGCCTTCGACGATCCTCCACCGCGTTCTTCCGATGACAACAAGTCTGAGAGTCTCCGATAAGAGCGCTTGTTTCTGAGCGCAGCTCGTAAGCCAGGCTGATTCGAGCTGCTCCATCGACCGCCTTGTTGACTACCGCCCTCAGGCCCACTTTCCCCTCCTTCGCTATCGGAAGCATACGTTTCACCTCGACCGTCCTTCGGCGCGGACTCGGAAAGTGTTCTGCGGGCATGCTCGTCGTAGAGAGCCTTCTCCTCGATCAAGGTCCTGTCTGGCCGGGGTCGAAGCACCTGTCGGTCAGTGATGCCGTCGATGCGGGCAAAGACGTCACGTGTCTTGTCTCTTTCCTCGGCATTGACCTTCTCGTCCTCGATGGAGCGGACAAGCCGTTCGATTTCGACTACCATAGCAACGGTGCTCTCGAACTCGTGAGTCGATGGATCGGTATGGAAGAGGAGGTTCTGGAACAACAGCGGGTATTTGAGCAGTCGCTGAAAGGGCATCGATGCGAAGATCGAGAGCCCTGCGTAGCCTTGCTCAGCTGCACATGTCTCGAGGGCCGCTACAGTACGCCCGAGTCCAACGGTGTTGCTGAGACGCTCTTTCTTGAGTCGCTTGCCTCGGAATGCCCGCTCCATCAAAGCAGCTTCTTCCACCTCTTCCATGGCTCTCTGCAGGTGGCATACGTAGCTTGCATAGTGTTCGAGGATATGCGAGTACTTCATGAACACATCAGCCAAGCTTCGTACCAGTGGCCACTGCTCCTCGTATCTTGCTTTGAGAGCGTCCGACAGCATTCCATGTGCCTCAACCAGGCCGTCAGACATAGCAACAAGGACTTGGCGCAGGGAAGGTGGCAGTGGAACCGAGAGCCGCAGAGGATCCGCGTCGCTGCTTGCCTTACTAGACAGCGCCCGCAACTTTTGTGCTTTGGACACTCTGGCCTTGCCCTTCGCAGCGATTGGCACGTCCATGTAGGCAGCCGTGCTTCGATCTCCTGTCGCTGTTGTGCCGAGGCCAAGGGCGAGACCGAAAGCTGCGTCTGATCGGTTCGGTATGAGACCATTACGTGCAGATGGATAGTCAGATGTGGCAGGGTCACCTACGCCGACCGAATACGGGCTTCGTGATCCTGCTGCTTGCTGTGCATGCCACTGAGATTGTATCTCGCGCATACTAGCATCGATTGAATTGCCTGCAGCTTTGCCCGCCGAGACACAAGACATGAAGCGAGCGGCAATAGGAAGGTCACCACTTGAAGTGGCAACGGCTGCTTTTGAGCTCGACGCGTTCGTAATCAGACTGCCGGTCGACAAAACGCCAGACTGCGGTGTCGAAGACCAATCTTTTGAGCCGGACCGATCGGTGGAGAAAGGGGTGTTGGGTGTCAAGGGCGGTGGTAAGACGCGCTCAGGATCAAAGTGCTCTGGATGGATAAGGGCGTCGATGTAGAGTTCCTTGGCCTTCTCGAGCTCAGCAACGTATCGCTCTTCACTGGCTACGATTTCCCACAGGACCTCTTGGCGTGTGCGCTCTCTTGGACCGAGGTTTCTGACGAGCTCCTCGTGAGTCATCTCGCTCCACGTAGGGAATGCAAAGGATCGAGCTGCGGCGCCGCCTGAATGTGGGAACACAACGGGCTCGTTGGAGCCAGTTGGCGACACTGGGTTGAAGCTATTTCTGCGACTTGCCGGTCGACTGCTGTTGGAGCCAGAGTAGCTGATACGCATGGGCTGCGAAGTACGAGTGGGAAACTGCAACGGCCCCGAAGCAGCAGCCGGACGAGATGCTTTGATTGGAGAGACTCTTCCACTTTGAGCAACATCGAGTGAGGTGCGCCTCCGGATGGACGATGGGATGTCGTGAGTCCGACTTGCCACAAGTGAAGACGTTGAAGCGAGCCCCGAGGGGTCACCATCCAGAGTTGCTGGTCCACTTGAGTACGAGTAGCTGCGACGTGCACTGGATCGCGTCGAAGCGGCTTGACTCACTCTAGAGGAGCGCGCATAGCTGGAAGAGCTCTTATCACGAACGCTGTAGGAGCCGGCGGCCAAAGACACCTGTTGACTGGCATCGCTAGCTGCTGATCTGGTCCAGGTGCGTGATCGGGCCTGACTTGCGGCAGTAGGTCTTGCAAAGTTGCTACTTCCTGCAAATGGGTTGCTGTCGTTGGAGCTGCTGCGCGAGAGTGGCGGCGCCATAGACGAGCGCTGGAGAGCTGGCGAGGTAGATCGTTGCTTCTGAGGGGAAGGTGCGAAGGCAACGGTCTTGCTGGTATGAGTGGTCGAGAAGCCCGTTTGGCTGCCATAGCTGGCTTGACGTTGATCGTTCGCCTGCCCTGCTATATACGGCGAGTGTGATCTATCTTTGGGAGTCACAGAGTCGCTTTTCGAATGCTGAATAGGCGCATCAGCGGGCAAGCTGGATCCGGGCACGCGACTTGGTACGGATCGAGGTGCAGAGGAAGAAAGAGCATAGTCGAAAGGGTTGAGCTGAACGTCGGAGAGCGGCGATTCGAGGGAGGTGATGGGTATCGTCAGTTGCGGCGCAGGTGTAGCATTGTTGGTAGAGAGAGAATGTGGTATAGGCTGGTGTAGAACAGTCGCTTCAGATTTGACAACAAGCGCTTTGGTCCGACCGACCGTGTTGTATGGTGCCTTGAGTGGTGGAGCTGGGCTAGGAGCAGCCAAGTCTTGCTTCTCTGAGTGATCGAAAGAAGCTTCTGGCGCCGGCTTGGCTGGTGAAATAGGCGCAGCTGTTGAAAAGCGGGAGAAGAAGCGTTTCATGGCCGACGGTGAGCGAGGGAGACCCTCCTGCAGGCTGAGATATGAAGCCGTTTTCACTTGTGTTGAGATGGCGGGGAAGAGTTTGCCACAAACGATTCCTATCTGAAAGCGATCATCCTCGCAAGTGTGAATAGCAATGGATAGACGGGGGCCAATTGGACCAAGAGCAGTGTCGAAAAGGCCGCCTATAAGGAGACTGCTCGTTAGTTGGTCGATCGGTTGATGTGATGCGATGCGATGCAGGCGCGACGTGGTGTGGTGTGGTGTGGTGTGGTGTGGTGTGGTGAGGTGAGTCAGGGACAGCGGCAAGGGATGCGTATATTCAGCTACGCCGACACGATGCGGATCCTGGAAGAGAAGGAAGTGATGATTGAGAGCAAGGGAGGTGGGCGAGAAGTGGCCTGAGATAGTCACTGTAATCTCAGTGTCAAGAGCATGCATGCGTGGCGCTACCTGTGATTTCTCATATCTCAGAGCAACATTGACGGTGTTGCCTGCTGTTTCAGTGTGAAAAAGTAGCAGCTTCAGTCCAGCTAGGAAGGCACGCCAATGCTCAGCTCAGGCCTCTTTCTGCTTCTCAAAGCAAACCGTCATCGCAAGCAAATGAAGAGAAGGAGAGTGCAATGATGGTTGTGAAAAGCGGAGCGGAGAAGCGGAACAATTCGATTGTTAAGTCCAGCCGAGACGCGCACGCCTTTCTTTGACGATCACGTGATGCATCCTCTGAAACGTGCTTCTTGTCTGTCTAGTTGAAGTTTCGTGTGATTTATGATGATGATAGTAAGAGAGAGAGAGAGAGCGAGGAAAGAGAGAAGGAGTCTTTATATACAAAAGAAGAGCAGCAGAGAGCCGCATTGACTGCAGAGCATAACAAAGCATTTGTCTTGAGTAGGTTGTGACACATGTGGTCTGTGCTCAGATGCTCAAGCCTTTTACTCAGCCATAAGCACTACCTTCACCATCTCTATGCTTTTGTGTGGCTTTTACCTACTTCAACTCCCCCCCTCAACAGCATGTGTACCCTGTTCATTATGCTGTTGTTTCAAGGTATATCCTCCATTCTTTAACATCATTGCATAGCTCGGGGACTCCATTTCATATGCTGCTGCCAGTGTTTGCAGGTGCAGCCCAGATCTTGCTTGCTGCATTGCTTGTCTCCCGATTGGCTTGGTGAGTACATCTGCCAAATTCCTTGTGGTGTCCACATACTTGATTTGCACCCTTCCCTCTTGAACGTTGTTATGGATGAAGTGATACTTGGTGTTGATGTGCTTGAGCTTCCAGTGCTGTGCTGGGTCTTTACTAACCTGTATGCAACCAGTGTTGTCTGAGTAGACTGTTGGGGTGCCTGTGGCAATGCCAATTGAGCATAGCAGCTGCTTGAGGAAGAGCACCTCACGTGTTGCTTCCATGGCCACAATGAACTCTGCCTCGACAGCGGACAGTGATATGCATTTCTGTGTTGCTGACTTCCAGGCTACCGGGTTCCCGTACACTAACGCCACTGACCCCGATGTACTCCTTCTCTGAATGGTGGCGTCACTCGCCCAGTTTGCATCGCTATGCACAATCAGCAGCTCTTGCGACATATTTCCCCTATAAACTAATCCAACATTCTTTGTGCCTTCGAGGTAGCGTAAGACCCATTGTGCTGCCTGATAATGTTCTTGAGATGGTTCACACATGTGTCTAGCGAGGACACTTACAGTGAGGCTAAGGTCGGGCCGGGTGCTGTTGGCAACCCAGACCAGCTTGCCAACAATCACCGGATACTCCTTCTGTTGTGCTGCACTTGCGACAAGGGTTCCCTCTGGTATACTCTGCATTGGAACCATAGTTGGCTTGGTGCATCTGTCCAGGTGCTTAGCTAGCACTTGGTCAATGTACCCTGACTGACCAATCATCATGGTGCACATTGTACAGTTTCAACTGATTTTGATGCCAAGGAAGTGAGAGACCTCGCCACTATCTTCCATCTTCCATCTCTGACCGATCTGCTTTTTAACCTTTAGGACTGTTTCCAGCTGTGGTGCTATGACTAATGTATCATCGACATAGATGACCACAATGGCCATATCTTCACCCTGTCCCTTGGTGTAGATGCAGGGAGCATGCTCCACCTGGAAGAACCCCATATGTCTCAAAGACCTGTCGAACTCCTGGTTCCATTCTCACCCAGACTGCTTTAGGCCATACAGGCCCTTGACCACTTTGTATACCTGTCCGGGTGCTACTCCTGATCCCTCCGGTGGTTTCATATAGATCACTTCTTTTAGTCTAGAGTTTAGGTAAGCCATTGTGATATCCAGTGCATGCACCTCCCAGTCATTCTGTACTGCTAGTGCTAGGATAGCTCTGATTGCTCCAAGGGGTGCTACTGGGGAGAAGGTTTCCTGGTAGTCAATTCCCTCTCTCTGTGTGAAGCCCCTAGCCACCAGTCGCACCTTGTGCTTTATGGGCACACCATCAGCATCAAGCTTTAGTCATAGCATGACCTTAGAGTCCATGAGTGGTGCTCCTGGTGGGTGATTCACCACCTCCCAAGTCCCCATTGCCTCGAGTCCTTCCAGTTCTTTTCGTATGGCCTCCTTCCAGAGTTGGGCATCCTCACCATTCATTGCTTCCCCAAGCGTTGGGTCCAGGTTCAGTACTGCTGTATTGGTGGCACCTACTGTGTCGTCTATAGCTGGTAGGAGATCCTCCACTGCGGCTGGCATGACACCCTCCTCCTCGACCTCTGTGGTCATCATGGGCCGGACTACCTCCTGTTGGCGATCACTCCATCCTTTGTCCTCATGGAACGTTGCTGAGTTGCTCCATTGAATTGATGCAGGCTGGTCCAGGTTGCAAAACTTCCATGCTTTGTGCTCGTCATTGTATCCAATCATGATGGCTGGCTTTGCTCTAGCCCCATACTTGCCCTGCTGGTCCTTCCGTTGAACATGGACCCATGCCAAGCATCTGAAGACTCACAGCTGCTGGGCCAGCTTGTGCACAGTGGTTCCATAAAAGGCCTCATGGGGGATGGTCTTGGTGGCTGATGGGGTGAGATTCACCACATGTGCAGCTGCTGTGATTGCATATGGCCACAGCTCTCTGGGACAAGCTCGACCAATCAGCATTGAGTGCATCTTTTCTTGGACCAATCTGATCGCTCTCTCTGCCCGTCCATTCTGGACACTGATCCCCAGGATGCTCTTTTGCCACTTGAAACCCTCTTGAGTTTGCCAGTCTTCAGCTCCTGAGCTACACCATTCTCCTCCATTGTCGCTGCGGAGCGTTTTGAGTTTCCTGTCTGTTGCTCGTTCCATCCTGGTGATCCACCTTCTCAGCGCCAGGAGTGCAGCACTCTTAGTGCAGAGTGGCTCAACATAGATCAGGGAGGAGAAGTCGTCCACAGCAACTAGTGCATAGTGGTAGTTGGCATGGCCCTTAGATCTGTCATCAAATCTACATGTACCAACTCTAGTGGCACCTCCGCTCTCTTCAACTCCGATTGGCTCATCCGTGCCCAGGTCTGTTTCCCTTGACTGCATGCGTTGCAGTGCTTTGATTCATGATCCATTCTCTCATCAGTGCCGAGGTAGTGCGCCTGGATTTGCCTTGTCTTATCTTGTCCTGGGTGTCCGAACCTTTCATGCCAGAGATAGCTATCTTTGTCTTCCTTCGAGTTGTTGTCTTGGTTTCCTGTGTTCTTATCATCCTCTGGGATGTCATTGTGTCTTCCTGTGTTCTGGCTGTCCTCTGGGACATCGTCGAGTGTCTCTTCCAACTCCAGGGCTAGTGCCTTTCCCTGCATTTTGAACCGCCCTTTTCTTCTGTTCCTCTTGTACTGTATTTGTGTGCTGTCATTTTGCTTAATGATGGTCCCAAACTCATCGAAAGTTACCCATGCACCGTTCTCGATCAAACCTTGTACTGATAATAAATTAGAATTAAGTTTCAGCACATAGAGCACATCCAATAGTTGAATGGTTACATCACCAACCCGAAGGGAGGCGTCTCCTATGGCCTTCACTTGAAGCCTTTCATTTCCAGCCATACAGATCTGACCATCCTTGCTTGTCGAGGTGAGTAGCATTCTTTCATCATTCACCATGTGGTGTGTTGCACCCGAATCAACGATCCAGGTATCCGATGTTGGTTGCTTATCTCTGCCGATCACTAGGAGGGTGCACCCGAGTTCCTACCAACTCGCTTCCTGCACTGGATTGGTGGTGGGTCTGCCCATACTCAGTGCGGTGTTGTTGTTGGTGTTCATGCAGTTGCGAGCAATGTGATTAGGCCCTCCACAAGCATAGCACTTGGGAGGGGCCGAGGGGTTGTGAGGGTCACGCCTGCCCCTGGGTCCTTGTTCTGCCTGGTCTGTGCTTGTGGCAACCCTTGCTGCTCCTCTAATATGGCCAGTGACCTCACCATCCTGTTGCTTCTTTGCTAATGCATGGTAGGCTTCTTCGTACTTACAATCTGGTTTGGCTGTCTTGAGGGCATTGACAGAGTTGGTGTAGAACCAATCTTGTGCTGTGCAGCAGTATAGGGTGGCTTTCTTGAGGTCCTCATCGAGTTGTTTCCCAAGTCGCACAGCATCATTCCAGATAGAATCCAGTTCCTTGCCCAGCCTGACAACATCACGATTGTACAGTCATACAGTGTGGATGTGGTCCTGCAGGCCCGCTCATTTTACCACATCGTTCAATGTTAGTGCCTTTTTGAGCTTAGTGTATAGTGTACTACCAAGTTGGACATGTTCATCTGCACCCCTAACAGTGTATGTATCGATGCGGCTCTCCAGACTGTGGTCGCAGGAGGCATGGATAAGACCTACAAGAGCCTTGTCCAAGTCCTCGTCATACCCCTCGCTTCCCGGTGCTATCTCGCTGTACAGGATTTCCTTCGCATTGCGTACTCATTGCAAACAGTTGATGAAAGTAGGCTCCCAGGTGTGCCAGTTGCTATCAATAAGTTTCTTAATATGGGCAATTGAGCTTGAAACGTCCTTGGGGATCTTTTCTGTCTCTCCTCATGGGGTTTGATTGCTAATGGTGACAAGACCCATCGCCCATACTATTGCCTCCTCTGCCATCAGTGCCAGGTTTGCTAACTGTAGAATTCTAACTACCTGCATGAGCCAACCCTCCTCTTGACCATTGCCTGCAGCTGTGGCTGCTTGATCATCATCTCTCTCATCCCTTCTGGTTTGCCCTGCTCTTGTCGCCAGCGGCATTATGCTGAGCATCGAACTCTTGATGTGTTGAATGTCATGGGTTCGAGCCCCACGTTGGGAGCCAGTTGAAGTTTCGTGTGATTTATGATGATGATAGTAAGAGAGAGAGAGAGCGAGGAAAGAGAGAAGGAGTCTTTATATACAAAAGAAGAGCGGCAGAGAGCCACATCGACTGCGGAGCATAACAAAGCATTTGTCTTGAGTAGGTTGTGACACATGTGGTCCGTGCTCAGATGCACAAGCCTTTTACTCAGCCGTAAGCACTACCTTCACCATCTCTACGCTTTTGTGTGGCTTTTACCTACTTCAACTTGTCTCTCTTACTCGCTCCACCAAAATGAAATCTCACATTTCCCTTGCCGGTGGCGCAGAATATTCGGGAGTCGGCTGTTTTCCGCTCCAATGGCAGTTTCGATGTACCTTTACCTATCATCTTTCGTTTCTCAGCGCAATCCTTTCTCCACTACCACCGCTCCACACACAAGCTTCATAAGGTTCCACCTTCTGTTCATAGCGCTCTCAAAGCTTTCGCCGCAAAGATGCCCCCCGCAGACGATCCCAAGTCAAAAGATAAGGGCAGAACCAACGATGATGGCGACCGAGGTACGTTCATCCCTCACCCCAACCTTGGCCTTTCCCGCTCGGTCCGCTTTCTTTGACACCCTTGCTAACCTTTCTTTGCTCCCCCTCCCTTGATGGTCGCAACAGAACCAGTTGTCGATTTCGACGCGCTGCCGTCCGAAGTTGTCCAGTCCTACGTTTCATTCTATGACCTAGCACAGTCCTACCCACCACAAGAATCATCGCAGGATTCGTCATCCAATGGCCGAAAGCATAAAGCTCGTGCAGCTTCTCCTGTTCCAGCCCCATCAAGTCGAAAGCGTGCCGCTGCCGAGAACAGTGCAGCTGATACAGCAGCCGCGCTGGGTGCGAATGCCAGCAAAGCAAACCAAGACGAGATCGCATGTCCACCACATTTCTTCGACGCAGATGCAGCCACCAACTATCTCAGTCATGTCGCTACACAACACTTTGCATCGCAGCCGGCGCCAAAGGAAGGGGAAGTTGTCGTAGGCTTCTTGTACAAGTGTCGCGCAAAGGGCGAGCTTAACAGGCCATTAGCTCACTACAGGCTCAGTGATGCTGCGGACAAGGCAGGGGCACCAGATGCTATTGCGCAGCCTAGCAGGTAGCTTCCCCTCTACTGCGGGACGCATAAGCGTTTTCATCCCATCTCTGCCTCGCATCATACCCAGTGCTTCGCTTCCGCCTACGCTCCTCCTTATGCTTTTTGGTCAACCTGTATCGCTTCGCATCTCGTAATGTATTCTATCTCTCTCCTTCAGTCAGCGCAAACTTTGTCCGTGTCGGAACAGAACAAAGCGACCTGATCATTGCGGCGGTCATGTGAGCTCGTATGTGCCTCGCACAGCTCTGAGAGGCAAGAGTGGACAGCGTCAAACCATCCTGTGAGTGGGAGCTTATCGCCCCCCGATCTCACCGATCTGTGTGCCTGGCCAAGGCAAAGAAGAAGCATTATTGCTGATTTTCTGCCTCTCTGCGCCTTCCCTTGCGGCGTGCTTCTGGATGCTTTGTTTCTTTCTTTTCACTGATGTCGCCCGATCTGGTCGGTCAAGCTTCAGAGCACCACAGCGAGACAGGCCAAATAGGAATGTCTGAAGATCGGGAAAGTCAGAAGAGTCAGTCAGAATCTCTTGTCCTTCTCGCATCAACCATTCTTGCTTGCTTGCTTTCTCCACTCCACCTTTCCGCCAATGCCTCAACTGTAGGCCAGGATCGTCTCTTCATTGGTTTGATTCCAACCGGAACCATCTTAGCAGCACTCGGACCTCAAGACGACCACGACTGTCAACAAATTTGGCCTCAAAGGTATTTGCTTCCACCAGAACATCCCTGCTTCTCCCAACAACCGAATCAGCACATATCGGCGTGGACGACCTTGTAGCATCACTGCATCCCCAGCACACCTTTCCGAACTCACTTCTGACTGGCGCGTATCTTCGAAATGCCTGCTCGACGCTCCCTCGGCGCCGTGGCTGGCCCGTCAGCCCCTGCCGCGCCGCCCGTGGTCGAACTTCACCCTATCACAAAGCGTCTTCGCAAGATGTGGAAGTTTGCTGCCGTCTGTCAATTCCTCTTTGTCTTCGACGAAGCTTTCGGCATGAGTGGCTTCGAGACCGAGACTCTCGAGACCGACTTTGAGAACAACGAAACCAATGTCGTGCCCGACCTGATCAAGCGTCTCCTCTACACCTTGACACTGGACCGCACCATCGACCTCGACAACTGGCAGCACCATCTTCGTATTCAGTACAATCTTCGCGATGAACACTCGGTCAGCCGCTTTGGTACCGCTGAACAACCGATCGAGTGGGCACAGCTTTCGCTCAATGACAAGGTCACCACGCTCCACGACTTGTGCGAGTGGCAGCTCATGGATCCGGAGAGGTTCCGAAAGCTGGTCAAGTCGGAAGAGAACATCACAACCTGGAGAGTCTCACCGATCGGATGGGATGCTCATGACAATGCATACTGGCTGTTTGACGACAATCGCATCTGGATTCAGCGCCCTGAGCCAACACCGAAAGCACCAGCCAAAGCCAAAGTTCCAGCTAAGAAGGGCACAAAGCGAGCAAGGTTGGAAGCTGCTGCTGCGAGACGTGCTGCTTCCTCGGTAGCCAAGTCGTCGTCTGCACCGAAAGCATCCGGTGCGAAGCGAGGTCGATCATCAGATCTGATGCCGAGCTCTACTCCGTCAAAACGCACACGGTCTTCGCTTGCGGACTCTTCTGCATCAACACCATCAAGACCACCACCACGACGTGGAACGCGCACATCAGCACGATTCGCGCCTCAAGACGACGACTCCGCCGCCAACACACCTTCCAACCACCGCACATCAAGATCAGCGACCGCCTCGTATTCCTCCGATTCGGAACTCAGCGAGCCGCCTGAGGATATGGACGTGGATGAGGACACCAAGCATGAACCCGTCGGCAAAGCTGCCAAAGATGACGACAATGACGCAGAGATGGACAATGCAGAAGCAGAGGACGACAAAGATGTAGAAGAGGAGCAGGACAACAAAGAAGAAGAGGAGCAGGACAACAAAGAAGAAGAGGAGCAGGACAACAAAGAAGAAGAGGAGCAGGACAACAAAGAAGAAGAGAAGGAAGCGGAAGCGGAAGCTACAGAGCAAGAGCAAGAGCAAGAGCAAGAATGGGTCGAGTTCGAGACCATTGTCGTCACCCGTCAAGAGTGGCTCGACTTTGCCAAGCGTTTCGCCAAGTCCAAGGATCCCAACGAGAAGAACTTTCATCAATTCATCAACAACGAGATTCTCGACCAGGTCCTCGCAGCTATGGATGAGATCGAGCGTCAGCGTCAGCTCGAGCAGGCTCTTGCCAATCGAAAGCGTTCCAGCCGTATCGCAATGAAGGAGTCAGAGCGGGAAGAGCGTGAACGTGATCGCGAGGCCCGTGCCAGAATGGAGAAGAAGATGGCAGCTATTCGCAAAGAAGAGGAGCAAAAGCGTCAAAAGGAAGAGGAAGAACAGGAAGCACAAAAGTCAAGGGAGCAGCGTCTTCGAGAGCGAGAAGAGCGTCTTCGTGCACGCGAGATCGACATGGAGACAAAAGCAATTCGCGAAGAAGAGGAACGCGAGCGACGCGAAAAGGAGCGAGAGGAACGCAAACGAAAACGGGAAGAAATCATCGCCAACGGAGGCATCCCGCCGCCGTCGAAGGAATCGACTCCTGTCCAAGGAGATGGTTCCATCTTTATCGATGCAAACGGTCAACCTCTCGAGGAGGAGGAAGAGGAATGGGAGCTCAACTGCGAGGTCTGCGGCAAATCAGCCATCAGCCCACCTGACGAGGATGACGAGATTGTCTGTTGCGAGCAGTGCAGTGTTTGGCAACACATCAAGTGTTGGGATGCCTTCGATAAGCAGGCCTTGGGTCTCAAGAAGAAGCGGGATTGGGAGTCGGTTGATTTCTATTGCTCGAGATGCCGGCCACCGCCTGCAGGTACACCTGTACCTCATCCCGGTGTCCTTTCGAAGCGCGACAAGGCCAGCCCACGAAGCAACAGGAGGGCAAGCAACAGTCCAGAGAGCCCCACACGCGCTGCGCCCGGTGGCAACGCAGAGTCGCCACGTCAGAGGATCAAACTCGTCTCCAACTCCAAGAATGCGGAAGCAACAAAGGCAGCACAGGCGGTGCAGCCACCTAAGCGCACAGAGTCAACGAGCGCCGGTCTTGTCAAACCACCAACGGTCCGTTCGCAAACACTTCGACCTCCTACGGCCGGAGCACAGCCTGCTGAGACGGGCATTTTGGCGTCGTCTGGAGCGGCGTCCAGACCCTCTCGGGCTCCTGCTTCAGTGGGACAGCTCCCCCCACCTTCGAGTCATGCGGTTCCAACAAGAGCAGCAGGCAGTGACAAGCCCACCATTGGTCGCCCACTGCTCCCTCCAGCCTCTGTGGGCAGTAGCAGCAACAATGCTTTCGGTGATCCCAGCAAAGCTGAGGCCGCCAGCGTCACCCTTAACAAGCCAACGAATGAGAGCGCTGTCAGTGGCGCTCCTATCAACGGTGCAGAACTGGGCATGGGAGGAGTGACGCAGAGGCGGCAGTTCCCATCAGTTGGTTCGCCGAGGTCGCCTTCATCTGGACCTGTCCCGAGCCCGGGCACGTCGACGGTGGGCAATGGTAGCGCCACATTGTCGCCTCGATCGGCATCGTACGGTGCGAACTTGGGAAGTGCTGGATACCGTCGACCTTGGCAGGCATCGGGTTCGTTCCCTATGCGTCACACGCCAGCCAAGTCGCCGTTGTCGAAACCCTACGAGTCTCGTCTGCAGAACGGTGAGCGACCAGCAAATGGCTTCAGCCTTGGACCTGCTCGAGCAGCGAGTTGCTCGGCCAGTCGTGGTGCCGGTCAATACGCTAGCCTAGGAGCAACGGCCAAAACGCTCCACCCTTGGACTGCTGTGGTTCCTGCCGCGCCTGCAACGCCTGTTGTGCCTGTTGTGCCTGTTGTGCCTGTTGTGCCTGTAGCGCCAACCGCGTTGGGTAACGTTGCTGGTGGTGCTTTTGTTCAAAACATCTTCGAAGCTCCTGCTCCGCCAAATTCGAGCGAAGCAGCGCCTGCGAATGTATCAACGCTGACGGAATCGCCTACACGACCACAGCTCTCCTCGACCGGATCCGAGGGTGCCAAGGGCCAACAGAAGGAGCCTGGCCCACTTGATCTGGATGCAGGTGTTGGATCGACGAGTAGTCAAGGTGAGATCAGAGATCAAAGGAGAGCATCTTCAGCGGCGGCTCAGGCCTTCCGCACGCTAGAGCATGGTCTCAGCTCGGCACAGCCTGGAGAGAAGAAAGAAGGAAGCTCAGCCCCTGAAGTCAAGGTTGTCGAGCTTGCATCTACGCACATTCAGAGTGCTTGATGAAGGTACATGCTCTTAGGCAGTGCCAACCTTGCTTGTAATCGTACCTCTACCGTCATCATTATGCAATCGACGAACAATCGGAAGAGCCGCATATCCTTTCCCCTCGACTGTTGGTAGCGGCTTTCGGCGACAGCCGACTTGAGATAAGGTTTTGAGGCAAGTGGTTGACATTCTGCGACGTGGAGCGGCCGACAATCACACTGTCCTCTGGAAGCCAAGCGTGAATGTACCTCTGCGCTGTGAGATTCGATAGTGCTTCCGATCGCTGTCGGATGGAGCGATGGCCCTGCCAAGGATCGGCATTCTCGGCCCGCCGTCAAGGAGTGGAAGCAGGTGATCTTCAAGTCGATCGACGATGTGGAAAGCTGTTCAAGTGTTTGAGGCTGATAAGTTGCATGCCGAGGCCCAAATGAGTCTGTGCCGCATCGAGGTCGCATTAGTCCGCCTCGTTTCCTTGATATGATTTCGAGGTTTGAGTTGAACTGCAAGCTTGGCACCCGGTCGAACCGGCTAGCAAACGAGTTCGATACCGAGTCCCTGAATTCAGCCTGAGATGAAGTGCTCTCCACACAAGCAAAATAGTCGGAGCACTGTCGTTGGTGGCACGGATGTGGCATCATGGACGCTCGTTGACTGCAACCTTGGTGTGAAAGCAAGTTGAATACGGATCGGCCACTCACCCGCAAGACGAGATTGCCGCCATTGTGCTTTCACTGAACCAAATAAGGTTTGGTGGACAGGAAATTTCATTCGCTCGAACAAACAGCGTGAGGGTGTGGGAAGAATGGCGAAGTGGCAACTGGATAATGTTTGGCTCCAACACATTCTGGCTTTCGAGCAACAGAAGCATTGACTTGCCGCTTTGGCCTCGGTCGTCGTTTCTGGATCGTACGAAAGAAGCGGCAGGAGCGCTAGTGAACTCTACTCGTTCAGCACAAGATTACGAAGCCAAAACTAGAGTCAATTCAATGGCAACGGTAATGCTGGCGGTGATCGTGCTCGGGTTCACAAGCTTTTCTCCTTTCTTCTCAGGATCCAAGAGACATGAAGCGGCAGAACAAAGGAGAAGGCACTTGTGAAGCGCTACAAGCTTTCCTTTCCTTGCTGTCCTGTCCGCTCTGCTAAGGCACATTGCCTTTGTCTGGATGCAGGGACCGCCTCTAAGCGGGAGATAGTCGGAACTGGGCCGAAATCGAACGCTTGTCTCCTTTTTCACCCCTTTTTCACCCTTTCCGACCCTTCGCTTGCGGGATCGGTAAGCTGCCGAGGTGTCTAGACTTCGAGAAGGACCGTGTCTAAGCGAGGCAAGCTGACTTTGAAGGGTCCAGGCCCTCTGCTATCTGGCGGTACAGCCGACAATTTCTTCTACGAGCCAATCATTGGCATAGCTGCTAAGAGACTGGCCGTTTGCCTTGCCGTTGCGAGATGGGTCTCAGCGTTGCTTTCCTTTCGTGAGGGCCGATGCTCAGACGGGATAGCCGAATCTTAGCCGTTCACGAGAGACCCGGCGATTCCTTATCTCCAGCAGCACCTGACCAGTGAACAAAGTTGGCGCCTCATTTGGAAGAAGTGTTGCTAAGATCACAAAATGCTGAGTCGTCGCCATATCGTCGCGGATGTTGCTCCATCTCCTCGTCTTGGTCCCTGCCAATGTTTATTTTCACTTCATGTTCGAACTGTGTGCAGAGAGGTTTGAGGTGTCAAAAAGCTACTCCCGCAACCCGCCGCTGCCGCACGGACGCTTGGAGCGCTTCTTTAGCCAGGAAGAAGAGCGGATCAGCTCAAACATGCAGTCGATCACCAGAAGAGAGGTCATGGCTAAAAAATGTGATCTTCCGGAAGGTGAGAAAAAATAATTAAAGGGCTTGCATTTTGGCGTGTCAACAGAAGCCGAAACGACAGAAGGCGACGCGTTGTGTGTTGTGATGCAATTGAGAACATCATGCAGTGTGAAGTGATTATCACGCAGTGCAGCTGCTTCACGACCCACCATCGCAAAGAGGAGGTCTACAGTCCCGGCAGCGTGGCAGACATCACGCCTTTCATTCATATTTTCCTGTGACTGCGACTGCGACTGCGACTGCGACTGCGACTGCGACTGCGGCTGCGGCTACTTGCGGGAGAAAGAACATTGCAGCAATCCACGTTGGCAACCCACCTTACGCCACTCATCGGAACAAAAAAAAAAGCCAACTTCTTTGCTTTCTGAAACGACGAACAACAGGGTTGGCCGATGGAGAAAAGCTCGACAAGAGCCTTACAGTGCTGTAGCCGTCGGAGTCGAATCCTGTAACAAGCTTGTTTTGACGCTGTTCTTTCGCTGCCGAGTGAATTGGCTCGGCTTACAGACGGAAACTCTTGCTTATCTCCAGCTATCAGAAACGCGATCGCTCTTCAGCTGACAACGCCCAGATTCAAAGCTTTGCATGGTCAAAGGTGCGGTGATGGCACTACCACAAAATGAAGTGAAGCATAAAGTGAAGCACGGGCCTCGTGATCAGAAGAAGAGGCCCAAGTTCAAGCTCGAAGAGCGTGAGACAGCCGGATCGAGCTCCGTGATCTTCGCTGCTAACTGGCGAACTGTGTATGTATGGAAGTCGGAAGCCATCGGATCGTGGGACGGAATGAAGGAGGGTCCCGGACGGTCACATCACACCATTCAGCAGAACTTTTAGAGTTTCACTTCACTCACAACCCAAGCCAAAAGCAAGTAAAAAGCCAAGCTCGGTCACTCGCTCGTACACTCACACCAGAGCCCAAAAAAAAGAAAAAAAAAAAAAAGAAAAAAAGAAAAAAAAAAAAGGAAACGACGCAAACCGGTGGGGCTCAGTTAAGGTCAGCTCGTCGATAACACAGCATTGTGGGTTCTTCGACAGCATTCCGTCCGTGCGGAGAAGGGAAGGCTACAGTACAGTATAACAGCGTCGAGTGGAATCCCTCTTCGGATCACTCTCGACGATACAGCCGGCAATCACAGTCCGAATCTACCGTTGTTGGTTATCAGCCCACCACACTGCTCAGCTTCCCGTTTGCTACATCTTGGTGGGTCTGCTCCACTCTATCATGGCGCTTGGCTGCCGTGCGGTGTCTTTTTTTTCTTTTTTGCCCCATCTTTGACCGTGCGTTCATTCGTGATCCAATTTGTGGGTTCACTTTTTTTTCTCTTTGCCATGTGGAGCCGATGCTGAGATATTCTTTCTCCTTCATATTAGACTGACGCTTGCCAGGATGTGCGAATGTGACTGTAGCAAGGCAGCAACCTTGAGCCACTTTCCGACAGCTTCTGCTATCTTTTATCTTTTATCTTCTTTTTCTTCTTCTTGACTGGTTCTCAGTTCTTCTTGCTGTAACACTGCGGAAGAAAACCGATGAAGCACAAATCACAGAGCACGCACCTCGTCAGCATAACGACGTAAGGACATTCATTCAGCTGTCACACTACGCAGTGCGGGTCAGAAGAAATGAGAGCAAAACCCCTCTTCACTGCACCTTCGAATGAGCTTCTTGTTGTGATTCGGCAAAGGATATATACTTGGACCCTTTTCCTGCTTCCCTCCCGACCTGACAACTTGTCCATCAACATACATCGCCATTAAAAGCATTTTCTTCCGCACCTCATACTTTTTCCGCATTTACCTCAATCCTTTTGCAACCCCCGTTCCAATCATCAGAACACTAGCCACTGCGCTTTCTGCTCGTGCCTCCTGCTATCGACGCCATTGTATCGTCTCTTTTATCACATTCTTGTTCCAGCCAGTCACACTTCTTCAACCCTGCGCCTCCACAGTCTCGTTCTTGCAAACCTCTGCTACTCCTCTCTTCTTCGACACATCGACACATCCACTTCTCTCGAGCTCATTTCCTCCATACTACCCTCCTCCATACTATCCTCCTCCATACTATCCTCCTCCATACTATCCTCATCCTCACGTCTGCTCTTGACCCAGCAGCTTCTCCACAGTCACAAAGCAACAATGTTTGCTACCACTAACGACCTCAGTATGTGCTCCCGAGCCGTTGCAAAGCCTCCCTGCCCTCAGACAAAATCCGAGTCTAGCATTCTCCCGACGAAGCACACTATCAATCGCAACAAAAAGCATCTCTTCAAGGCAACTTCTGTGGACTCTGCCGATGAGATTCAGGTCATCGAAAACCAGCAGGCCGCCATCCCTATTCAGACCGCTCACGATCCTAGACCATCCGATCGACACTCGGATCTCGACATTGGCAGTGTCCACGCTCACAGACGGAGGTCATCTCCGCTCTTTGAAAGGCGAAAGAGAGACGACATCGACCTGCTTGGCGAATCGATGGATAGCAGCGACGACGAATACAGAGTCACCTCGGCTCGCGACTCGAACGACAGAGGCCGAGGACGACGCATCAAGCCCTTGCTACATCGCAAGCAGACCCACCCTCCTCATCGACAGCAGCGAAGCGACTACAACATGGCCGACATGACTGCCTACTCGCCGCGCCTCGGCTATCCCGTTGATTGCGGCTACAGTCCCGATGCAGTCTCTAAGCAATACACACGATATCACAACAACGAAAATATGCACAAGCATGCTCATCGATCTCATCAAGGCCATGACAAGCCTTTCAACGTCCCTCCTCCCGTGCCCTCTGGGATTGAGCACGAGGCTATGGTCTTCGACAATTTCGAAGACATCAGCTCCATCTACTCGGCCTCCGAACAGGAGCAGGAGAACCAAGACCCCTTCGACACTCATCTCCACTTTGTGCGTCCTGCCATGCCGATTTGCACCAATCCAGGTGCATTTGTCACACTCGAACCTCTCGTCACTCCCACAAGCTCGTCGAATGGAGGACTACAAGACACGGAACAAGCGAGCAGTCAAGCGAAACGGAATCGCCTCGGACATCACCGAACTGCCAGCGAGCTCTTTCCTACATGCTCTGCCAACTCCAAGCTGGTCGATGTCCGAGCTACTCGCCGTCGCGCTACTGTGGGGGCCGAAGCTGCTTACCGCTTTCCAACTTTGAGTCGTCGGGGTGACCTTTCAGCTTGATGTGATTGCCGGGCCAAAATCCGCTCAGCAGCCTGAGTCGGAGCAAAGATTTGTTTGAGTCGAATGATTCAAGTCACCGCTCAAGATGCCACATCCATTGGTCTTGCCTGTCTGCTAGCCTGCTACCGCTCATTCAATCGAAGAGATTGCGATCTTGATTTGATTTGCAACTTCTGTGTGAGAGACATCATAGATCTGGTGACCTGAGCTCGTGCCAATGAGATGAAGGGGGCATTGCTTCTCTGCAAGTGCACGATGGACGTAAGGGAAGACATTGAAGAGAGGGTTGGTCAGCTCGAGTGGTTACTTTGATATCAGCACGAACAGATGACTTGAACGTACGAGAGGTGTGGTGGAAGGTAAGGCTTTCCTTGCTCGTCGAATTCGACTATGTGAGAGACCTCGACCGCTGGTCGACCCTTGCAGCTGCGGGGTGAGAATGGACATCGGACAACAAAGGGAGTCAGTATGTCTTGGCTGCCTCCGTCTCCGCGCGGAAACGTATGTTGAAACTTACATTCGAAAGATCCGGTCAATAGTATGGCAAAAAGCGCGATTCATGTGAAAGTCGCAATAATGCTGTGTGAGCTCTGCTAGCCGGCATCCTGAACTCATTGCCTCTGCTCGGCTCTCTGGCTCGCATAACACCGGTTTGCCGAACATCCCGAGTGGAAGCATCGACATCAAGCTATGCCACAATGACGAAACTGATAAGCTTGCGCTTCGACTTGCTCCGCCGTTCAGCCGAGACGCCAGTGGTACAACGGGAACATCGATTCCAGGCCCCGAATCCCTTGCTTCCAGAGCATGCTGTTTGCCAGCATTGTATCCGCGATACGTACCCATCAGGTACATACAAGCACCCACAGACGTCGCAAGAGCAATCAAGGTACGATTGGACCACTTCTGCTCTGGCCAGTTTGGTCTGCCAGCACCTCGTCCACCTCGTCCTCTATTGAGCTCTTCGAGCCTTTGTGCTTGAAGCTTCGCTAGCCTTGACCTAGCGTCGCCGTCGGAAGCGTTGTTGTTGCGCTGAACTGCGGCGACACGAGCTGCGTGTGGGTTGGTCGATGTTGCCGGCTGTGAAGCGTTGCAGCGAGGTCCGGCCCGAGATAGACAGCGAATCGGAGTTGTTCGGGTCAAATGTACCGGTGCTATGCTGCGTAGAGCTGGTGGTGTCGCTATCGGGAACATGTTGTGTGAATGTGGTCGAGTGTGTCGAGGGTGATGGTCAATTGGCATATTTCTGGTAACCCTCAAAGTCTTTGTGGAGGCTCCTCGACTGCCGACTGCCGACTGCCGACTGCCGACTGCCGACTGCCGAAATATTGGATTCAGCGCTCTTGGCGAAATGGAGGGTGAGGAAATGGAGCCAAAAAAATGTGGCCTAGAAAATCCTTCGAAAAAAGGGCGATGGACTGGGTTGTGTTTGTTTGTCAAGCTTTGCCGGGAAGAACATGAAATCTGTTGCGCGAGACGTCACCCCACAGCACAGTCAAAGCCGGCGTAGGAGCGGACCCTGGAATCGACCACAACAGCAGCTCGACATCGCCGTTCGACCGTGAAACTCTCTCGTGCAGATCAAGACCACTCTACTCGAGATTGTCGTGGTCTGATAAGCGAGAGGATGCAGTCCAACGGTACAGCCCAAGAGCTCGCTCGCCAAAGCGGTGCAGAGCGTGCTATGCGACAGCTCGCTAAGACGTGAGAAGATCCTGTTTCTTCTCATCTCTCTCTCCTCCCAGACCCTTGCCCTCACCTCCTCTTCTCGTTATAAGCCAGGCCGTTATCTTGCCTTTTCTTCAACCCTCTTTCTCTCACAGACCTTCACTCCTCCCAATCCCAGGAAAAGAACGGCAAGATGGCTTCCTCCGCCAACAAGCACTCGGACAAGCTCGAGCACAACTACACCATGATGCAAGCCTTCGAGTGGTACACCCAGGGCGAAGGCAAGCATTGGAAGTGGCTCGGCGAGAACGCAAAACGTTTTGCCGACATCGGCATCACCGCTGTCTGGATCCCTCCGCCCACGAAAGGAGCCTCAGCTTCGAGCACTGGCTACGACATCTACGATACTTGGGACTTGGGAGAGTTCGCTCACCCCAGAGACAAGGAGGCCGGTGTCCAGCCTCCCAACCGTACCAAGTATGGAACCCGTCAAGAGCTTGAGGCTGCTCTCAACGAGCTTCGCAAGAACGGCATCTCGATCTACGTCGACGCCGTACTCAACCACCGAATGGGCGCTGACGAGCTCCAGACCTTCAAGGCTCGCATGGTCGACCAGAACGATCGTTCCAAGCTTATCTCTGATGCCTACGACATCGAGGGCTGGACCAAATTTACCTTCCCAGGCCGTAATGGCAACTACTCGGACTTCAAGTGGGGCTTCGAACACTTTACCGGAGTTGACTGGGATCAGAAGGCCCAGACCAAGGCCATCTTCCGTATCGAGGGGGACGGCAAGCAATGGGCTACAGACGTCGACAAAGAGAATGCTAACTACGACTTTCTCATGGGATCAGATGTCGACCATGCTCACCCTGATGTCCAGAAGGATCTCCTCGACTGGGGTGCCTGGATCATGAGCAACTTCCCTGTTGCCGGATTCCGTTTCGACGCGGTCAAGCACATGTCGCGCGATTTCCTGCACGACTTCGTCAAGCACATCCGTGAGGAAGCTCGCAAGCTCCGCAAAGAGCGAGGCATCGAAGCTGCCGACGAATCCCAAGGTCCCATCGCCTTCAGTGTCGGAGAATTCTGGAAGGACAGTCTCGATTCTTGTCTCAAGTATCTCACCAACTTCGGAGACGAGCAGTTCTCTCTCTTCGACGCTCCCCTCCACTACAACTTCAAGGAAGCCGGAGATGCAGCCGAGAACTATGACCTTCGTAAGATCTTTGATGGGTCCATCGTTCAAGCTCGACCCATTGACGCCGTCACTCTCGTTGACAATCATGACACCCAATCCGGTCAAGCTCTCGAGTCGACCGTTCCGGCTCAATTCAAGCCTCTCGCCTACGCTCTCATTCTCATGCGACTCGATGGCTACCCATGTGTCTTTCTTGGAGACCTTGACGGCTGCAACACTACCGGTATCGACAATGGTGAAGGCAAAGCCGAGCCCATGGCTGATCTGGACAAGTTCGTCAAGGCACGCAAGTACTATGCTTATGGAGAGCAGCGCGATGTTTGGGATCACCCCAACTGCATTGCTTGGGTTCGCACGGGTAGTAAAACCGACGACAACGATGCTGGATACGATGCTTCAGCTACCATCATCTGCAATGGTACTGAGCAGGGCTCGAAGCCAGTCGAGGTCGGAAAGAGGTATGCTGGGCAGAACTTTGTTGATGTCATTGGATGGTTCCAAGGTGAACAAAAGGTCAATCATGACGGCTGGGTTGAGGTCCACTGCCACCCTCGCTCCGCTTCCATTTGGGTTCCTGAGAACTCCAAACACCGTCAATTCTTCTGAACACACACTCACGACAATGATTTTTAAACATAAACGAGCAATAGATAGAACTCATGTGACAGAACAAGTGTTGACTACATTAGTATTGCCTCGCCACAGTGGCTGTTGTGCGCGCGACAGTTGCATGAGTGATCAGCTGCTAAGACATGAGGTAGCAAGACATGGGTCTATGGCTGCGCAGAATTTCTAGCCATCCTTACGCCCAGAACGGGAGGGTCTCAAGGGCAGTTCGAGATCTACATCTTGACACTGCCCAGGCGGATGGAGGTACGATGGATGAAAGCCGGGCGGGTACAATGGCTCTGACTGCGATCGCCACTGCTACATCTCAGCTGCATAATGAGGTGGATGCTGGCGTAGGCGAGGCGACAGCTGCCCTTCAATGTTGAAGAAAGCACGTTCATCTCCTGGAGCTTCAGCATGCTGATCAACATATGAAAGTCAACCCAGTTCGGGGAGGACGGAATCGCTTCCTCGAAGGCGAAAAAGACCAGCACCCATCACAGCTTCTCTCATATGCAGGTCAGTCAGTATCGGAAGTGACACACAGCAACAAGGGGGGCAGAAAGCGTGCGGATAAAGGTCGATTGCGGCCAGGAACTGGATGAGGATCCTCTCCCGCCCATTACTAAGATAGGATGAGTGCAGTGATGAGCGTTTCGGTAAACGAAGAGTTAAAGAGAAACAAACCATTAAAGCTAGGCAAAGACTTGGCAGTCAAGGAGTGGTAGGTTGCAACAAAGCACGATTTGAATTCTTCACAAGTTCCAACTTACCTATGACCGAGACCCAATCTCCAACTGTGAGAGGACTACTGTGCCCCGTCTTGTAAGCCTTCAGTCCTAGCAGCACCGAACGTGTCATGATGGTTTTACTCTCCAGCATGCCCACGAATTGAAACGCCAAGCGACGCTGCCGTGGGAGCTCATAGAGCCTCCAAATGTACATGTGATACTTTGCCTCTCGAACAGGGTTCATTTTCCCGTGCCTACTAGCGAAGTTGGACGCACCATTGTTGCTCCCCGGAACAACAAAGTAGCCGGGTTTGTACTCTAACAAATGTGCTCTCCAGGATCCCATAGCCTCCCTGGCTAGCTCAAGAGTGAGATGCTCTCCATCAAAAGGGAGAGTGGAGATACCGAAGCTCGATGAGCGAGGCTTCAAGCTGTGGAGTTCCACTTCCGCTTCTTTGAGAATCGATTGTCTTTCTAGTATGCTGAGAGGGGGTGGTAAGACGATTGATCCCGAACGTTCGAAAAGGACACTTGGTAGTACCTCTCGCTTGGGCACGTATTGCCTGATTTCAGGGATGGTAGGATGGTAAGGGCCGCTTGAGAGGGATGAACTTCCGGGTTCACTGCCAGGCGATGGCAGAGAGCTTGCAAACCTAGGATCTGGAGCAGTGACAGGGTACGACGGAAAAACGTCCAGATGAGGATGGTGAGGGTTGCAGACCGGCTGGAAAGCCTGAGGAACAGGGTGCTGCGCTGCATGAACCTCGGTTGGGAGCCACCCTGTCTCGAAGAATGATCGAATGCCGCCCGCATCATGATTTTTCACCAAAGCATTGACCTCTTGCCAAAAATCACCGCCGGCATGAGCGAGCCCAAAGAGCGTTGAGAGCAGCAGATAGAGCACAAGGACGACCATCTGCATTTTGGGAACGGGATTTCGTTGGAGCCGGAAAGCCGTACTATGTGATCGTTGACGAGAAGAGCGAGAGCTATTGCGACCTTTAATACTGTTGGCTCGCCTCAAGATGGTACATAGAGCTCCTTCGAAAAGTCCATTGGTTTCAATTCAGAAGGCACGGTCCGACTCGAACATGAGCAGGGTATTTCAATGTACTCTCTTTGTCGATAGCTTTCGCACTTTGCACCACAGCACTTTTGTACCTTCATGTCTCGGTGTCTAAATGCACCAACTCAAGTTCGCAACAGCACCAGATCAATCTCGTCATTGTACCATTTCATTTTGCATTTCTTGCAATCAAAGCAAAGCTCAAGCCAGGGCCCACAGGTTGGCAAGGTCATTGGGGAGCTGCATTGAGAGCTCTTCGTCACCTTCACTCGTGTTGTAGTGCTGCTCTCGGCCTAGCGCTTCACCCTTGATGGCCCTAAGCAGGTTCCTGTTGACTTCTCTTAACCAGCCTTTGGTCATTTCCGGGATTAAAGTAGTCTCCAGAGAAAGCGTCTTGCACTTGGCACGAGGCATGAAGATCGTGGTCACAAAGCACAGGCAAAAAATTGACTCAGCACTGCAAAATGAAATGGTACAATGACGAGATCGATCTGGTGCTGTTGCGAACTTGAGTTGGTGCATTTAGACACCGAGACATGAAGGTACAAAAGTGCTGTGGTGCAAAGTGCGAAAGCTATCGACAAAGAGAGTAAAAGCCGAATGAAGTGCATTCATGACTACTTCATCACAACAGGATTGCACAGTCACACCCGACGCATGACGCATTCATGTTAGACTGCTAGGTCCCACCCAAGTAACCACGCAAGTTGCTGTAGAGCAACCGAGATCATTCTCGCCGAAACGACGAACGTACCAATGTCAGCTCACACCACCGGCAACGATGGCAATGGCGTGTCGACAAACGCTAGAGATGCAGGCGTACCCCGGCCCGGATCTGTCGTGCTTCACCCACAATTGATCAGTGACGATGCCAAGCGTTTCAATATAACTTGCCGTGAGATGTTACCTTAAACTATTCGTCTGCTGTAGAATTGACGATACGCTGTTCGAGACTAAGTAATCAGCAGTGAAGGAGGGCGAGCGACTATCGCTATACTCTGGCTCTACTAGGCAGTGGAATATCTACTCCCGTTCTACTCTCCCATTCATCACGGAACAATTGTGAGGGAACAAGGACAGAGTCCGGTCCCACTACTTCTGCATTTTCACGGTTGATGACGTACCTGAGAAGCCTCGTAGTGTGTGTTTTGGTCAGTACGCCTGTTTCTAACATGCCAACGAGCTGGAAGATGTTCAAGCTTTCAACTCCTTTTACTGGAACATGTTTCCAGATAAACATTTGGTACTTGCTCTCCCTCACCCCCAGCATCCCTGCTTCAAACTGATCTGTGCTTGGCTCAACCCCGAGGCGCCTTGGAATGACAAAAAGACCAGACTTGATCTTCTTCAAATATTTTGCTTTTTTGAACTCCCCCAAAAGGTTGGGACCTATACTATGTCCAGCAAACGGATGCTGCAAGGTGGCCTTCGTTGTGGTGGTAAGGTGAGTCGCGACGCTTGTGAGGATTTTTTCTCTTTCTGCCGGAGTTAGAGGCGGTACTTTGCGAGCAATGCCCATCACAGGGTGGGATTCACGCCCGAACGCGCTTGGCGGCATGTCGCCATGAGTTGCAGCTTGAAGTGTTGCTGGTTGAACTTGAAAGGAAGCTACTGTAGACATGCGCTGGCTTGTTGAAGCAGAGAGCGGATTTGACAGCCAATACTGCGGCACAAGTTGTTGTGGATGAGACACAATCGGGTCCTCGGGATGTGGTGTCACTGCATGAGCCGTAATGGTTTCTAAATCCACCGATGACGCCTTTGACGCTCCCAGATATTCTCGTGCCGCTTCGTGGTTTGTTGAAATCTCGAGTATTTCCTGCCAGAAGTTGCCAGGAGCTGCTCCGATGCTAAAGCCTGTTAGGATGATTAAGCACGGCAGAAGTGCAAAACCGCGCATCTTCATGGCAAAGGAGTTGGAAACGTTCTGGAGGGTGTTTATAACGAAGAACTTCCAAGATGATCACTTAGTCTTAGTCGCCTCAATAGATTGCAGGAATGATGTACAGCAAACTTTATATAGACTTGACTGAACGGCAAATAGCTATCACATTACACCCAGAGCAGCACAGGAGATAAACAAGTCAACGGCATCCTGACGGAACGCAGCTCCGGATAAAAGTTGCGACGCCGTTCTTGCCGGTGTGAAGCTGATCTGCGACCGGTTGCACGCATCACTTGGGAACACCCAAAGTCGCTGGATGAGGTTTGTGTAGCCTGTCAAAACTGTGCGGAATTGAAAGCTTCTACTCACGGCGGGTTGCTGAAGACCTCCTCGGCATACTCGACCCTCGAGTCAACTTTTCTTCATTATGCGCTCCGGAGAGGACGGACGGATACTCGACTTTCTCACACCAGCTTCCCACAGCGTTTACTCTTGTGCTGGCGGATACACTACAAGATCGATTACACAGTCAGGGCCAGGCAGAGTCAAAGTACAGATGAAATTTTATGTGGGCTGTTGCATCGGAGCTGTGAGAATTTGGCTATGACAATGTTATATCTGATAGATCCCACTCAGCCTTGCGTTTGTGTCGCTTCAAAGCGTTTGAGATCAAGGTAGCCAGAGCAATCTGGCAAAGACGAGCCACAAAGCCGGCTCCGAAGACTAGAGCTTGCTAACAAGAACGACTTAATGTATCGCGATGTTCTGCATGTTAGAGGGATACCGGCTCGCGCTAGACCGGTGATCCGGTAAAAGGGGCCGTCATACCGGCTAACAGACATCCGAGAAGGAAGGAGGTTTACCCGTCACTGTTTCCCGTCATGTTCGGCACCATAGTGTGGATATATGAGGAGCGATACTTAGTTGCTCGCTGTGTAGATAATGTTTCCTAGGGCCTTCAAGTACGTTAGAAGGGAAGCTTGGAATTAAGGCGTGAAGGGGGAAGGGAGGGAGGGAGGGAGGGAGGGAGGGAGGGAGGGAGGGGGAGGGGGAGGGGGAGGGGTTGCGAATCGCCTCTATATATACCTTACATGTCTGGCTGTGTTCTAACTGTGTTCTGCTGAGCGCCCGAGGAGCGCTCCTAAATACAAAGGGAAGCGATAGTGATCAAAGGGAAGCGATGGTGATCAAAGGGTGGTGATAACGAACAAAAGGTAGTGAGGATTCATGTGAGAGAATCAAAGGGTCCGTAAGGGGCTTCCGACGCGAGCTCAGACAGGCCGTCTGGAACATTCACTCTTCCTCATCTGTACTTACCGTTCGTCGTCGTCGTATGCAATCAAGATGCGTCCTACCACCTAACTCGTTATCATCCCAACACTGCAGACCACTTTATCGAGCACGCTTTTTCACATGCCTTCTAGCACCACAACATTATGCGTATCAACATCTGAGAAAGCTTACTCTAGAATGCTTGATGAAGATTAAGTCACTACGTAGGCATTGATGTTCGGAAAGCTAATCCGGCAGATCAAGAAGTGAGAGACCGTCATTTTAGCCCCATCCAGGCTGATCAAAGTGTGTCGGGCTAGTTGAAGCATGTGTGATCGGCGATAGATGCATGCAAATGCAAACTTCGCCGAGCCCACACAACAATCGCCAACGTCGCTCGCTTGGATTAAGTGCGTTGCCCGGGCCGACCGTCGAAGCCAAAGACGCCGGTCACCAGGCAGCCGGTGTTTTCCTCCCAAACCTCACGCTCACTATCCATGATGTCGCCTCATTGGCCCCTAGCATAACACGCGCACATAAGGAGGATTGAGACATATATAAGCACCCGATTCAACATGTACCTAGAATAGCATTACTTATCGCAATCGACACTTGTGATCACTGACTTTGACGCACCTCCGATTGATCTCGACGACGCTCTTCAACTGGGCTGCCCTTGGAAATCAATTCGTTAAAAACGAGAATGGAATCCGATCCAAGCGCTTGAGCGCCACCACTACCGGTCAAGTACTTAGGCATACTTATAACAGCATTACGGCTCACCACTCCTGCCTCTATCATGCCAATAAGCTGAAAAATGTTCAGGGAAGCCTCTCCGGGAACCGGTACAAGGTTCCAGACATACATCTGGTACTGGCTCGCTCTTACACCTTCCATTCCAGCTGTAATCTGCTCCGGGTTAAGATTTTTGTCCCTGCCCCGTTGGACGACGAAGGAGTCAGGCTGAATCATTCTCAGATACCTACTTGAGGTGAACTCGTTCAACAATCCCTGACCTATACTATTACCACTGAAGGGATAAATCAAGTTCGGAATCACCTGCGTTTCGATATTACTCGCGACGTTCATGAGTATCCCTTCCCTTTCGGTCTGAGTCAGAGGTCTGGGTATCTTGATCTCCTTTTGAATCCTTGTCAAACGATTGGCTATTAAAATGGATGTTCTTGACGACGGCTCAACATGAGAGGTTGAAGCTTGAGCTGAAGGCAGCTGATCCACATGAGCTGCAGCTTGAGCTGTTGTTGGATGAGCCCAATGAGGCACAGCTTGAGGTGGCGCCAGCTCAGTCGGATGGAAAACCAGGTTTGACTCATGCTGGCCAGCTGAAGAGGTGGGGTCCCAGCTATAATGTTGCGGCGGGAAATACTGGGGATCCAGCGAGTTGGACCAGTCAGGTACCGAAAACCTAGACTCAGCTGGAATGGTTACAGGATTTGTGTGCAAGCCTGCAATGACTTCTGTAAGTGCTTGAACTATTTCCAACTTATCAGCTCTAATACGTTCCTCCAACGAAGGGCTGCCGAGCGGTAATCCGATGCTGAAACTCGCCAGAATGGCTACGAAGATCAGGAGTTCGAGGTTGCGCATGTTCGTAACCATCCCGGGCAACACTTTCTGACGAAGAACTTGTTCAAGTGATGAGATCTGTTCATGTCAACATTGCTGGGAGCAGGCTTTAAGTAGACATGACCGTAAGACAAGAAACTGCCAGACTGCCACCAAGTGAGTCATCAGACGGACGGGAAGAGCGGTGTTCCTGGGCAACGACTCAGCGTCAATCGATGGTACTATGCAGCCCGGCGGTGGACGACGCACTGATTGTGAGCAGGCCCCACCATGCAGTACTCCCTGTGGGTCAAAGAAGACCTGATGGTCTATGTACTGTACTCCCTCTTTGTCGATTGCTTTCGTGATTCACACCAAAGCACGTTGTACTTTTGTTTCAAATGCAAGCCAACTCAAGTTTAAAGCTTCACAACACCATTCTTGTATTTCACTTGCTTGCATCCTGTGGGTCTTCTCCAAGCTGGTTCTTTCAGAGCGAAGGCGCAGAGGTCATTCCTCCCTTTTTGCGGGCGACGTCAGGGTCAAAGTAACCGCTGTGTTTGACGGCCCAAAGAGGATGGCCTAGGCCTTGATCGGAAAAAGCCCGTTGCTTGTGGATAGCATTCTAGGTGGGATTGCTCCGCCGACACATGGACTTCTGCGTAGGTCATCATTCCTCGACAACCGCTCAATCGCCTTTGCAAGGCTGCCTGTCCAATGACTTCCTCGTTTCGAAGCTGTGGAAGTTTGCTTTCAACACCTTCATAAAATGCCCACTTGGTAACAAAGATATCTGGACAATATGTGCATACCGATGTGGCAACCTCCGTCATCACATCAAATGACTCTTTCCTGACTATTAAATCAAGCCTCGACAACCCGACCCAACCTTCGGCCTTATTTGGGCCACTCTGCACGGTGTCTTCAATACATTCCCTTTGCAACAACGCAACTATCTGAAGTGCGCTCGTAACCGTCATGAAGCCAACGATGTTTGTTGTCACACCCCACCCGTCCCACTGCGAAACACAAGTTACCCATCCGTGTGAACGTGATTGCAGGCAACGCCTATTGTTTGCGTCAGGGATCTGCTGAAGTTGCTTCGACAAGTCTTACACTCAGACATAGTGCAAAACTTCCCGGAAAGCTGCCAACGAGTTGAATTTAGATACACCACTAGGAGACCACGGTCAGGCACTCCTTTATCTGATGTTCTATGTAAAAGGCTTGTCTTCTCATAAAGAGGTAACGACTGAGCTAAGGGCATATATACATGTTCTAACCACCTGACTGTGCTCTCTATGTCGAGTCATGCCCATGTGCCACGTATCTTCTTTTATGAGTGTTGTCATGTCAACACATCCCCTGCATACCATGGCGTTAATCCTCGTGCATACGCTGCATTAGCTCCCACTAGCTTCGCATTCTGCTCGTCCTCTTCATCGCCTGATACCTTCCCGATTTCCCGATCCTGTGAACTCCCATTTAATGCATCACGCGTTGGCGATGCCGGTGCATCTTCAACTCCCCCCCTCAACGGCATGTCCAATCCTATCATTCTTGATATCCTTGTCGTGTGGAGTCCCTTGAGAGGTTTCGTGAGTATGTCAGCGACATTGTTGGCCGTTCCGACGAACTCGATTGATATGTCACCATCTTGCACATGATCCCTAACAAAGTAATATCTGGTATCGATGTGTTTGAGCTTCCAGTGTTTGGCCGGATCTTTACTGACCTGTATGCACCCTTGGCTATCGGTGCGCAGTATTGGCTTAACTCCGGATACTCCTAGATCCCTGAGCAAATGTGAGAAGAAGAGTGCTTCTCTTGCTGCTTCGGAGGCTGCGACCAGTTCTGCTTCCACTGCCGATAATGCCACGCACTTCTGCACATGTGATTTCCAACTAACCGGACATCCATACACATATGTGATCGCTCCGGACGTACTCCTACGCCCATTTGTAGGGTCAGAAGCCCAATTTGCGTCGGTATACGTAACCACCGGTTGGTCCGCGTGACTCCTGTGTGCTCCCCCTAAACTTAAGCGGTATTCGCTGGTCTGATTCAGATACTTTAACAAGTGTATCGCAGCACTCCAAGCACTGTCGATCGGTTCTGACATGTATCGTGCCAAAGCGCCTACTGCGAACGAAATGTCTGGCCTCACTGTGTTGGATACCCACAAAAGTTGCCCCACTAACTCTTGGTATCGTTTGGCCTGATCTGGGTTGCACTTGTCTCCTCCAGCGACTCTTGCTACACTCTGCATCGGTATCCAAGTTCGTTCACTTGTTCTCTCTAGCCACTTACTTACCATGCCTTTAATGTATGCGCTTAAGTCGAGTGTGATCCTGCCTTGTCTCCTCTCTCGAGTGATTTTGATTCCTAGGAATTCTCCTACAGGTCCGTTGTCCTCTGTTCCCCACTTGTCCATTATCTCGGCTTTGGTACAGTCGACTTCTTTCCTGCACGGCGATGCTATCAGCATGTCATCCACATATGCCGTAATGACTGTGAGTTGGTCGCCCGCTCCTCTTGAGTAAAGACATGGGGCGCTCGGCATGCAGTGGAAGCCGATACTTCGGAGGTGGGTATCTAGCTCGATATTCCATTCCCGACCTGATTGTTTTAGACCATAGAGCCCTTTTATGAGTTTCAATACCTTTCCTGGAGGTACCTTAGTTCCTACCGGTGGCTTTAGGTAAACATCATGACGTAGGCTCAAATTGAGGTAAGCCTGTTTGACATCGATGGAATCAACCTCCCAGTCCCGTACGGCTGCGATGGCCAGCACTCCCCTTATTGCCTGGATGGGTGCCACTGGCGCAAATATCTCTGTGTAGTCTAAGCCCTCTCTTTGTGTAAACCCTCGCGCTACCAATCTTGCTTTGTACTTTGTGGGGATGAGGTTTGCATCAGTCTTGATCTTGAGTACCCATCGTGTGTCGACTGTGTTCATACCCCGCGGTAGGTCAGTCGTTTCCCACGTTCCCATCGCTTCAAGCCCATCCAGTTCCTTGCGCATTGCCTCTTCCCAGAACCTCCTATCCTTTCCGGCCAGCGCTTCGTGGACAGTTGGGTTCAGGCTGTCCTTTCCTTCCTTGACCTTAGCCGCCGTCAACCCGAAGTAACTCTTCTTTACCCAGGTCTCCGGGTTGCGCATGTCTCTAGCTGGCCTCCAGTTCGGCCATGGGCCTCTCTCCTCGGGTGGCACCGGTGCATACTCTTCCCTCTCATTCGTCGTTCTCCTTTCCTCTGGTATCCCGTTAGAGTTCTCATCGTCACAATGTGGTCCTCCGAGTCCTTCCTCTTCGAGAGTTAGTTCCATGTCCACGTGCTCTTCCAAAGGCTCTTGCTCCCTCTCATCAAATAGGTTCTCCTCTGTGTATCCCAGATCATCGATGTCCTCTTCAATAGTTGGGACTGGTGGAGGTCGGATACTTATTGGCCGCCATTCTGATCGGTCTGACCAGCACTGTGTCTCCATGAACCTTGCCGAGTTGCTCCAGAAAATGTTCGGAGAGTAATCAGGGCTATAGAATAGCCATCCCTTTCTTTCTAAGCTGTACCCTATGAATACGGCTGCAACCGCTCGTTGGTCCAGCTTCTTGTTGTTTCGCTTAGCTTTTGGAATATTTACCCAAGCTAAGCATCCAAATACACGCATGAGACTGACGAATCGTTTTGGTGATCTCTTGAACATGAGCTGATATGGAAACTCTCCGTCAACGTTGGGAGTAAGATTGATTTTGAATGCCGCCGCTCGTATGGCGTGCGGCCAAAATCTCTTTGGTAAACTCCTTTGCATCAACAGCGTTCGCATTTTCTCACCCAGGCTCCTATTCATCCGTTCTACTCGTCCGTTTTGTCTGCTGTTGTAACCGACAGTGGTTTGCCACTCTATGCCCTTTTCTAATGACCATTCCAATGCTTCGTTGCTCTTCCACTCAGTTCCTTGATCAGATCGGATTGCTTTCAGCTTTCTGCCCGTCTGTGTCTCTAGGAACGAAACTATTCTTTTGAGTTGCGTGAATGCGTGACTCTTTCGTAAGAGTGGCTGTGCGTGCACATACTTGCTATGGTCGTCGACAAGCACCAATGTGCACGTGTATTCTGTCACGCGGGATGAGTCTATGATCAGATCGATGTGGATGAGATCTAGGGGCCCCGCGGCTGTTTCGCCGCTGCCTCGCCCCATCCGGGCGGCCGTACTTTTGGACCGTATACACTGCTCACATATCAGAGCTGTATCTGGGTCCAATGCTGCTACAGGTTCGCCTTTCAATTTATCTACAATTGCTCTGGACTTGTCTCGACCTGGATGTCCTAGACGTTCATGCCAGAGCTGTCTTGTGGAGATCTTTGGTCTCCGATCAGCCAGCTCGAACTCTTCATCAACCCCTTCAAACAGCGGTGTTGATGTAGTCATCGCGCTTTGTCGCCATGTGTCGCCTCGGAACTCTAATAGTCCACGCTCGCGATCTTTCGCTATTTTCAATAACATGCCATTTGCTAGGTGTATTTGCCCGCCTGTGGGGTCTAAAGTCACACGTGCTCCTTCATCTGTGAGTGAGTTGGTTGACAACAGGTTAATATTGAGTTTTCTAACATACAACACATTTCGGAGATAAACGTCTCCATGTTCTGTCGCTATGTTGGTATCTCCCACAGCAGTTGCTTCCAGTACTTCGCTTCCAGCGGTATACACGCGCTTTCTGCAATTTCTTGGGTGGATGAGCATGCTGTGGTCATTAACCATGTGGTAGCTCGCTCCCGAATCCAAGATCCAACGTGTGGTTCCTTCTGGTTTTGGGAGCTGCCGCCAACTCGGGGTGAAAGAGCACCAGACCTCCTAGTTGGTCTTGGTGAGGGGGGAATTTTCGGGGATGGCGACAGAAGCATCGCATTTGCTGGCGCCGTGTCCGTAGCGCTTGCATACCCAGCAACGAATTCTCTTTGACTTGGTTTTTGTGCTGCCCGTGTCCGACTCAGTGTCCTCGGCCTGTTCTTCGCTTCCCACAGCCGTTCTAGCACTTGCTTGACGTGGGTCCACTTTCTGGCCGGGTACACTCTCCATTGCAGACTGGCGTGTAGTCAACGCCGTTGCTAGGGCATCGAAGCTGACCTGGTGAACCGTGGCGACTGTTTCCTTGTAGACTGGGTGTCGAATCGTGCATCTCTGGAGCGCGGAGTATAGTGCATCGTTACTAAATGGAGCACCTAGAAGGCTAGTTTCCGTCTGTAGGACCCTGATCTCTTGGATTAGCTTACGGGCGTCAGCATGAAACATTTTTGTCTCATTGAGCTCGGCAAGTAATGCTATCCGTCGCGAGGTTCTAGCTACTTCACTGGTGAGGCTCCTTTCGATCTTCTTCCAGGCTTGATGGCAGGTCAGGTGGTTCTTGCTGATGTCGAGTAGGAGGTAAAGAACGTTGTACTCTCCTTCGGTGTCTAAGGTGCTTCGTAGGACACCCACTAGGGCGTTGTCAAAAGTTCTGTTCCATTTCGGGTGGTTTCTATCGTACGTGCCCTCTAAGTGTCGTATGGCATGAGGGACTACTCGAAGGTTGGCCTTGATGAGTGTGCTCCAACTGTAATAGTTGTGTGATGTGAGCTTTGGAACCGTCTCCAAGATTTTGGCCAGGGTGCGGTAATCGTATCGGTCGCTATCGTCGTCCAATTCGGATCCTCCTTCATCCTCATTGTCAAAATACTCGGTTTCGTTACCGTCGGTGACCTCTTCGTCAATTTGTACTCGTTGTGGCGTTTTACCTTTTCTTGTCCTCTTGGCTACTTCACCCGTGCTGGCTTGGCGATCGTTATCTCCCGCCATATCTGATGAATGTCGTGGGTTCGAGCCCCACGTTGGGAGCCAGTTGAATTTAGATACACCACTAGGAGACCACGGTCAGGCACTCCTTTATCTGATGTTCTATGTAAAAGGCTTGTCTTCTCATAAAGAGGTAACGACTGAGCTAAGGGCATATATACATGTTCTAACCACCTGACTGTGCTCTCTATGTCGAGTCATGCCCATGTGCCACGTATCTTCTTTTATGAGTGTTGTCATGTCAACACATCCCCTGCATACCATGGCGTTAATCCTCGTGCATACGCTGCATTAGCTCCCACTAGCTTCGCATTCTGCTCGTCCTCTTCATCGCCTGATACCTTCCCGATTTCCCGATCCTGTGAACTCCCATTTAATGCATCACGCGTTGGCGATGCCGGTGCATCTTCAACTCAACGACACTCCTATGTTGAAATGTGAAGAAGTTTTGTCCCGATAACTGACGATTGGCAAGAGTCTGAGTATGATGTCACTACTGTTTTAGGGCAGAAACATATATACTCAATTGACTCAAAGAACATGGTGAGAACCTAGTGTTCTCAGCTTGATATACAGCATCCACATAAACTGTCCCATAATTTTACATGTCACCATACATCACTCTAATGCTCAATAGCTATAAGTTGTATTGCCACACTGTCTGATATCATCTGAAAGCCCTGCTTCTTCTCTCCAAGACTGTGTAATTGATATTGACATTGACTAAGAAAATTGTGCTATGAAGAAGAGCCGATTTTTTTTAATTGTGGGACAGTTTATGGAGTGCTCCTCAAGAACACCTTAGTACTTTGTATTCCCTCCTTTGGCCTTCAGAACCACCTTGATGTGGTCTGGCATGCTCTCTATTAGCATCCTACATGTCTCTGGAGTGATCTCTGTCCATTCAGCTTCACATCTCTTGAGCAGTTCATCCCTGGACTTTGCAATCATACTATACTGTGAAAGTTGCATTTTGGGATGGTGCCAGAGGTGTTCAATTGGGTTTAAGTCTGGCAACTGTGCCAGCCATTGCATAACCTTAATGCTATTGCTTTCCAACCACGTTATTGTCTTCTTTGACATGTGTTTCAGGTCATTGTCTTGCTGAAACATGATGTCAGTGTATGCATGCTGAAGCTGCAAATCTGAGATTGTTTTCAAAAGCTTGTCATTCAAGATATCAATGTATTGGTCTGAATTCATTGAACCCAGCACCAAGCACATACCTCCCACCCCTTCCCATGTCATACAGCCCCAGATCATGATGGAGCTGCTGCCAAACTTGACTGTTGGCCTGACAAGCTTGCTGTTGAAGCCAGCATTCTTAATCCAACAGAACTGCTTACCATCCAGTCCAAAGAAGTTGATCTTTGTCTCATCAGACCATACCACATTCTTCCAATCCTCAACAGTCATGTCCTTGTGCTCATTAGCAAATTTGAAATGGGCTTTGTAATGTCTCTTGAGTAGCTTCAGTTTTTTCACTAACCTTCGTGCTTTGTAACAACAGTAATGAAGTGCTTTTCTTACTGTGGTTGGGCATGCTTTGATTTGAAACATCTCCTGCAGTGCATGACATGCTTTCCTGACTGTGGAGGTTGAATTGAGCTTGAAATAGTGATCCAGGAAGCAAACATGATGAGGCTGGAGTTTTCTTGGCTGGCCCCCCTTTGACCTTGGAACATCAGCAGAGGTGCTTTTGCTGATGCAATTCACAGTAGACTTGCTCATACCAAGTTGCTTGGCAACTGAATGGGTAGATTCCCCATTTTGGATGTGAAAGAGTGCCAATCAGTGCCTCTCTGGGATGGTTTTTGGCATGATGGTATAGATATGATGGTGTCAGACTGGAAGTGCTGCTGGATTGCTCACAGTCATCTGATTGAGCTGAAACTTTCCACATCACTACTTTCAATGTGTATGAAGGTGCCCACCAAGTTACATTGCAAGTTTCATAGTAGTCAAAAGCCCACAAGGTCAGGAATGGAGCAGTGTTGCTATTTGGGAGCATGCTCCATAAACTGTCCCACAATAAAAATAAAAAAATGGCTCTTCTTCATAGCACAATTTTCTTAGTCAATGTCAATATCAATTACACAGTCTTGGAGAGAAGAAGCAGGGCTTTCAGATGATATCAGACAGTGTGGCAATACAACTTATAGCTATTGAGCATTAGAGTGATGTATGGTGACATGTAAAATTATGGGACAGTTTACATGCATGCTGTATATACATCTATGAGGCTCATACCGAGTGTCGGAGCATCCTACTTTATGACCTAGCTTGACAGCGAGCAGGACTGTGTTGTACCCGATCTCTGGTCGGATCGGCCCTTTCTCCATCTCCGATCAGATCGGCTTCCCCCGATCTCTTCTATATCGGCTTACGTCAACTTGCATCATCATATTGGATCGTTTCCTTCAGCATCCTACACTCAATATGTACTACTATACCACAAAAGCTTGACTTTTGTTCAGGCATCTCTTCCACCCGTATCAAATCCGGATTGCTTTACTGCCACTGGATAGCTCTGTCAGATCTACTTTGGCCCGCTTAAGCAGCTCTCGCTGTAACAGGGTCTTGAAGAAACAGTGCAACAACCCAGCATCAGATTTCGTTGGGGATTATTTTGTAACAACTTCATTGCTCCTACGTGCAGCATCCCACTTGCCCTACCGAGCAAACGCTTCATACATTCGGTCCACGTCAACCCAGAGTGAGATCAGGCTGCACACGGTGTTGGCAATGAGCCTTCTTGCGTGGAACGCACTATACCGTTTGCACAGTGGCGGGACTTCCTTGGCCTTGTATAGGTCGTTGAGCTGCTGTTTGCTGACAGGCCATAACCACCTGAGCAGCTCTTCACTCTGCGCCCGACGCCTTGACCGCTCATTCTTTCGACGGAGGGAATTGGCCTTCCGCAGCACGGCAGACTTCAACATGCGCCTTGATCACAGGTTTTTCTGCATGTTTGTAGCGTGCTTGCCAGGTGACTGGGAAGCCATACTCTCAAATCTCGAAAGAACGCTGAAAAAGGAGCTTCCTTCGAGCCCTAGCAACGTCGAAAGTGTTGAGGAACGTGCAGGCGAAGAGCGGCGAAGCGGTTAGCGATTGTGATGGATAGAAAACAACTAAGTACAAAGCAATGAGAAGCATATATATCTCTCCCGATAACCAGTGTGTGCGCGTGTGGAATGAAGTGATGCAGAGCATTACTTTCGGAAGGGACTGTACATACTGTACAGTACAGTACTTAGTTGCTCTTGATATTATCGCAATTGCTATCTGTCTCGCTGCTCTTCGCTTTCCTCAGCAGATACAGAAACATGCTACGCTGTGGACGAGGCTGAAACATGACGGGGTAATGCAAGGGACCATGCAGGGGTAGAACTCAGGCCCCTATCTTCTCCTCCTCGGGCATCGCTAGCCGGTATGCCGAAGCATATCGCGATAATCCGCCTGACGCGAGCCGATACGCCGCACAGGCACTACAATCTTCATGTGTTCAGTTCTTCTAATTGCGAACATAACAAGACAGTGAACCTCAGCTCAAGTGACCTTTAGTTACAGTGAAGCGACAAGCTATGCCTAGAGGAAAGACTACGCTTGCCGGACGTGCTAGCTGAAGCAAGCATGACCACCGTTTGCTCTACGGCGTCGGCCTCCTAAGCCGCCAAATATCACCGTGTTCTGGGCCCAGATGAGCCACCAAATCCTCGAACAGATTCTGCTCATGAGCATCTTGAGGGCTCGAATGCCTCGACCTGGACTGCTGCCACGAGTCATGATGCCATGGCTCGAGATGTGCCTGCAGTTGGTCCAATAGGTTCGCCTGGCGATCATTCTGAAGGCTAGACTGTCTCGTTGCGTGGTGTCCCAAACGCTGGTCACGGCTGGGCCCTAGATGTGCTTCCAACGCCTCGAGTATATCTGGCTGACGATCTGGCTGACTTGATTGTCGTTGAAAGCGAGGCGATGCACCGCTTCCCGAGAAGGGTATCGTTTGATGCTGCTGAGCGACGTTTGTTGCTCTGGCCTGATCATGGAAAGAGGGATCACGCCAGGGTGAAGGTGAAAAGCGAAAGCTAGAAGCGAGATCGAACTCGGTCGGCTCGTGCTGTTGAAAGGGCTTTGGCGGCGTCTGAGCGTACATTGAGGCAGGCGATTGATGCAAGTTGTCGTCGTATGGAGAGGTACCACTGACTGCTAAGGCATTGAAGGGATGCAGGTTGCGTTCGTAAGTTTGATCAGTGGGCATGTGTACCGGCTGAGAAACCTGTTGCGACTCCACGCCAGGAGGTGCAAGTATCGATGCACGGTGTAGGGTACCTTCTCCTCCCGCAGAAGATATACCGAAGGCGTCGTGATGCAAAGGCGAGTGGTCTAGAAAAGAATTATCCAGGTGATCATTTGAAAACTCGCCGATTGGTGGCAGATTCGACCAAGTACTTGTCATTTGAGCTTGCTGTGGGGAGACCGGTCGATGCTCGCCTATGGGATCGGAGCCCACGGACACCTGATCGATCGATCGAGAATTATGCACATCCGAGAAGTCGTGTACATTGGGAGGAGGAAGTTCGGGCGACCTTATCGAACTCAAGCGTGGTCTTTTTGGGGACGGAGCCCAATTGTGAGCAAGGCGGTCTAGCACTTCTTGCGTGGGAGAGCGATGCTCCCTCTGTGGCGCGTCGGACTGAGGCATCGGCTCTAGCTGCTCAGAGCTTGATAAGACGTGCTTGCGGCCAGACCCAGAAGGTACGTCGGAAGGCGGAGGGGATCCGTGAGGAAAGATAGCTAGATCAGAGCCAGGTGTTGGTGGAATGAACCCAGGCTGATCATACAAGGGCTCTGGCCTCGGATATTGATCGTGTTCCCAATGTTCGCCATCTTCGAGCTCTCGAGTTCTGTGCTGAGGTGGTGGCGGAAGTGAAGCATCCACACGCTGATTCTCTGGAGCCGGAGGACCGAGGTCAACCCAAGGCTGCTTTCGTGATTCGGATTCGGGATTGTCGAACCTGCTGACGACTTCCTTTCCCAAGTAGGGGCCGTGAGGAGCCTTTTGAGCGTCATTTAGTTCGCCTCTCCCCCGGCCTCGATCACTTCGTCGTGCTTCAGAGCTTTCTGCCCTTGTCTCCGACAACACTGGTTCCATCGCCTTGCGATCGTCTTGTTTGACGGCGGGATACTTGAGTATCGATCCAGTACCGGATGGAACCATCTGATGCGAAGCCCACGTTCGTGGATTGAGCGGGTGTCCAGCAGGTCGTGGTAGACCGAAAAGAGGCTTCGCGTCCTCCTCACTTTGCGGAAGCTTGGAATCCCTATCAAGCCAAAAGCTTGTCGACTCGAAATACGTGAACAAGATCTTGTCGTGTCGGCGGTAGCGTGGCTTGATGTTATAAATTTTCTTGAATCGGAGAGAAGGGACAACGCTGATGGGTCGGACGATTGCAATCGGAACTAACTCTAGCTTTCCTTCTTGTCCTGTTTGGGCTTTGTACTGGACTCGATCAAGAAACGGGTAGCTCTGGCCATCGTTGGAAACATAATTCTTCAACTTGAAAAGGTTCTTCTCTAAGTTGTGCTCGTCAAATAGGGGAGCCTGAAACCATGGTTCTGATTTTTCTTCACCATCCACGGGGGCGAGCATGAGACTGTATTGCTTGAACTGCAATCCCCCATCATGACGATCGAACTGCTTCATGTACCATCGCGCTCCTCTTAGAATACGGGCCATGTTCGTCCTACTTGTCAAAAGGTGCATGTTGTGGGACAAGAGATGATTGTACGATAGAATTTCGCTCTCGATCCTCGTGGGATCGTAACCGAGCCGTTCGAGATCCTCCAGAACTGGCCATTTGTACACGTCCTTGACATCGCTCAGCCACAATGAACCAGCAGAGATTTTAAGCCTTTCCCACAGAACACTTGGTCTGGAATCACCACCTCCGGCGGTATCGAGTGGCCCTCGGATGAAGTATTTGAGCTCGAGCGTGTACGTAGCCTTGGTAAGCTCTGAAACCTGCAGCTTGTGCATGAAAATGGCAACATCAGGGTTGTCCTTACCCATCGGATTGTCGTGAGAGAAGGAACGGACTTTGAGGAACAGCACCGGCGTATAGGATTCTTTTTCGAAAATCTCTGCATGCCAAGGATGGCGACGGAGATCATCGGGAGTGGTAAAAGAACCATCTTCTAGAAGCTTTTTGATTCCAGAATTCCCAAGTCTTACCCAATACTTTTGATAGAACTTGTCCAGCTTAACTTCTGCGATCTTCGAGAGCTCTTGATAGCGAGCTGTGGTGATTAGGCGACGAGTGGATCGATCGGTGATGTCGTATTTGTGGATAAACCTTGAAAGGGGTTGATAACCACCGCTGTCAGACGGTCTTGCTGCATGTGGATCGTCTTGACCTACGCAGCCTGCAAGATTCGCCTTCAGGAGAATGATGATTGAGCAAAAGTAAAAAAACAAAAGCTGATGCATCTTGTCTGGACAGTGAGAAAAGATTTAGGTGGAAGAGAAGGTGAGAGTTGATGATGCCCACAAAGGGATATTCCGGTGCTTGAGCCTTATTCGCTGACGAATGCAAAACAGGAGCTTCTCCTTCAATGATTCCTTTGAATTGAAGATAACAATTAATATACGGCGTTATCGGGGTCACGATCAGACTCCCTTTACCACAGCCGTATGTTCTATGTAATGCTTGGTTTTCTTAGTGTGAGACTAAATGACAAACACATATATATACTCCATTCACTGCTCTGATCCCATCCGAGGCAGGGTGTGTTCCTTCATTTGTACCCCTGTGTTGCTATGATACCGGGTGCCACTGTGCTGTCACCGTGACAACAATTGCGTACCTCATTGTGCTCCTCGCTTATGTGAGCCTCCCGTATCTCGATGTCTCGGCCGTAACACGTGCACCTTGCTTGAGATGCCGACGCATCTTCAACTCCCCCCTTCGGCGGGATCTCCAGTCCTATCATCCTAGCCAATCGTGAGGTGTTAAGACCCTGTAAGGGTTTTGTCAAGACATCTGCAACGTTGTTTGCCGTTCCGACATATTTGATCTCCACATCGCCTTCTTGTACGTGATCGCGGACGAAATGATACCGTGTGTCGATGTGCTTTAACTTCCAATGTTTGGCTGGGTCTTTACTCACCTGTATGCACCCCTGGCTGTCTGTGTATAGTACGGGCCGAACGCCCGTGGCCTCCAAATCCCGGAGCAAATATGAGAAGAATAAGGTTTCTCGTACCGCTTCGGAAGCGGCGACAAACTCTGCTTCGACTGCCGACAGTGCCACACACTTCTGAACGTGTGATTTCCAACTCACCGGACATCCATACACATATGTTATCGACCCCGAGGTACTTCTTCGTCCATTTGTGGGGTCGGATGCCCAGTTTGCGTCGGTATACGTCGTTACCGGTGTATCCGAGTGCTCGTTTGTCTCTCCTCCTAGGTGCAACTGATATTCGTTCGTTTGGTTCAGGTACTTTACCACGTGGACAGCTGCCTTCCATGCACTGTCGATCGGGATCGACATATATCGCGCCAATACGCCGACGGCAAAGGCAATATCTGGTCGGGCTGTGTTGGAGACCCATAATAGTTGGCCGACCAATTCTTGATACCTCTTTGCTCGCTTAGGTTCACATCGCTCGCCTCCGGTGGTGTTCGCTACACTCAGCATGGGTATCCAGGATTTCTCGTTTGCTCCTCCTAACCATTTGTTCACCATTTCCTTGATGTATGCCGTTAGACTCAGGGATATCCTCCTCCGCCTTCTATCACGTATGATCTTGATACCCAGAAATTCTTTGATCCTTCCATTGTCTTGCGTCTCCCATTTGTCCATGATCTCCCGCTTTGCGCGGTCTACTTCCTCACGACTGGGTGATGTTATCAGCATGTCGTCCACGTATGCTGTGATGATCGTGATCTTGTCGCCTGTCCCTCTTGAGTATAGGCATGGAGCGCTCGGCATGCAATGAAATCCGATCGTCCGGAGGTGTGAGTCTAACTCAATGTTCCATTCTCGGCCCGACTGTTTCAAACCGTACAGTCCTTTCACTACCTTCAACACTTTTCCGGGTGGTATTTCGATTCCTACTGGGGGCTTGAGGTATACATCATGGTGTATAGTGGAGTTCAGGTACGCTTGCTTTACGTCAATAGAATCCATTTCCCAATCTCGTACTGCTGCGACCGCGATCACCCCTCGAATGGATTGGATAGGTGCTACTGGTGCGAAGACCTCTGTATAGTCGATGCCCTCGCGTTGAGTGAAACCTCGTGCCACGAGCCGGGCTTTGAACTTTGTCGGCACGAGGTTTGCATCGGTTTTGATCTTGAGTACCCAACGTGTGTCGACGGTGTTTGCACCCTTTGGAAGGTCGACTATCTCCCATGTGCCCATCGCCTCTAATCCATCCAGCTCCTTTCGCATGGCCTCCTCCCAGTGCTTTCTGTCCTCTCCATTCATTGCTTCATGTATGGTTGGGTCCAGGTTCTTTCTCCGTTCCGGTCGCGTCGCTACGAGTCCATAGAATTCGCTGTCAATTTGAGTTTCGGCGATTGGTCCTTGTTCCATCACCTCTGCTATTCCTTCGCGTAATCTTTCTTCCGAGTCTGACTCCATATCCATGTATTCTCGTAGTGGCTCTTCATCTGTTTCGTCGAATATATTTTCTTTGTTATATCCTAGATCTTCGAGATTTTCTTCTGTCATCGTCATTGGGGGTGCCTTTGTATCAACCGGTCGCCACTCTGTTCTGTCTGACCAGCACTTTGATTCCATGAATTTTGCTGAATTGCTCCAGAAGATGTTCGGATTGTAGTCCGGGCTGTAGAAAAGCCAGCCCTTCCTCTCTAGACTGTACCCTAAGAAAATGGATGCGACGGCTCGCTGGTCCAGTTTCTTGTTGTCCCGTTTAACTTTGGGTATGTTTACCCATGCCAGACAACCAAACACTCGTAGGAGCTTTAAAGCTCGTTCCGGCGACTTGCCAAACATCGCTTGATAAGGGAATTCATTATCAACGCTCGGAGTGAGGTTTATTTTGAACGCTGCAGCTCTGATCGCGTATGGCCAGAACTTCTTCGGTAGTCTCCTCTGCATTAGCAACGTTCTCATCTTCTCTCCAAGGGTCCTGTTCATTCTCTCTACCCGTCCATTTTGTTTGCTGTTGTACCCTACGGTGGTTTGCCACTCTATGCCCTTTTCTAGCGACCATTCTAATGCATCATTGCTTTTCCATTCTGTTCCTTGATCGGATCGGATCGCTTTTAGCTTCCGATCCGTCTGTGTCTCCAGGAACGAAACAATCCTTTTAAGTTGCATAAAGGCATGACTCTTTCGTGTCAATGGCTGTGCATACACATACTTGCTATGATCGTCGACCAGCACCAACGTGCATGTGTACTCCGTCACGTGGGACGAGTCTATTATTAGATCGACGTGGATAAGATCCAGGGGCCCTACGGCTCTCTCGCCGCTACCTTTCCCCATCCGAGCGCTTGTGCTCTTGGATCGTACGCACTGCTCACATGTCAGGGCGGTGTTTGGATCCAATTTCATGGTATGCTTATCCTTTAACTTGTTTGTGATCGCCTTAGCTTTATCTCTTCCTGGGTGCCCGAGACGCTCATGCCATAGTTGTTGCTTTGAAGCTTTCGGCTCATTCTCAATATGCTCGAACTCCTCATCAACACCTTCAAACAATGGTGCTGATGTGGCCATCGCGCTTTCTTGCCATGTGTCGCCTCGGAACTCCAGAAGTCCTCGCTCGCGATTCTTTGCAATCTTAAGTGTCATGCCGTTTGTTAGAAAAATTTGGCCGCCGGTTGTGTCCAATATCACTCGTGCTCCTTCATCCGTTAATGAATTTGTTGACAGAAGGTTAACATTAAGGTGCTTTACATACAATACATTTTGCAGAGAGACTTCCCCGTAATCTGTTGATATGCTCGCATCTCCTATAGCTGCCACTTCCAAGGCCTCGCTTCCGGCGGTAATTATCCGCTTTCGGCAAGTTCTCGGGTGAATGAGCATGCTGTAGTCGTTCACCATATGATAACTCGCCCCCGAGTCCAAGATCCAATGAGCTGTTTCTTTTGGGTTCGAGGGGTCCTGCCATTTCATTGGGAGGGTGAGGGAGCACCACGCTTCCTATTTGGGTTCAGCGAGGGGAGAGTCCTTGGGAATGGTAACCAAGGCGTCGCATTGGCTGATACCATGTCCCGGTCGCTTGCAGATCCAGCATCGGATTCGGCGTGGTTTGCTTGCGTTCCTCGGGCTCGCGTGGCTGTTGTCGGCTTCGGCTTCGGTCTCTCCGGCCCGTTCATTTTGATCGTCGTTGCCGGCGGTTCTAGCGCTGGCTTGTCGGGGGTCGATCCTTTGTGCGGGGACACTCTCGACAGCAGTCTGCCGGATGCTTAATGCGGTGGCAAGGGCGTTGAAGTCGATTTGATGGACGGTGGCAACCGTCTCCTTGTACACCGGATGCCGGATCGTGCATTTCTGCAGGGCCGAGAACAATGTATCATCGGCGAATGGTTTTCCAAGGAGACTGCTTTCAGTTTGTATGGACCGGATCTCTTGGATTAGCTTTCTGGCATCCGAGTGAAACATCTTTGCATCGTTGAGTTGCGAGATAAGCGCAAGTCTGTGGGACGTCTTGGTGGCTTCATTCGTGAGACCGTTTTCGATCTTTCTCCATACTTGGTTGAAAGTAAGGTACTCCTTGATTACATCTAGAACGAGGTAGTTTACATTGTGTTCTCCGGTAGTATCGATTGTTCCACGCAGGGCGTTAATTAAAGCATCGTCAAGGGAGCGGCTCCATTTCGGGTGTTTCTTGTCGTACGTTCCCTCGAGATGTTTCATCGCATGAGGCACGGATCGGAGGAAAGATTTCACGTGAGCGCTCCAGCTATGGTAGTTTCGTGACGTGAGCTTTGGCACAGGTTCAAGGAGCTTTGCTAGGGTGCGAAAGTTATATCGCTTGTCGCCATCATCAAAGTCGGAGTCGGAATCGGTGTCTCCGTCGGCTTCATCGTTGATGGCCTCCGGCTCGTTCTCGCTCGTGGCATTATTGTCGACCCGAACCTGGGTGTTCTTGCCTTTTCTGCTTCCTTTAGTCCTCGTTTCGGTGTCTTCTACCATGGTTGTCGGCGAGTTTTCGGTTAGCTCGGTGATAGCTTCTTCAGACTCTTAATCAATTGAAGATAACAATTAATATACGGCGTTATCGGGGTCACGATCAGACTCCCTTTACCACAGCCGTATGTTCTATGTAATGCTTGGTTTTCTTAGTGTGAGACTAAATGACAAACACATATATATACTCCATTCACTGCTCTGATCCCATCCGAGGCAGGGTGTGTTCCTTCATTTGTACCCCTGTGTTGCTATGATACCGGGTGCCACTGTGCTGTCACCGTGACAACAATTGCGTACCTCATTGTGCTCCTCGCT